GCCACTATGAATTTAAGTAGCAGGTGTGACGTATGATTACGCATTTCACGTGATTTTTCACTTGCTACTCGTGAAATGTTCCATCCCTACTTGTAAGTTTTATTCATGGATGACAAATAAAAGTTTTATTTGTCATCCATGCTTGTAAGTGTGAGTATAGTAAAATTTGTAAATATCTTTTTATTTTTGGCCTACAATATATATTTGGTGCCTTTAATCATTATATTTTAATTGTGAAATAATAGAATCATGTTTTTAATTTTATTATTAGGCATTAAATCTATATCATAATAATGAAAATTAATCGGGAAAGTAATAGGTAATCTCAAAGGTAGGTGTCACGTTTTAGATATTATTCCTTTTTCCTGTTTTTCTAATGCTCATAATTGGACCTAGTTATGCAGAAAACAGCCATTACACATTTTTTCCAAAAATGAGATAAATACAGCGATCCTAATTTAAGACATGGCGAATTTTTTACAAAAAGAGCGATGTCGATATCTTTATTAATTTCGGAGATATTAAGCCATCAAATCTAGCCATTTCAACAAACACATTTCGTAAAAAACAGTCAGCTTGGTGTAAAATGCATCCAATTTTGACACTAACTAAAATACTTATATTGCAGAAGTCAGCCTACCTTTATGGCTGTTTTTTACAAATTTCAAAATGTTAGGAGGTAGAAGTGTTCAAGTTACGCAAGTAGCAGCCAATCTATGATGGCTGTTTTCTGTCAAATAGATATTTGTTATTATTGGTAGTTGGGGTTTTTTCCACACCATCCTGGCTGTTTTATGAATTAAAATATTATTTATTTTATAACATATTCTTATAAAATCCAATAATAATAATCGAAAACAATATGAAAACAGCAAAATAATTTTGATTATTTTGTATCATGATTTTTGTAACTATAGATTTTTTGTGTTTTTATTTATTTTGCTGTTTAAAAATAACTCAAAACACAGCCAACTCATGTGGCTGGATTAAGCATTATTGTGATTACTGTAAAATATGCTATTTTGTATGAAACAGCTAAGTCTAAAACGTAATTATATGCTTTAATATCAACAGTTCAAAATACTGGATAGGATAAAAGAATAAACAATACTTATATAAATATTGTTCAATTTTAAAATAACCAGAAAAACAAAACACAACCCAAGTGCAATTATCAACAGAAAAATGCTTATAGCTCTGTTGGTACTTTGACGCACATGGCTGTGTTTTGCATAACTGGGTCCAATTGTAAAATGTGGAATATACATAATAATATTGTATCATGCACTTAAACTATACAATTTTAGAGACTCTGACTTTGAGAGAACTTTGACTTTTTATTGCGGGTTCCGACCCCCAATAAAAAGTCAAGTAAAAAATATTACCGTTTTTTGCTGTTGCTACTATTCTCCATTTTGTCTTTCACGTCTTTTACTTTCTTAAAAGAATAAGGAAAATTTTATACAGACATTAAAAAATGATTTTTTTACGTATACAATTTTTAAGAAGAAAATATGAATAATAAAAATAAAATTACATTATTTTGTATTTTTTAAGCATTGTCCTCTTTACTTTGAAAGAGAGTTATCATAATATTATTTATTTGTTTATGTTTTCTTTATTATAATAAAATCCGTTAGCTAGTTTTATTAACATTTATAAACTTATCACTAACAGTAAATAAAGGTTAATAAAGTTAAAATAATAAATCCAATTAAATCTTTAATAGTCAAATAAGGATGAAATGGAATTGTATCTATATTTCTATTAATACCTAGTGGATTATTTGATCGCATTGAATATATAATAATACAGATACAAAACAGAATACAAAATTCTGTTTTGAAACACTATTTGTTCTGCTTCATGTTTAGTTCCATGACACTCTGTCTGTATTATTATTCCTTAGCTAAGATCATGCATTTTACTAAATTTATTGTTACTAGCAACTCACCCTCACTTCACTCAGATTCGTCCCTATGTTCTTTAAATTGACATAACTTTTTTATGTTTTTAAACCGTTTCTGAGCATGCACAAACACACAAACAGACAACAATCCTAAAAACCATTGTTTTGAGTTCTATTGCATTAATAAAGACCCCCCAATAATAGTTTTTCTTAAATATGTATCTATTTTTTTATTTATAGATAAATGTATTATCTATAAATAATAAAATGTTTGCTTTTTATTCTTTTATAGATAACAATAACAGTTAAGGGATAGTAAAAATAAAATATAATATAATATGTAGATAAAGTTTTTTTAAATTTAAAAACTTTTTAACTTTTCTATAAATACTGATAAAGTTAACAAATACTAAATACCCATACTAATATTATAAAAGTTAGTTTGTGAGGATGGATGGATGGATTATGTTTCTGTTTCACAACCGAACAGCTGAACGAATCTGGGTGAAATTTAGCACACATAGTAATAGATTATTTTTTATCCTGGATAAATATACAGTTCCTGCCAGATAGATTTGTTTTTGTCTAGGAATGAAACTGAAGCAATGTAAGGGTGAGTCGCTAGTAGAATATATCTATGTAAACTTGTAATTTATATGTTGTTTTAATAAAGATTTATAATCTATTTTTATTTCAATATGATTTTTTCTAATTACTTGTATATTAAATATGTAACAATAACAAATTTTGAAATATGTTTTAAGAGCTTTTTTGTTAACTGTTGTTTTTTTAAATAACATAATTTAGTAAACATATCTGTAAATTGTAAATCTATACATATACTAAAATTGTAACTAAGTCAAATCTGTACATTAAATATTTTTTGGGAAATCTTATTGAAATAAACATTATTATAGTTACAAAGGCCGAACTATAGTTTTTAGAATTTTTGTCTGTCTGTCTGTTACCGCATCACAGATAAACCACTGGAGGGATTTTAATGAAATTTGGTATGGTGATAACTGGTTATCCGGGTCAACATATAGGATACTTTTTACTGATATACCGATAAATACAAAAACTGCAATGTAAGAGTACACATATGTAAAACCTAAGAATTTGGTTTTTGGTCATCTGAACGCGGGCGGAGCCGCGGGCAATGCTAGTTTAGTTTAAGTATCTGTAGATACTTTATCATATCCAAAAAAATCTAGTCAAATACTGGAGAAATACTGAATTCAAATATTGTTGATTGAACAATATGTAATCATTGCTAAAGTTATTTTTACCAACTTTAGAAAAGGGTGTAAACACTATGTATTTTATAAAATAACGATTTTATTCTGTTCTATACAGTAGCTTGTTTATTAGAATGATTTTGTTTTTTTTTATTTTTTATTTATTTTAGGTCATTTATTAACATCTAAGGACATTATGTTGTAATAATTTGTCCCTTTTTTGGGTCATTGGGCCATAGTTTCAAGTATAATATTAGTTTAAAAAAAATTAATTTACTTATTTATTAATGAAACAAAACATCAATGGTAATATTTCGAATTATAATAGTATTATATGTATTGGATTATAACTGTATTTTAATAGAATTGAGTAAGACTTCTTCTTTGCTTTTATATATTTAATTTTGCTTCCGGAACACAACAACTTCATTACAGATGACATATTTATGAGAGAGAACACAAGCGCCACGCACGGCCAGGAAACTAACAACTATTTTAGTTTATGAAGACACCTTTAAATTTATTTATTTAACACTCCCACTTAAATTTATAAGGTGTCACTTCTATTCATTATATATAACAACTTTAGAATGATATTTTTTAATCTATCCAATTATACACAAACTTAACTTTAATCTTCAAAACTTATAAATCATTTGAACAATTAATAACTATATAACTTACATATTATGCATCTAAGTACTTTTCAAAATCTTATCTCTAATACAATTAAACATAGGTACTTACAGGCTAAGCTTTAGTGAGAAAATCACTGAGTTGGCATGCACTTTCTACATATTTAATATTAACTATTTTCTTAGATACATTCTCTCTTATGAAATTATACTTAATATCTATGTGTAATTTCTTTTATGAAATACAGGATTTTTTATTAACTTGATTGCAGTCTGATTATCTATATTTTAAGTGACAGAGTTTTGTGGCTTTCCAATATCATATAAAAATTGTTTAAACCATAATATTTCTTTTGTGGCTTCACTAGCAGCCATGTACTCGGACTCAGTTGTGGACAATGCCACAGTGTTCTGTTTATGACTCGACCAAGTGACTGGACCTCCATTCATTAAAAATATATAACCTGTATTAGATTTCCTACTATCTAAGTCACCTGCAAAGTCAGAATCAGAGTAACCAACTAATTCTATATTTCCTTTTTAAACAATAGACATATCGACGCCCCCGGGGAATAAAATCGTAATAGACAAAAGTAAATTTTACAGGACGAGCAAAAAACTGTTATTCTGTTTTAGCTCATAAACTAACCGGCCTATATTAACATACAATACATCATTTTTTTCAGTATTTTTTTTTCTTAATAAGTAGCTATAATAAAAAAAAATATAATGTATACTTTTAAAGTTATTACGAAAGATGTATAATACTGATTTTATATTTAAGTGTATCCTAAGTAACGGCACATAACGATTTTATTCTCGTGAAATTGTAATATCATGAAAACTATATCCCTACATTACGATGTTTTTCTACAGTATTTTCATGAATGAATGGTAATTGTAATAAACTAATACAATTTTGTTCTTGTAAAAGCTACCAGTGTCTTTTTTCGTATAGCTATATAACGACTTTGTTTTTGTATAAATGTGCTTAGAGAGTTCATCGTAATATGCAGTAATGTTTATGAATTTTGGTTATAAATTATTGTAACACCACTAGTTACTGTAATACCACTAGGTACTGGGTACTTCGTGGGTGCTTTTCTACACTCAGTCAGTACCTACATATTGTAAAAACTTAAATAAAATAAATAATGAAGTAAGTATAATAAACATAATTTTTATTTAAGAAAATCACAATTGTTACAATAGGCATTAATCAGTCTTAGTTCTAAAAAATCTATCTAATAAATATATATCTAAAATTGCGTTAAATCGAGTTTTAGTGATCTTTTGGGCTTGTGTTTGGTACATATATTGTAGAACTTCTTGATCCCAGTACGATTCAAAAGGTTTGTAACAGGCTTTGTCAAGAGGCTGTAATTCGTGTGTCGTATTGGATGGCAAACAATAAAGGACAATGTCATGTTTTTCAGCTGTTTCGGCAATGCGAAAATCTAGATGGTATTTGGCACCGTTAAAAATGAGAAGGCATTTTCCAGGAGTTTTATACTTCGCTAGGTGTTCGATAAAAACAATAAACAATTCTGTTGTCATACTGCCTTTTGGTGCCATGTGGACAATTGATCCTACAGGCAAATTGTCATCATACTCCGGCTTCTTCCTTTTTCCCTTTAAAAATATTATGGGGGGTATAGGATTCACTATAGCATTAACACATCCCACAAGAGTAACGTTCTCACCATGCTCAGAACCCAGCATGTGCGCCCTTTTAGCACCCTTCTGAGCAATCACTGTTTGTTGATGATATAATGTTAGCCGGCAGCCCTTCTCGTCCATATTATAAATCTTCTCCGGATGGTAATGAAGATCTAACTCATCATAAAGCTTACGAACTTCATGAAAATGATGAGCGACAATAACCTTATTTAATTTCTGGGCTCGAGCTGGGTTTAGGAATTGTGCTTTTCGTTTTGCTAAGCTGGGATTTCGTTTTAAAAATAATCTTAACCAGGCTTTTTCTGCAAGTCCTGTTTTTTTGTTGAAATTATTGTCAATATTGAATTTTTCGCAAAAAGCAAATGCTTGAATCCGAATCATTTTTGGAGTCAGAGGTATTCCTATATCAGAAAATTTTATTATACGGCAAACGAAATCTTTTTCTTGCTCTTTCGTAAATATAGCGTTTCTTCCTAAGCTCTTATGTAAAATACCACTTTTAAGATGATTTCTAATGGTTCTTCTCGGCACTCCATATTGCGCCGAAGCTTTGTATGTCGACAATCGTCCAGAACGTACATCATTAACTGCCGCTCTCAAGCTTTCATCAGACCACGTAGCCCGTTTTCGAGGAGACATACTGACAGGAATCAATCTGTAAAAAACACAATAAAGCTAAAATTCAACAGAATTTCTAACAAGGCCTAGGGTTACAAATAAGGCCTATTAAAAAAGTAGGTCTTATTTCTTACCATACACCTCATACATGTTATACGCAATAATTAATTCACATATCCTAAATAATACAAAACAAAGTCATAGTTACCTTTTTGATGAGTTATAATGTAAACCGTGTACATAACTTGAAATAAAACCCTAATAAATACCGTAATAAAATACGATAGAAATTACGACAAATTAATAACACGCAATGAAAACGGCCGTCGTTCACGAACGACCGACGAACACTGGCGCTGTGAGCGTGAGCGGGCCTCTCGCGCACTATTTGCCGAGTTGTGGAGGTGTAGTCTATACGTTCGTGCAATATATATTGGATGTAAATACATTAAACGACTTTTTCGCACTATAGGCCTTATTTGTATCAAGTACTCTATATGTATTATAAAACTAAATATTTTAGACTACCTTAGCATTGTTATGTGTATCATAAAAATGGTGAACTAGTCTACAATCTTTGCATCTATTACAATTGAACTTAAAGCAATCACAATAGTCTTCTTTTAATATTCAAGTTATCATATCACAATAGTCAGAAATATAAAGAAAATATAAAAAAATACCAAAATCAATGTAGTGAGCCCAAATGAATTTTGGACTTCTTGCATATGATTTTTCTTGTATAGACGAAAATAATCAATTTTACTGAATGCTTCGTCATTAAGATGTAAAAACGATGGCTGCATAAAGGGAATTATATCAGGATTAAAATTCTTTTATGTCCACCCTCCAGTTTGTCCATCATAACTTCCAATATCCTTGTTATCTACAGCTTCCGTTTGATGATACACTCTCCCACGAGATGACCTTCTTCGTTCTGGCTAAAAAACTAAGAAATTCCTCGACCTCGATGGCGTCACCACGGCGCTGGAAGCTTGTAACTCGCGTAACAGAAGAATTAGAAATCGCATGAGAATTTGGAACTGAAAGCTCGCCTTCAGAATTAGATGATGTTTCGGCTGAGTTATCTGACTGACGATTTCGGTCCTGAGATCTATAATCCACGTCATCAATCATCATCATCGTTGCCTTCATCATCTTCAAACTCGGATAGGTCTAGATTAAGCTGATGTTCTATAACATTGTCGTTCATAGCTTAAACAAAAGAACATTAAAGTAAACACCCAATGTGCCAAAATTATGACACAGAAGTTAGGGTAAATGTTACAATAAAAACCCACCGACCCTTATTTTGGGACATAGTTTTATCGTTCTTATATTACTGCATTAAAATGACTTTTCAATTAAAAGAATCGCGTAGAATCAAAATATAACATTTCCGCAACTATTGGCAACACAATTCAGATATTACCATGTGATGATTATAAAGATATGAAAAGATTTATAACCCGTTCGCAATAAATTTGCCGGTGGCGATATGACGTCACTCGAAGCGTAGCGTCAGCAAAAAAAAAAGATACATTTAAATTTTTTTTTTTAAATTGTGTACATCGGTAAAATTAGATACATTAATTGCGTTTAATCACTAACGTCCATAGATTCTACACCAGATATTTCACTCTCACTGTCACTAAAAATTGAGTCCGTATCACTCTCTGAATTTGTCCCCAATGAAATTATGAGTTCTCTCTCGTTTAATTCTTGCAGTCGATCACTTTCCCAGTATTGTTGTCTTAATCTATCAACATGGTTGATTTCTCTCTTGCAATCATCTGCAGATATACTTATTATAGCATCGCGTGTTAACTTTTCTATTTCTTTTTCAGATTGTGATACGTTTTTTTCGGCCACTCGCTGTTTCATAATATTCCAAATGTACTCAATCGGATTCAAATCGCATTGATACGGCGGTAGCCGCAATACCTCGTGACCATGACTTTTAATTATTTATTTTTTAGGTGGCACGTTCCGTTTTGTAAGACAGTACAGCTCAGGTTTCGTATAATTTTCTTCGAAGTCAATGTTCCTTTCGCGTAACCAATTTTTCATATTTTCCTTTAAAGAATTTGAGTTTGGCAGTCTGTCAATTTGCTAACAATGACGTATCATTGTATGACAATGACGTATCACCGTAGGTGCATTGTCAAGAACAATAATCGAATTAGGCGGCAGATTTGGCAAGAGTTTCTCATTTAACCATTTGGTGAAATTTTTATTATCCATTTCGTCGTGGTAATCTCCACTTTTACCTTTGCATTTATACAATAGCTCTGCGTTTTGGATAAAGCCATTGTCACCTCCAGCATGCACAATTATCCAGCGCTGCCCAGGATTATGGTTTTTTTTACACTTGCCGCAGTAGAATTTTGCCAACATTTAACTTCGGTATAGTGACTGTGTATCCAAGTTTCATCTAAGTAAAACACTGTTTTTTTTTCTGCTCCGAGTTCATCATTTTCCCGCAGTCGTTGTAAATACTTTGCCTTCCAGGCAGCAATTTCTGGTTTTTGTATCAAAAAATCGCGAACCTTTTTACATTTTTTAAACTTATAGCCCAGCTTCTCCTTTATTATTTTCCACAAGGTGGCTTTTGGCCAGGAAAATTTAATTCCGCCTTTGCAGTGGCTAGAATTTTTCGCAGGGTAGGTATTTCGTTTTTCACCGTATAAAAGCTGTTTATAATATTTCCTATAGCGCAAATCATAAAATCATCAATTTCTAATGTTGATTTCTTCTTTTTTTTACGTGGTGTCGAAAGTTTAATAGCTTCTGTACTCGTACTTGCACCAGCTTCTGACGATGCTGACGCTACTTTTTTTACCTCTTGTCTTATGTTTCGTAACGTGCGTTCAGATATACCAGTCGCCATTGCCGTGCGTTTCATAGCTTGATCGACAGGTATTATGTAAGAACGGTTTTTCTTCTCATTTTCGAAATAAGTCATAACCTTTAGCACCACATTTCGTAAATCACTCCTTAAAGTTTTGCCTTTACCCATAGTTAAAAAACAGATTTAAACAAAGCGAAAAACAAAGAAATATCAAAACAAAGAATTAATAATAACAACGTGCGTATTCGATGACTTTGCTAACGATACTGAATGGGCGATTCAGGGGCGCGGTAGGCGGCTGGGGAGGGGACGCGCAATCCACGGACCGGCAAACTTATCGCGAACGGATAGTACTTATAGTGCGTTTCAGTAAAGAGTTCCTTTCGTGGTTATATTGGCTACACTGGCTTCAATGTTGCCATATCTTGATGTAAAATTACCAACTATTATGATTTAACCAACTATTTATGATAATCGTATTTCCTGATTTTTGATAAATATGTTGTTCTGGTGCAATAAATGCTATCTACATACCGATCTACGTAGGCAAGAGGCAAGGTTGCTTTTAGATAAGGTAGTTTACTCTTAAAACTTGATTAAATATTAATTGGTTTGCTATATTTATTTACGCTAAAATGTTGTTAGTTATTTAAAAAACTAAAACAATAATAAAACAACACTGATTTTTATTCAATGTAATTTAGCCAGTATTAAAACATGAAAACATGGAATTTATTTTAATACGCATGGTCCATTTCAATAGGAGTTAAACCTGAAATTATACTATCACAATCACTGCCTGAAGACGTTTCACTGTCTCTTACTTCAATAATGAAATTATCCAATTTTAAATCATTGACATAATATTTTTCTTCAATAGCTCTGACGTGATCACATTCTTTCTTCCATATGTCAGGTGTGATGCCATCAAAAGCTTCTTCCGTCAGGTGAACAATATTTTTTAATTCTTGCCCCACATTTTTTTCGGCCACCCGTTTCTTCATGACACTCTAAATCATTTCGATCGGGTTAAGATCGCAGTGGTAAGGCGGTAACCTTAACGATTTGTTGCCATGTAATGTTAAATAGGAATCCACTTCATAAATAGGTTCTTCTTTGTGCTCTTTAATAATTTCATAAAGTTCACATTTAAGCATGTTTGGCAAATATGCAAGTCCCTTATTGGTAATCCACTGTTGCATTTCCGCTTTACTATTTGCCATTGTTGGCGACTTGTTAGTTTTGACGCTATGATACGGCGCGTTATCCATTACTACTAAACTTTGCGGAGGGAGATTAGGTACAAGTTTTTCTTTCAACCACTTCATGAAATTTGTTTGGTTCATATCATTGTGGTAATCACCGGATTTTGTTTGTGACCTAAAAATCAACCTAGCGTTGGGCACGAAACCATTTTCCCCTCCAACATGCACTATTATCCAGAGAGCTCCCTTTGCATCGGAAGATAGAACTCCTTCTTCATATTCACTTTTCCAGCATTTGGTCACACCGTACGAAGCATGGATGTAAGTTTCGTCCAGGTAAATGACAGTTCGAGGAGCAGCAGCACTACGATTCACTCGCATCTGTGTTAGATATTTAGCTCGTCAAGCTATTATGTCTGGCCTCTCCATTAAAATTTTTCTCTTGCTTGTGCATTTTTGAAAGCGAAAACCAATTGATTGCATGATTCTCCACAGACTTGTGCGGCTTCCATTGAAATTGATATCGACCTTCAAATCATTCAATAGTTTTGTCAGGGTCTGAACTTCTTTTCGAACAGCATAAAATTCATGAACTTTATGACGTATAACACATAGGTCAAAGTCATCCAATTTAACTCTTTTCGTGTGGGCGTGATTTTCCCGGAGTTGAAATTTTCGTGGATGTACTTGCGGCAACTGCACCGTCTTGACTTATTTTTGTCACCGTCTTTTCTGATATACCTAAAAATAAAATAAAATAAGGTTCAAACCTAATGCATCATTTCCAATGTAAGGAAATTATTAAAATAATACTTAGTAGTAAACTAAGTATTACTTATTAAATAATTTTATATACGTATGAGACAGGACCAAATTTTTGACGTAATTGCACAACGGAAATCACAACGGAAAAAAATGTAGCACAATAGAGTTATTAGGGTGTGTGTAAATAGTCGTAAGATTTTAGGTAGGTAAGTGGAATAAATAAAAAAATCACGTTATATTTCGAGAAATATTTAATAAAGTAGTACGAAACAAAATAAATGAAATAACAAAACCTAATAGTCCTAATAATATCATAAAACCTAAATTTATAACTTAACAAAACAACTTAATCTTTACTAATAAACTTATCAGTCATTGGTTTACATAATATTGCTTTAATTAATAATATTCACCGTACCTAGCAAACTAAAAAATATGATTTTTGTAGATATCGTAAAGGTTAAAAAATTGCTACTGTCAATGAGATAATAAATTATTTGAAAATAAATCAAATTTAGAAAATAAAATGATAGCTAATCAAAATAAACTTCGTCAAAATCATCTAACAAATAGTAATCTTTGGAATATTGCCATAGTCTTGCTTTTTTTACAAGCGAATCGCTTGTAATAATGTCTAGATCAACTTTTTTTGGCAAAAAGAATTTTAGTTTTGGGGATTTTACAGTCTTTAGAAAGGAGACCGTAAATAATGTTTTACCATCTTCATTATGAATTTTCTGAACATATCCTATATAGTACTTGTTTTTCTTATGTAGTATCTAACTAAAACAACGTCATTTACTAAAAAAATAATTATTTTCCACATTAGCTTCTTGATTTATCGCGGAATTAACTCCAGAACTAGAACAGGACGGAATAGGATTTAAATATATATTTTCATGATTTTCTTTCTCCAATTGACTATTAGATGATGTTTTTTTCCTAAACTTATATTACAGTTTAAACCTATTTCTTTGAGCTTTCCACATGTTTTAAAATCAAAATACCTACTGTTTTCAGGTATTCTTTACATCGGCGAGAATTTTCACTAAACTGTTTTCTTTCTTTTTCCCTTTACTTCCTGATCCTTTTTGCATGTCACTATCTAATTCTATCTGTAACTCTCTTCCTTCGTCTTTGTTTATTTTTAATATTAGGGGAAGGCCGGGCAAAGTGGATACCTTAAGGTATGTAAGGTTATAGCAGAAAATGTATACAATACAAAAACAAAATAATTATCACAAATCAGTCTTTATTTATTGCTCTTACAAATACGAACATCAGTTACCATTAATATTTAAACAATAATCAACTGCAATTAAAATTTTAAATTTACTTGGGCAAAGTGAAAACCCATATTCAATCTCTGAAAACATAGTATAGTAGTAACAAACTTTGATAAACTACATAAAAAAACTTTAGTCGACCATAAAATTAGAAAATTAAGATTGGCAATTGTCACAGGTATACCCTTGAGTGCCAACAAAAGCAGAACAATCTTCGTGACACCATTGTTGACAAATGTCACATTGAATCCAATTTTCAATTGGTTTACCGTCTTCTTCTATATATATTTCACCGCAAAAAAGCATAAAATATCCTTAAATTCTTTTATTTTCTTTGGCTGTTTAACCTTCTTAGCAGTTAATACTTTCTTAGATTTACGCGAATGTTTGACATTGTTAAATAAAACTATCTTTTCGGATTATTTCGCGGATTTATTTTGATTTTTGGTTCCCGACGTTTCGAATGCTTTACAGCATCCATGGTCACGGGAGAGACTGAGGTGTTACATGTCTTAAAGATATAGTTTCTTTAAAATTTTAAATAATTTAATAGTTTTTAATAGTTAAAATTGTAAAGCATTCGAAACGTCGGGAACCAAAAATCAAAATAAATCCGCGAAATAATCCGAAAAGATAGTTTTATTTAACTTCTTAGCAGTTTTTTTGTCTTTGTCAGTTTTTGTATTAGTCTTCTTAGGAACATTTTTTGACTTATCATTCAGTCTTTTAGTAACATTCTTAACTTTATTTTTCTCATATTTCTGCTTTTGATCTTCCTTGATCGGCGTACTGGTTAATATTTCCGATTTTTGTAATTTTCGTTTACGCGTGGTCATGGTTTGCTTTTCCGAAGTACCTTTCGCAAGATGCTAATGCGTCGTATTCTTTTTCGATGAGTTCTACATATCCGACAGCGTCGGCTGGAGCCTCTTTTATGCCTTCTGAGACAGTAAGGCCATGGTCGCCCTCACGCACGAAGGAGTCTAGCCAGAGTGGGTCGTTAGTCAGTGGAGTCGATGTGGTTGACGGTTTGGCTGGTGTGGGAAATTCCTTACTTTTGAAGTGCGGTCGTGGACGCGGAAAAGGCTTCTTAGCCCTGGTCGGAGGTGGTAGACCTGTCGCATTCGTAGCATTTGCTGAAGTGCTTGGAGTTGCCATCATGGCGAGCCTCTTTATCACCGTAGTACTAAAATGGTTTGGCAGGATTTGGAATAGGTCTTAACACCAAGGGACTGCAGTGGGAGGCTGAGCATCCTGGTTTCGGATCAGGTGAGTTGTCACGGCTAGTATTTTGTCGAAAATTTGCTTCAGTCTCTGGCACCACTGTGTCACTTCTCTGAGCAGCTATATCTGGTCCAAAAGCGGAGACAATTCGTGAACATCCAGGTTCTGGTTCAGGTGTACATCCGTCGCTACGAATCTTTTCAGGCGTGTTAACAATGGGCGCAACAAAGTCTTGAAACTCACAAGAGGGGGTTCTGTTTCGAGATGGAAATATTTCTGATAGAGGATCTACTGAATTTGATGGAATCTGTTCTTGAAGAATTGAAGGCGAAGGAGTTGAAGAAGTTTCTGCAAAAGGTCTGGGAATATCGATCGTTTAATGAGTGAATTTGTACTTTATGTGCCAATATTCATATTAGACGTGCCTGCAATCGCAGCGGCTGGTTCGTAATCTTCGTCACCAAAAGCATATTTATTCACTGGCCAAATACCAGGTTTTTCAAATCCATGAACTGCATTTTGAGCTACTGCACTTTTCAGAAAAGCTGGTGATAAAAGTCTGGCTACATCGTATTGATTTATAATGCGTCCTGGGTGCGATTTTTGGAAGAAATTTACCTCCCTTTCAAAGTAAGTTTTCAGTGGGCCGTAAACCGCTACATCCATGGGCTGCATTTTATGTGTTGTGTGTGGGGCCAAGGATAAAATTACGACATTGTTCTTGCTGGCGTAATCCAAAGCTGGATATTACTTATGGCTCTCGTGGTTATCCAGTAATAGAAGTATTTTTTTTCAGGGGTTGGTCGAACATGTTCCACAAAAAATGCATCCAATCAAAGAACACCTCTCCTGAAGTCCAACCATTTGGAGTACAGGTTCCTTGAGTGCCGGGAGGCGCCCCATCTAGTAGTCTGGGTTGCATCTTTTTTCTGGCAAATATTAAGATTGGTGGGAGAAATGAACCAGCGGCATTACAACAACCTATGATAGTAGTTAATTGACCACGTTCTGCACTGGCGATTATGCCCACTTGTTTCTTTCCTTTCGTTGATAGCACTTTAGGCGGCTTATTTGTGGTTCTAGATATACCAGTTTCATCCATGTTGTATAATCTAGATGCATCAATATCATATTTTACTGTTAAAGCTTCAAGATTTTCATAAAAACGTCTAACTTCATGTCTGTTAAATCCTTTTGCCCTTGCAACCGATGTTACCTCTGGAGTCCTGAGGGATATTTGATCATGACGAGACAAAAATGACGATAGCCAATCATCTCCAGCTTTTTCGTACTTGTCCCAGCTATTCGGGTAGTTCAAATTATTTTTCTTGGCGTAGATGAACGCTAAATTTTTGAATTCATCTCGAGTCAAGCAAAAAAATGCAGAATCCATATTTTTGAGATATGTCACTAACTCTATTTCCTGATCTTCAGTGTAAACAGGACGGAATCGACCAAGTTTTGAAGCAGCGATGCCGGTTTTTACATGCCTATATAAGGTTGCATAAGCCAAACCATACTTTTTAGTTGCGCTTATTATTGATTCTCCAGCTTTGCACAAATTAATAGCCGTTTGCATAGCATTTTCATCCCAAATCCCTTGCTTAGTTTTTTTTTATATATTTATTCACCATCTGAAACAAAAGACATTAAAATAAAACAAATAAATATTATTTTTTTTTGGATAATAAGTCACCAATGAGAAATGGCGGGCAAAGTGGATACCATATCTACTTTGCCCTATTCACTTTGCCCGACTAGGTAAGTTTTGAGGTTAACACATTTCATACAAAAACTAAGAGTTCTGACTTTCTGTTAAATATACTATTGAAACCTACTTTGATATGCTACCGAATTAAGACATTCCTAAAAATCAAGAACTAATAATACAGGAGAATTGATCAATGTACTTACCGCGTAAAATCAATTTTTTATTTACGAAAACACAAATCTCCACTCCGCGGAAAGGACGCGACGCGGCCCCTCGCTTCGATGTTTGCCGCGTACTAAACCAAGATGGCCGAACGTAACAGTGGTGGCGTGTTTAATGAAAAACTAATAATTTAGGAGTAGTGGGGAGTATTCGCTTTGCCCAGGCTTCCCCTACATTTTCCGTTGTCGAGTGGTTTACAATTGCTGGTTCAGTCTTATTCTGTATTTTTTTATTCAGATAACATTCTTTTCTCCGTTTTTTCTCTGCAGGTTTCCTATTTTTTTAGATCATTATCATCAAAATATTCATCTTCTATCCAATCAGATTGATCGCTTTCGACATACTCGATCTCCGTATCCGTACCTTCGGAAGATGAATCTAAATGTATTTTTTTTTCTTTAATCTACGAACTGTTAGTTGTTTATCATTATTTTCCTTTTTAAGTATGTGAATTTTAGTAGAAAAACAATCGCAAAAACCTCGCGAGCAGAAGCAGCTTAGAGGTCTGTATTTAACGGTATTTTTATTTTCAGTGACTATGACTTGGTGAATTGTCATTGTGGATGGTATTGGTAAAATTGTTGCTGGATTAGATATTTTAATATTTTCTATATCTTCGTAAGAAACATAAAATGTCTTGACTGATATTTCTGATTCTAATATTATTTCAAATACAGACTTCGCATCAACAATATCTTTACCATAGGCAACTCTTGCATCTAATGTTCTTTTCACCACTCCACCAACGCCATCGGCTGCACCTTTGCCATGAGATGCCTCGAAGAAGGACCAGGTCGCTTGATGGAATCCTTCATTTTGCGTTATTTCACAAAACAGAAAAAAGTTGTATTTTTGACGATATTGCGATGAGGGTCCATCAGACCAAAAGTGGATGCGGCGAATCGTGGGAAGTTTTTCTTTAATAAAATCTATGACTGGTTTTAAATGGCCCCATATAGCATCGGGACCATGCTTGAGTGATTTTATAATATTAAAATGCAATAATATTAGAAGTAATATACTCGTAGAACAATAGTTTTTTTTAATAATATTATTACTAAGCGAGTAGTGGGTATGTCGTTTATATATTTGTTTTTAATCATAGGTATATATTAAAATCTAGCTTTTGCGTTTATTTCAAGTTTGTTAGCTTTAGAACTACCTTCACCTTTAGTTTATAAAATGCAGAATCGAGATTGGCGCGTTCGAAAAAACATTTTAGTCTTATACAAATTAAAAAAAAAAAACAAATTTCAGTAAAAAATGAAAATAATAAAATATTTTTCTTAAATGCTTAAGAAATCAATATCAAAATGTACATAGTAATTGTAAAAATGTTGCGTGAAAAGAAAAAAACTATTTTTTAGTAAACCACAAACGAAACGGCTAAGAATACTCAAAAATAAAATGTCTAAATACATAGTTTGGTACTTACGTATTAACGCTACCGCTGTAGATTGACGACACTTAAAACCCGCCAAAACTGTAGCTGCGGATACCTTCATCTTATCAAAACAGTTTTGATAAATATGCTTGTCAGTAAGTTTTTTTAGTCTTTTTATGGTCATCTACTTTAATACAACATATGAACATAATCCCATTGAGCACGCTTACTGTCAAGGAGCAAATACTTTTTTGTGGAAAAATTTCAGTAAATGAGGTACATCATACATATGGGATTTTGTTCCCATTAGCTTCATAATGGATAGCACTTGATGTATCATTGACACCACGAAGTATATTTACCTTAGTATCAGAAATTAATGAATTTATTACAGCTACATTGGCTGAACCCTGATCATATATAGTTACTCTAGGAATAAACCCTGTTTTAAAAATAGCTTTAAAAATTTCTTTAAGTATACGTTTTATAAAGTATTATAAGACGGTATTAATTACCGTCTCTTACAAAATAAAATACAAAGGGTATTTCTAAGGCGAAAATAACCCATGTAGCATAAAATCTATAACTTTATCAGCAACATTATCACTACGTTCCCCAGCTTCTATATCTACAAACCCTTCAATAACCCCTGAATGAAAATTAAAAAATATGTTTATTTTTAGCGATATCTGTCAAGTGTTTGTGTACAATCCTTGTCGCAGGGGAATATTAATTTTCGCTGTGCGCTGTGTAATACTAAGATCTTTAACTGCGTTTGCAAGACTAGCGAAACCTGGATGTAATATTTTATTAAAGTCTTCAGCTATTGCATCCATGGTAGCAGCATTTTTGCGCTCACGGTATGCTTCTGCGCGCTGCTTATCTCTATTGCTCAATTTATTGCCTTTACCTTGATTGGTGGTGTTCTTCTGTCTGTCTTCTCTATCAAACTCAATGGGGGGACGTTCTGCCCGGTATTCATTATAAGGTTGGCGTCCAAAGCCACCTCTTCCACGGTTATTTCTTCCTCGATTCATGATCTGTATCGTAGACCGTACGTTTCCAGGAATGCCTAGAAAGTCGCAAAAAATACGCACAGGGAGGTAGCCCTCTTCGGGGGGCGGTGTACCATGCGGGTTGCTCCTGGTACTTCTCTGATAGCAGAGTGGATTGTGGAGCAACCCCATGGTTGTGGTGGTCTGCTTTGGCAGACCTGCCGTCGGGGCGTCGTAGTTGAATGCGTGAGCGATCCTGCGACGCCCCATTAAGACGGGGGAAGGTTTTGTTGGGTTTTAGTGGGTAGTACTGGCTGTATTACGCCGGTGAGTCCCACACGTCGTGCGTAAATGCATTTCCCAACGTTAAAAAAAAAAAAGGGGAATATTAATTAATATAGAGTTTATAGTAGATTTGACTGGCAAATTTAGATGATTGTGTAGAAATCTATAAGTCTTAGGACTTACTTTATATAAAGATAAAGCGAAGATTTTTTCATTAGTGTATTTTCTTGCCTTGGGAACTACTCCAGCTAATCGTTATTGGGAATCTATAACAACTTTTCCATAACTATTTAATAATGGATACGTTTTCATCATGGCTTGAACCTCAATACAAGTAATTAGTGATTTAGCTTTCTTTAACTTATCCGTTACAGATTGTAATTGAGACTTTAATACTCTATCAGCTTGGCGGAACTTTAACTTTTCAACATCATCAAATTTATTTGCATGAAATCTTTGAAATAAGTGAAATTCACTATGAAACTTAGATTTTTTTACCCTATAACACCTGCAGGTGTTTAGAAGATTTGAAGTCTTAACACAAATAGATTGCTTGTCAGAAACATTTGAAATGTTTGCACATTTAATGTTTGTTTCATTCGTTATAAATGTGGATTCTACATTTTAAATAGATGAAACACGTTGAATTAGTACTTCAGAAGGAATGGTTGAGTCATATGTAATATTATTTGGACTCTGGTAGTGTTGAACTTTAATAACTTATACAGGTGGCTCTAAAGAATTTGGGACTTTACTGACGTCTGTAAGAGGTGAAACACATAGAACATATATTTTCTCTTATTCGCAGAAGAGGAAAAATAAGACACACAAAGAAATTGTTGATTCGAACTTTGCGATTGATCAAGATTAATAAATGAGTGGGCGGGTGTTTCTAAAGATAATGTTTGATATTAACGCCTTTAGTGATAATTCTATCTGGGTTATGTAGTTTGGCATCCGACAGTGACATTTTTTTTTCCGTTGAGAAATTTCATATATTTTTTATCTTGACAGATTGTGGGAGAATAAAAACTGGTTTGTTTACAAGAAAGCAAAATCTAAGGGGGAGATATACTAGCGTTGTTTGAGTAAGGGTTAAACGGACGTCAGATAAAATCTTGACTCAATCACGAAAATATATTCAACTTATTATATAAATATATTCAACTCCATATTAGAAATAAGCACTTTTGACAGGGACTTTTAGCTGTTTTGTTCCGTATATGTTGGAAATAAACCATTTTAATTTTATTTTACCTTTTTACTTTATTTTGAAACAAAAACATTATAATCAACGAAGATGATTATAATACGTGGTTAAAGAAAATTTAATAGACAATGAAAACTTTTCCAAAACTGAAAATCGCCTACGGTGTCTACGGTGCCTAATACATCTACCCAATTTTTTTCGTGAATATCTAGCCATTATTCAAAAAGTTATCATGTTCTAGCTAAAGATAGGTTGACCGTACCTAAGGATCTAAATATGTAATTAATTCTTGATTGTTGTAAGTCCAAACTTAGTAATATTTATAAATACGATAAGGTGAATCAGTGATATCCTTAATAAATAAGTCCTTTTTAGGGTTCCATACCCAAAGGGTAAAATAGGACCCTATTACTAAGACTCTGCTGTCCGTCCGTCTGTCTGTCATCTGGCTGTATCTCATGAACCGTGAAAGTTAGACAGTTGAAATTTTCACATATGATGTATTTCTGTTGCCCCTATAACAACAAATACTAAAAAACAGAATAAAATAAATATTTAAGGGGGTTCCCATACAACAAAGGTAGACGCTTGAAATATTCACAGAATATTTAGTTACCTAGACGTATATTCACTTTAAAAATAAATAATTAATTTAAAATAAAACAAATATATAAGGGGGACTCCCATACAACAAACGTGATTTTTTTGCGGTTTTTATAGATGATAGAAATGGTAGCTTTGTCATTTTTATTTTATATTCGTTTCGATTTTTAGATCAACTACGCAATGAAACTGAAAATCGAGAAAAAATAACGAATCGTTATAGTTTACGAGGTAAGTGTGTTAATAAATAAAATAATAATATTTTATGTATATGTTATAGTCAAAGTCCGATACACAGTCTCTTCGCGGAAGGACTGGTTTATCCTAGGTTTGGCCAAAGCCATCAGGCAATCCCCGAAATACATTTCAATTTCGCCCTTTGCCTGAAGTATTTTTAGTCAAACCCAGGAGCTCATAACTTTTCAGTCAAACGTCGAAAGTAAATTATTCTGTTTCGGTTTTGGCCTAGTCAATCCTAGAAGTGACTGCAAAACTCGGTCAAACGTTGATCTGAACATGTTTAAACAGGTTCATAATGTCTCTCGCGGTGTTCCGACCGATTGTTTTGTCATTTCATGTTCGTTCATTGAGCGTGCGGGCGTGTAATTGTGTAAAATTGAAGATGAGTGAATCAAACGGTGTTGTTGTTACTAAAAACGTGGATAAAGAAGCTTTAAAAGTAAAGTTTAAAGAGAAAATTTCTAATTTGAATAAAAATAAGTGTTCATTTCACATAAAAAACGAACAGTTGTATGAGCAGATTATCAGTGAGGTAGAATCCGCTAAAGTAGCTAAAAAGAAAACGTCTTTGCAGTATCGCCGTCTCAAACGCTACGACGTTGTTTTGGGGACGAAAAAAAAATTGATTAAGCCATTGTCAGATACAAAAAATATAATCTTTTCTTCCGTCTTACTGAGTGCAAGAGAAACTTTCTCAAATAAATCCACGTTATATTGAAAGCGTGGAAATTTTGTCGGAAACGCGTCTTCCATTATATTTGCGCTTTCCAGGAATGCTAGCTGGTCATTGGTCAACGTGGCGGCTCTCGCCCATCCTAGACAGTTTCGAGTTGGTGTACCTGCGCCTTCTTCAACTGGTCTCAGTGTGGTGGGTAGGTTCCACTCTCTAACGCCCGGTGTCGTTGTGATCCGTAAGTCCTCTTGTATGCGTTGTTTGCACACTACGGGACATGGCATTGCCATGTATTTCCAGTGTGTAGTTGGTCCTACACGTCCGAAGTCACCCTGTTCATTTGGCCATACTGGCACTCGTAACTAGTACCTGATAGAAGTACTATCAATTACGTGTCCTAAGGCTTTAATGTAAGCCTCAATGGGTGCTGGGAGCTGGTGGTTCCCGGAAAGAACTTGACCTGCAAATGTGTCCTCGTCATATGTCGAGTCCCCATCTTCCTGTTTCAGTGTAATCAGGCGGGCATATAAGCCCATAACACAATAGTAAACCCATGCCGACTTAGGGACTGACTTAGCGAAGTATGGCTGTTGAGTTGCGATAATATCATATTCTTTCTCGCACAGTGGTATATAACCTTCTGTGGTAACAGCGAATTCGTTAGTCCTGCGGTAGGGAGCTACGCCTGGAAAACCCATCATGTCTATGTCCGAAAACATAGGTTCATTCTTTGGTTTTGTTGCTACAGTAGACAATCTAGTCGGCTTCGGTCCCGTTGCGTTTGGATCGCGTGGGGGAAGCGGAGGGGCGGCAGTGTTCTCAGACCCTTTCGAGCCTTTCTTAAAGACTTTCGTCTTTTGTCTGCGTGGTGGCCCTTTAGACATAGGTGTCTCCTCATCCTTAATTGGCGGTTGTGTCTCCATCTTACAATGTAATTTTGCCTCCGCGGCGAGTCACCAAATTTACAAGTAAATTTGGGATGGGAAAATATATATATATATATATATATATATATATATATATATATATATATATATATATTAGAGCTACAATGGACCAAAACTGGTCGACGTAGCTAGGGCCGACCTCGGCACCACACCCAACACAATAATAATAAATACAAAAAATATACAATACTACGTTACGGATGACGAGTTATTCGATGTGATTGAATGTGCTCATCAGGAATGTGGTCATGGTGGTAGAGATCTCACATTGAAAGCTTTAAATAAAAAGTATGCAAATGTCACAAAAGAGTGCGTAAACTATTACTTGGATTTATGTGAAACGTGTCACAAGAAAAAGAGTCAGCCTAAAAAGGGACTCGTCGTTAAACCGTTATTATTTAAAGAGACTCACGCACGGGGACAAGTGGATCTTGTAGACATGCAGACGTGTCCTGACCGTGATTACAAGTATATTTTAAACTACCAAGATCATTTGACAAAATTTGTGATTCTTCGTCCCCTACACACAAAAACAGCACAGGAAGTAGCGCACAATCTCCTTGATATATTTTGTACTATAGGTGCGCCTTCTGTGCTTCAATCAGACAACGGACGAGAATTCGCCAACCGTGTCGTAGAAGAGTTAAAAGTAATGTGGCCCGAATTGTCCATAGTGCATGGCAAACCACGTCATTCTCAAAGTCAGGGAAGCGTGGAGCGTGCAAATCAGCATGTACAGCAAATATTGTTCGCATGGATGGAAGATAATAAAACTAATCGTTGGAGTGAGGGCCTCCGATTCTGTCAACTGAAGAAAAATTGCGCATACCATCATGGCATAAAACAATCGCCATTTGAAGTGATGTTTGGTAAGTATATTAGGGCGCGTTCTGATGACCCGCGCCCGCTTCGCGCTCGCCCAGCGTATCAGCACCCGCGTTTAAGCCCCTTTGTGTTGTATGTAATTTGAGTCTTATGACACTTCAATTAGATCTCAAATTGAATTTATCGAAGTCCACCCGCGCCCGCCCCGCGCTTGACCCGCGCCTGTGCGCGGGGCTGCCGCGGGGCGAGCGCGCGTACAGTACAACGCGTGTGCGGGTTCTGCGCGGGTACGATACGACGCGGGTCAAAAATCTGAACATGCCCTTAGGGCGTGTTTAGATGACCCGCGCCAACCACGCACAGGACCCGCATACGCGCTTTGCCCGCCTAACACCTCGCGCTCGCCACGCGCAAAGTCAGCGCACGCCTCACGCCCGCATATACAACTAGTGCGGTGACTTATACTAGCGGCACGCTATGATGGCCGGTTTGACACATTACAATAGTGATGTGGAATGTCAATTTATTCTCGAACAAAAAACAATTAAGTTTTGTTTTTGTACCTGATTAAATAGGTTTAATAAAACAAAAATGTATATGTTTATTTAATTTATTTGAACGAACTGAATATTTGAACGAAAATGAATATACATACTTTATATGCACACAAGAAACATATGAATACAAAAGATACCAAAAAAGGTGCCACAAAAGGCCATAATTAATCAGATTCGTCCATACTACTATTTTCACTGTCGTCACTGCTATCATCACATACATTAATAATTATATGTTCGTTTTCTATAATATTATCTATTTTCACATCTCTTTCATAATCTTCCCTTATTAATTTAACAGTTCTATTCACAACCTTTTCCCAGTCTCCTTTAGTCACATGTTCACAAGCTTCTTCTAATAATTTTAGCATTTTTTTTGTGGTAAATGGGGGTTCTGTATTGTGTCTTGCAGCATATCCCTTAATTTGAGCCCACACCAACTCAATCGCATTATACTCACAATGGTAAGGCGGTAACCGTATAACTCTGTGCCCATGTTCTAATGCTATTTCGTCAATGACGTATCGGATCTTGGTTGGTTTGTTTTCTTTTAAAAGACGTACTAATTCCGCTTTTAACATATTCATGTTTGCATCTACGCCATTTTTACGAAGCCATGCGACGATATCAGCTTTCTTTTGGGATTGGGCAGGTGGCTTGTCAATTTGCATCGAGTGGTATGGGGCGTTGTCCATAATTATAATAGATGGTTCAGGGAGGCTACACAACATTGAGGTAAACCATTCAGTAAACTTTTCTCCATTCATGTCTTCATGATAGTCTCCAGTGGTTTTTGACGCAAAAGCCATGAGAGAACCTTCGACAAACCCGTTGATGGTTCCGGCGTGACAAATTATAAGTCGCGATCCTTTTCCTACAGGAACTTTGGAAGTAGATGCTGCTGTGTCATCGTTCCAAGAACGGCCTACAGTATGGTTAGCATTAAGCCATGTTTCATCCAAGAACACAACATTTTGCCAATTTTTGATTTCTTTCACTTGCCGTAAAAAAGTATACCTTGCCATCGCTATATCAAATCTTTCCATCAATATTTTGCGTTTGTTACATTTTTTGTATCGAAATCCAATGGTCTTCAAAATCTTCGTTAAAGAACTTTCCCCACCGAAGAATAATCCAGCTTCCTTCAGTGAATGCACCAACTTTTTTCTTGTTGGATACTCCTTCTGTAAATAGTAGCCGTAAACATGTCTTCGGATAGCATCGGCATCAAAGCTATCGATGCCTACGACTGGTTTTGCTCGTTTTCTCTTTTTTGGTGTGTGAAGTTTATTTTCTTCTGTGCCAGTCTCGCCATATTTTTTTTTAGTTATCCGTCTAACAGTTCGTTGTCCAATATTAAGCGCATCAGCTACGCGTTCAACCACTGACGTTATAGGTAAAATTGGCCCTCCATTTTGAGCTTCACGATCGAAATAGTTACGAAGGCGTATTACGAACTCACGTGTCTGACTATTTAGAACAGTTCTCTGCGTACGTTCGGTCATATCGACGAAATCCACAACAAAGGGCTTGAACAGAGTCCAAATTAACGAGCAAGGGTCAACAGTAATGCAGTATCAATATTTGAAATCCAAAGCCAGGTCAAAACTATATCACAATCGCATTGCACTGACAGTTTATACTTTTCGAAGCAACGTCAATTCGAAACTGCTTTGTTTTGCATTGAGCATTGACGCGAGTTTGCCGGAGGTAGTAGTTGTGCTAGCCAGCGATCCTATGTGACGATCGTATTAGATTCCATTTTTAAAAATTTATTGATATTTTTTTGCGATTTCAGAGGTTTGTCCACATAGTGAAAATTGTTCATATTCACAAGTACATTCACCCCTTAAATGGTGCAAACTGATTTTTCTACACTTGTATACATTTAAGAAATCAATTTAATAAATAAATTTTGAGTCCTAAACCTAAAACTACATTCGATAAAATTTATGAATCTCTGCACATCACTATCGTCAATAAAGTAATACAATTATTTCCTTCAAAGTCGTTATCAATTAATACGGAACTTCATGAGAAACTACATTCGATAAAATTTATGAATCTCTGCACATCACTATCGTCAATAAAGTAATACAATTATTTCCTTCAAAGTCGTTATCAATTAATACGGAACTTCATGAGCGGACAAACGTCAAACCGGCCATCATAGCGTGCCGCTAGTGTAGGTGGCTTCCAGATGTCACAACGTGAGCACGTGTGTAAAAAAATGGATTCGACTAAGTTAAAAAAAGTTATAATTGCATACTATATGTATAAACAATGGAAGAAAGAAAAAGACAGTGAAAAGATATATTCTAGAAGAACATATTGGGTTCATCCTATATTAACCCGCAGAGAGAAGCATGGCCAATTTCATGTCCTTTTTGCACAATTACGCAATTATGACGACGAATTTTATAAATATCTCCGAATGACTAAAAGGACATTTGATAAATTACTAGGCGTTTTAAATAAGAAACTGGAGCATCAAGACACAAATATGCGGGATAGTATTTCTTCTGCCGAAGTTCTCAAGACCTCAAAGTTATGACCAGACCAGAAGACCTCAAAGTTATGACCAGTCTGGTCATAACTTTGAGGTAAGTAAAATTTGAGGTGAGTATCAGTTCGAAATACCATCGCACACACAATCTTTTTTAATTACGAAATGGTTTTATATATATATCGGCGCGAACCACAATTAGAAAAGGAAAACAAATGATAATAATAATAATTAATAGTTTAATAAAATTAGGAAAATATATCATTTACGTACATATATTGTTTTATAAAGAGAAATTCTTATAATAATGCAGTTAATAATTAAAAAAATGTATTAATTTAATTTTTTGCTAGTAGATTTATTATAGTTCAATAATGATTATCACAAAAATAAAGCATTAAGCACATGTCCTTTTTAAATAAGTTATTTCAAATTATAGCACTATGACTCCCCTTTTGAACGTGACCATACATATTTAAAACATGTTACGTTAATAAAATGCAATAATTATCTTAAATCACAGCGGTAGGAATCGCACTAGACAAATAATAATAATTTAAAAAATTAATTCAGCGCTGCAAAGTCGACGTCGTCACTCGCACAGGATGGACTTGTCCTAATTTGAGTGTAAGAGTCAAATTCTAGTTCGCTGGAGAAGGTGTTGAATATTCCACAATCCCAGGTAGGAATATTTCACTATAAAAGAAAATATCCTATATACATATAACTTTACTGTCTTTGATAGTACTCGGCTTAAAAGTTACTGCTATGTTTGACACTACGCAATCGCAAAAAGAGGAGCGATAGAAGTTGGCAGCTGTTTGTGGCAATTTCTCTTAGGTGAAGCTGAAAGAGGCATCAAAAATATTTCTTTTTACTCTGACGGTTGCGGAGGCCAGAATAAAAATAGATTTACATTTGCTTTTTATATGTTTACTGCTCAGAAACTTGAAATAAATATTGTACACCGATTTTTTGAAGCCGGTCATGGTCAGATCGAAGGTGATTCCATGCATTCTAATATTGAACGTGAATTAAAGCATAGAGTTGTATACACTCCTGAACAAATGTACGCAATGATTATGAATGCAAAAGTTAATGGTGAGAAGTACTATGTGAAAGAAATGGCACAGAATGAGTTTATGGATATAAAAGAACTGATTAAAAACAAGAACTGGGTCAAAGATGAGGAAGGAAAGAAAATATCATGGTCTAAAGTAATGGAAGTAAGCGTCTTACATTCACAGCCAACAATACTACACTTCAAATATGAATTTGATGCCGATTCTGCTCGGGTGAATGTCGAGCCGCATCAAACTGTCACGGCAAGAAACAAGCGAGACACTAGACTAACCGCAAACAAAACTTCAGCTTCTTTTAGTGAACCCCAATTGAAACTTGCATATAACAAATCTCTACCAGTAAGCAAGGCTTTACACACCGATCTTATGAGTCTTTGTAGGGCAGAAGCCATCCCGACTTATTACCATGGCTTTTACAATTCTCTTACTTTTATAAATAGTCCTGATGACCATTTACATGATAATTATGATGAAGATGAAGAAGATTAATTTTTTAAAGAGACAATAGTGATTAGTTACTTCAATATTGTTTTTTTTTATAATGATTACAAAAAAGATCGGGAGGACTAGTGTTTAACCCTAGAACCTAATGTCTGGTAAACTAACTATAATGTCTGGTAAATTTGATGAATACAGCGGATTTTTTATCCAATCCTCATTCGCAGTCATATGCAAACTGGCTCCGGAATCCACGTACCAATGACTTTATTGAAATTTCCGCTAAGAAAAACAACGTAGAAAGCGTTAGTCTAAATTTTTCTTCTTATTTGCTTTCTTATCTGCGATTTCGTGTAAAAGTGGACACTGGAACTGGGCCCATAACCTAATAAAACACGTTGAGAACGTTGACAAAATTGGCTTTTAATTTTTGTATATTACCATAGATTACAAATTTATAATCTAAATGATAGATTAAACAAATCATAGACTATAATATATATTGATATCCAATATTAACACTTTGACAAAAGAAAAATGAACTAAACTTAGCACTATAACTAAAGCATTAGCATTTGGCATTGTCCGCCACAGCGGACATAGAAATACAGTACTAAATCTCTATGAAATGAGTAATGTCCGCTGTGACCGAGAAAGCATTTTAGCAACAAAAAACAGCATGAAAATGAAAAGGAGCGTATTTGTTTTTAGGTTAGATTTAATCATTGGATTATTTTTTAATAACCAAGTTTAGGTTTTAAAGCATTTATTAGGCAAAAACACAAAAAAATATATAAATACCTTGAGAAAAACAGATAGGTGGTCGCCTTCTTGCCGACATTTTGTGTCACGACTAATAATGCAGTGCTGCCACACTCAAAAAATATTTTCTGCTATTAGTTCATGAAATAAAGAAATGTTTAGTAGATTTTAAGTTGTTGAAAATTTAGCAAAAAGATTAACAGGATTTTTTTAAAGTGAATGTCCGTCACAACGGACTTTATACACGAATATTTGTATTCAGTCATGGATGTTTATATTTATACTATGTATATATTTAAAGTTATATATATGTAGTATATCAACTATCTGGTATCCAAACTAGCCACATAGTTAGCATGTAACTAGATGGTGATGTGTGTTAATGTCCCAACATATTTATATTTATTAATTTATTTATTACATACAGAAAATATGTATAATATAAAATATCAGCATTTAAAGAAAAAAAAAACGACAACGAAATCGACAGGAACTTTTTGACTTTTCTTAAATATTAAATAATGATACAAGATTGTTATTAATTAACTCCTCCAGGTAAATTTCTAAGAAGTTAAAAAAAATCTAAGAAATCTATTGTTAACTGACACGCCGCGGCGTGTCTGCGGTCGTGGAGGCATTAAGGTCATTACAAATTCTTTTACTTGAATATTGATTATTATTTATAACGGAACATTAAGTGAGTGGAACATTTTGATTTACTACTAAGCAATAATAATAAGAAAATACGTATTTTTTAAAGCTCGTATGTAATAAACATAGGACATTACATATTATACATATTTCAATAGTTAATTACCGGAACATTTTATTACTTTCAAATGTAAAATTTTAATATTAAAAATTCAATCATGCGTCAGTCGTTTTTGCCAATTTTCATTTATTTGTTCTTTTGTCAATGTAAGAAGTTTCGTATTATATAAAAATAATTATTTATCATACAATAATATAGTATTTGAAAAACGTTTTTTACAGTTATATTTTTTACTCGGCAAGTTAGTTTTCCAACTCAAGATAATGATTCATTTGTTGGAGTTCTTGAAAAAAATGCTGGAAAAGAAATTAAAAGAAGATCGTTTACAGTCTCCATTAAAACTCTAAGAGCTCTAAGAAGTGGGTTTTCTGAAAAACGGAAAATAGTAAATTTTAAACATTTTCCATCAATGTTTAATTAATTATAATGAAATGTAATAAAAATAAATACAAATGTCACTAGATAAGTTTTAAAATACAATTTTTATTTTTACAATTGAAGACTATGAATGAAAGTGATACAGGTTGGTTAACTAAAGTTGGCACGTTCACAATACTCACACTAATGCAACTCCACTATACAGTTGTTTAAAATAAATCAATTTGACTGAAAATGCAAAAAATTTAGAATGTGAGTAGTATATTAGTCTACTTTGATTTTAGTAAGATTGGGTGGGTTGTGAATAAACTTTAAAAAATGTTTTACTTGTAATATATATTGTTTTATTACATTATTGCTTCTAATCACAATCGTAAATTAAATCTTCTAAGCTACTCAAACTTACTTGATTAAACTTGATTTTCGCTGTCGGAATTTCATAATGTTATTGTTACGTTATAGGAGTTTGGGGATCGGAAATTGAAGCGTCTTTTGCACTGTATTCAGCCCTTTTTAACGTCCCACTGCTGGGGGTGAGCCTCCCTTCAATACGAGGGGGATCAGGCCATAGTCCACCACGCTGACGAAGTGCGGGTTGGCGGACTTCACATGTCTTTCGAAAACTTGCTAGGTTCTCTCAGACATGCAGGGTTCCTCACGATGTTTTTCCTCCACCGTAAGGCAAGTGGTAATCATATTAGTAATGAATCTTAGAACTATTGATGTTTTATTGTTCTTGGTTAACAAGAGTTACTTATGGAGATTTACTAGCATGCGCATTATACATATTTACACAATTCTGGTTAAACTTAGTCACTGAACACTAATTTTCACCACTAGATACAATTTCACGATAACTTCACTCCACTTTTCTTCAGTTTTTCGCTTTTTAATACTAATTCTTCTCAATCTTCATCTCTCGATATACTGCTGGCCTTTTATATGCATAAACTAAGAACATTCTAGTAGGTTCGAAAATTCTAAATACGATTAACTATTCTTGTCTAAATTTCTGCCTCTGGAAATATTTTAACAACTGTCTTAGGATGTATATAGCATGCTTCAGGCGTGTCTTCTTAATTATTATTTTGTGTGTAATGACGTTACCCACTCTCCACTACGCGACATTATTATAAGTGAGTCACTGAAATTATCCACTTTTGGTTTTATTTCATGGCAATATAATAAAATTTGACTGTTTAATTTATGTTAGAATAATAATTTGATTAAATCTTACCTTTTTTTTTATTTTGTTTGTTTAGTTCATCCCAGTTCTGTAGGGGGAGTCCGGAAGAGTATATCCGCGCTCCACTGAACTGCTCATAAATTTATCTATAACTACAAGTTACAATTTTTTAAGAATTGTATATTGAGTTGCATTGTTTAGATATAATTTTTCTTAAGAACTTTTCATGTTACTTTAATCATTTCGCAGTTATTAGTTAAATCACCCGAAATGAAGTTAGCTCATTTCTCCCGCCTGGGTGGAAGACTTGACCTCCTAAGTATGGAGCCATTAACCGGGTTTCAAAATAAGTTAAATAATCATTACAAACCTATTATTACACCAGCAATCCTCGGGAGAGTTATATCTTTGGAGTTTAGAGATGTGCCAGATGCCCTTACCTCGTCCTTGATTTCGTACTTTTCCTTTAACATTTCTAAGATTTCGCTGATTCCACTAATTAACTTTTTAATTATTTTACTTATGTGTTTGTTCCTAAGTAAAAACATTATTATTAGGAACGCAATGTCTTTGGACAATGGACCTTTATTTGAAAATTTGTTAATTTCTGCAGTGTCATCCTTCACTGCAAAATCGTCTGAGACATTGCTAAGATCCCATTCTTTCAACTCTCGTTCACCTTTTAAAAAAGAATTGCGATTTCTCAAAAGTTGTCTCAAGATAACTTTTGGGTCAAAACCCTGATATTCTAGAGCAGATTTTAAAACTCTAAGAAACTCTGAGTCAGGATTAAATGCCTTAGAGAATTCAGCTTCAGAGAATCCGGCTTTGATCTCCGGATCCTCATGGAAATAATTTTTACTGATGTTAATGCCCACTTTTCCATGATTTCGTATGATTTGTCAAATATTATTCTCAATTCGCCATCAATAGCAATTAGAATGTTTCATATGAAAGTAGTAAAAGAGACGGTGCCTTTGACCTCTACCTATTATTTTATAAAAAAATATATTAAAGAAAGGCATTTAGTATACATAATAAAGTGTTAACATGAGGTAGTTTGAGTATCTTTGAAGTACGTATATAAGGAATTAACTAGTATCACACATACGTATATTAAGATATAATTTAGTTACTATCAAAATAATAAGAATTTTAAAGCTTTCTTTACAAGCATTGTATGCCATTAGGGACACGATTAAAAACTTAGGTTTTAAATTTAAATTAATGGTACGTATAATGAGTAAGTACATAGGTACAAAGTATCTAGTACGCGTAACGCGCGCGTTTTGGTCGCCGCCACCAGAGCAAGTAGTGTACAGTAGTAAGGAGTCCGATGACCCGCCTGTGCGCCCGCGCTGCACCCGCGGTTGCTCTAGTGTTGTCTTAGACAAGCATAGATGTTGTGAGCTTCAAATTTGCATTTCCCTCTAACTTCCTTGAGATTTTCGAAGAAATCAGTAACATTTTTGTTTTGCTAAAGCTTGTTGATCTTGATAAACTGATTGTTTCCTCATAGCATCCTTTCTGCTCAGGCCATAATTCATTCTGATACAAATAAAACACAGAAAAAAGTAACTAGCGCTTTTTCTTCCTCTATTGTAAATATTACAGATGTTTTAAATTGGTTACCTAGTTACTTATTTTGGATAATTTATTCCTGTATCTTTTATAATTTCGTAATGTGTTTCGATCAGTTTCATATTACGAAGCAGCACCTCTAATAAATTTTCCTTTATCAATGTCGTCTAAAGCATTTTTTATTACTGATATCTGTTTCTTGTGATATCTTTCTTTTTAAATTTGAAGGACATTTCACTTGTTTATCTGAAATAACCAGTAATAGTCCAGTCATTTTAGGTTTTATCTGCGGAAAAATTCCTAGTGAGCTGAATTTTTGTATACACCTTTATTACGGCATTGTAATGAAGATGTGAAAAATCGACATTGATATCGTGCCGGCTAAAAAAGTTATAAAGGTCAAAAGGTCACGAAAATCAGTTTTTCGCAAATATCTCGCGATCTATTGCTCAGAGGTCAATAAAGGTCATTATAAAAATTGTTCGTCGTAAAATTGTCTACAAAAAATGTCTCTTGCATTTTTCTGTAGAATCAACCGTTTTCGGAGTAAAGCGCCGAGAAACCGACTATATTATAACGATGCACTCGTTTCCTCACCACCTTCGAGGTAGAATGCAGGGCGCGTTTTTTTTACATGGTTTCCCCCGTAGGCATAATCCATAATATGTAATAAGAGGTTTTTTTTTATTTACGAGTGAATAATTTTTTTATTTGAATACAGAAAAATTAACTTTAGTATATAATTTTTTTTTAACATTCATTGTCGATCTCTTCTTTTTGAGGCATATCTTCTATGAAGGAATACAGAAAGGCTAAGTAGCAGCTGTGACAAAAACGATCGTGGACGCATTACACTCATAGCATGGGCTATGGCTGTACATTTTGCTTCATTTTTTTTTGTTTGACCTTTTTTATTCTTCACGATTAATTGATGCAAGAAATGTGTTAGAGTGTTAGGAATTTCGTCATTAATATTATCTAACATTCGACTTGGTGGTGGATATGAGTCATGAATAATTGTAACAGAACGAATATCTTCTTTAATTATTGATGCAGCAGCTTCTACAATTCGAAGACGTTCATTACATTGATTATGTTTTTTTTCTTCGTACCACGAATTTGTTAAAATATTACTTGCAGTATCTCGAAAGCAAATAATTGTTAATGATTTACTTTTCGTGGTAATTACAATATTATTCCCATATCGAGCAATCAATTTATTTATTATTGTTTTATCATCTGGAACGTAATCTTTCATTATATCTTTTAACTCAGCTAATGTGAATTGACAATCGTCATTATTTTCTATGTAATGAAAAACATTTTCCATGGCAATTCTAATATTTTCATCCAATGGACGGCCGGCGTCACCCTTTCCACTGACTAATAAAAAATTTGAGAAACATTTATCATGATACTTAGCTTCGACAGATACTAAGTCATACTCAAAATTCACACGCTCCTTTACACTTCTTCCATATTTATCACCACGCGCCTCTGCAGCTTTTAATACTGTGTCTTTAAATGAAAGAGTACTCACTTCTCTAATAACGCGTCTGTATTTTTTTTTCTTTTTTTTCTCAATTACCTCACTCGCTTCTTCTCCACAAAACAAACATAATTTTTTGAAATCAAAAGAGCTCATTCTTTTCTTACGTGGTGATATTGATGTACTCGACTCTTCTTGGCGTCGTTTAAAAGCCGCTATACTCAAAGTTTTCGTATAATTTTTACGACTATTGCTATGAACATTTACAAAAGTCACAGTATCTAAATATTCAATATTACCATCACCTCTAGCGATACTAGCATTTTTTAATGTCTGAAGACCACGCCTTACTTCTACTACATCACCATCCGATAACACTTCTTTGCATATAAAACATGTATCACTCATTATGAAGACTGTTCAAGAGCAATACTACTAAAATAACGTCTTTAACACTCAAGGAATAATTTTTAACTGAGCTAAATACAGCCCGATAGGCAGTAGCAGGTATAAAAGTAGCAGGTGTAAGGGTACAATGAAATACGGAACATCTGCCTTCCAGTGGAGGTCGTTTGAGGCATTCACGGGCACGAATTGTCCTCTCTATACTAGTATTACTAGTGCTATATGTCTGTGTATGTAGTAGATTTTACTAACAACACACTTACAAACATGAATAAAAAGCAATTGGGTGTACGCCTTGGTATACAGTACCGTATGTAATTGCATTGTAGTCTACTCCGAAAACGGTTGATTCTACAGAAAAATGCAAGAGACATTTTTTGTAGACAATTTCACGACGAACAATTTTTATAAAGACCTTTATTGACCTCTGAGCAATAGATCGCGAGATATTTGCGAAAAACTGATTTTCGTGACCTTTATAACTTTTTTAGCCGGCACGATATCAATGTCGATTTTTCACATCTTCATTACAATGCCGTAATAAAGGTGTATACAAAAATTCAGCTCACTAGGAATTTTTCCGCAGATTGGGGTTTAAAATAGCTAAAATGACTGGACTATAATAATAATAGTAAATAAAAACTTTTTAACAAAAAATAAAAACCGACTTCAAGAAAAGCACTAAAAAGTAAAAAATAACTGATTGGTAGTTTTCATTTACTATACATACCTAATCAAATATTTTCGAAGTCGGTGTGGTTTGCTTTGTATTGGCTGGCTTTGCTTTGTATAGTCTCTACCGTGACCATGATTACTGTAAAGCATTCTAAACGTCGGGAACCAAAAATCAAAATTAATTCGCGAAGGAGTCCGAAAAGATAGTTTTATTTAATTTGTGTAATACATTAATTTGTCGTCTTATTACACCTGCAAAATTGTCGACCTCAATTTTGGTTGCATCCGATTTATCGAACATTATTTATTTACATTATTTTTATTACCAATGTTATATTTTTAATCTCTTTGATTAAAACAAAAAATACTCTATTAATAAAATAAAATCTATTTAAAGTGTTAAGAAACTAATTAATTAGCAATCCTTAATTTTTTATTCTTTTAAGCTTTATTTCATCAGGCTAGGCTTAGGCTGCCTGTTTTACTTTTCATGTTTTCGGTATTTATCAGTATTTGCGTTTAAAATATCTTCCTTACATGAAATAAATTTATAAAAATCAATACAGTTATAATCTTTGAAATTGAATTTTATTTTAATCACTGACGAGGCTGTTTCCGTCTTCAATAAATTTCTCTCTTTAGTCCATTGTTGTGTGATGACTGAAAATATTTTTTCGACGTTAGCATTATGAGCAGGAATGCAATGGAATGCAAAAGGAACGCAATTCGCAATCAATAATTCAGTGTATAAATGAGCATTGTTCTAAAAAAATTTAAACTAAGTTCATTTCCTATTAAAAGATTATCTTTCTGGTTAAGAATTTAAAGTCTGGAAGATTTTAAATTCACCCACTCATCTATCTATTTTGTGTCGTCAATTTGTATGTTCTTGTCTCTTAAGAAAAGAACAGTGTCTTTAATGACAGTCCATTGAGTATTTTGATTTATATTCGGCAAAAACGGATGAGTGGATAAGTCTTCTGGATTCTATTGTTTTCTTGTTCAAAGTAACTTTTTAACCAAATTTTTTTTATCAACATTGTAGATCTTGGTACCGTCAATGTTTTTGTTTCGTTATTAACCAACTTGTAGAATCTTTCTACTTGCGAACAATTGAAACCCTTAAATCTGGCAATCAACCCTGCTTCTGGCATTCTTAAACTGATTTGCGGATTTCTGCTACTAAATCCAGCCAGCCAATCATTACCAGTCTTGGTTTTTGTCCCAATTTTGTGGGTACGTGAGATTGTTCTTTTTTGTGTTAACGTAAACCAGTGCTTTAAAATCTTGTCGAATTAATCCATAAAAATGCTGTCCATCTCTTGCAAATACGTTTGAATATGTAACCTTTCTGTTGGCCATTGAAAACTTTACGAAAACGTTCAAGCCGAGCAGTTGAACTACTTTTTTCCAAATTTTCAGATTCAATAGTTTTAAAATAGTTGAGTTGTGTAACAGTTTATAGAGTAGGAGGGAAATGTAAAGTATGAAACAAAACTCAACAAGTGATAGTTTTGATTTATTAACCAAAGACACACTGAAAACTAAAATAATAAAACAACAATTTATAGGCGCCGGAGAATTGCATGTGGACACACCACGTGTAATCTAATTGACATAATTTTAAAATATTATTTTATATATTGTGCGGTGTTCCATACAATAGGTAAAATGGTCTCCCGGCCAGAAAAAGTCGCAATCGTAAAGAATAATAAACTAATAAATTGTAAAAATAAGAAAAAAATATATGATATAAGTTGATCATGACCAGATTTAAATGCTTGCCATGTCTCTTCTAAAGCTTCCAAACGCGTTTCGAGATAAGTTAAAGTGATTCTTTGTTTTGGAGATTCATTAAAGTTTCGTTTTCCTTTACATATTTGATCCAATTTCTCTTCTTGAACATTAATCAATTTATATGTTGCTTCCGTTTTTAATATTTAATTAAATTTCCTAATTAGAAAAAAAAGTAAAGTTCTTTAATTTTTTTTGTTTTAGTTATAAATTTGTTAAAGTCCAAAATTCACTGTTATATATTAAGTCCAAATCACAAAATTTTTTCGAAGTGTTTTAATGTAAGAAATTTTCTAAGTCCAAATTTACTATATTTTTTTCTAAGTGTTTTACTGTATAAAATTTCTAAGTCCACATTCACTGAATTTGTTTAAGTCCCAACTACGCAATTTATTGTAAGTCCGAAACACTGATTTTATTCTAAGTTCTTATAGTTCCAATTATAAAGTTCACTGCACTTAAGATATAAAGTTCAATTTACTTACAGTTTTATGAAGTCCAATTTTACCTTTAACCACTATTGCTTACACAATACACTTCACTATTTCACCGAGTTCCTATTTATCCGAGTTCGAAGGACCACTATGGAGTACTAATACTTGCCGACTACTTGATCACTCTAATTGAAACACTACTTGAGTATCGAACACTGTATTAAAGACGATTTTATAAAATTTACAACAGACATATGTATTTTAAAGAAAACATCTTGCCAGCGTGATTCAGAAATGAGGCAACCTACTAGTAGCGCCATCTCTTGGCTGGAATCGGAACTAAACCCGACAATATGTAAAATGTCTAATAAATAAGGTAAAATGGCAAAATATAAAATGTATAGAGTCAAATTGTCACTTCACTTGAATAATTTATATATTGTGATATATTGAAGCGGACCTTGAAGGGTTTGAATCTCGTAGAACCATGTCCAAGCAGCAGCTAAAGATAGAAGGGCATGGAAAACTACTGCTGCAGGCCCTAAGTTCCACGACGGAATAGTAGGACAACATCACATCAAGTACCCCACTATGCATGCCATTGTCTCAGAATTGAAAGAATTCAGAAGCGTTTTCTTTACCACTTAGCTTTCTCCTTTGGAAAATCTAGATCACTCGCAACATATACCGAGAGACTTACATATTTTAATATGCAAACTCTGGAAGACCGAAGGGACATACTGGATCTACATTTCTTATACAAAAGTATTAATAGCGTTTATGACAACCCGTGTCTTGTGTCTTTGTTTAATTTTAGAATCCCTAGATGCCCACGTAAGCCCGTGAACTTATTTAAAACTCGTAGAACTATTTTGGGGAACAATTCACCCGTGTCGCGATTATGTAAAATTATAAACGATTATAAATGCTTGGACCTATTCAGAGACTCGCTGCCAAAGTTTCGCAAAGATGTAAAAAAATATATTCTAAATAAATAATTAATATTCTTGATTTGTTAATTATATGTCGATTTATGTGGTAGATTTGTTTAATTTACTTGTTTTATTTAATTTCTTAAGGTCATAGAATTGTTGTTTGTTTATAAAACTATTCACGCCTATTTTTGCATGCGGTATTCACCTTAAAAGGTAATGCATTTAGCAATAAGAACTTTGTAAAATAGCATAATTTTTTACTGTAATAATGTAATTACCACTGGTGAATCTTAATAAATAACTAAAAAACAAAAAAAAATAAAAAAAAAGTTTCATTAAGTGTATATCGATTTTCCTTGATGTTTTAAAGTCAGGATGTGTTACACAAAAGTATCCCCTCTTCATATTTGTTACATACATTTACAGTTACAGTTGAGCCAGATACTTTATATTTATCTTTCCATTATTTATGTAGCTGGACTTCATAAATTCCATCTGCATAAATTCCATCTGAAATGGCTGCAATTATGGGATACTGACTACTTAAGAATAATTCACAGGGCTTTACTTTTTTTTAATTTAATTCTGTACAGTTCTAATAACAGAATGCTCTAATTTTCACCCTCTTTTCATGGCCGATGTGTCTGGTGTTTTAGCACCCATGATTGCCGCTTGTTACCAATTTTTAAAATGGCGTGATATTCGCGCTCCGAGATAGCTAGCGTTTGCAAACGCGTAGGTGAGAAAGAGACGGCCGAAAAGAGCAGTCAACCGTCACATAAAAGTTGCAAACGTGTGGTGTATTAGCATAGCACTTTAAATGAAACACCCAATTATTACATTCGTTTATTAATGTATTTAAATAATTTAAATTTACAATAATGAAATAAGACCGGATCGTTACTGGCATGGCACAATATGACAGTTGTGTCACATACATTTTCATTTTTAATAATCAACAAAAGAAAGTTGTCATCAATGCCATCGTATTTATATAAATCAAATTAATAATTATTATTTAAGACATTATTATTGCCTCTTTAATTCATTTACTTTAATCCATTGTAATATTGCGTATTGGATTCGAAATTGTAACATCTTATCCTGAGAAAATTCTTTATGTATGTTTTCAATATTAAATAAAGCCTGAACATGATTGTTTAGGAGTGACCTTTTGTTATCGTACCTATTGCATAACAATTTCCAAGCGTTCGCATAAAATTGCCGGACGCTAATAAGCTCTCCTACCCCACCAAAAGGTGAACGCACGTTGAGGAGGGTACAATGTGTTTAATACAGCAGTGTTACCAGCGGTTGACTTAGAATTCGGCTATACAATACTACAATTGTTATACGGCCAAAATGTGTGCGTTAACACTGCCACTATACTAGTATTATCTTTATCTTCCTCTAAACAGTTATCACAAAGATCACACTTTATATGCAGGCTATCTATATTGTTATTTTAATAATGTAAATATATGTAACTTCGATATTTAAAAGAGCAACTGTTCAGTTTTTGCCGGCTCTTCTCAGCAGAGCTGCTTTCCCAGTCGGTGGTAGCTTCCTCACAGACTGACTTCATTGACGCTCTTTAAATATTAATGATTTGAAATTTATTTCATTTTTCGTTAAAGAATTAATAAACTATTCGGAAATTATAAGGATCTACTTACTTTATATCAAATCATTTTCTTATTAATCTAAATTTAAACTCTAAGACTTATTTCTTTCTTATACTTGACTGAGAGAATGGTGAATTTGATAAAAAATGTACGGAGTCAATAAACTGGTTTAATTTAATCATTTACGCTATTAAAGGTCACCCCAAACAGCTGGAGCATCATGGCGTAAACAATCACTTATTGTGCACATGGAAGTTGTTCCAATAAACATAACTGCTATATGCAAGGAAACTCGCTGCCTGCTTTCACCAAAGTGGAACGACAGAGCTTCTGCTCTATAGTTCAAGGAATAATTTTCATAAATATCGACATGTACTAATGCTTCCTGAATTTTCTGGAGTACAAACATTCGTGCTCATCACACAATGAATGCCGCCAGCGGGACTCGAACCCGCGACACTGGCACAGCAAGTAGGGTCACTACACACTGGCCAAACGTGTCGTCAAATTCAAAATTAAATCTATAAAATGATTTAAATAAATTATATGCATTTTGTTGATTGATTTAGTAAGATTTATTCTTCCAGACGAAGAATGAACCTTGTATACAGGCTTATAAGGTTCATAATTAGTACAATTTGGTAATAATTTTACCGAGTTATTATCTTTTCCAGATGTTGATATATCAGTCATCTCAGTTACAAATTGTAACTTTAGAATTATTTCCATGATTTTTTATTAAATATTTGTAAACAATATCTACTATTATTTCGACGATTTCTAAAATACTTTAGTAATTTATAGGCTACTAGCATTGCCCGCGGCTCCGCCTGCGTTCAGATGACCAAAAACCAAATTCTTAGGTTTTACATATTAGTATACCATAACAATGCAGTTTTTATATTTTTTCTCAAAAATGAGATATTTTCCCGCGGTAAAAAGTATCCTATATGTTGACCCAGATAACCAACCAACTATCACCATACCAAATTTCATCAAGATCCCTCCAGTGGTTTTTCCGTGATGCGGTAACAGGCAGACAAAAATCGTATAAACTATAGATTCGGCCTCTATGTATCGATAATAATGTTTATTTCAATAAGAATTTCCAAAAAATATTTAATGTACAGGTTCGACTTAGTTACAATTTTATTATGTGTAGAAGTAATAAGTATACAAATAGAAATACAATTAAAATATAAGTAAATGTGGAATAGTAAGAGCCATATTTAATAAAATGTGATTACTTTTGAAGATTATTTAATTCTAAACTATCCAGCTGATGATTCGTATACAGTAAAAGCTCTTTATTCGCGGGGTATATGTTCCATAAATATGCCGCGAATACAGAAACCGTGTGTACGGAATGGCAATTTATATGGGATTATAGGGGATACGTTCCTAGGTGACAAAATAAAAAAAACAAATATATAAAAAATTTATTTCATTGCAGTTTTTGAACATTTTAATTAATTATCTTAAGGCTTAGGCAATGGTTTGAAGAATTTTCTAATTTTTTCTTGCTTGGCAGTTTTCAAAAGCTCCTTCAATTCAGACTGATACACAGCAGTCGCATTAGCAATTTGCCTCTTAAAAATAAGACTTCGTTCCATAGACGGATCAATGTTCATAAAGAAATCGCAAAGCTCATTTGCCATTCTTAAACCTTCACTAAGATTTTTCAAATTAAATGTCACGTTTCCAGTGCTTGTTGAAGCCTCTTCTTCAATGGGCTGTGAATTTAACATTTCCTCCAAGTCGGTTTCAGTCAAATCTTCATCTTGCGATTCAAGCAATTCCTGAATGTCACTTGATTCTATCTGTTCGAACCCATCTCGTCCTATTCCATTCGCGATTTCGGCTATGTTTGCAGTCAAAATTTGAACTTGCACAGATTCTTCGTCATTTTCCGCAGTCAGAGCAGGCCACAGTTTTTTCCAGCACGACTTCAATGTGTGTGGCTTCAGTTCTTTCGATGATTCTTTTATGTTTGCGATGCATTTTGCTATGTCAAATTTCTTCCAGCAATCCATAACATTCATATCAGAATTACATTCCATATTATCCAATATGATTTTGAAGGTTCGTCTAATGTAATAGAGCTTTAAGGCCTGGATTATTCCTTGGTCCATAGGTTGAAGCAAAGCCGTCGTGTTGGGTGGTAAAAATGTCACTTTTATATTTGGATGCATAGTTTCAAGTTCGCGAGGATGACCTGGTGCATTGTCCAAAACTAGAAGCGCTTTAAAGTCTAAATTCTGTTTTTTTAAATAAGTTTCAACTTCAGAAACAAAACAATTCCGGAACCAGTCACAAAAAATAGCGCTTGTAACCCACGCTTTCTTATTAGCACGCCAAAATACTGGCAGGTTGTCTTTGTTTTGATTTTTTAAAGCCCGAGGATTAAACGATCTGTAAAGCATCAGTGGCAATCTCCAGATGCATTAGAACATAGCAGCAGTGTAACTCTATCCTTTGCTGCCTTAAATCCAGGAGCGGACTTTTCGCTTTTAGAAATGAATGTTTTGTTTGGCATTCTCTTCCAAAACAGTGCAGTTTCGTCTGCATTAAATACTTGCTCAGGTTTGTATCCTCCATCAGCTACTAGGTTTGCAAATTCTTCTGGATATCGTCCTGCTGCAGCAGTGTCTGCAGATGCTGCTTCTCCAACGATTTTGATGTTATGCAATGATTGTCTCACCTTAAATTTATTAAACCAACCTTCCGATGCTTGAAATCCTCCATCTGTACGTTCACCACTAAAACTACCATCAGGTTCTTTAAAATCAGCGTAAAGACGCTTTGCCTTCTCCCGGACCATTGGACCACTCAGGGGCACCCTTTTTTGGTTGCGGTCTTCGATCCATAATGACAACGCCACTTCCATTTTTTCTATTGCTGGATCACGGACAATTTTAGCTGACAGTGAAGTTGAAGCTACAGACGACCTTATTTTATCTTCGGATTTTTTTATTGATCGTACAGTTGATTCGTTGACATTGAATGAGCGTGATATGGATGCAAATGACTCTCCAAGGCGTAAACGATCAAGCATTTCTATTTTCACTTTAAGCGGTAACACAGATTTTTTTCGTGTCGAAACTCGTTTCTCATTTTTTTTAGTTGACATTATAAACTAGAAAGAGTGCAGTAGAGACGTGTTACTCGATCACAATTTTTGTAACGAATGTGAAAGACGAAACAATAAAACACGCAAAGCGGCTTTTACTATAAACGGAACAACAACATTTAAAAATATACTTTATTTATTGAGCTATAAGGTTGCTTTTATTCTGTTTGTTTACATTCTTAAAAACACTGATCGCGGCGAAGGCGGCTTTTGTCAAAAGCCTCGGCGTCCGGCGATATCATTTAACAACATACTTTAGGCAAAGTTGTACATAATAAGATCTATTTTACTTTTTTATTAGTCCATTTGACAAGGATATTGGGTTGAATACCTATTGGAATAATTTTATTATTATGTATGTACTTATTAGATCCGCGAATAAAGAAATTTTTAGTCGCGAATATAGGAATTGGGTCGCATTTTTTTTTCCCGCGGATAGTGAAAACGCGAATAAAGAAAGCGCGAATAAGGAGCTTTTACTGTACTAAATAACTTTTCTTTCTAAACTCCATTATATCTATGCCTAATTTTAAAAATGGTAAGCTAGGAACTTTATGAGGCATCAACGGCTCTTTAATATTATTATTTTGATAAGTTTGACATGGAAAGCATTTCCTAACGAACTCTTCAATATGAATCCATATGAGGCCAAAAATATAGTTTTCTAGCTAACTGTTTCATCTTAGACATGCCTATATGACCTTCATGCAATAATTTTATTATTCCTAACCTTAAATTTTTTGGTATGACTAACCTATCTTTATAAAATACCAACTTGTTATCAAATGAAAGATCATCTTTTATCCTGTGATAACTATGTAAATAAACTGGATTTTTTTTTATTTTTTTTTATGGAACTAAGGGGGCAAACGGGCAGGAGTCTCACCTGATGAAAAGTGATCACCGCCGCCCATGGACATCTGCAACACCGCAGGGCTTGCAGATGCGTTGCCGGCCTTTAAGGAAAGAATACGCTCTCTTCTTGAAGGTGGCCAAGTCGTAGCGGTTCGGAAAGACCGCCGGCGATAGCTGGTTCCACAGAGTGGTTGTGCGGGGCAGAAAATTCCTTAAAAATCGCACTGTTGTGGAACGCTGGACATCGAGGTGGTGTGGATGGAATTTACTATTTTGCCGCGATGTCCGATGATGAAACTCAGCAGCCGGGATCAGTCCGAACAATTCCTCGGTACACTCCCCGTGATAAATGCGGTAGAAGATGCAGAGTGATCCAACATCTCTACGCAGAGCTAAAGGATCAAGCCGATCAGAGAGAGCTTGATCGTCGATAACTCGAGCCGCCCTACGTTGAATGCGGTCAAATGGAAGTAGCTGGTACTGGGGAGCTCCCGCCCAAAGATGAGAACAGTACTCCATGAGGGGCCGAATTTGCGCCTTATAAAGAATAAGACGCTGACGCGACGTGAAGTACTGTCTCGCCCTGCTGAGCACACCAAGCTTCTTTGAGGCCAGTTTGGCCTTACCTTCCAATTGACCACGGAACTGGACGTTGCTCGAGATGTCGACGCCAAGTATTCCGATACTGGCTGTGGCAGACAGAGGAGTGTCCTCAAACTGAGGAGCCACGACAAATGGCGACTTTTTAGCGGTTAACACGCAAACTTGTGTCTTTTTGGGGTTGAATTGGACTAAGTTTAGTCGACCCCAATCCGAGACTTTGGTTAACTAAGATTCGACTTCAGACACAAGTTTGTTCCGGCTCTCGTCGACGTATTCCCGAGAAATATTAGCGCGGCCAGTGTACAGGGCATCCAGAGTGCTATCGTCTGCATAGCAATGAATGTTGCTAATTTGCAACATGTCATTGATATGCAGAAGGAACAGAGAAGGAGACAGTACGCAGCCTTGTGGAACACCAGCATTGACATATTTAGGATCAGAGCAAGCACCGTCGACATCGACCTTGATGCTCCGATCTGCCAAAAAGCTGGTGATCCAGTTGCAAAATTTCTCGGGGAGCCCATAGGAAGGTAGCTTCGAAAGAAGCGCTTTATGCCATACCCGATCAAAGGCCTTCGCTATGTCCAGACTGGCTGCAAGCGCCTCCCCCTTGGTCTCAACTGCTTCTGCCCATCTATGTGTTAGGTAAACTAGAAGATCACAGGCTGAGCGACCTCGACGGAAGCCGTACTGGCGGTCGCTGATCAGCCGGTGCTCTTCTAGGTACCGCAGGAGCTGGCAGTTGATAATGGACTCCATTATCTTACAGAACAAGGAGGTAATTGCTATAGGCCTGTAATTGGACGGATCCGAGCGGTTGCCCTTTTTTGGGATCGGGTGCACTAAAGCGGCCTTCCATGATTTCGGGACTACGCCTAATGAATAGGAGTACCGGAAAAGACGCGTTAAGACCGGTGCCAACTCCGGAGCACATGTCTTCAACACGATCGGAGGGATGCCATCGGGCCCACTCGATTTATGAATGTCCAAGGAAAGAAGTGCTTTCCGAACTGCACTTTGCCGGAACTGAACTTCCGGCATGGTAGTGTCACACCGCGGAATTGTCGGTGGTGAGTATCCTTGGTCATTCAGAGTCGAATTGGACGTGAAGAGAGTGCCCAGTAGTTCGGCTTTCTCCTTCGCGGTATGAGCCAGCAAGTCATTCTCCGTGTGCAGAGGTGGAAAGGAAGGCTTACAGAAATTCCCTAAAACAGCTTTGGATAGAGACCAAAACGCACGCGTTCCTGATGAGAGACGCCCCAATCTCTCGCCAATTCTGTCGATGTGCTTCGACTTCGCATTAGCAATACTATTTTTGAAGGACCTGGAGGCAAAGTTATACTCCTTTTTAAAGGCGCTGGTATTTACTTCACTAGACGCCGACGCGACAGCCCAGGCTTGGTAGCATTCCAGCTTTCGGCGAGATGCCGTCTTGCAGGAGTGACCAAACCAAGGCTGGGATTTGCCTCCGATGGGCACTGCAGAGAACGGAATAAATAGTTCCATACCCTGAAGTACCACATCGGTGACAGAGTCAGCAACGACGTCTAGATCATCTGGCGAGAAGCAAATCTGCCCCCATGGGTAGGACGCAAAGAATGACCGCATCCCGTCCCAATCCGCTGACCTGTAATGCCATACACGGCGACAGCCCGCAAAGCGAGGCCGTGTTGAGCGCGTAACTGGCACTATACTCCGAACAAGACAGTGGTCCGACGAACCAAGAGGAGGATCGACGGAGACCAGGTAGCCGTCCGAATGAGAGGTCAACAGAAGGTCCAACAGGGAAGGTGTATGATCCTCCACATCAGGGATTCGCGTTGGCGAGGTAACCAGTTGTGTCAGATCATATGCCAATGCGAAATCGTGAACAGATCTCCCCGCATGATCGGTAGTACGTGATCTAAGCCATTCAGTGTGATGGGCGTTAAAGTCGCCGAGAATCACGATCTCTGCGGATGGGATCTGCTGGAGCACGGAATCTGTAGCCATTTGCATGTGCTCAACGAGTCGGTCAGTTTCGGCATTGCCGCTATGAGACCTATACAGGCACGCGTAGATTCGCGGATGGTCGTCGCAGTCTACACGTAGCCAGAGGATGGATAGGTCCCGCCCTTCAAGGCTGCCGAGGCGACGAGAGCAGATGTCTTCTCTGACGTACACGCACACTCCAGCCCGCGGTACAAAGGAATGCTCCAGATTATACCCCGGGTAAGAGAGGAAAGAGGTGTCAGCCGTAAGAAAGTTTTCAACTTTCAGGTTGGAATTTAGTCCCCTTATATTGCAGAAGTCCACAGCAAGTGTGAAAGGGGTAGCCTTATGTTGCCTGCTCCGTTTGCCCCGAACAGAAGAGGAGAGCGCAAAATTGCCCCCCCCCAGAATTCGGAGGGCAGCCTGGGCACCCACGCTCAGGTAGTGTACGAGCTGAACATGGATGCCCAGAGAGGGATTCTCCACCGCGATGTGCGCTGGTGGTACCCTCCTGGGGTAGACTGACCGAATTTTGCACTATCATAAATTTAGTGGTGTGGGGGAGGGATGGGGAGTGGGCCTCCCGGGACTCTCACTTACCGAAAGAAACGCGACAGCATAGCTGCCACTTTACGCCGGACTTCTGTGAGAGTGTGGTACTTTACGGGACGTGCCGGCCCATTCGGCTGCTACCCGAAGGTAACTAGCGTGGCACTACCACAGTTTTGGTTGACTGATTGCACTGGTGGAATAATCTCTGTCTGACTAGATTATACACCAGCGGGCGGTGGGGTCGTCACGTCCCGACGCCGATAACTACGCCATCCATTTTTAATAAATTCTATTATTTCTACCAATTCCCTATCAATTTCACTTTCTTTAATTAGTTGTGTTTTTTGTTCTGGTGAACATTCTAAATTTTGTGCAAGACCTATGCTATGAATTACCTCATACATATATGACTCATCATCCTTAAACCGATATCGCCCTAGAATGATTCGAGAAGCCATAGAAATTAAAAAACATCCTAATTTCAATAGGGAAGATGGCTGGGTACTACCATCGTCATGGGATCCTGTTATTAATATAATAAAATCTAATAATAAATCTAAACATAACAGACAGGCAGATGTAGTAAGTTCTTACTGTGTAGATCAAAATGATAGCATTTCTGATTAATAGTATTTTTTCACTTTTTCATTTGTAAATGTATATAGTAATGTGTTGCTTAATAATTTGTTTTTTAAATAATAGCAAATTTAAATTAAAATTATTATTTTTAATTAATCTTAACTTTTTCAAATTACACATAGATCAATTGTGGCTTAAATAATTAATACTATATTTTATATTTTTCTTATGGTTATAAATATAATAATGGCAACACTAAATATAGATTACTAATTAATATTTTTAAAATTGTAATAATTATAAAAATAATAGCAAAAATTAAATAAATAATTTTCTATATTGAATATATATATATATAATTAAAATTATAAAAATGTTTAAAGTTAAAATATTGTAATGTAGTTGGTGCAATTTTCATTTTGTTAATTGTGGGTAGGCTGTCTGTAACAACTATATCTTTAAGACATGTAACACCTCAGTCTCTCCCGTGACCATGGATGCTGTAAAGCATTCGAAACGTCGGGAAACAAAAATACAAATAAATCCGCGACAAAATCCGAAAAGATAGTTTTATTTAAAAAGTCTGCAATATACAAAAATCCACCTTGTAAGTATTTAAATTCAAAATTATATTTTAATAGTTTTAATCTTAATCTTTGTAATCTCGGTGATGGTATTTCATGTAAATGTTTTTTAAGTAAGCTTTCTAAGGGTTTATGATCATTAATAATAGTTATTTTATAGCCATAAATGAAATAATGAAACTTTTTAACAGCCCAAACTACACTTAATAATTCTTTCTCTATTTGTGAAAAATTGCGCTCAGCCTGTGTGCCAGCTACGAGATGCAAAAAAACTGGCTTATTATTTTGCATTAAACAACAACCAATACCATCCTTGGATGCATCACATTGTACAACAATAGGTAATTTACTATTAAAATTCTGTAATATGGGAGCTTCTGTTACCAATTTCTTTAAATTCTTAAAAACATTCTCATGAACATCAGTCCACAACCACTCAACATCTTTTTTTAATAATAAATGTAATGTATAAATTTTCTTAAATAACTAACCATTTCTAGAAATATTTGCAATTGTTTTTTATTATTAGGACTTTTTATACTTAATATTGCATTTACTCTGTCAGGGTCTATTTTCATGCCACTTTCAGAAAATATATGTCCAAAATACTTAACTTCTTTTCACTTATAATGAAACTTATTTGGATTAAACCTAACATTATGCTCAACTGCACGTTCAAATACTTTTCTCATAAGTCTATCATGGTCTTTTTCTGAATCTCCACAAATTAATAAGTCATCATAATAAACTTTTACTCCTGGAATGTCCCCAAAGGCCATTTCACTATATTTTTGGAAAATTTCAGGTGCCACTGACAACCCAAAAGGCATTCTTAAGAATTTGTAACATCCATATGGACTATTAAAAGTACAAAGATCACTCGAATCCTTACTTAGTCTAATATTATAGAAACCATCTGATAAATCTAACACAGAAAAACATTTTTTTTTCCTAATTTAGAAACAATTTCATCAATAGTAGGTATTAAATAATGTTCTCTAATCAAAACTTTATTAAGATCCTTTATATCTACACATAACCTTAAAGAACCATCTTTCTTTTCAATGATCACCAGATTACTCACAAATTTTTTTGGGTTTTCAACTTTCGCTAAGACTTTGTGCTTCACCAGAGCTTCCAACTTGTCAGCGAGTCGTTTCATTAGCGCGTTAGGCACTCTTCGTGGCGGTCTCACTACAGGCTCCACACCTGGTTGAATGCGCAACTGCAGCGGACTCTTAAACTCTCCCACACCTTGAAAAAGTTTTTTATTAATTTTTATTATGTCTTCCTTACTTTTATTACAATAATGTTCAGTTTTAATAGTATTAATATTAGTATTATTAATTAAATTAAGTTTTATTAATGAATTTAAGCCCAGTATCGGCCTAACTTGTTCTTTTATTATTAAAAAATCAAGGTTTAGACACTCAGTCTCATCATTATTCTTAATATTATAAACCTTTAAGGTGATTACACCAAGAGGTATTAATTTACCCCCACCAAAGACCTCTATTAATGTTTTAGTCTCAGAAAATCTTATTTGTTTATCATCATCGACTATTTTCTTCAAATCACTTAACCAAATTACATTTACTTGTGCCCCGGTATCACATTTAAAACAAACTTTCTTATTTTCTACTCTTAACATCTCTGTCCATACATTATTTTTTAAATCTAAAGAGTATACTAGTCATAAATCATTGATATTATTTTGTGAGATTTTTTTATCAACTTCATGTGCTCTATTTTATCACTAACAAGCCTACAACCTACGCTGTAATGATTCATCTTATTACAATTATTACACTGCTTACCGAAGGCTGGGCATTGCCTTGGACCATGAACAGTATTACATTTTTTACATTTATAATAATTTTTACTGAAATTACTTCTACTCATATTATTATTAAAATTTCTTTTATTATTTATATAATTATTATTAAATGACCTATCTTTATTTGATTTATTATTATTATACTTAGCTTTATATGATTGTTGCTGCGTAGACTTCCTCACTTGAACTGCATGAACCTCCGGACTGGTCAGCACCTTCAAATGTTCTCTGGACAGCTCTGCAGACCGACAGATGTCCATTGCTTTGGCCATCGTAAGGTCCTTCACCTCGAGAAGCTTCTGCTGTATCCGTTGCTCTTTGAATCGGAGTCAAATTCTGACTATTCTGTCCCGTATCATGCGTTCTTTTTGATCACCAAAATTACAATTTTCTGCCATTTTTCTTATTACTGAGTAAAATGCGTCGAACGATTCCCCATCTTCTTGATACCGTTTATTGAAATTATAACTGTTAATGAGTTCATTTTGCTTTGGTTCAAAATAATTATCCAGCACCTTTATGACATCATCTAATTTAGGTTTTTCTTCCATTTTTAATACATTAAAATATAATTCTTGAGCTTGTTGACCCACACAATTAAGTAATATCGCTGCTTTTCTGGTCTCTGATAATTTTTCAAAGCCTGCCGCCATCATGAAAATTTTAAAACTTTGAAGCGCTGCCATTGCGGGTAACTATTGTCAATATTATCCAAATTTAATGCTTTCGACATTTTATACTCAACGGCACACATATTATCGACCTCCATTTAAAAATCTTCCGACATCTTAACCTTCTATGCCTCCATTCGCAACGTGCAACGTGGTCGACCCGTTCTTTATACTTTTTAATTGAAATCAGCTCGAATTAGCGGCTGCGCCATGTATTATTTACTTTCTTGATAATAAAACAATTATTAGGTCTTTGGTGTACTTTATTAGCTTAATATTTTAATTACAAACTTGTTTAATATTTAATGTTAGGCGCGCACGAGAGGTTTTGTCTCGGGTCTCGCCAAAACTATTGACGAGACGAGAGCAGCTCTCCACATTCTCGCTCGCGCATTTGTGCGCTCGGTACTCGAACGAGATGGACGTGGAAACAGCTGTCGCTGCAGCATTATGTGCTGTGGCTTATTACAATTATGCGTTTATTCGAGAAAAAAAAGTTATCAAAAGACGTTGGAAAAAACGAAGATGGTGGATGACAGCAATACATCGCAACAGAACAAGGTAAAAATCTATATAATTTTAATACTACACAGTAGATGCGGTATGGAACAGAATGTTTTGGTTTTGAAACGTTTTATAGACCTCCCAAAGAATAACTTATAAAAATATCTGCAGTAACTACTATGTAGTTAAATAACTTTAAATATGTATAAAAAATGTATTTATCTATTTGACTGAGTTATTTGATCAAGAAACTTAATAGCTAGCAAACAAAAAATTACCAAATAGTGTACATAATGTATGTAGTACCTACAGAAACAATTTATTAACCTTTTTTTTCTCGATTAATAATGAAATTAGTATGATGTGTCTGCAATAAAGTGTTACTCATGGTTTGGTTTTATTTCAGTGAAACAATGGAGAAACAATTATCAGAACTAATTTACGAACCCAGTCGTGAGTTTCACAAGTTCACTCGGATGTCAAGAGAGGATTTTGAAGATTTACTCTCTAAAGTTAACCCATTTATTATTAAAAAAAACCCAGTTACGTGAAGCTGTTCCTGCTAAAATACATTTGGCTCTCACGCTGCGCTTCTTGGCTTCAGGAGACAGTTACGAAAGCCTACATTTTCTTTTTAAAATTTCACCTCAATTGATTTCTCAAATTGTACCGGAAGTATGTGAGGCTTTGAATAAAGTCTTAAAGGATGAGATAAAGGTGAGTTAATAAAAACAAAAATATATGAAATTATTACAAGTTAGCTAATAAATAAGTGCAAGTTAGCTACAATATTTATAAATTATTTGCGGCTAGCTACTCATTACTATGAGACTTAAGATTTGTGTGGACCCAATCCACGTGTGGACTTAATCGATGTATATCTATGTATTGAAAAATTAAATAATTTTATTTCGTTCGGTGTTCCCTGTAGACGGAGGCAAAATTAGTAAATCGGATAAAACAGTTATAGAATTTTGATTGTTTTGAGTACTCTCCAGAGATAAATCTGGAGATAATAGGCGATCTGGTATGTGGAGTAAGACTGAATGTTGCATGTTCGTGTTATAATTGTCACTTTGTTGTGACAGATGTTGTTGAGACGGTTGTTGCTGTGACAGAATTTGTTGAGACGGTTGTTGCTGTGACAGAAGTTGTTGAGACGGTTGTTGCTGTGACAGATGTTGTTGAGATGGTTGTTGCTGTGGTAGATGTTGAGACTGTTGTTGTTGTGGCAGCTGTTGTTGTGTTGGAGACGGTGACATATAATATGATAATGCTGGGGTAGATAATGGTCTGTCTTCAAATAAATAACGCTCAGTAGGTTCTGAATACGAAATCGGACTGGAGTGTAGTCAGTTCATTTTAGTAGAGAAAATAGGTTCAGAGTAAGAACTATGAGCAGAAAGTGGTGAAGGTGTTGTAACATGTCTATGTGAAGTGTTGCGTGAAAGTAGACGAATGATCGTCCCATCGAGTTCATACATGACATTCACTCTTTCATGTTCTGGAAATTTTCTTAGTTTCTTCGCTAACTTTCTGCCATAAAGATCGCACTCATCTTCTTGATGGGCAAAATTATTCTCACTTTTTTGGTTTAATACTGCATTAAGAGTATTAAGCGCTTTGTTCATAGTTTTTCCAGCTTCTATTAATTCTGGAGGGTTTTTACGTCGGCGATTTGTTTGCAAAGTATTAGATGGTTCTGGTGTAGGTTCATTAATTATAATATTTCTGTCTTCATTCACTGATTCCTGAGACCCTCCTACGTCATCTTGACTACAATCAGTTTCTTGGATCTGTGAAATAAACCAAAGTACCTGTTAAATAGTTTGTATGGATTCTAATCAATTTTAATTATTTACAGATACCATCATCAAAAGAAGAATGGATTGAAATAGAAAAAGGCTACAGAAATAAATTTCCCCGATGCATTGGATCATTAGACGGAAAGCATGTTGTTATAGAATGCCCTGCCAATTCAGGATCGGAATATTACAATTACAAAAAAGATTTTAGTATTGTTCTCCTCGCCTTAGTAGATAGTAATTACAATTGCATTTTTGCTGACATAGGAAGCAATGGTCGAATGAGTGATGGAGGTATTTTTCGGGACACTGAATTATGGAACAAAATTGCAACAGAAGCACTCAATTTACCTGATCCCCATCCATTACCAGGTTAGCCCAGTCATATTAGGGCTTTCACCTCGGAATGAAAGATAATAAGCTGCAAATTGGTATGAACCTTTGTTTTGTCATTCTAAATGTTGTCTCAAAAGTCACAATCGTTATCGTGTCCGCGTCTCAAGATATTCAAGGTCAAAGGTCACAAAAATCGGTTTTTCGCGAATATCTGGCTTCCTATCGGTTGAATGAGATTTGCATTTATTATAAAAGTTGTAGGCTATAAAATTCCCTACAACTTTTGTTTAAACTTTTTTTTCATACGACCAACCGTTTTGAAGGTAGAGCGCGAAGTGCACATCGTACAGTCATATACGGCCTAATGCAAGGTCAAGCGTGAGTTATGGTTATCAGTACGTTATAAAGTCAATTATTTACTTGGAAATTATAATTATTAAACAATGCCTATTATTTATGTACTAACTATTAATTATTTATATTTAATTAAAGTAAGTAACTTGATTATTTATATATAATTATTCATATTTAACTATTTAAGTATAAAATATTATTAATTCTGGATTATATATTTTAGTTTTATTTTAAGTTAAAATGATAGTAAGAGTATATATTTTACACATATTTTTATTTATTATTAAATACGGCATAATATACATTTATCAAAATGTGAGTTCAAATATCAAAAGTATCTTTGTTGATTTTAATTGTAATGAAATTGGAAATGGAAGCTAATTATCTTCTTCTTCTTCGTCTTCTTCTTCTTCTTGTCGCTCAAAAATGTTCGATTCATTGTCATCATCCTCATTATCTGTCATGTTCATCTCCAAACCTTCCAGAATATCGGGATCATATGTATTTTCTTCATCGGGATTACTTGGATACAGTGAAGCGTTGAGGCAAGCTTGTCCGTTGCACTGGCCGCAAGCTAAAGAACATTGTAGCCCTGATTTTCTGCATCCACAGCGGGAACCACAACCATTTTTGCAATTGCAAAATATTACGTTTAGTAGTTCGGCTGGTGCTGGAGGTAATAACGTTCGTATGGGCTCCAGGATTTCATTTTCAAGCATCCAGCCCCATTCTTGAGGTTCTAAGTCCTTCCCTAACCACGTTTGAATCTGGTAGTAGACACGTTTTATGTGTTGATGAGCTGCTACACTTGTTGGTGGAAGTGTTGACAGTTGTACAGATTTATTTAGTTTTGTAAATATGATGAATTGCGTGTAGCGGAAATGATCAATGTTGTCCTCAGATTTTGGAGCATTATATAATGCCAACAAGATGCGCACTCCATTTTCTAATAATGTTTGTTTTGGGCAGTTTTCTTGTTGAAATACTTCCACCAGTTTATCTAAATCAGGAATTTTTTCCAATGCTCTAGTAACAGTTTTTTTTCCTTTTTTAAATAGCGCAGAAGTCGTGTCACAGCCACTGAATGCGTGTAAAAATAAAATGTGCTTTTTAGTACGAGGATATTGGTCAAAACTTTTAGTAGAATATATTTGTGTTTTGACATTGCCTTTGCCAACTTTTTTCAAAAAAATTTCCTGATGATGTGACTGAGTACGTCCAATTAAAATAACGAGCAAATCGATATCTTCTCCTATGATGACAGCAGTCTTTTGATGTTCTGATAAGGCAATAGCTGTGTCAATGATGAGAACATCAGCATCATCTCTGGCTTGTTTTGTTGTGATATTAACAGTTTTAAATTTTTCAACAAGCATGTCGATAAATTTTTTTTTATTAGACCGATTTGATAAAATTTTCTTGACTGATTGGCACAACCATTGTTTCGTCAAAACAAACTTCATATGATTTTGAAAGTGCAGCAGTTCTTCTTCGTTGTTCCAGTGCTTTAATATTTTTACTATAGTCCGAATATCCGTCAAATACAACAACAATTGCTGAGCCATAATGTGTTTGTAAATATTTAATGTACTTATTTAAAATAATAGAGAAAGTATCGTCTTTGCTCCATACGACGCGATGCAGAAGAAATCCACCATCGATGATGTATGTTACATTATTTTCATCAAGATCGATAACGACAGGCATCATATTGTCATATAATGTTGCTTTCGTGGTTTTTCTCATGCCATTACTATCAAATAAAGATGTCGGATACGGGCTTAGTTCATACTGAAGATATTCTTGTAAATTACTTTCAAATTTTTTGCTTACAGTTATTCTCTGGAAAAGTAACATTGGATCTATAGAAACTTTACAATCATTAATTTTGACAGATTTGTTAATGGCTGAAAGCGGTAAAACCTTATCGACGCGTTTTAACTTTATTTCGTTGAAGTTCAAACCAGTTATCTTTACCATAGATTGCAATCCGATTTCATGGGCTCGGTGACAATTAATTTGGTCATTTCCAACGATTCCTGAAGCTAAGGATACCAACTGATTCGTATTTGGAAAGGGATTATGAAGCGTAAACCAACCAACCAGTTCATTTACATCAGTATCATCCCTTTTTATTCGTGAATCTCTAGCATCAACATGTTGGTCCACAGAATCTAAAGAAATGTTACAAAACCGTTCAATTTCTTCACAAATTGTATTCGTGGCATACATAGCATATACCCACTTACATAGAACACTTTCTTGTGTACTTCGGCCTCGAGATACTCCTCCTTCTGTCTTCATAGATTTCATCAGACTTTGCTCGATTACCATGTCTGTCCATGTACCAGAATTGAATTTTTCTGTTCGTTTTACAGTAAAGAATCCGTTTTTAAAGTTCTCAAAAGCCTGTTGATCCATTGTCTCCTCAAGTTTTAACATATCTTGAAGATACAAATGAGCTGATTTCGCATATAGGAAATGACCACCAGCATGAAAATAGGGCAGCATTTTTCGCACTGCATCCAAATGTTCTTGAAAAAGTCCCAGCCTTTCAGCGCGAATGAAATCTAGGGCTATTGATACCATTTCAAAATATTGCACCCATAACTGTGCCGTGGGACCTCGAGCTTTTAATTCTTTTAGTTTATCCTGAAATTGATCAATTAACGAGTTGGAGCTGCTCGTACATCCTTCAACATCTTCGTAGGAAACATCGCGACTAGTTATCTGTTCAATTAACTCATCTAACACACAATTTTCAATTTTCATCTCTTCAAAAATCTTTATTGATAATGCAAGTCGTAATAATATATGGCCTCTGATACTTCTTGCATAAGCGTGACCATTCAACATTTTGTCGACCGAATTTGTAGCATATATTTTACTTAAAGCTTCCTTGAGACCACTACCGTCCATTACATGTCCTATGCATCCAAGAAAAGACATGAGCATATGAAATCCTCCAAGTTTGACAACTGTTTTAGACAAGTCTGAGTTTGCATCTGACGCAGCAACCATTTCACGTGCTTTTGAGTACAGGGGCTGATCAAATGTAATTATGCACGTTTTTTGTTGATGTGACTTGGCAATATTTATAGCACTATGTAAAGTTGTATAAATTGTGTCTAAATTACTGGCAGGATGATCAATGAAAGGTAGAAATATAACCTGAGAAGTTGAAAAATTTTGATTATTTTTCGTAAGTTGTTGAAGATAGCCATTCCACCCTGGCAACGGTGAAAGATTCTTCCATTTTCCGTATAACCACAACAAATCAACTGCATTAAATTTTTTTTCAATCAGTACTTGATCATCATGTAGATTTTGGACTTGAATCTTGCTGTACCCAGGTACAACTGGCTTTTCATATGCTAAAAGAGATACATGTGATATTGCTGCTAACTCTTTTGCACTCGGTTTAGTTGTACATTTTTTTATGCCATCATCATAAATTACAGCATCTTTCGGAGTAATTATTTTTATCATTCCCATAACGTGAAGAGTATTATTACCGTCAAGAGTACTGACATTAATATCTGCATTGTCTCCAACATATTGTACCAACGCACCAGACTCTGATGGTAAAATACGAGGTTGTGGATGGTAAACTGATGAAACTTCATACTGTATGGTATTACTATATGATGCAGCAAATCCTAAAGATGATAAAACATCTAACAATTTTTTAGACCCATATCTTCTGTGAAGAAATACGGAAAGGCCCAACAGTAGCTGTGATGAAAATGAACGTTCTCGTATCGAAGCCATTATTGCGTGGCTAATAGATGTGCATTTCGTTTTTAAATGATCTACTTGTCCTTTTCTATTTTTTAATATCATTTCTTCCAAAAAATGTGATAATGTTTTTGGTATTTCTTCATTAATACAATCTAGCATTTTATTCGGAGGTGGATACGTTTTTGTTTCAACTACAGATGATCTGATGTCTTCCCTAATAATAGCCGCAGCAGCTTCTACAATCCGTAGACGTTCTTCTACAGGAGTACTTTTTTTATTTTCGTACCAAGCTTTTGATAATACGTTAAGCTGTGTATCACGGAAAGATATAATTGTAAATGATCCAATTTTTTTTGTGATTATTATATCAGTTAAATACTTTTGTTGTAATTTTGTAATAATTGTCTTATCGTCAGGTATGTATTCCGTAGGGGCATCTTTAAGTTCTTTCAAAGTAAATTGAGAATCTTCATTATTTTCTATATAATAAAAAATCTCCTTCATTGCTTGAGTGTCTTGATCATCTTGGCGAGGCTTTTTATCTGCAGATGGTACTCGGGTTAAAAAGTTGGTATAGCAAATAGTATGATACTTTGCTTCAGCAGCGATCAAATCATACTCGTAATATATACGTTCCTTTACTAATTCTCCTAAGGAATCGTTTCGTTCTTCTGCTCTCTTAATTACGTTGTCTTTGAATGCAAGAGTACTTACATTACTTATTGTCCGTCTATACTTTAATTTTTTTTTCTTTTCTGCTATTTCATCAGCTTCTTGGCCACAAAATAAGCATAACTTTCCAAAATCAAAGACTTCATTTCGTTTTTTACGAGGTGCACTTGACGTTGAAGGTTCACTCTCATCTGTGCGTCGTTTTGATGCAATAATAACATTTTTACTCGTGTACACTTTTCGACACTCGGAATGCACATTTACAGAACTTAAAGTATTTAAATAGTCTATATGTCCATCATTTCTTTCAATACTTGCAGTTTTTAAAGTTAGTAAACCACGTACGACATTCACAGAAACACCTTCTGAAAGTTTCTTATCACATATAAAACACAAATCAGCCATAGCTCTTAAAACCGTACGTCCGTAGTTGCAACGGTACAATTTCAAACTAACGAATAATCTTGACTCATACAAAGTGGAGAGAGTGGCCTTGAATACTATAGAACATCTGTCCCGGCAATGAATAGAAAAGGGCATAGGGTAGGGACAAGTATTTCCAGGTATATAAGTATTGAGAAATTTACGCGTTTTAAAGAAAAGATATATAATGTCGTGTTAACTTAAAATAAAACTAAAATATATAATCCAGAATTAATAATATTTTATACTTAAATAGTTAAATATGAATAATTATATATAAATAATCAAGCTACTTACTTTAATTAAATATAAATAATTAATAGTTAGTACATAAATAATAGGCATTGTTTAATAATAATTTCCAAGTAAATAATTGACTTTATAACGTACTGATAACCACGCTTGACCTTGCATTAGGCCGTATATGACTGTACGATGTGCACTTCGCGCTCTACCTTCAAAACGGTTGGTCGTATGAAAAAAAAGTTTAAACAAAAGTTGTAGGGAATTTTATAGCCTACAACTTTTATAATAAATGCAAATCTCATTCAACCGATAGGAAGCCAGATATTCGCGAAAAACCGATTTTTGTGACCTTTGACCTTGAATATCTTAAGACGCGGACACGATAACGATTGTGACTTTTGAGACAACATTTAGAATGACAAAACAAAGGTTCATACCAATTTGCAGCTTATTATCTTTCATTCCGAGGTTGACCTCTTTTTTTACCTAATATGACTGGGCTAGGTTCTGACATAAATATACCCTACGTATTACTAGCAGACAGTGCATTTGCACTTCACAAAAATGTCATGAAACCGTATCCTGGAATACATAATATTGGAAATCCGAAGCGTATATTTAATGAAAAATTATCAAGATCACGAGTGATTGTTGAAAATACGTTCGGAGTACTTTGTACAAAATTTAGAGTTTTTAGAAAGCCATTTGCGCTGTGTCCAGAAAAAGTTACACTTATTACTTTGACCTGTATACTATTGCACAACTACCTAAGAAAAAGTAAAACCTCGTCTCAAGTTTATACACCTCCAGGTACTATGGACATATACGACAATAACAACATGCTAGTTCAATCAGGATCATGGAGAAATGAAATCGACGAAAACGGTGCTCTTCGTAATTTACCAAGAGTAGCGCGTCTGTCAGCATTGGGCGCAATAGAAGTTAGGGAAGAGTTTACAAAATATTTTTGTAGGTAATTTCTGTAATTTAATTAAAATTTATCAATATGTCCAAAATCATTATTTCATATTAAACATGAAAAATCTAAGAAATAGATTTATTAGAGACCAATAAATATACCCAGACAGAATACAATTAACATTTAAGTTTCTATTTAAAAATCTAGAATATTAAATAAAGTGAAAGGAACAAATTCAAGATAAAGTGGTAGGAGGAATTGGTATATAAGACTGAATAAATCGAACGAATGCACAGTCGACATGAACAGCAAGCAAGTATACTACTACCACATCATCACCAACGCAGACATCGAGGAAGAAATAAAGAGTAAGCAAGCTTATCCTATTGTGCATTTTAAAAATGAAACGTGTTATGACAACTGTGGACTCGGACGACGAGACTCAATACAGTCAGTTGAAAAAATAACCGACGACGTCGACTTAGGGAGTGGACGAAGTGGGAATTTACGATTGGAAGAGAATACGGGAAGAACGAGCAATGAACAATGTGCTGGAACAGAAGGGGTTGGGATCACTGAAGGCGATGGCGGGTATCGAGTCAGATGGGGAAATGGAAGAACTAGAAGATACTCTATCGGGGGAGGCAGCACAGAAAGGCCTGGAACTAACACTGGACACATGGAAGGTTGAATATATCCAGTCGGTACATATAGCGGAAAACCTGAAATGAAATGTCAGCAATTTATAACGGACCTTACAAACTCACCGCTTACCATCAGGGAACAAGAAGATGGCATTGGCACCGCATATACATCAGTATTAATAAACAGTGGGGATTTAATAAACAGTGGGGATTAAATCTAGATTGGGAAGAATTATTCGAGATCCCACCTACAAAACAACAATCATTAATTGCCTGTCTTGTCTACGCGAGTATATTTATTCCGCCAATGGTCGTCAAGTATTATAAGACATTCTCAGCGACGAACATATTGAAGCTAGTAAGTGCGCCGGTCATTCGTGTGGAATGGACAGGAGTAATTCATGGACGCAAAAAAATTACGAGGCTGAATGTGCCAAAGGGGGAGATTCAGTATTTCGAGATGAAGGCCCAGCACTTGAAGAAGAAGAGTCAGGACTGGTGGATGCAGTTGGTGAAACTGATGAGCGTATCCTACGAAAACGACTTTGGAACGGAGATAAAGAACCACGCAAAGACGGGCAAGTTCTATACGGACGGGAAAGCAATTACATCAAACATGTCAAAGAAGTCGCAATTCTTATGACCGAAATTCAGATATCATTCTACTTTTATGCGAAAACAGTGCTTTCAATCCGAAGCTATGGAAATACTTACAAGAACGCCTGAGGGTATTGAGTTTATCTGCTCAAAACAATACACGGAAAGGATCAAAAACTACATCCACATCGCAAGAATTTTGGTATTTCAAGAATCGATAAAGCAACGATTCGAAAGGGCTAAATTGAAATTTGAAAGGACACATGCAGAATTAAAATTCTTTGGTATACCTTCAACAGGTAAAGCAATGATTATGTCTTCTTTAATTGAGGAGGTTAGGATCAAAACCACAACATATCCGTTTTTCTTAATATGGCAGAAATCTAAAAAAACTTAATAAATTGTGAGAACATGTTTTTGTATTTAAAAAAAAATACCATATTAATGTGGAGGTAAATCGGCAATTAAAACATTTTTTTGCTATTTGATTGCTCGCGCTGTTGTTGATTATTGGGCAAAGTTATTTTGGATAAGTGATGTTTAGTGAAGACAAATCAGGATATGTGTTGTTTTGTACCTGCTGCATGGATAAGTGTGGTTTTGAATGTTACCTGTCTGGATATGTAGTGTTTTGTTTTAATTGTTATGGAAATGTGTAATAATAATAAACCATACAAAATCAACACTTTTATTATTTAAAAAAATCAAGTCTTTAATATCATCTCTATATCACACTCTTAATGTATCCGTGTCCGGTTCAAAACAATCACATTCTTCATCATCATCCTTTTCTTCTTGATTTTGTGATAATGTAGGTACTGTTTCACACAAAAGTCTTTTGTACCACTCTAATTCAGGCAGCGATTCCCAGTTTTCTCCAAATTGTTTGATAAGTAAATTTTTGACATTTTTTTTTGCTGCAGAAATAGGATACTCCAAACTGCATTGTATCAAAATTCTGGGGTGTTGTTTCTGTCTCTTAAGCAGGCAAGAGCTTGTTTTATTGCCCTCAGACTTAAATGCTTGTAACAAGTTACTAAGTATTTTTTTGTAACTCCTCTCCGAGTTTGAGAGATAGTTTTGTTATGTAAATCCGTTTCATGTCCCTGATTTCATCTACTTTTTTGTAATAATCAGACAGTTTTTTTATATCATATAATCGCCAGTTTTCCCCGAGAACCTTGACTTCACCAAACTTTTCAAAATGCTCTTTGTATTCTTCTTTGGTGGTAATAACAGGGTATTTCTTTATTTCTTTTTCGATCCTCCCGAACTATCTGCTGGTAGGAATGAATGTCCTCTTACTGGATAAGTGATTTGAATTTGTTTAATTTCAGTAGGAGAGTGGTTGATGAGCCATAACAACATTGTGTGAATGATGTGGGAGTTCTTATTTTGGCCTCCACATCCATCACAAAAGAGGCGTACAGTTTCAATACCAGTATAGTATTGAAACATTAAATATTGCAACAAGGCTGATCCTACCTCTGTGGCTCCACGCCTAGATTGAGTTTCATCCCATGTAAAAAATACTGGATGCACAGCTGACATATTCACAAAGCATAAATTGCTCCCCCTTCGGTACATTCAGCCTCGTATTTTTTTTCGTCCATGTATCACACCCGTCCGTTCCACACGAATGACCGGCGCACTTACAAGTTTCAATATGTTCGTCGCTGAGAATGTCTTGTAGTACTGGACAACCATTGCCGGAATTAAGATACTCGCGTAGAGAAGACAGGCAATTAATGCTTGTTGTCTTGTAGGTTCCTTCTCGAATAATTCGTCCCAGTCGAGAGTTAAATCCCCACTGTTTATTATGACTGATGTATATGAGGTTCCAATGCCATCTTCTTGTTCCTTGATGGTAAGCGATGAGTTTGTAAGGTCCGTTATAAACTGCTGACACTTCATCTTCAGGCTTTCTGATATACGAGTCAAAATATTTGAAAGATAGACTTTGTTAAAAAAATATTAATTAAACACTTTTTACAATTTATATCTTAAGTCTATCTATTACTAAAAACTGGGGTAATGTGAACACTGTTGTTCGCCAACTCGCGGTTTATATACTGCTCCTGCGGGGGGTCGCGACGGGATGCTCCACACGTCGATGTTTTGGAATGTGCTGAATGTCCATAAAAATAATGTTTCCTGATTATTCATTGTCTTTCAGCACTATCGGATTCTTGTAAGTCCATGGTGTGGTTACTGAAATGCGATCTAATTGCCTATTGTCTTTAATATACTTAAAGTTTATATTTTTATCAAGTTCTATATTCTGGGTGGCTTGACTGTCCCCCTCCAAATTCGAAGTCCATGGTTTAAAACAGACCTTGGATCGGAGAATTTTAATCAAGGTAATTATAATTATAATTAAAATCAAGATACCAATCCAACTATATTGTATAATATTATGATTTCCTTCTTCAAAATTAAAATTCTCTATTTGCTTTAATTGCTTTAATTTAGAGTTAATATTTGAAGCATCATAATTTAATTCTATTTCAGTAAGAGTTTCAATGTTCTGAGTATCAATATTCGCAATAATTATTTTATCATTTGATTCCTTTGTTTGAAATATATTTAATCCAGATATTTTAAGTTCACAATTTTCACCATAAAGAATATTAGATTGCTTAGTCCACACCGTTTCCTCGTGCTTATTACATTTAATATAACCCTTAATAGGGCATGGGCAACTGTGGGTGTTTGAAAAAAAAACGCAGTCAATTTGGCATTATGGGTGTACAGTGTTGTCGGATAGCAAATCATTTGCTCCCCAAGTGTTTTCAGTTTTTCAGGAAAATGTGTGGGAAAATAATTCCTCTTGCCCATTTAGATCAACACATGTAAGTGCTATGTGGGAAATTATTTCCATACTTATGAGAAATATATTACATACACATCCAGTAGTAAGCAAGCAAAAGGTGCAAGAAAGTAATATATTGTGATTATTTTTATTACAGGATAATTATTTTATGTAAATAAAACACAAATAAATGTAATAAAATAATGTTTATTTATTGGTGGAACATTTCAAAGCAAGGAGCAGCGCACAAAGAGACCTTACAAATTTTGCAAATGTATTTGCTGCGCTGTTCCTTTGCACGTGTACTGCACATCCTACACCTCCGAAATTTAGATAGCTCTGGCATGTGTGTTCCAACATCCGCTTTTCTTAGTTCCTCAGGTACTGCAGTGGCACCTCCTTTTTTGGTTTTGAATACTGGAGCAATTTTTTTTCGTGACGTAAAATTATTTATTAGGCCCCGGCCTAATCGCAGACGAAATTCTTTATGAGTATTTCGCCGTTCCGAATGAGTTGTCATATAAACAATGTATGCATTGATCACAGCTGCCTCCAGCAAAAACCAAAAAAGTCGATGCCAATTCTTTCGCGATTTGCGCCCAAGTGGGTATGAAGCTCTAAAGTGATCAAAGTGATCAACTCCTCCCATAAACTCAGTGTACTTCTTGATTGAAAGAGGGCAAAACATTTTTTTTTTTGGTACCATCTTTTTGTTTCCGCCCAATCATTTCCACAGCTCGAGGATTGAATGCAGTAGTTGCAACAAAAACATCTTTTGTATCTTTCCATTTGATAACAGTTATTGGTCCATCACACTGGTATATAAATTCTCCCGGTTTCAGGACTGTTTCCTTTCTCTCTTCACTGTTTAGATTTTTTCCTGTTAATACATCTGGTAAACCCTTGCGGTTTATTCTTACGGTTCCAACACTATAAATATGTTTCTCAAATAAAATCTCCAATAATGGAAGGCTGGTGAAAAAATTGTCAAATGCTACCAATGTGTTGCTTGGCAAAGATTCACATAAATCTAATATTACTCTAGCGCCTAAGTTCTCTTCTGTTCCACTATCGACTTTCCCAGAATAAAATTGGAATTCATATAAGTACCCTGTTTTTGAATCAGCCCTTGCCCAACATTTATATCCTCTCTTTATAGGTTTCTTGGGCATATATTGTTTCATGTGGCTGCGCCCCTTGAATCTTATCATACTCTCATCTATTGAATTGAATGCAGAAACTTGTACATTATCTTTGAATGTTTTGTTCAGTATGTCAATAGCAGGTTTAATTTTTCCTAATTTATCATAATCAGGAGAGTTTCTTGGTGCCTCTGTTGTAATGTTTGATATGTGTAGATTTTGAGATATTTTTTTAAACCTTTTTGATGGCATCACTTTACAAATGACTGGGTTTCTGAAAAACTCATCCGTTGACCAATATGTATTTATATCGGCTAATGGATTTATACTCATAAGTATAATCAAACCAAAGTATGCTTTCATTTCTTGTTTTGTGACATCTGTCCAAGCTTTAGCATGTGTGTAATTTGCATACAAATTTGTGTTTTGAACAATAATATCAATTAGTTCTTCTGGAAAATAATCAATGAAATATTCAAGTGGTTGAGTTCTGTTAGTGTACCTCTTTTTTACTTGCATTTCTCTGTCAAAACTAGGCCAAGTACCATTTTCATGTATAAAGGACCAATTCCTTGATTTATCTTGCAATGGTCTAAATGTATCTCGAGAGAAAGACAATGTAGTTTGTGCAGTATTTTGTTCATCAGACACAGTCACTTCAGGTAGTGGAAGAGAAGTTGATGTTGAAGCAGCAACAGAAATTTCAGGGATTGAACATATAGCTTCCTCATGGACTTCAGCCATAGTGACATCTTGTGAAGTAGTAGTATCTTGAATAAGTGATAAATCTGGCTCACCCTCCAATAAACTGTGCAATGCTTCTGTAGAAAGATTTTGTACTTCATCCAAACGCTGATCAAAATCGGACAAAATAACCAACTGCTTCATCATCAAATTCCTCATCCTCTGACGAACATAACAGCGCGGACAGTTGGGCTTCAATATCTGAATCGCGAAGATGTTTCTGAAAGAAAAAAACACTACCATCAGTCTGATTGTGTAACATAAACATTCCTTGCAGGAAAACCTTTCCCACAATATAATAAATATTCTTTATCTAAACGGGCAACAAGCTAATATTTCCCACATAGTTTTGAGTGCTAAATTTCAGTCACTCATTGTTTTTCATAATAATGAACTACATAAACAAGTAACGTGACCCTTTATCTAATAAAATAAATCAATAGTCAACACTTACCGGATTTTTTTTCGGCATTATCACAATTTTTATCCGAAATCACACGAAAATCTGATATGCGTTTGAAAAAATATCGAAAGTAAAACTTTGACAGCACCTTTTTTTTACTTCGTTCGTTTTGGAAACGTGTCTTTTGGCTCATGTTGTAGGTTACCTCATAAATAAGAAAATGACAGTGACATTTTGTGGGAACAGTTACACATTTGACCGTTTACGAAAACAAAATGATGTGGGAATAATGTTCATCTGGCCCTATTAAGGGACAAACTTCCGTAGTTTTATTAAAATACATATAAATTGCTTTAGGAGAAATTTGGAGAATCTCTTGATTAGGACATTTAACATTTACTGTTTGACATTTATTACTTTCTTATATAAAATCTCTGTTTCACAAGAATCTATTTTAATTAGATTTCCTTTGTAAATTAAATTATTTAATTCCATACAATCAAAAACTTCATACGATTCTTCGTTATCAAACGCAAGAGTTACCTTTTGCATAATAGGATAGGAACAGGATGGGTAATTATGGATAATGGGTACAATTTTCGACTCTTATATATCTTACTCTTAACTAAAGGAATATTAATCATAAAATAAACAATTTCATTTATAATTTTACTCTTTACAGTTAACAAAGGCTCTAAATCATTTATATTATTAGAAATAAGTAAATCTTTTGGGATATTATTTAAAGTTTCTAATAGTAAATACGATTGTAATATACTATAATGATACATACTGTGTTCTGCAAAAGTAATCGCAGTTGTTAATCTTTCAGCTATATCTTGCAAAGTTTGAGCTTGTAACAATAAAGAGATCGCAACCTTTTGCTGCGCCTTATTATTTAATACATTATTTAATTGATTACTTATTTGTATCTGAATATTTGTAATATTTAAAATTTGTTTATTATATTCTTCTAAAGAACTATCAGTAACAGAAATCTGTTTATTATAAGCTATTCTTAAAGTCTCTAAATTGTTTTGAATATTAATTAAATCATTATCATCTAAATTTCCAGTAATTAATTTAATAATTGAACCTAATCCATTAATTAATCCACATTTAGTACGAATATTTGATCGAATATTTAAATGTTTGCATATTTCTTTAACATGATCTAAAATAATATTAATTCTTTGATAAATATACTTAACATCTTCTACATTAGATTTACTTAATGCAAAATTAACAGAATATTGCAAACTATCTAAATTATATTTAATAGGTTTTATATCTAATTCATGTATAATAGTCCACCCTCCTTCTATTATCCGGGTAGGACTTAATTCAATTATAATTACATTTTCATCAGGTTCTAACTGTCTGAACTTGTATCCGAAGATACAGAGTGCTCTGAAACAATAAGTTCCTCTATGTGATATGTTTTACCATTACTTAATTTATACTTGTTATGAGGTTCAACACTAACTATTTTATATGGACCCAAAAATCTACTTTTTGTTTTATGACGTTCCGCCATACTATTTTTAAGATACGCGGTGTCACCTATTTTAAATAATTTCGGGGCCCTAATATTTTTATTAATTCGTTCATTTCTTTGCTCTTTCTGTTGTTTAAGTATATTATGTATATTTTTATTTAGTTCTTTTACAAAATCGCGTTGCTGTGCCGTATACTGCTATATTACAACTCTTAAATTATCAAAGCTACGCAGCTTAGGTTTTCTACCGAAATGCACTTCAAATGGAGTTAAATTTATAGAACTATGCGTAGTATTATTATATGAATGAGTAATAAAATATATTTTTTGAGTTTTATCTAAATCCGACTCTCTTTGTAAACGATATAATTCTTGTAACGTATTATGAAGTCTTTCTACATCTGCATTAGATTTATGATGTTGTGGGGAAATAGTATGATCCTTTATATTATAAGTTTTAAATAATTCTTTAATAACCTCACTACAAAACGATTGTTCACCATCATGAATAATTTTATTAGGTGCTCCTATAAATGCAAATATTTCGGATAAAGTATCATAAACTTTAGTTTTTTCTGTGGGTTTTACAATAGCATATTTAGAAAATTTATCAATAATTGTTAAGTACCATTGTCGTTCTAAAGACAAAATCAATGTGCCATACATCCATAGGTTCATAAGGGGTTTCCGTATCTAAAAATAAAGTTTTATAAGGGTGTCTATTATATTTTTCCTTTTTACATATTTCGCAATTTGTAATATATTTTTTAATTGATTTTCTCATATTTTCAAAATAATATTTATCGCGAAGCTGTTTATATACACTTTCTACACCAGCGTGCCTATTTTCTAATAAATGATACTCTTTAATTAAATTTAATTGTTCTTCTTTATCATCTATTTCCGCTAAATTTTTCGTATATCTAATTGGCTTAAACTTACTGTGATCAAAATACTTTCTATAAACTTCCGAAACTTTATAATATAATTCATCATTAGGGATAATAAATGCGTATTTCCTTTATCTTAAATATTCTAACATAAATTCTTTAATTATTTCTTCTTCATTATCAGGTGAAATATAAAAATAATGCATACCCTTTTTATGTTGCGCGTCTTTATAAGGTGCAACTTCGAACACTACACGTTTTAACCTTTTAGGTGGATAAGTATTACTAATAGGAATACCTTCATCGCTGTCTTGTTGACACGAATGCACTGTATTTAACGATTCATTGTTTTCGGGGGAAGAATGCGCTATACCACTACCGTATTGCGTTGAATTGTTATCACTATGTGGGGTACTATCAAGTGACATTTGTTCACCACATTGTGCTTGTAATGACTACACTAGTATTATGCAATTTTATTCTACTTAATGCATCTGCTACATAATTTTCTCTACCTTTTACATGTTCAATAATATAATCATAATCTTGTAATTTTAATTTCCAACGTGTTAATCGCTGATTCGGTTCCTTTAATTTAGATAACCATATTAATGCTTTATGATCAGTTCTTAAAACAAACTTTCTTCCATATATATAGGGTCTAAACTGAGTTACAGCCCATAAAATACCTAATAATTATTTTTCAGTAGTATTATATTTTTGTTCACAACTACTTAATGTCTTAGAAGCATACGCTATAGGATGATTATCCTGGCTTAAAATCGCGCCTAATGCTATATCAGAAGCATCGGTTGTAATAACGAACGTTTTATTAAAATCTGGAAATGCTAAGATCGGTGCGTTAGTTAATAAGTGTTTACATGTCTCAAACGCCTCTATATACTTTTTATTCGTTATATCTATAGTCGCATTTTTCTTAATAGCTTCAGTTAATGGCTTTATAATTTTACTTAAATTAGGAATAAATTTTCTATAATAACCTATTAATCCTAGAAAACCTCTTATTTCCTTTAATGTTTTCGGAATAGGAAATCTTTGTATAGCTTCTACTTTATTTTGGTTTAGTTTTAAACAATCTTTATTTAAAACGTGCCCTAGAAACTCTATTTCTTCGGACATAAAAATACATTTATTTTTATTTAACTTTAAATTCGCTTTTCTAAGTGCTTCGAAATCTTGTTGTAACTTATTAATATGATGTTGTTTACATTTTGAATATATTATTATATCATCTAAATATACTAAGCATATATTTCGAGAAATCTCTGTTTTTAAAACGTTATTCATCATACGTTGAAATGTTGCGGGTGCGTTCTTTAAACCAAATGGCATTCTAAGAAATTCTTAATGACCGTTAGGGGTACTAAATGCCGTTTTTTCTATCGAATCTCTATCCATTAATATTTGATGATATTGTAATTTAGAAAATAATTCTTCTATATTTGGTAAAGGAAATTTATCCGACTTAGTTTTCTCATTTAATCGCCTATAATCTATAACCATACGCCATTTCTTTATTCCTGACTGATCTAATATTTTTGGAACAATATGCACAGGGGATGACCATGGGGATTCTGAGGGTTGAATTATATTTTCATTTAATAATTTATTTATTTGTTTATCTACTTCTTCCTGTTGTATTTGGGGTAACCTAAATGGTCTTTGATAAATAGGTTCTTCGCTTACTAAATTAATCCTATGTTTTATACTTGTAGTTGCACTATTAGTAACGTCTTCGGTAAATAAATCTTTATAAGTTTCACAAAGATCTTTAATATTTAAAGAATCCTCGTCGGTCATATGATATATTAAAATTTCCTTTTGGGGTAAGATTAATTTTCTTTCCTTTAAATCGATTTTCGCGTCAATTTGTTCGATCATGTCCGTTCCCATTAAAATATCATATTTATTACTAAAATTAAATATATAAAATTTCATTGAACTATCACCTTCACCGAAATATTTATTCCAATAAGGTGTTTCTATTAAACCTACATGCCTAGTAATACCATGAGAAGTTCTAACCGTAAAATGTTCCGGTTTATAATAATCTAAGAAATATTTAGAAGCTCTAGTAGTCATAAAAGATCTTTGACTACCAGTGTCAATTAATATTTTTAAATATGGTTCATCTATCTCAAAATAAGGCAAATAAGATTTAACATAATTAAATTCTATGTCTCTTTGTTTTGATCTGAACGCTCGTGAAAATTCGGCTCAGTATTTTTTGAATTGTTATTTTCAAAATAACTATCATGACAATATTGATTATATTCATGGGGATAATTATAAAAGTTTTCATTTTCGTGATGAAAAACTTCTTCCGCAACCATTCTCTTTCCTAAATTAATTTGGCCTTCCCTTACATTAGGGGCGGTTCTCATCGAAACATCATTTGAATTGTGTTTATTTATCGTAGGCTTCGATTGATTTTGTTTAAAAAAGGGATGTGGTGACTTATTAAAAACATTATTATTATAATTAGGGTGCCACGATTGCTTATTATAACTAAAATTAGGCCTCGTTTGGAATCTTTGATTAAAAGAGCGTTGTGTTGTGGGATAAGTGTGTTTATTTAGCGGATTAAAGGTATTTTGAGGATGAAAAGTATTTTGAGGATTAAAATTATTTTGAGGATATAATTGTAGGATAAGAATTTATTACACGCGGAGGTGGTAATAAATTTGAAAATTTCTGTTTAATATTATCAAATCTACCTTCGGCCTCTAACTGCAATATTTTAGTTGCTGTTTCGTTAAAATTACAATTTGAAACATAAATTTGATCGTGATAAGGTAAACTATTCCTTAAAGTATTCTGCGCGGTATTTATATAAGGTTCCATAACTTCTTCAACTAACATTTTATCAGAATATTTGTCTAACAATTTACTCTTAATAAAAAATAATTTCTGTTTTAATTCGAAAATTAAATCCTTATTAGTAGTTTTTTTTTAACATTTGCTAACTCTATTAATAATGTATTAAATTCCCTATTATCGCCACATTCTTGTTTTAAAACCGTTTCTATATTAAACCATTGAAAATCATGATCAACCATACTAATTGTAATTGCCGCTTTACCTTCTAATTTACTTAATAACAACATAACATTTTGAGGAGTTTCTCCTCCCGCAATAGACAACCATTGTTTTGCACAATTAATATAATTATATAATGTAAATGCATCACCGTTGTATGACGGGATGAAACTAATTAGAGTTTTTGGATCCATGATTTTATTAAAACTCTGTGCTATGGAGACTTGTTGCAAATTAGGGACTCTACTATCGTTGGATAGGCTTCCTATCGAACTATAACTACCCTCGATACTAGAAGGAGGGTGATTCACATCATCCAATAACTTAGATTTAAATACAAATTTCGGGGGTTTGAGGTAGAAAGGAATTTTGAAGGATTTATGCAAAAAGGTATTCACATAAATTGCAGAGAGATTACCGCCTTCAGCATGTCCTTCTCCTTATTTTCAGGTCCTCTCCCGTTTGTTTTTATTTGACGTATTTATATAGTGGGTCACTAGCTGAAGTCTTGAGAGACTGCGCGTAACTTGGCCGGAACGGTTACTCAACTTTGAGTTTTATCGCGACGGAATAACGGCGAGTTCTGCGTGCTAGGCCCCAGACGTTGGGCGCCAGTCAAAATATTTGAAAGATAGACTTTGTTAAAAAAATATTAATTAAACACTTTTTACAATTTATATCTTAAGTCTATCTATTACTAAAAACTGGGGTGATGTGAACACTGTTGTTCGCCAACTCGCGGTTTATATACTGCTCCTGCGGGGGGTCGCGACGGGATGCTCCACACGTCGATGTTTTGGAATGTGCTGAAAGTCCATAAAAATAATGTTTCCTGATTATTCATTGTCTTTCAGCACTATCGGATTCTTGTAAGTCCATGGTGTGGTTACTGGAATGCGATCTATTCGCCTATTGTCTTTAATATACTTAAAGTTTATATTTTTATCAAGTTCTATATTCTGGATGGCTTGGCTTACGTACCGACTGGATATATTGGTCCTTCCATGTTTCCACTGTTTGTTCTAGGCCTTTCTGATCTGCCTCCCCCGATAGAGTATCTTCTCGTTCGTACATTTTGCCATCTGATTCTATATCCGCCATCGCTTTCAATTACCCCAATCCCTTCTGCTCCAGCACATAATTCATTACTCTTTCCTTCCCGTATCATCTTCCAATCGTATATTCCTACTTCGTTCACTCCCTGTGTCGTCGTCATCGGTTGTCGTTTTAATTGACTGCACTGAGTCTCGTCGTCTGAGTCCGCACTTGTCATAACACGTTTCATTTTTATAATGTACAATAGGATATGCTTGCTTACTCTTTGTTAATTCTTCCTCGATGTCTGCGTTGGTGATGATGTGGTAGTGGTACACTTGCTTGCTGTTCATGTCGACTGTGCATTCGTTCGTATATACTAGTGGCCCTTCCTTTTTGTCCTTTTTTACCGTACGTCCGTTGTCGCGTCCCTTTCACTTTCGCTCCTTATTTGGTTGTTCTAGATTGGTAGGCGTGAAACCTAGGTTATTGTGCTGCTTCTTGTTCTGTAGTCGATATAGCCGACCGACCTAGCTTTCGTGTAGTCGAACCACTCTCTAGATGGTTGCGTAGGGTTCTTCTTGAGATGATATATCTGGCTGCAGCAGTATATGTAGATAACATACCCCTTTCTACCATTTTAACAATGTTTTTCATCTGTTGCGAAATCCATTGAGCCCTTATTTTCCTGGTGGTAGTAGCTGGTGATCCGTTTTCCATGATGTTACTGAAAACAATTGTTTACTACATATTTTACTGTGATATTTTTCTAACTGACATAAAACATTGTCCTAATAAGACCTGTACCTGTGCCGTTATAAAGCCTATATATTTTTTATAAGCTTTATTAAGGCATGGTACATAAGTAAACAAAACAACAATTATATGGAATACATCGATATTACAGCTTTTTCACTTATTAACAGATTAACATTTTCACAATTATCGATCGGATGATCAGAACGATCATCGGTGTAAAGGCTAATTGTCAATAGAATCAACTCTTAATTCCTTTCATTCCATTTTACCTACAGTTAAGCTCTCTGAGAAACATTCTTTATTCACTTTTTCATACCTTCAATTTTAGCCATTCATCCACAAGTTCTTTTCCTTAAAACATGTAATCTAAATTACCATTCCATTTTTATTAAGTTTAAATTCCTAGATATCTAATTATCTACTGGGTACCAACAATCTAATCTCTAGAATCTTTTATAATAAAAATAACATGTATCTAGAGTAATTATAGTACATTTAGGGCAACATAAACTTAATGATAAAAAAATATATAATTATTTGACAGTTTTTTTACTGCTGGTCAATACAAAAAATATAGATTTCAATTTAAACTTTGATTTTGTCTTTTTTTTCAAGAGTAGAATTTAATATCATATAAACAATAGAAGTTTACTAGTTATTGCATCAGGCTGCAATAAGATCTTGAGGATCATATTAGTGTAAGAATTCCTTTCCATATACGTAAAACCGTAAACCGTAAAACGTTTCTCGTCAGGAAATATGAAGCGCGGTTTATAGTTATGAACCTGATATTTTAGTCTAATTAATAGTTATGATCAATATAAAAATGTTAAAACCATTTAATTTTTACAAAAGGATTCAATATTGTAATAAATGTAATGCTTACATACTTTGGATTATAATTCTTTAAAAAAAGAACGAAATTATTAAATGATAAATATTAAAAGTTATATATGAAATACCTATTAAACTCGGAATTTTAATTCGATTCCAGATTTGACAATTTCAGTGTTGCGACGTTATGACAAGTACTAAATAGTAACGTTGCGAAATTATTCGATACGGAAATGGAATATTTCCGCATCGATTCCTCTCGTTTATAGTAGTATATCTAAATAACTACTACTTCAATATAAACTAAGTATATAAGGAAATTAAATATTTCTGAACGGATAATTTAGTTATGACGATTAATTTTATTAAGGATCTGAGAGTTTTCTTTAATAATTGTGTGTGAAATAAATAAAAAAATGTGATCATGAAGGAACATGAGAATTAAAACAAATAGATGTATTATGGTAATATTTTATTTTATAAATCATCGCCGTCATCGCTTTCGCTATCGCTGTCACTTTCTGTAACATTTATTATAAATTGGTCTGTGATATTGTCAATTAACATATCTAGCCTACTCATTTTTTCCTCTTCTTTGACAACATGGGATACGCATTTAGACCATTCGGTAGCCGTAATTTTTTGAATGCCTTTGTCAAATAAATTTCTCACGTTTTTCCATTTTGAAGGTTTTATTATTTTGAGCTACATGCCCCTTTCACCGCCCTTTTTACCTGCGCCCATATCAATTCGATAGGGTTCAGCTCACAATGGTAAGGGGGCAGTCTTAAAACCGTGATCCTATGTTGTGCTGCCATTTCGTTTACAGCGTACTTATTAAAAGACTTGTCATGTGGAATCAGTTCTAAAAGCGTAGCTTTAACCACATCTGGTTCGTAATGAATATTTTTCTTTAAAAGCCCTTCTTGAATGGCAGCTTTTTTCCAGCTCATTTTTGGTGCCGTTTCCGATTTTCGGGAGTGGTAAGGTGCATTCTCCATCACCACAATTGAGTTTGGTCCTAATTTTGGTAAGACTCCAGCGAAACACTCCTCAAAACAAAGTGCATTCATCTCATCATGGTAATCTTCACAATTTTTCTTTGCTTCAAAAATCATGAGCCCCTTTTCCAGGAAGCCTTCTTCACTACCTATATGGCTAATTATTCGACGTTTGCCTTTTCCAGATGGATTTTTAATCCAGTGGTCAGTCCCTCCGAAAACGCTTGCCGAGATGATGTGACTTTCTTGTCCACCCAAGTTTTTTTTACAGTATGACCTAAAAATAAATATAGTACATGAACATTCAATATTACTATTAAATTTAATGTAAAATGTATATAAATTCAAAATGTTAGCCTTACCTGCGTTAACCCAAGTTTCATGTTGATAATATATATGTCTCCCTTCTCATCGAAATTGACATATAGATCGCAAGTAACGCTGGCGCTATGTCATTATATCATTTCGATCAATAAGTGTGCTCTTGCGTGACCGTGCAACAAATTTAAAATTAAGATGCTTCAAAAATTTTCTGAGGGTGTCTTTGGAAACCTTGGGCATTTCTGGATTATCGTTCATCACTTGTAAAATATAAAATAGTAAATTGTATAATAGTTTGTAATCATTACTTATATATAAAAGATGTAGGTATATAAAATAATACTGTCTGACTGATTGACTTACCTTTGCAATGGTTGGAGGTTCATTTCGGTAAAAGAACTGATGAACAATTCTTCGTATTGCGGAGAATGTAAATTCATCAATTTTATCTTTGAAACTTTGCTTTGGTCCAGTTTAGGAGGAGTTGGCGGCGTACCTTTATTTACTTCCTTCAAAACGTTACAAACAGAGCGTGAGGTTATTCCCAATATGTCAGCAACTTTGCTCATACATTGCGCAGAAGTTTCATTTTTCACGTGCTTGTAGGTGTTGCGGATCATTACTTTTTCAGTAACAGTGAAAGCTTTTCGTGGACGTTTTTTTCTTGGGGACAAGAAAACATCCACGTCTTTTTGTGATGTACTTGGCTGAGGATCCATTTTGATGGAAAACCAAAACAAATAGATTCACTCTGAAGTTCACAAAAAAATATAAACGTAACAACAAACACAACGTAACAAAAGTTTAACAATAACCCAACAAAATAACAAAATATCGATTCGCAATGAAACAAGATATTCGTGCAGTCAGACTGGGAGAATGAAGCCGAATGACAAGATAAACAAAATGGCGATAGCTGCACGAGCGCGCACGCGTTGCCAATACAGAAAACTGTCTGTCTAGGCTCATACAAAAAATTCAATTACCAAACTATAATAATTAAAATATTAATGTTGCCACATTCTTACAAATATTCAATAGAAAGTCAACCTGCCTTTAATTTTTCTTTGTAATTAAGAATTTAGATTTGTTTTTCTTTAAATTGTTAATACATAAGATGTCTGTTATTTTTTTTTTAACTGATTTAGTTTAAAATTTCTATTAAAAGTATAAATGTGTATAAGTAGCTGTTATTGTTTTTTTTTTATTTCAATTTCACTTCTGGTTCCTAAAAATATATATTTTTAGAATTTACAAGAAGAATATTTGTATATAATACATATTTTTTAGAACATATCTTTTTTCTGCTTTATTTATTCTTAATTTTCAAGAAAAAAAAGGTTCTTCTTTTTTTTCTGTCTTCCATGTTTATTCTCATATTTTTCTTGTATATATATTTTTTTCTTCAAGTGTTCAACAATTTAAGTTATCGGTTCTTAATTTTTACGAGTACGGTGTGCGTGCCTTGTGTAGCGCTTGAACGCACACCACCTGGCAGGGTCGCCATATAATGTGTGAAGAAAATGAGACAACTGTTTGGCTCCAAGTTCGTTTATTACTCTTTAAATAATAACAGGTCGTACAATACACATATAGGTATCTTAGAGGCTTACACACATGCACACTACACAACCCCAATAGAAGAAATCGAGGGAGTTTAGATCGGGTGAACGGGGTGGCCAAAGGAAAGGACCAAGTCGCCCGATCCAATGCCCTGGATACTCTTGGTTTAAGTATTCTTGCACAGGATGGGCATAGCGAGCTGGGCAACCATCATTTTGAAACCACATGTTTTGTAAATCACTGGACACGTCTTCTAATAATTCTGGCAAGTCATTTTGTAAAAAGTTCAAATAACTTTTGCCATCTATGTTTCCTTGTTACTCAAAGGGCCCAATCACTTATACATTTAATATGCCCGTTCATAGGTTAACCTTAAATTGATATTGGGATTTGTCTTGTCTAATCAGGTGCGGATTTTTATTGTTCCAGCTATGTAGGTTGTGAAGGTTTAAATAACCATCTTTCTCGCAGGTTGTTTCATCCGACCATAGAACTTTTTTTAAGAATTGGGGACCTTTCCTGTTCAGCATCACACGGCAAAATGCAACCCGTAGTGGGTAGTCTCGTGGTATTAACGTCTGCACACGCCTGTAGTGATATGGGTGAAGCCTGTGACATTTTAGAATCCGATTTGCAGAACTTTTTGGAATTCCTGTAGCTGCTTCTATAGCACGTACCGAGGTAGTTGAATCATTTTCTATTTCATTGAGAACTTCCAGCATTTCTCCTGTCAGATGGTAAATTACCCTCTAAAAACGTTTGATGTACATTAATAAATACTCGATAATCCGGGTATCTTTGAGCATTTGGGTACCTTTCTCGATGCAATCTGCTAGCAGCATTGAATCTGCATTCTCCATAAATTAGGTGCATATTAGCGTACTCCAACATTGTATATGGTAGCGGCATGATAAACGCTAAACAGTCCAAAATACGCCAAAAATCCAATTTACAAAACACAATCATAGTCCAAAATAATGCCAGGTCAGTTCAGTTTGCAGATCACTTAATCTAGTCCAAAAAGCTAAGCCAAATGTCGTTAGTACGAGAGCCACGTCAATTGTATACGGAACGGTGCACAGTAAACAAAGGAGCAGAGCGTACTGACTTGCTGATAATAGCAACTTCTCTACCTGCCCTATTGTTATTCAACAACAAACATCTACATATCTATCTATCTCTCTCTAACGTATTACCTCTCTATCTATTTCTCTCTAACTTCTTAATTTTATAGACGGACGTGTCCCATTCAAATTTCAAGAATTTACAACAAAAAACCTATTTTGGGCACATCGTAAAAGTTACTATCACAACAATAATAATTTATGAAATATAGTTTTTGTTTAGAAATAGTACGCATTTGTTTATGGCTAGTTTTCATAGTGTATTATACCATTTTAGAATCTTGGTTAGTTGCGTCAATTTTCTTTAAAACTTGCCATAATAGCGTTCATACTTTTTTTTACACCACGATGAGTGAAAGTAGACTGAAAGTAAAAATAAATTCAAAATTTTAGGGGAAAAATAATTTTGATTGATTTTTGTGTAAAAACTACAGGTATTTTTGGGATTTCTAAGGATTGGACAGCAGGGTCGCCGATATAAAAAATATTCAGAAATATTCGAAAAATTGTGGTCACGTTGGATAAAATATCTTTAGGGATGTCAAATTTCGAAGAATTTCGAAATATGTTTGTAAATTTAAAAAAATGAGATTTTTTTCTTTTTGTTTCTCGAGTAGTCATGAGCAGGTCCATCCTCTGGTGCCCGCTCATAGTTAAATTTTTGGACACGTTGTATATTACTATTGTATGATCCGCGTTACGCGGAGTAAAATATATAGAAAACTAATGCTAATAAATTATAATATTATACCTTGTACATGGACTTAATCCTGCGTAGGCACTGATCAAAGAATGAAAGAAGAAGATATAAATATATAAGCCCATTAATTAATCTGACCGAAATACTTTATTTTACTATGTAACCGACACAATTCAAAAAGGAGCTCTCGTCACATCGACCGAAGAATCGCGAATGCCGTTGACATCTGTCATTACAAACCTGACTTAAGATAATACCATATATAAAAATACTAAAAGTTCTGATCTATTTTGAGAATATTTTCTTTATCGACCACGAGATGGTCTCTCTAAAATAGATTATTTTTTTTCATTGGAATCCCATGGAAGGGTCATTGATACTTCGATTACATGGGCTTGCTCTATCAATAAGGAAAGTGATTCACGGGGTCTCATTCGTAATTTCTATAGTAGAAATAGGGTTGTCTTCATTTATATGTATATGTAGCGTCTTCGCTTGATGGAACGTAATTAGAACCATCTTTTAGAGAAAAGTCACCGACAATAGAAGTATTTTCATCGTTCTGATTTTATTTCGATATTATGGCACGAGGCTGTTCTAAAACTTCTGTTATTACAGATTTTTCAGGCTCACCCACGATCTCTTGTTTCTGTAACTGATTTCAGTTGACCTTAGCAATTTTAGATTGACAGAAGATGATGATGTATTAATGTATGTATGGGTTTTGATGACATAACACATTTTTAATTTGTTTATCAAGTATGTATGTTTTGTGTTATTAAGTGATTTTGTTAATATATCTGCGATGTTGTTTTCTGTTGAGACATTAGAGATATTATAATAAATAACTAAATATGCTGGGACATTAACACACAGCACCATCTAGTTGAATGGTAAGCTACAAGGCTTGTGTTATAGACGATTCTTGACGCAGGTCGATCGGGGTGTTGGCATCAGACATAGCAACAACGGTGCGCCTTAGATTACTGAGGAGGATGCCTAGACATGGGTGGTCGAGAGGACGTACGTAAAATTGCTTTTCCGCGCACTCAAATATAACTTTGACTGTGGACGCTTAATGCAGTCGAAATGTTGTGGGAGAATTTGCGCCAAAAACACCCATCAATTAAAAGTCTAGCGACTGCTGGACTTCGAGTTTGCTGGCTTAAAAACCTCAATATTAAGTAACCTTTCCCACGTTAGTTATGGAAATTGTGAACTTGACTGCAATGAGGTCATTATTGACAATTTTAAAATGTTTTTTAAAATCAATAATCACCCTAAAAACCATAATTAAGAAATTTTAACCTCATCTACTGCATGGAGATTAAATAATGATGACATTCACCAGGAAGTATTTGAGGAGGATGGTGAATCACAAGCATGTGCTTATGTGTGTGGATTTTTAATAAAAAATTATAAAAATGGATGTGAGATTTGTAAAACAATATTTACAACATCAGACCGAACAGTAATGCATTATTTTATACAATTTAAAGAGTATAATGATTTTAAAGAAACTCTAAAGTATGCCAGCAAAAACTTTGTTCTGTGTGTAGAATCTTGTGCCATTTACATCAATAATTATCTATTAAGTAATTCACATAAAATAGGACTGGACTAATTAATGAATTAAGAAAGAAACATTTTAAAAGTTTCCATAAATTTTAACTTTTTAAGTGATTGCACAGAGCACAAAGAAAATAATATAAATTATATGTATAATTAACAGTATTTTCCATATTGTAAAAAAGATTTTGCACAAAAAAAATATATCTTTATCAAAAGAATCAATTTATTGAAAAATATGTAACTAGTAGTGGTTTGTGTTACTTTGTAAAACCAAACTGAACAATCTAAAATTTAATAACCTTTGACAATAATTGATCCTAAAATATTCATTGTTAATTTACTGGTTTGCAAATTATATTATTTTAACATTGATATATTTTATGTGTATTTTGAGAACTTAAAGACAACAAAGACAAAATTTAATAAGTAATAAATATATTATTTATTTATGTAAATTTGTTGTTCAATCTATTTCTATCTTATCTATTATACCAATTGTGTCATTTACGATTAAGTATTTCTGATATTAAAATCAAACTACTGTTTTTATTATTTAAATACTAGTAATAAAATGTGATCTTATAAATAAACCACAAACTTGTGATTTATGTTAAAATTAAAATTTATAAAAGCAAGAAATGTATCTCATTCAACTTTTAAGTTATTTTTTAAACATTAAGGCCACCAAAGCGGAGCTGGAAAATTATTACCAGTGAAATTCAGCGGTTACAATTTTCCAGTTATGCTTTGGTGGACAGAACATGCCGACCTTTGAATAAATATTTTTTAGAAATCAGATTTTGAATGTCCCGCTTTCTCGAGTTTTTGGGGGGCTACCACTAGATGGCACTAAAAATAGTGCCATTTTATTTGTACGTACTTGACATTCTTCTCCCTAGAGTAAAAATGTTCCTTGCCTGTGATGCGCCGGCGTCGCTTGTCCTTCCGGTGTGTGATTAATATTGCGAACACTACCTTGTTACGATGGCTTACCTGTATTCAATTATTGAGTACACCGAAATGGTGCGGATTTTAGTTAGTGAAGCCTGCCATGAATATTCAAGGCGATTTCCTAATTCACGTACACCAAGCTCCGCTACGATGCTGGCCGCTACACAGCCGCGACATGTTAAAAGAAAAAATAATTTGGGCATTCAATCAAATCAAACTGAATACTCAATTATTATCTCGTGTCGGTGAACAGTTGAGTTTTAGGTGTCGTCTATGCATAGAATGTCGAGGTGACTACTTTGAACGCTATGTGCGAGATGCTCACCTTCATCCGCGTCAAATACCTAATCCTAATTTTTAAATTTGTATTATCGTATCTTAATATTTTTATTAAACCACTAAATATCTGTATTCAATCATTAAATATTTTATTGTAATATTTATTTTAACCTGCATCTATTTTTTAAATACATCTTGCATTAAATAATAAAAAAAAATAGTGAATAACACTCAAAATTTAATCAAAAATATGAGCGTGCGATAATTTGCGTGACAAACCGGCAAAGGGCAGGAATGAATGAAATTGTTTAGATACTACCAAATACAGACTTAAGAGGAATTAGACATGACAACATAAACTTAAAAGTAGTTTTTTTGTAAATGTTTTATGTTCTGTAAAGAATGATCTCGCTAAAATTGTTTTATAAAATATTACCAATATATTCCCAAAAGGTTTTCAGTAAATTAAAATTGTGTGTGTATATATATATACACACACTGCCGACAGAAAGTTTCCGGACAAGATGAAAATTTATCAAAACAATTATTAAAAGTAAAAAAAATCAAGTTAAAACAAGTTTTATTTTAAAAATATTAAAAGACAACATTCTACAATTAAAACCATCAACATTTTTTATCTCTTTCATTTTATACTGCTACACTTTCTTTTCATCAAAGAAACCACCTCCGACCGCCACTAATTTTTTAACTACACGGGGCATTCTTTTTATAAGTTTTTCTAACACACTTTTGGTATATCATTCCAAGACGTTTGAAGAGCCTTCCAAAGATCATCCGAAGAAGTAGGATTCAATTTTCTAACTTTCCGATCCAGTTCATCCCACAATAATTCTATTGGATTTAGATCCGGAGATTGTGGGGGCCATTTCATTATTTCTAACTCACCACTGTGTTCTTTATTTTTTAAATAGTTGAGACAAAGCTTAGATGTGTGCTTTGGATCATTATCTTGCTGAAACACATACCCACGGCCAATTAGGCGCATCCCAGAAGGGTTAGCATGCGTTTTTAATATGTAATGGTAACCATTTCTGTCCAGGGTTCCTTTAATTCTGTAGAGATCCCCTACTCCGGCATATGAAAAACACCCCCACACCATCACGGATCCACCTCCATGTTTAACAGTTGGAGTTATAGTGTCGGGATGCATTTTTTCTGAAGATCCGCGACGGACATAAATTCTTCGCTTTTGCCCAAACATTTCGAACTTGGACTCATCAGTCCACAGGACTTGTTTCCAGTTTTCTACTGTCCAATCTTTATGTGCAAGGGCCCATTCTAGTCTTTTTTTTCTATTTCCGCGTCGCAAGAGTGGTTTCTTTGTAGAAATTCTGCCATTTAGACCAGCTTTTTGTAAGCGTTCCTTTACTACACTTACTGATATCTGTTTATCATGACTTTTATTGAACCGCATTTAAATTTCCGGTGCTGTAAGCTTCCTATTCATTTTAGACATGATGATTAGGGATCTATCCTGTGCTTTAGAAGTTACACGGGGCCTCCCATTGCGTTTTCTGTCTTGATTTGAACCAGTTTTTTCGAAACGACTGATGGCATCTCCGACAGTAGAACGTGGTATTTTTAATTTTTTCGCAATATAACATATAGTAAAACCTTCATTGTGAAGAGCAACAATAGCTGCACGTTGTTCTATACTTGTATTAGGCCGCCTTCCCATTTTCTTAAATAAATTAATAAAAAGAAATAATTATTTTGACTACAAGATTACTGGAAGTAATGCGACAAAACAAAAAAATGTACTTACTTTAAAAGTAATATAATTATATGGAAATAATAAAATCACTGCTAGAAATCGAAAAAATGCAAAAAATAATCCAATTTTTAAAAGAAATAGAAAAAAATAATTTAAATACGTTCACTTCGTTGCATTCCAGTTGAGTACTGAATGTTACGGATGACGACTTTATTTTGTTTTTCACAAACAGTGCGCGGGGACAGGGAGGAAAGTCGAAGACACGATCGTACACGCTTTGTAAACTAACATGGCATTTTCGTTATAGATCAAGTTAACGTGTTTATGCATCATATTTCAATTTAAAAAGTTAACAAGAAGCTTGTCCGGAAACTTTCTGTCGGTAGTGTATATATATATATATATATATATATATATATATATATATATATATATATATATCCACGTCCAATATAGTTACAATTTCATGTCCCTCATGGTTAAAAAATAGTTGATCGGTAGAGGATCCCAAGAAATTTATTGTGCGTAAATTGACTATCACAATCACATGTAATGCCAACAACTTCCAATCCAGCATTAAACAAACTACTCAGGACCTGTAAAAACATATTTATTGTAGTTATTACTTAATGGCTTAGAGATTCTGGAAGCTTTTTCAAAATGTCAAGCACACGTCTATCGTTGTTTTTATGATATCCCAGAGTAGTGAGAAAAAAAGTTTTACAAACTTCCTTCTTCACATTGTCGAGTTTCAAAAAATAGACATAAGTGTGCCTTCGTATCTCCTGGCTATCCTTAATACGCCTAAAAACATCTTTTTCAATAACCAGTGATTTGAAATGCAAACCTTGAACTTCATAAATAAACTTCCAAAATGTTTCATTTACAGGTTTGCGTTTTAATTTCGTAAAATATGACATACATTTTTTAATTACAAATTTCATTACATCCAGGGTTCACTGTCATTTTCTCCAATATTAACTTTTTGTTCTCTTCTAATCTTGTTTCTTGCAAAAAGTATAGGCCAGACCCTCCTAGCCCCTTCCCCACTTTTCTATGAAATACCTTTTGATGCATCTACGCATATACTTTAAAGAAGATTCTACAACTTTCTCAAAATATTGTAGATGTCTTATTAAATATTAACTTCATTAATTGCATTTTCTGAGAAAATTTACCATAGTGATGTATGTTTTTTTACACCACTAATTAAGAAAGTAGAGATTTCAACAAACAAAAAGCCCACCGACTTTTTTAAAAAAGCAGATATTTCGACGTGATTCTCACGTTCGATTGAAAATAAGAGTGCTTTTTCGATATTAAGTCAAAATTAGGTGAATAAATGTGTATTTTAAGTCAAAATAATTAAGGTAGCATTCGGATCAAGACGACCGCGACGCGAGACCGCGACTCGAGACCGCGACCGGCAACCGGTCGCAGGTCGCAGGACGACAGCTACCTACGAATCTACGCGACACGAGTCGTGCGAACCATACGAAACTCAGTATGCTTGCAGTTACTAAACTAAACGGTTGTATTCCATCACGACGCGTTTTAACTATGAACAGAAAAAGATTTATTCGACAGTTATTAGAAGACGAAGAAGAAGAAGACGATGATATGCTTCTTTTATTATGTGCTCTAATTCCGAAAAAAAGGATGAAAATCGATACATTGTTTACGTCGCGAGAAGAAGAGGGCTGCTTTCAGACACTCATAAAACGACATTTAAATTATAAAGAAAAAAAGTTCAGAAAGTATTGTAGGCTAAATCATAGTCAGTTTAATTTTGTACTCAGTTTAATCAATCAAGATATTCAACCAAGAAGAAATGGCTCATCAATCATCACAAGCGCTCAGAAACTTTTCCTTACATTGAGGTAAAAAAATAATTGTTATCATATTCTGTAGATTCTTCTAATTGGAGATGATTATTTGCATCGTGAGCAACCTGATTCAGTAATGGGATGCTTAAATCAGTTGGTTGGGCAGGTGGAGACGCAATACTGCTGATAGGGGAATATGGGCTCAGGTTTGATGCTGAACTATGTGTAATATTCGAAATTGAATAGTTTTCATTTGAATGTGGGCTGTAGGAAGCGCTGCTGAGACTTGAACTTTTATTAATACTTCTCAATTCATATTCTGCCAGTAAATTAAAAACTTTCGTTTTAGCCTCCACTCTTAAACCCGGTGGTAATTTTTTTTAAATAGTCCCGATATGTGAGCAAAATGAATTGATTCCGTCTTTATCAGCTTTCTCTTCCTCTTCTGCCATGATCTTCATTTGTTCTTGTCTTTGTTTATCTCTTTCTTTCCAATGCTGCAGTAAAGATGAAATATGTAAATTACTATCCAGTTGACATGTTTTCTTTTTTTTTCTCCCACTTGTCTCAGCTGTACCTTTACCTGGTCCGCTTGCCTCTTCATTGCTCGTTACTCCACTTCTCTCTGCATTACGTTTTGTTCCACTTGTACCAGCTGCACTTATTCCTGCTCTTTTTACCTCTTCATTGCTTCTTTCTTCACCACTTATCTCTTCACTACGTCTTCTTTGTTCACTTATCCCTGTTGTACTTGTTTCTTCACCACTTTCGCTACCTTCAGTATTTTCAGCTTCAACTGTTGCTACACTCGCTCTTTCTGTGGGAATTTTTTTCTAAAAAACGAAGTCTCTCATACAGCATCCATTTTGTTGTTTTTAAAGAGGCTGAAGAACCCGTGGGCAATTTGTTCTTACGTTTGCATCTATTATAGGAATCTCTTATATATTTCCACCTCTTCTTGCAATCATTACCTGTAATGAACATAATGTTGTTTCAGATTTATAGCTACTGGAGAAACATATGCATCTCTAGAGTTCACGTATCGTATATCGGCAAGTTATATTAGCAGAATAGTGAAAGAAGTGCTTGCAAGCCTGCGAAAGAACTTGGTCCCACTTTGCATGCCAGTACCGACAGAAAATCATCTAAAGCAAGTGACGAGTGATTTTTGGAATCGATGGAATTTTCCCAATACTTTTGGAACCATTGATGGAAAACACGTGCGTGTTAAAGCTCCAAATAACAGTGGTTCGCTGTTTTTTAACTACAAGGAGTATTATTCGATCGTACTTCTGGCGATTGTAGATGCCAACTACAAATTCATTGCTGTTGACGTGGGTTCTTATGGTAAAGAAGGAGACAGTGGTATTTTTCAAAAGTCATGCATAGGGAAAAATATTGCTCGTAATAAGTTTAATGCTCCGAAGCCCGCAAATTTACCAGGAACAGATATTATGCTTCCACATTTTCTGGTCGGTGATGAAGCGTTTGCCCTTGATACATATATGATGAAGCCATATTGTAGAAATGATGCGAGAGCGAATCGTGATAAAGCTATCTTCAATTATAGACTTTGCCGTGCCAGAAGAGTGACAGAAAACTCGTTTGCATTGTTATCACAAGTATTTAGAATATTCTACACACCGATATCAATCAGACCTGAGGTTGTTGATGACTTGATTTTGACCGCGTGCTGTTTACATAATCTTTTGCGGGATGCTTATTTAGAAAAAAACGGCATTCCTTATTACAAATATGATCCAAAAATCCCCCCACCTACGGAAAACATGATACCATTCTCAAGAGTTGGTGGTTTTGCTAGTCTGGCGGCATTTGATATACGAAATTCATTGAAATCATTTTTTTTAAGTCCAGTTGGCCAAGTATCATGGCAGGAAAATCGTATAAATAGAATAGAATAGCGTCCCATGGAAGTAATCCCAGAACAGTTTTATAACCTCAAAAAATAGAGAAAAGTAAAATAGTACCTATTTGTAAACAATAAAAATAAGTACCTTTTCTAATAAAAATATGTATCATTTGAACTTACTTGTTTTATTCAACGCTTTTCCAATTTCTTCCCAAATATTGTCTCTCACAGTATTATCTTTATAAGCTTGAAGCCTCGTATCGAATAAAGGTGCGTTTTTACTAACTAATTCTATTAAAATTTCGTCTTCGTGCGAAGAAAACACGGCCATTTTGCATCTGTCGCGCCACGGCACTGCCTTGTGAGCGACCGAGTCGCGCGACGCAAGTCGCCGGCAGGCCACGCCCACACGTCGCGCGACTCGGTTGCTTGCATCCGTCAGCACTTCCTATTAATTCATATAAAGCAGTGGGTCGCGGTCGCCGGTCGCGGTCTCGAGTCGCGGTCTCGCGTCGCGGTCGTCTTGATCCGAATGCTACCTTTACTGTCTGTTTGGAATATAAAAAGGTAGGTTTTCATCAAATTTCGTGATATTTTTTTTGTAAAAGAAAAATAAAAACTAAGAACCTGGTTATTAGAATTTTTACATAAATTTTGAGGTTATGTGAAAATACAAAAGTTGTACATCTTTTTATTACATACAACATTGCCATTTATCTTTTTTCCATAGGGCTTGTAGTTTTGCCGGAAATCGAGATAAACCGTTTTTACCCTTAAAAACGCACCCTCTTCCACTTCCCAACCTTAGATCGCTTGTAAATTATTTTTCCTTTCATTTTTGTTATATTCTCTTCCTTTTCCAATGGGTTTTATCCTACTATTATTATTTTTTTGGTTTTAAAAAATTATCGACCCAGGTCTAGTTATGGAGAACTGCGTTTTGATTTAGTTACTAGTATATTGATTCTAAAACAAAATGCTGCAGTAGTGGCAATTACTGCACTTAGCTTTAGGGTATTCTTGCTATTACTACATTCTTTTTTAGCACATGTTTAATGCTGTACTTCTTCTTAGCATTGATACAGTTTTCATGCAAGTACTGCGAAAATCGTTAATTAGATAACATACTTCCAGTGAAAAATTTTATGAAAATATTTTTTCCATGTAGGTCCCTTGGAATGTGAACCCCTTGGAATGTCATTTCCGGTAAAAAGTGAAAATCCAAAAAATGACGATTACTGCATTCTTTATTATCAAGGCAGAATACAAACACTAAAGCGCCAATTTCGCAAAGGAGTGTCTTTCTAAAACTTTGCCAAAAAAACCGTTACGCCAAATCACCCAGTGTCAGTGCATTTTTCCAATTCTTCGCTTCCATGGATGCAGTGGGTCGCACTTAAGAGGATTTGAGTTGAGAAACCGAGGAAAAATTTAATATCATAGTGAAAACACAGTGAAAACTCTTTTGTGCAGTTCTAGAAAAACTTTAGACTATTTTAACTAGAAAAGTAAAGCGAGGACACCATGTTTTTAGTGAATCAATCTGTGAGCGCTAGTGTATAGAACAATTTAAGACACTAAACAAAATTTTGTGACAATATTTGACTTTTATACGAATTTTACGTGACCCGCACCATTAAGTTTGTTTGTCGAAATTGCGTCATCTTTTAATATTTTTTTTATAACTTCCAAATTTTAACTTAATTAATCTACATCTGAATCCTCCTGATTAGCCCTCTTAAGGGCTTCTTATACCGCAAATGCTGTTTTTAAAATTAATATGAATCAAAAATTGACGTAAATTTCTGAAAAAAATATATGTTTCAGTTGAGGATCTTACAGAGTACAATTCGCTTACATTTACACAATCAGATGAACTTAGCTCGATAGAAAAAAATACCAAAGTTACCTCTTTTCGAAAACTAATTGATTATGTAACTAAGATAAATTTTATATTTGACTGTACCCTCGATGCTACTCGCCGTGGCCGCGGTCTTGTTATATATACATAAGTTACTTTTCTTTATCTGCGCTTACGCGCTTCCTCCTCTTTTCTTTGTTTTTCGAGCCACTCGGTTGTGCCCGGAACAAAGTGTGGATTGGTTGATAAAGAAGTGAGCGTTCGAAGAGTGTTTCCTTCACGTTGCATCACTGTGTATTTCGCTCCTCCTTTTATTTTAAAAGGTTGGTTTAGCGTGCGGTGATGTCGTTGGATCATCTCGAGCATTGCTCTTTGGTTATGGTCTAGAAACACGGTTCTCTGTGTAGATAGTATTTCTAGTTCACTGTCATATTTAAAGAAGAAGTGATTCACTAACCATTTTACAACTGAGCACTCCTTATGGTATGTCACACCGTCTAATTCGACGGGAACATCACAATGTGGGCACGTTGTTGTAGGATCTTTTGGTCTAGTAAATAACATCGCCTTAATTTCTGACTGTGTTAATTCAGACTCCGAAAATACTGTTGCCAGAACTCTCTTTGGGTCTGATTTTATGTCTTCTCGTTTGCTACCTTTCACGCGTGAGAACAGGTTTAGCTTTGCAGCTGCCGTATCTCGCGGTTTTCGTGAAAATGATAACGCGATCAGACTTTGTGTTAGATTATCGTCTAACTCATATGCGGAGATAACTTTTCTCTCCCTTGCTGCCAAAATAGCAGGATGATTTTCGTCTGGATTGACGATCCACAGTCCCGATGTCAGTGGGTCTACCCACATCTCCGGTTTACTGTAGTGATTACAGATAGTTTGTAGCTGCCTTTCTTTAACTCTCTCTACGATTAGGACGCTTAGAATTGACTCCATTACGTCTTTTCTATCTAGAGTTTTTGAGTATTTAGAGACTGCTGATTTACTAACTTTCTGTATATGTGTGACAAGCTTTGCTACATCGACCCCACGTTTGCACATCAATAATGACGTGTCGCGTAGTGTTTTGATGGCGGCTGTCGCAGTTGCGTTTAACACCTTTTGATACTTTGGAATAGCTGAAGCTGTTGGAATTGGCACTTCGAAGACACCATATTCAGTGTCAATCATGGCAATATCTTTCTTCTCAATTCCTGAAATCAGGGCGTCAAACTCATCGGATGAAACTGGTGTAGTATTCAACCGGATGTTCAGCTTTTTATCATCATCATAAGCTTCTGCAATTTCGACAAGATCAGTAAAACCTTTTGACGATGCTAGAGCTTTTGCTACTCGCGTCTCCAAGCTTTGAAGATACAGTTGCGGCTCCACGTCTATGGTTTGACTTCCTTCGTCAGTGCATGCTGTGATGTATAAGTCATCGAAAGCGAAGAGGCTGGCTTCTTCGTTTGTCCATGAACTAGATGGCTGAGGTTGTGTTTGTGTTGTGTTTTCTTGTGTTGGGTTCATTTTCATAATATTCTCTTTAGCGTTCGGCGTAGAATAAAACAGAATCTGCCTTAGTAGCTCTGGTCGACAAGGCAGAAAGGTCCCTAGAGGATAAGCAGACAGCTCTATGTGCATTTTTGGACATTGAGGGGGCTTTTGATAACACACCTACGGCAACCATCCTGAAAGGATTAAATGCAAAAGGTGTTGATATCACAACCACCAGATGGGTGGAATATATGCTCTCCAACCGGTGTGCGAAAGTTACGTTAAACGAACACTCGCACAACTTCCACACTACAAGAGGCTGTCCGCAAGGAGGAGTGCTTTCACCCCTATTATGGACACTAGCTGTAGACCTACTACTTGTAATCATGGCAGATCTTGACTACGATACACAGGGCTATGCAGATGACCTTGTTGTAGTAGTAAGAGGTCCCTGCCTGAACACAATTTCCACCAGGTTACAAGGAGCTCTCAATACCATCACAAGATGGTGCAGAGAAAATGAATTATCAATTAACGCTGATAAAACAGTTATTGTACCATTTACCAGGAAAAGGAAGCTTGAAAGGCTGACTGAACTCAGACTCAATGGCAAAACCCTTAACCTATCAAATGAGGTAAAGTACCTTGGAGTCACTATTGATCAAAAGTTGACCTGGAACTCTCACCTCAACAACATTATACAAAAAGCCAAAATGGCCCTCTGGATATGTTGTCGAATGGCTGGAGCCAAGTGGGGCCTCAAACCCAAAATGGCTCTCTGGATGTACACCGCCGTGGTAAGGCCGATCATAACATATGCCTCAGTCGTATGGTGTAACAAAACCAAACAAAAGACAACTATGAGTAAACTAGACAGCATACAACGGATGGCATGTCTAATCATCACGGGAGCCTTCCATTCGGCACCAGGCGACGCTCTAAATGCTTTGTTGGACATAGCTCCGCTATATCTCCACGTGCAAAAAGAAGCTAAATCTTGCCTCTACAGGCTCTGTACACAATCGAATGTAAAGTTGCAATCGCAATATATGAATAAACTCAAAGAGTTGACATTCGAACACAAAACTCTGAAAATGCCAGTCGATGGTATGAGTACAGAGTTTGACTTCGCAAAACAGTACCAAATAGATCTTCCCAACTGGGACATGTGGCTAAAAAACCAAGAGTCTCACAAAAAGGGCAGTCATGTTTGGTTCACAGATGGATCCAAGAAAGGATCTGATGTAGGGTGCGGTATCTATGGCCTTAAGCCTAGATTTGACATGAGTGTCAATCTGGGCAAGGAGGCCACCATCTTCCAAGCCGAGGTCTTCGCCATCAACAAATGTGCTGAAGTCATCCTGGAGAGGAAGCTTAGAAACCAAAATATCTACATCAACTCAGATAGCCAAGCAGCACTTCTGGCTATAGATTCTCTTGAGACCAACTCTAAGTTGGTCAAAGACTGTATGGAAAATCTGAATGTCCTGGGCACATCCAACAGAGTTACCCTCAGATGGGTCCCGGGTCACTCAGGCATAGATGGGAATGAAAAGGCTGATGCACTGGCAAGAAGGGGTGCTGAAACCCCAGTATGTGGCCCAGAACCATTTTGTGGTATTGCAAAACAACATGCCTATTCAATTCTCAAAATTCACTGCAATCGCCAAGCACTTCAAGAGTGGCAATCCACTTCTGGACAAAAACACTCTAAAGCGCTAATTAAGGGATATCGCAGAAAGTTTACAAAAGAGTTGCTTCAACTCAACAAGTATAAAACCAGTGCAGTAACCAGAATACTTACTGGTCACTGCAAACTCAATAAACATATGTTTACCCTCGGCCTCAGTCAGACCGCAATGTGCAGACTATGCCATGAGACAGAGGAAACTGCTATGCACATCCTCTGCTCGTGCGGTCCACTCATGCACCGCAGAAGTATCTACCTAGGGCAGCATATTATGCAACCGGAAGAGATACAGATGCTCCCCGCTCAGAAAATCTGGAAGTTCCTGGAGTCAACAGGACTAAGCGGAGAACTTTGAACTAACTATAAAGGGAGCTACAATGGACCAAAACTGGTCGACGTAGCTAGGGCCGACCTCGGCACCACACCCAACACAATAATAATAATATCTTTTTTTAAAAAATATTTTCAATACTGTGCCTAAAATAATAAACTTTTTGACCTTATTTTTACACAAATCTTTAGATAAATCATTTTTCTAGTACAAATCGCTGAGGTGGATGTTGTAGTGTTATGCCTAAACACCTACAAACCCCCGAGCGGCGCGCGCGACGCCCGCGGGCTTCGTCAGTCGCGCGGTGGCGCTTACCGACGATGGACCTGTGCCAGTGCTCTTCCCGCCCGACGCGCGACGTGCAGTGATTTACGAAAATAAACTAAAATTGATCTGGCCAAGTCGTCACTATGGCTAACAAACGCAATAAACGAAAAAAGTCACTACGAGATATATCAAAGACAAACAGGACGAATGCATTACAAAGAAATGCTAAGCAAGTACAGTACTTGCACGTACGTGTTTATTTATTTCTTATTATTATCTTATTTATTAAGTAGGAACCTATATTGTTCTTTGTTCTCTTAAAATATTACCTACTTTACTCGTTACGTTACTTAATATACTTAGTTTGTAGGTTAGGTTTCCTTGCCACAGTATAGTTAAAGCAGTATATGTACGGAAAGAAATATGGAATTATAAACTAGTAACGTTTGAAAGGAGATACTTTGGCATAATGGATGGGACACAGTCTACCAAAATCAGTATAACCATATTATTTTTTATAATACTTAGTAGGTACTAAGGTAATTCTGGCATTTTAGGAAGATTATTAGGCAGATATCACAGTATTTGTTACTTTTATTACCAATATTTGTTCAAATGAAATGTAATGTATTTTTTTACACTTATTTCAGTGCATTGAGATCTTGTACCAAAGAAGGTACTTTCACGTCGAATAATTATACCGATGACCAGAACGCGTAAGTACAATACATACTTATTACCTATACTTACCTGTTTGTTTATAGCTAATCTAACTGCTATTGTACTCCTTAGCCACAGATTAACCAATAGGAGGAATAATAATTTAATATACTAATAATAGTTATTAAAACAAATACTTCCACAAATAAACGCTTTATTGGAAAACAATACCAATATGTTATTATATTGAAGTTCGTTTTTGAATAATTCCTCCTTTGAATGACCCTCTTCTCGTAGAGTCTGAAAATCAAGAACAAGAGTTTCAACCAGTTTCAGGGAGACGCATCATTGACATCAATTACTTGTTTACTCAATTACAGGAAAAAGCACGTCACAACAATTTATTTGACTGCAGAGCGGGAAATTTTCGGCTAATTAGTGAAAAAAGGATTGGCCTACTGTCCGTATTTAAATTTGAATGCAATATGTGCAAACAGCTTTGTCTTATAAAATCCGAAAATACTGACACAGCAAATATAGACGTAAATATTGCGGCAACCACTGGTATGGTAGCCTCAGGGATTGGTTATTCTCAGTTCGAAGAGCTTTTTTCCTCCATGAATATTCACATATTTTCTACAAAATTTCACAACAAACTGCAGGGACAAGTTTACGATAGTTTTGAAAACACAGCTGCTGAATCCATGAAAGCTGCTGCTGAAGAAGAAAAAGAGTTGGCAATCGCAGAAGGTCGCACCAAAAATGGCATACCAGTGGTTGATGTTTACGTTGACGCTTCTTGGTGTGCTTGATCGTACGGATCCAACTATAAGGCTGCGTCTGGGACTGCAGCAATAATTGCTGCAGTCCCAGACGCAGCCTTAGAAGGAAGAAGAACCGGCAAAATTATTTTTCTGGCGGTAAAAATAAATACTGCCTTGTGTGCGCTCGCGCGGAAAGCAAGAATTCTCCACCCAATGAGCACAAATGTTACAAGAATTTTGATGGTTCATCATGTTCTATGGAAGGTGACATAATAACTGAAGGGTTTCAGCAATCAATTCCAATGTATGGCATTATTTATAAAAGAATGATTGCAGATGGAGATGCCTCGACATATGCAAAGGTGCTAAAAGTAGATCCATATAAATCTCAGAATATAACAGTGGAAAAAATTGAATGCAGAAATCACATTTTGAGAAATCTGTGCAAAAAATGCGGAGTCTGGTTACAGAGACAAAATTTCCCCTGGCTTGTAAAAAAACTCTGACGAACCTAAGAATAATGTCCTTGAGAAAAGCAATAGTCAGATCAATAAAACACCATAGTACATCAGAAAATACGAAAGATATTGCTATAAAGTTGCTTCACAAAGATATCATCAATTCCCTATCACATACATACGGAGATCACAGAATGTGTCAGGATTACAACTGTGATAAAGAAAATGTTTTTAGTGACGGGTTGAAATCTATTCAAAACTCAACATTTCTTTTCCGACTTAACACGATCATTTCAAATGTAGCTGCAAAATCACGAAGTTTAGTAGAAAACGTAAATACAAACATTGTCGAATGCTTCAACAACGTCATAGCAAAATTTATAGGAGGTAAACGCATACATTTTGCCTTGAAACAAGACTGCCAAGGGAGGGTCTCCGCTGCGGTGTTATCGTTTAATGACAAGGCAGCAATATCGCATGTCTTTAAAACACTGACGAATAAAAATCTGTCAGCAGCCGGCCTAGCAGGAGTGGCGGAAGTTGCGGCAGCAGCAGGTGCAGCAGGATTGGCGGATGTTGTGGAAAGGAAAAGAAAAAGACAGAGGGCCCAGAAAAGAAAAAGCAGTTTAGAACATCCAGCAAAAAAAATCAAGAAAGCGGCAGTATCAAAACAAAATGATTATGGCCCTGCCAGTTCCGATCCAGATATGTCTGAATGTGATCTAGAAATAGCCAAAAAAGAATTTCTTAAAAATTTAGAAACTCTAACTGCTGACAGAGACGGAATCGAGCGAAATACGATATTACAAAAAGACAGTAGTGAGTGGCTAGAAATTCGGAAAAACTTAATTACTGCCTCTAATTTTTGCCCTGTTTGCAAACGACAAGTATCAAAAGATACCGCCCCTTTAGTAAAAAACATATTGTATAAATCAAATATAAGCCATGTTGTATCTATTGCCCATGGTATTGAAAATGAGCAGCTAGCGTTGCAAAAGATACAACAACAAGAAAATGTGTCTATTGAGCCTTGTGGACTGTTTATAAATAAAGATTTCCCATTTATTGGTGCGACGCCAGACGGGCTTATTGGAAATGATGTTCTGGTAGAAGTTAAATGTCCTTTTTCAGCGTCAAAAATTGGTTTGACCAAGGCTATAGAAGAAAATAAAATCCAGATATTAAAATATAATAAAAAGACGCGGACTACAACAATTAATAAAAACAGTAATTGGTTTTTTCAAGTGCAAGGACAACTGCATGTAACAGGACGACGGCAATGTCTATTTGGTATTTGGGCCGGGGAAAAAGAACCAGTACATATCGAAAGAATCGAAAAAGATGATGAATTTTGGAAATCAAAGATGGAATCAAAGTTATCACACTTTTACCACAAATGTCTGCTGCCAGAAATCGTCAACCCCAGACATACTCGTGGTATGCCTATACAAATCTGTCACTTGAATGCGAATCCACCGAATCCGAAAATAAAGAAAATGAGAATTTGTTATCGCAAAACATTATTAATTTGCAATCAGGTCCTATTCCGTCACCCGCGGGGCAGTTCAGTGAGGACCTAGACTATAATCTTAATAAAGATCCAAATGCAACTTTGGGTCATAATATGACCATATCGATCAATGAAAATGAGCCTAGCACTAGTGTTAGGTACACATTCTTTACTTGACATCACTATACATATCTTCCTACCGTCACATCCTAAACTCCCTCGATATTCCTTTACCTGGAGGTAGTACTCAAAAAAGCTTCAACGGCCGCGTACGGCGATGGGACGAGCTCCGCATTCTTCCCATCAAATTTAAGACTACGCGTCAAAGTTATCGTGCGAAACGCAATAAACTATCTTATTTTACAATTACAAACTTTAAGCAAATCACCCGGTGTTGTGTGAAAGTGATTGGTGTACAAAACGCGACTTAAGAACCCACGCGGGACAAGCGCGAACCAGGTAGTCCATCCACCCTTTCTATCTTTACCCAACACCCTTTTATGGTCCTTCAGATCCTGGATATCCTTTAGTAATCAAACCTCATCTTAAATAAATCATCCTTATTTCCATCAAAAAACATTACATATATACCTACAATAATATACATCTAATTTTTACATTTCGCTGGACGCCATATTGCATACGTAAAATTAACAATTTCATATTGGCATCACTGTTTCATTCCGAATTGCGAATCGGTCAACCGTCAATGTCAAATAGTGTCTTGTCATTTGTCACTTGTTATTTGTCAGCTGTCAAATTGTCTCTACAATTATAATATACAAAACTCTAAATTATAATGAATTTTTATATATATTAAATCCACCTGTATGTATAATAAATGAGAATAAATATTGTACATAACAATTTTGTTTGTTTTCATTTCTTGTTTGTATTCTTTATGAGGGGTTTACACGGGTGACTAAAGCCGCACGATTTTTGCCGCGCGGCGTAAATCGACCATCTAAATGGCAATTCGGCTAAGTTGCAAGTGACTAAAGCCGCAGGCCCCAAAGTTGGGTAGCATCCGACTTTGCCCGCGCGGCAACCGGCCGCATGCGACTGGTGACTAGAATCGACCGTGTAAACGATCAGTTGCAGGCGATCGCCCGCCGCATGAAGGTGTTTCGCGCACGCACGTGTATTTATTTACTACAGCGTTTCTGTGTACATGTATCGTAACAACCATGAATAAAAATAACACCATACAGTTTTTGGAATGCTATGAAATGCATCCATGCTTATGGAACCCAAGAGAACAAGATTACAGGAACAATAATGTACGTTTAGCGGCTCTTAAATCTATTATTCAAGAAATGCGTTTGTCCATAACAGTTGAAGAGCTTAAATTGAAGATAAAAAATATACGAACCACGTATAATAGAGAGGCCAGTAAGGTAGCAAAGTCAAAGAAGAGTGGCGCGGGAAAGGATGATATATACAGACCTCAATTAATTTGGTTTTCTGTAGATTTTGTTTTGCATCTAAGTAGTTTGAGTGAACGAACGTCACAATAATTTTTACGGTCTCTAATTCGTGTCTTTATTCTTTAAAAACTCGTAACCTTAATATTTATATGATTTTTTCGTGATCGTTGCTAAGCGTTCCTCGAATATTTTTAATACTATAGTGAGCGTTGATCGCCCCCAAACTGGGTAAGTGGTATATTTAATGTCACAGGCAATTAGAGTAGTTATTAGTGGCTAGTAATCATTTAAAACTTATATTTGTGTTCAACAGTAATTCTTAATAATAATATAAATTGATTTTACATAGAAATGTTATAAAAAGATTGCATCATTTTTTAATTCCACACTCAGTTTGTAATAATTTTTAAATATTCGTAAATTTCTTTATAAATTAACTTATTTCTCAAAATTGTAATCTCCGTTTCTGGTTGTCATGATTCCACGGCACTACTACTACAATTTAGGTGCTTTCTTTTATAACGCAGTGCCGTGGATGTTTGCTATATGTACTGGACCGCTTGTAATTGTATTTTGATGGCGCGTTCCAGGGTTCAACGCTCGGGTTGCCAATTTGGCCGGTATACCCTCACGCCCTTTTGTTTTCTACTTTCACCACCACGACGTGAATACTCTCCGCCGGGTTTGGTTACCCATTTCTGCCGCATCCAGCCGTCAGCGGATTCCAGAACGTAGCTCCCGGGATCACCATCTTTACGGCGTGACGCAAGAGAGTACCTGAACCGACTTAACAAAGGAACTTGTGTGGGTTAAGTGCTCGACCCCGCCCGTTAATATTTTTCTTTTTTCTCCACCGGGTCGAGATTATTTCGATAAATTAAATTTATTTGCATGGAACTCGGTCTTTTCATTTCCGACCTTTGTAGACCGGGTTAACCGTGACAAAGTGAACTAGTGAAAAGGACAATACTAACGTAAGTATTTGTTTAGTAAAAAACCAATAGGTACCTACTTTGTATACGGTAGTTATTATTAGTTAATAGAAAATTTCTATTAGAAATGAAATAAATGATATATTTCAGTAAATGAAAGAATTAAGATACGTTATGTTTTTCTCATTAATATTTTGAGTTTTTATTTTCGAACTTAATATCTGTTCTAACTTCTAGTGTATAGTAGGTAGGTATTTACTACATGTATATATTTACCATACTTAAATAGTTAGGTACATACATACGGGATATCCTCCGTGTTTAGGGCTTTGGATGAGCTGATATTTAACATAGGTATTGGATTTGTATGTTATACTCTCATCATTATTTCTTTTTCTATTGGATATAGTTTGTTAGAAAATGTTTAATTTGTTGTTAGAATTCATTTCATAGTTCCAAATTAATAAATTGGATTTATAATTTGAAATTACCTATATAAAGACTAGGTAGGTATCTAGGTATATACTGTTTGAGTTTTAATTTATTGTCGTATTCATATTGTATATGTAGTGTTGGGCTTAGTTTGGAACTTAATGAATGTAGTTGAAGAAACATTTATCTATTATATTTTTTTATTATTTCAGGTACGTGATAGCATCTACGGGTTCTATATGGGAATACTTTTCAAAAAACAATGATATTGATAAAGCAACTTTGTAAAATATATAACAAGTCTTTGTCTCTTGGTAGTGCCTTACTAAAAAAACAAACTACAACTAATATTAAAAATCATTTGGCAAAACTTAATGAAAATGAATGGGCAGCTTATTGTAAGATAAATGAAGATCGCCAGAGCTTGATGAAAAAAAAGTCGGAGTCTACTGACTCTTCGCTAAATAAAAAAAAAGACAAAAACAATCTCAAACCACTTTACCAGAAATCATTGAAAAAAAAATTGCGCCGCCGTGGCCTGATAATCACCCTATATCATCACGTATTGATAAAAGTATTATGGATCTCATTATCGACGACATGCTGCCATACAACCTTATTGAAGGAGAAGCATTTCAAAGGCTCCATCTGAATGACCCTGACACTCCGTCCAGGTATAGGAAAAAGTCTGAGAAATACTTCAGAACAACTTTAATGCCGCTAACGTACGAAAAAGTAAAAGATAAAGTCGTACTTCTCCTTCAAAAAGCTGAATGGGTCAGCTTTACTACTGATATTTGGAGTAATCCAGCAAAGGCCTGTTCTTTGCTAATTTGTACAGCCCACTTCATTAATGGCTCAAAAAGAGAAAAAGTTATACTGGCAGTTAGTGTCCTTAAAAGAAGATCATACAGGGCAGCATATTTCAGCGAAACTTAACGAAATTATTGCTGAATTTAATTTAACAAAAAAAGTTCACATGGTTATCCGCGACAATGCTTACAATATGCAGGCGGCTATGCGTTGTGGTAACTTTATGTCTATTGGATGCGTAGCTCATACGCTCCAGCTTGTTATTCATGATGTTATATTCAAAGACGCTGCTTCTATGAATATGATTAAGAAATGTCGCAAAGTCGTTGGTCATTTTAAAAGAAGTGAACAAGCTTCTCGATATTTAGAAAGGTTTCAAGAAACATGCGGCTTACCCAGACACGTTTTGATTCAAGATATCGAAACCCGGTGGAACAGCACTTATTTAATGTTAGAAAGACTCTTAGAACAAAAAACTGCAATCAACTTATATATGGCAGAACGCGGTGGAATAGAAATTCCAACTGCAGAAGAATGGGAACAAATAAGCTAATATATAGCAATACTTAGGTGCTTTTATCAAGCCACACTTGATATTTCGAGCGATTCTTCTTCGATATCTTTGATGATACCATTGATCGTCATGCTTAATTTAAAGATGACTACAAAAGATGAAGATCCTGAAAAAGTAACACTGCTGAAGATCCAGTTACGTGATTCTATTCACAGGAGATTTTCTTACGTAAAAAATACTTCACATTTAATGATTGCCACTCTAGTAGATCCCCGATTTAAATCGAAGTATTTGCCCAACGATGGAACTGAAATTACAAAGACTGAAATATTATCATTTTTACGACAAACAGGGTCTCAGTCACGATCAGCAGCTTTTATGGATGTAGATGTTGATGAACCTAGACCTTCTTGTTCAAATTCGGATCCAGCTACCGAAGGGGTATTCACTAAAAAAAAAGATGATGACTTGTGGGATTCGCATGATAATTTTGCAACATCTGTCACAATTGCAAGTGAAAATGAGTTGGGTTTGGATCAACCTGGTCCCCCTTTTGAAGAGCATCTTACATGTTTTTTAAAAGAACCATTGCTTCTGAGGAATGCTGACATATATGTGTCGGAGACGAGTCATAATCACAACTAATCGGAACGCGAGCGCCACCTTTTTGGGCTCGACAGAGTCTACGTCGTGACACTCGACCTGGCTTGGCTGAGTTACGCTTGGTCGGTCGCACAGTGAACACTAGTAGAAACTATCTTGCGTTCCGTATTGTCTATACATGGTAATAGTGAAGTGGTATATGGCTGTGTAGTGAAGTGCTGTTTAACTATGTACAAAGTGATTATAGTTAATTTGAAATACAACTGTGATTGCATCGACTTTCATTTGAACCAACACTTCCCATATAACGCCCACTGTATAAGTCATGATAAAATAATGGAAAATAATAGAGATAATTAATGCTGCTTCGATATATGAATATTGGTCTTCTAGTCCGTATACTTGTCTACGGCCAATTGCAATTAAATATTTATCTACTCCTGCCAGCAGTGTTCCTAGTGAGCAATTGTTCAGTGCCGCAGGACAAATATATGCGGACAGACGATCTAACTTGATTGGTGAAAATGTAGATAAATTATTATTTTTAGCATACAACATAAGGCTTTTTAACTTTGATTACTAATATTTTCAATTAATACATATCGTTACTATGTGATTTTTATTGTAATCAATGTAGCTCAAAGTCAAAGTCAATATAAACCTTCAATATTGAGGTTATTTGAGGTATTGATACAAAATTAATTACTGAGTGCTGAGAGAATATAAACCTTCGGCTTCGGCCGAAAGTTGTGGCGATAGCCGATTAATCGGCTTCGGCTTCGGCCAAAAATAGACCTTCGGTCGGACACTACAATTTGTGTACATAAACATGCACCCTTCGTGCATTTTTTTATTAATTGTTATTATTCTAGGTACTCACTGCACTATCTTTGCAACGGAATCTTACCAGCGGCCAGTTGGAGTTGCAAAGAATATATCCCAAAAAATGTGCAGTGTTTATATTGAAGAAGTAACCACAGCATTAATATATTATAAGAATATGTTAAATAAATATATTCATTTTCCTGACGCTCTAAATGCCAGACAAGCAATTAGTCAAAGATTCTTATGCTTTCATACAATTGACTATTTATTCTAATAATAAAGATTTTACTATAATTTTGTTTAAATATGTTTTGTTAAAATTAATTAATTAATTTTCAGCTTTGAAACATGATCCAAGATTATGATGAGAGGATTACCACTGAGAGAGAGAGAGAGAAGTTCCACTACTGATTTATTTAGAGGCAGTATTAAGGGATCAATCAATAAGAAGATTACAGCAGCAATAATTACACTACTTTACAAAAAAAGTTTTTTTCTTTTACCCAAAGATAATTATTCATACTGTGTTTCCTACCTACCCTCTTACTACTAAAATATATGTCTCATATTTTTATCACATCAAGTTTTTTTTAATATATCATTAAGTTATTTGTCTATCATAGAGTCCCCGCACACGGGCCACCGGCCACAACCACAAAACGCCGCCACCGGCATATTTCCTGTAGTTTTCATACATTTCATATAGACTCGCCGCACACTTGACGCCGGTGGCCCCCACATGCTACAAATCGTCACGGCTCGCTTCTTGTGGCCCGCACCGGCCACTAAATCCCGACACAAAACGCCGCCACACGCCACTCACGCGATTCGTTACCCCCTCTCTCCCTTACCTCAGTTAAGTTAACTGAGCTAACCTGTTCGAGTCGAAGGCAACGCAACGTTTTTTTATCAGAAGCAGCGCAAGTAAACCTTCTTCGTCAGAGTCCATAATGATACTGCGCGCATGGGTTAAAAAAAAGCAACCACCGACCACAAGTTGCGTCCATCGGCCACAAGTGGCTGTCGCGCGCTTCAGATTATTTAGTGGCCGTTTCTAGCTTCTAGTGGCGGCGTTTGTGGCTGTCGCGTGTGGCTCGTGTGCGGCGACCCTTAGGCTTGGTTGCACCATATTAGTAGTTATAGTTAAGATTATTGTCAAATATAACAATAACAGTAACGCTGACTTTAACAGTGACGGCGAAATTATTTCAGCTTATTTTTTGGAATAGTTAAAGTTATAAGGGTTGCAAGTCAAATGACATCTATATACCTCAGATCCACGTTGGGGAACATTATTTAATATGGCAATCTTGGGTGGAAGTTTTTAAATAAATATCCTTTTTTATTAATTAGTTTTATTTTAATTTTTAAGTTTTACAAAAAGGACGACGTGGTTTTACATTTTACACGAGACAAGAGAGAGAGAGCAATATCAAATTTTTAACAGATTAAAAATAACTATAGTGTATATATATTATGTCACAGACAATATAATACCAACACCTTCTCCTATTTTTAATTTTTTTTTTATTTATTTATTTTAATTTAACAAAAAAAACTTAAAAATAATAATTGTTACAAACTTAAAACAATTTCTCTGTGTATTTTATTTGTTTTTTTTTTTAACTTATACAAATTACTCTTTAAATATATACATTTGTTTTTAATTTATACAATTTTATCAATTATCCATTATTTTGTTACAACAATTTTCAAAATGTTTTAATAAAGGCTTTGTCAGCATGTCTGCTAACTGATTTTCTGTAGGACAATATATTACTTTAATATTACCACTTATATAATTTTCATGAATGAAATAAAATCTAACATCAATGTGTTTCGATCGTTTGTTAAATGATCCAGTTTTAATTAGTTGAATTGAACTCTGGTTATCTATATTTAGAATAATCTCAACATTAAATGTTAATAACTCATTAAGTAATGATTTTATGAATAAAGTTTCTTTGCAACAATCAGCGGCTGCAATATACTCTGCTTCAGTTGAAGACAAAGCAACAATTGGTTGTCTCTTTGAACACCAATATATAGGTCCACCAGAATACATTAATATGTATCCAGATGTACTACGTCTACAAGTCAAATCATTTGCATAATCAGCATCGCAATATGCAAATAATTTTCATATATCAAATCCTTTTTTAAACAAGATACCTTTTCGTTTAGTACCTGCTAAATATTTTAAGATCTTTTTAATTGAATTAATATCCTCTTTAGATGTATTCTCTATTTTCCTACTAGCCTCCTTGACTGCATGTGCAATGTCAGGTCTGGTACGAGTTGACAGATACAATAGACCACCTACTAATTCTCTATATGGAAAGTTAGTTACAATACAATTTCTATCAGATATGGTTTTATTTGTGTTACATGGTGTATTCACACTTTTACAGTTTGACATGTTAAATTTATCTAATAAGTATTCAATATAATTTTCTTGTTTTAATAATATACCTTTTTCATTTTTAACTATTTCTATGCCTACAAATATATTTGGAAATTTATTAATTTTAATTTCAAAGTCTTTTTCTAAGCATTTTAATATATCTAATAATTTTGATTTATCTTTACATATAGCTAATCCATCATCTAAATAAATTGCAATAATTACAGTTTTATCATTATTAGTGAAAACACATTTATCTGTTTTAATAGGTTTTAGATTTAATTTTAACATACTTTCAGTAAATGTTTTATTCCAGGTTACTGGTGCCTGTTTTAAACCGTATAATGCCTTTTTTAACAAACATATTTTATTTTTACTGTCATAATTAAAACCTTCTGGAATATTCATATATACCTCATTATTAATTTCTCCATATAAGAATGCTGTCTTAACATCAAATGTAATAATCTCATAATCTTGTGAAGCAGCTAATGCAAATAGGGTTTTAAGAGTTGATTGACTTACCACAGGACTATAAATTTCAGTGTAATCTATACCTTTTTGCTCGAATCCACGAACCACCAATCTCGCCTTGTAAGTTCCATCTTCTTTGACTCGGAACACCCACCTGTTTGACAATATTTCCTTGCCTTCTGCTTCCTGTCGATCCACAATATCCCAGGTATGATTTTTCTCTAATGATTCCTTTTCAGATGTTACTGCCTCTATCCATTTATCCCTGTCAGGCCCTGAAAGATATTCTGAAAAACTAAGTAAGACATAATCATTAAATTTCTTTGGTTTCTTAATCTCTCTTTTACTTCTAGTCATATTTTTGAAATCATCACCCATTATGTTTTTATTTTCATTAATTGTTTTATTTTTAATTTTATCTGTAGTGTTATGGCTGCCACCTTCTCCTAAGCTGTTATTTATGTCATCATCAGTGTTAATTAACTCCTCTACTGGGTTTATATGGGTACTGCCTTCTCCTAAGTTTTTATTTTTATCATTATTTTTCAGGTGATTTATTTCTTTTTCTTCATTTAAAATTGTATCTTCATCTTTTTCTTCAGGTAAGTCAATTAAATGATCAAATAAATTTTCAGGTATTAATGTTTTTAAATTCTCCTTTTGCTCCTTTGTTTGTAAAGTTTTATTATTAATTACCGTTACATCTCTTGATATTTCTAAAGTTTTAGTAAAATCATTCCATAGTCTATAACCATTAGGTGTATAGCCAATCATTATCATCTTGTCACTCCTTTCTTCCAGTTTATAAAGATTTCCCAGTCTCTTTGCATATACTTCAGCTCCAAACATTATTAAATTTGACAAGTTTGGTCTTCTACCTGTCCACATTTCATATGGAGTTTTATTTGTTGTTTCAGTTGGTGTTCTGTTAAGCAGGTAAGCACTTGTTCTAATGGCTTCTCCCCATAATATTTTTTTTGAATTATTTTGAAATAACAATGCTCTGGTTTTGTCAAGTAATGTTCGATTTAATCTTTCAGCTTTCCCGTTAAGCTGAGGTGAGTATGGTACTGTATAATCTAATTTTATTCCTTTTGTTTTACAATATTTCTTGAAATAGTTATTTTTATACTCTCCTCCATTATCACATCTTATTATACTAATCAGCATTTTATTTTCTCTTTCAGATTCTTCTATGTATTCCTGCAGACACTCGGAGACTTCAGATTTATACTTCAACGGATAAGTTTTAATGAAATGCGTGTAATCGTCTAAAATGGTAAGTACATACTTCATACCATCATATGTTTCTTCAAATGGTCCACAAACATCACTATGTATTATTTCTAATTTTCTAGTAGCTCTTTTTCTTTCAGTATTAAATGGCTTTCTTACTTGTTGTGATTTTATGCAAACTTCACATTGCGACATGAGCTCGACATCTTTTTCTGTTATTTTCAGACCGTCAGCAAGTTTCAGTAACTTTGAGAGAACATTTTTACTTGGATGACCCATTTTAATATGCCAATCCATTGCAGTTTCATTGTTATTCGAGTAAAATGCAATATTGTTTTTATATATATTATTCAATACATCAACACTATAAAGGCCAGTTTTGTTTTTATTTCCAGTTAGTACAACTTCATTGTCTTTTAATATTTTTACTGAATTTTTATTAAATATTACAGATCCTCCATTGTTTGTGATACATGATACTGATAATAAGTTTTGGGTAAGTTCAGGAACATATAAAGTATTTTGTAATGAACAATTTGTACCTTGTACTTTTCCATAGCCTGGTGACTTCATAGTTTCATTATATTTAGCAACACATATTTCTGTATAATCTTCTTGATAGTCATTTATTAAATTTATGTTATTTACCATATGAGAGCTAGAACCTGAATCTACTAAGAACATATTTTCATCTTGAATTTTATTTGTCACAAAAGCAACATTTCGCTTATTTGATGTTTTATTTCTGAAGTAGCAGTTTTTCTCCTCGTGGTTATATTTTTTACAGATTGAACATTGTTTACTGTTACAGTTTTTTGCATAATGACCAATTTTATTGCACTTGTTACAGGTTACTTTATTTGACTTTACATTTTTCATAGATTTAAAGGCAAAGGGTTTTTCTTCATGTTTTTTGGATATTCTATTTTCTTCAGATAACAGTCGGTTAGTTAAATTTTCTAAAGTTTTTTTCGAGTCTTCAGTTGAATCCCATGCGGTAATAAAATTTTCGTACTCGGATGGTAAGCATGATAGAATTTTTGAGATTAACATTTCATTTGTTATATTTTGACCAAGCCCTTTGAGTCTAAAGGTTAAGTTTTCAATTTCGCATAATAATTGCGATATGTTATGTTTTCTGCTTGTTTTAAATGTGAAAAATTCTTGTAGTAATTCAGAAGCACGTCTTGATTCTTCTCCGTCAAACATTTTGCATAATTTAGTGTACATTTCTTTTGCTGTGTTACACGACATTAATGGCGGCTTATATTTCTTGTTAATGCTCATTAAGATTGCACGTTGTGCTTTTGCATCTTTTATTTGAAAGTTCTCATCGGTTGAACTTTTTACGCCTTCAATTACTTGGCTGAGATTATTAGCTTTGAAATAAATGTTTATTTCATACTTCCAAAGCTGATATCCTTCCGTACCATTTAAAGGTTCAATTTTAATTTCATCCATTTTATTTTTTATTAGTATTAGAAATTAAAACCTTTTTAATTATTGTTGCGTCCTTTCTGCTTTCCTTGTTGTTCTGGGTGTCCTGGGCCCATAACCTCTTGGGTGGAAGTTTTTAAATAAATATCCTTTTTTATTAATTAGTTTTATTTTAATTTTTAAGTTTTACAAAAAGGACGACGTGGTTTTACATTTTACACGAGACAAGAGAGAGAGCAATATCAAATTTTTAACAGATTAAAAATAACTATAGTGTATATATATTATGTCACAGACAATATAATACCAACAGGCAATACCAGAGAAAACCTCAAATGAAACTTTGTTGTCAGTGTCATTATCAGTTCTTATGTCAAAACAAAGCTAAAGCTGAAAACAATAATCGCGAGCGAATTGTATTTTTGTGGTATTTTTTAAAATTACAATACAATTACAAAACTCTGTTGCTAAGTTCCTGAATCGGAAAATGGATGGAATGGATAAGAACTTCCTTGCACACTTCGAATCAAAGGAAGAAAGCCTTTCCTTGAAATAAATAATTTCTCATTTAACTGCTGCATGGTATTTTATCAAGAATTATCACACTGTTCTATGTGTTTAAACAATCGCATTGAATGAATACTGCTTGCTAACTCAATACTCGAAAACTATTCTTAATATACCTAGTAGATACCTGTATACTCAGACTATGTATCATTCCATAATTATATTTCATATTTTTCAGGAAAAGAAGTGCAAATTTTACCAAAGCAGAAATGGACCGATTGCAAAACCTTATAACAAAACATAAAAATATATTGTTTTGCAAAAAGACTGACGGAATAAGCTCGAATCAAAAAGAAAGTGCATGGCATTTAATTGAATGTATGCCCTTTGGTAGTATGGCATGAAATTGTATTCATTCAGTAAATAGCTTGAAAACTTATGCCGTGTGGAAGGGAATAAAAACACCTTGAAGTATATATTTATATTGTAGGAGGTTAAATAGAACGGTTCGCGACAAAGTGCAAATAGCGACTACTCGCCTCTATATAACATTACTAATTAAAACATTAAGATCTATACCAAATAGGGAAGGTGCCGATATGATGCAATATAATATTATTATTATACTATAAATACATAGTAGGCACAATACTTCCCCTCTTTAAAAAAAAATATGATAAAAACACTATATAATTACAAAAAAAATATTACCAACTACTATGCTTTAATACAATCTGTGAAAGATATGCTGAGCAGCATGGCCTAAGATATAATCCTAAGAAAAGTGAGTTGTTAGTCTTTATAGGGAAAAATAAAAGTCCAACATGTGTCCCTCCTGTTCAGCTTGGTGGTACACTTTTACAGAGAGTAACTGAATTTAAATATCTGGGACACATTGTTACTGAAAATTTAAAAGACGACAAAGACATGGAAAGAGAACGTAGGGCGTTGGCTGTAAGGGCCAATATGCTGGCCCGAAGGTTTGCTGGTTGTTCAGTACCTGTTAAAATTACACTGTTTAAGGCTTACTGCCAAACATTTTACACCAGCAGCCTTTGGGCTAGCTGTACTCGAAGAGCGGCACACGTTCTGCGAGTTCAATATAATAATGCCTTCAGGGCGCTGTTGAGGCTCCCTTATTATTGTAGTGCGTCAGGCATGTTTGCAGATGCACACACTGACGATTATTTCACGATAATGCGTAAGAAGGTGGCGTCTGTGATACAAAGGGTGAGGGCAAGCACCAACAGCATCCTGAAGGTATTTGCGGAAAGACTGGACGGGCCCACCATGGGGAGGTTTATCAAGTTACATGTACAAAATGTGACTGGATCAATCTCCCTATGGTAGCTATTTATTTATTTTATTTGTATTTTGTTTTTTACTAACATAGTTCTTAAGTAATTATTGTACTAACCAACTATGAGCCTATGTTGCTCGCTAATAAAAGATTTTTATTTTTATTTTTTATTTTTTTAATAAAAAGTTAATTTTATATAATGAAAATAAATTTTATATAATGAAAAGGTGTGTATAAAATTTGAATATAATATTACTAATAATTTGTATATAATATTAATTACATTTACATACGATTTGCACTGTTAACTAAGAAAATCACGCACATTTTATATTTCTTTCACTTCCACTGCACTTGCCTTTCGGGAAACACCAACTACATGCGTAATAGCCTTTATCAGGCCACGGAGTACGCAGGTACTGCGTGCTGGGGATCGCGCGATCGACGACTCGCACGTAAAGCAGACATCTCTTGTCTCAGGAACTTGGTAAATCGGTTATTACAGAATTTCCAAGTTAGATTAGGTTAGGTTAGTAAAGCACAATGACGTTCACCTTGTCGTGGTGGGGGGGCTCAGTAGTGTACTCACGAAGCCAAGAAACGCACAGGGTGGCCCGCTTCGGTGGGCGGTGGGAGGCGGCCTTCTTCGGAGGGTGGTATACCATGCGGGTTGCTCCTGGTACTTCTCTGATAGCAGAGTGGACCGTGGAGCAACCCCATGGTTGTTGTGGTCTGCTTCGGCAGACCTGCCGTCGGGGCGTCGTAGTTGAATGCGTAAGCGATCCTGCGACGCCCCATTAAGACGGGGGAAGGTTTTGTTGGGTTTTAGTGGGTAGTACTGGCTTCGCCGGTGAGTCCCACACTTCGTGCGTAAATGCATTTAGCACAATGAAGATGGCAACTGACACGACGGCTAGTAATGTGTCCAGCTTGTCATGCGTCTTCTCATGCAGCATGCTGGTGCTCGCTTGATTTGCAGCACCATTTTGGGCAATTATAACTTCCTCTTTGCTCTGAGGTTTTCCCATTTCGAAATTAAAATAGGTTATGAATTAGTATAATAAATGGAAATAAATGGTTAAGAGTGATCACTTCTCGACGAATTATTAATAAGTAATGCAATTATTGACTATGTTATTCGGGCGTAAAATGCACTGTCGGCTTTATAATTCGCCCGGATCGAGTTCGATATGACATGCTGTTATGATTTACATGACCATCTAAGTCGTTGCTATGTGCTTCGTGATTTGTTGTGCATTCCTTGTACTTATTTGCGGAATAAGCTCGAATCAAAAAGAAAGTGCATGGCATTTAATTGAATGTATGCCCTTTGGTAGTATGGCATGAAATTGTATTCATTCAGTAAATAGCTTGAAAACTTATGCCGTGTGGAAGGGAATAAAAACACCTTGAAGTATATATTTATATTGTAGGAGGTTAAATAGAACGGTTCGCGACAAAGTGCGAATAGCGACTACTCGCCTCTATATAACATTACTAATTAAAACATTAAGATCTATACCAAATAGGGAAGGTGCCGATATGATGCAATATAATATTATTATTATACTATAAATACATAGTAGGCACAATACTTCCCCTCTTTAAAAAAAAATATGATAAAAACACTATATAATTACAAAAAAAATATTACCAACTACTATGCTTTAATACAATCTGTGAAAGATATGCTGAGCAGCATGGCCTAAGATATAATCCTAAGAAAAGTGAGTTGTTAGTCTTTATAGGGAAAAATAAAAGTCCAACATGTGTCCCTCCTGTTCAGCTTGGTGGTACACTTTTACAGAGAGTAACTGAATTTAAATATCTGGGACACATTGTTACTGAAAATTTAAAAGACGACAAAGACATGGAAAGAGAACGTAGGGCGTTGGCTGTAAGGGCCAATATGCTGGCCCGAAGGTTTGCTGGTTGTTCAGTACCTGTTAAAATTACACTGTTTAAGGCTTACTGCCAAACATTTTACACCAGCAGCCTTTGGGCTAGCTGTACTCGAAGAGCGGCACACGTTCTGCGAGTTCAATATAATAATGCCTTCAGGGCGCTGTTGAGGCTCCCTTATTATTGTAGTGCGTCAGGCATGTTTGCAGATGCACACACTGACGATTATTTCACGATAATGCGTAAGAAGGTGGCGTCTGTGATACAAAGGGTGAGGGCAAGCACCAACAGCATCCTGAAGGTATTTGCGGAAAGACTGGACGGGCCCACCATGGGGAGGTTTATCAAGTTACATGTACAAAATGTGACTGGATCAATCTCCCTATGGTAGCTATTTATTTATTTTATTTGTATTTTGTTTTTTACTAACATAGTTCTTAAGTAATTATTGTACTAACCAACTATGAGCCTATGTTGCTCGCTAATAAAAGATTTTTTTATTTTTATTTTTTATTTTTTTAATAAAAAGTTAATTTTATATAATGAAAATAAATTTTATATAATGAAAAGGTGTGTATAAAATTTGAATATAATATTACTAATAATTTGTATATAATATTAATTACATTTACATACGATTTGCACTGTTAACTAAGAAAATCACGCACATTTTATATTTCTTTCACTTCCACTGCACTTGCCTTTCGGGAAACACCAACTACATGCGTAATAGCCTTTATCAGGCCACGGAGTACGCAGGTACTGCGTGCTGGGGATCGCGCGATCGACGACTCGCACGTAAAGCAGACATCTCTTGTCTCAGGAACTTGGTAAATCGGTTATTACAGAATTTCCAAGTTAGATTAGGTTAGGTTAGTAAAGCACAATGAAGATGGCAACTGACACGACGGCTAGTAATGTGTCCAGCTTGTCATGCGTCTTCTCATGCAGCATGCTGGTGCTCGCTTGATTTGCAGCACCATTTTGGGCAATTATAACTTCCTCTTTGCTCTGAGGTTTTCCCATTTCGAAATTAAAATAGGTTATGAATTAGTATAATAAATGGAAATAAATGGTTAAGAGTGATCACTTCTCGACGAATTATTAATAAGTAATGCAATTATTGACTATGTTATTCGGGCGTAAAATGCACTGTCGGCTTTATAATTCGCCCGGATCGAGTTCGATATGACATGCTGTTATGATTTACATGACCATCTAAGTCGTTGCTATGTGCTTCGTGATTTGTTGTGCATTCCTTGTACTTATTTGGCGGAGCGTATTGTATTTCTGAGTCATTGGGGATTGAAAATGCAGGCTTTAATCTATCTATTGAAATTGTTTTTATATTATCTGAAATCATTACTCTAAAATGCTTATCCCCTCGTTCTATGATTTTATACGGTCCTGTATATGGAGGTGTTAAAGGCTTTGTAATATGGTCACACCGAATGAATACGTGTGTACATGATTCTAAAGCTGGATGTACAAATATTTTATCTTGCTTGTATTGTCTCCTTGGTACGGCGGCTAACTTTCGTATTCGCTCTCTTAAATTGTGTAGAAACATTTCACTTTCGGGAGAAATTTGCTTTGACGGCTCAAAAAAGTCTCCTGGAAGCTTTATAGGTGTACCATAAACTAATTCAGCTGCAGATATTCCGGTGTCATCCCGAAGGCTAGCTCTCAAACCTAATAAAACTGTAGGTAATTCGTTTACCCAATTTTCGGTATTCCCACGTGCCATTAATGCCGATTTAAGACTTCTATGTAGTCGCTCGATCTTACCATTAGCTTGCGGATGAAAACTACATGTGTCAATTTTATATATACCTAAAAGTCTTGCAAGATTTGTGAACAGATGCGACTCAAACTGGCGGCCTTGGTCGGTAGTGATTTTTGAGGGACATCCGAATCTTGTGATCCAATGGGTGTATAGGGCCCTTGAAACACTTTCAGCAGTGATGTCTTTTAATGGTTTAATTTCCGGCCATCCTGTCGCTCTATCTATAATGGTCAGCATATATCTGTAGCCTTGACAGTATTGTAGTGGTCCTACAATATCTATGTGCAGATGTTCGAAGCGATTACTATTTGGAAATGAGCTGAGCGGAGATTTCGTATGGCGTTGAATTTTAGATTTTTGGCAATCTATGCATGCCTTAGTCCATTTGTTGATATCTGTATTCATGGATTTCCAAAAATATCTCTCTGTAATCATTTTTCTCGTAGCACGTGTTCCGCTGTGACTTATACCGTGAATTGCTTCGAAAGCTGTAACACGATACTCTTTCGGTAGGTACGGACGAGCGTTTTGTTTAGATATCTCACAATAAATCGGCTCCTTGCAATATGGGTAATTAAATGTTTTAAAATTTAAATTTTTTGCTTTTAATAATTCTTTTAATTCTCGGTCATTTTGTTGTGCTTTAGATATTTCGGCGTAATCGAGTGGTGATGGCATGTCTATCTGTTCAATTCTCGATAGTGTATCTGCAACTACATTTTGAGATCCTTGAATGTACTCGATCGATGTACAGAATTGACTTATAAAATCTAGGTGACGGAGTCGCCGGGGTGTATCACTACTGCTCGTAGCTTTTTTGTGTAGGGCATAGACGAGCGGTTTGTGATCCGTATAGACGATAACTTCTTGGCCTTCAATCATGTGTCGGAAATGTTTTACTGCCATATATATAGATAATAATTCCCTGTCGTAGGCACTGTAACGCTAAAAAATTTAGCGGTTTCCATTCTTGACTGATTTTCTGTTGCAGGACTGCGCCTGCGCAGGTACTACTTGCGTCAGTCATAATACCCAGGGGTGCACCGACAACGGGATGCGATAACATAACGGCTTCTTTTAGGCTTTTTTTGCACTGCTCGAAAGCATTTTCAGCCTCATTATCCCATACGATTTTTGTCTTGTCATTGCGTTTTGTGTTATGTAAATAGGCATTTAAAATAGACTGGTATGAAGCTGCATTCGGTAAATGACTTCGGTAAAAATTAATCATACCTAAAAATCGACGTAATTGTGCCACAGTTTCCGGTTTAGGATATTCTGATATGACCTTCACTCGATTGTTTAAAGGTTTTATGCCTTCTGCTGATACATGATATCCTAGAAATTCTATCTCTGATTTTCCCAGGTCACATTTAGCCAAATTGATGGTTACACCATATTTATTTAGGCGCTGGAATACTGTTTCCAAGTGCATCCTGTGTTCGGATTCTGAGTTCGAAAATATGACAGTGTCATCGACAAAATTGAATAAAAAATCCAGACCTTGAAAAACTACATGGTTCATGAATCGTTGGAACATCTGTGCAGCGTTCCTCAAGCCGAAAGTCATACGAGGAAACTCAAAAAGGCCAAAAGATGTTATTATGGCAGTCTTTTCGATGTCCTCCGGAGCAGTTTGTATAAAATGATAAGCACGGTGTAGATCGATTCGGGAAAATATCTTCTTTCCAGCGAGCAGGTAAGTGAAATCGTGAATCCTTGGAATGGGATATCTATCTGGTTTAGTTATGGCGTTTAAGCTGCGGTAATCGCCACACGGTCGTATTTCACCATTCTTCTTTTCCACCACGTGAAGAGGACTGGACCAACAGCTCTTTGATGGTCTACATATACCGATTTGCAGCATATATTCAAATTCCTTTTTGACTTTTAGATACTTGGCGGGAGGAAGCGGTCGCGCACGAGCAAATACAGGTGAGCCAGTAGTCTCAATATGGTGCATAACATTATGTTTCGGAGCTTCTTTGTAACAAACAGGTTTTGTGATATCGGGATAGGCTGATAATAAATCGTAATATGGGCTCGTGACATCGATTGTTTTGATTGCGTCATCATTGCACTGAACTATAGACCCAATAACGTTTAGACTCGTCACTGATTCGATTAGTTTCCGTCCATTTACGTCCACTAAAAGCTTATAGTTGCTTAAAAAGTCGGCACCAATGATAGGCTGCTTCACGTCGGCTACTATGAAATTCCAAGTAAAAGATCGTCGTAGTTTTAAGTTAAGCTCTAAGTTTTTAGTTCCATAAGTTCGTATAACACTTCCGTTCGCAGCGTACAAATTATAATTATCACACACCCGATTAGTATATGGTCTCTTAGTAACAGGTATAACAGATACATTGGCTCCAGTGTCCACCAAAAAACGTAAACCACTGTTTAAGTCGGTCACGCACAGGCGGTGGGAAGGCGAGATGGTGCAGACATCCGCCGCTGGCTGCATCGAATTTAGTTTTCCTGATTTTGCTTCTTCCATGCATACGGCTCTAAACATTTGTTAGCTCTATGGCGTAAACGCGCATGATAAAAACATAGCTCGTCGGAACTTGCATTGCGCCGGATCATATTACGGGCACGCGACTGGGAGCGATAACGACTGTAATAGTTATGATTTCGGTTCCTTTGTCTCGATCTTTGTGAATTTTTCAGCTCCATTACTTGTAAAGTTAGTTGTGCGATTTGGGCTTGTAATGTGGGAATTTCGTTCGCCATAGATGGTTTGCTGGTACTGGTAACTTCCGCTACATGAAGAGGTCGAGTTGTCTCCAGTATCTTGTCCGCGATAGCTGCTAAATTTTCAAGGTCCTTAACATCCGTAACAGCGAGGAAGGCGCGCACGGAGGATGGTAGATGTCCTTGCCACATAATGCTTAGAGTTTCATCAGGGATTTTTCCTCGCGCTAAATCTCGCATGTGTCTCAGTAATTGAGAAGGCTTTTGATCACCGAGTTTTATTTCGCTCAAAAGCTTCTGTAGTTGACGATTTTCCGATTCTTCATATACCGCGAGTAGTCTTGCCTTTAATGCTTCATATTTTTTTGCTTCAGGTGGCTGCAGTAAGATGTCACTCACTTGCTGTATTACGTCTTTACCCAATTTAGCCACAACGAGATTAAATTTAGCTTCGTTCGATAACTTTTGGGGTGTTAATATGGCCTCAACTTGAACGAACCACAAGCGAGCTTGATCGCACCAGAACTCGGGGATCCGTGACGAAACTGTCACGGTTGCTAGCTCGGAAGAACCAGTGGTGGAGGAAACCTTTCCTTCAGTCGTCATGTTGGTTGATGTCTTCGCAGGCAGTCAAGATTTACGTATCACATCAATCACGTCGGGGTCACCAATATGCCCTTTGGTAGTATGGCATGAAATTGTATTCATTCAGTAAATAGCTTGAAAACTTATGCCGTGTGGAAGGGAATAAAAACACCTTGAAGTATATATTTATATTGTAGGAGGTTAAATAGAACGGTTCGCGACAAAGTGCGAATAGCGACTACTCGCCTCTATATAACATTACTAATTAAAACATTAAGATCTATACCAAATAGGGAAGGTGCCGATATGATGCAATATAATATTATTATTATACTATAAATACATAGTAGGCACAAATGTGAATTCAATGCTCTCGCTGATACGCCAAGAACAATAAAACAACTAAAATATAAGTTTGAGAACATAAAGAGAGTTGCAAAGAAAGTAAGTTCATAATGCTCAGTTTGTTTATTTAGAGGTGCGTTCATTTTACTACCGAAATCAAATGCTAAAATGTCAAACTCAAACGATTGTAAAGAACCCACCTGCAAAAGTGTTGGTGCACAATGGCATTTTTAACTATTTTTGAGCTATCCAAAAGGTGAACAAAAACAGTTAAAAATGACACTTTTGCTCACACATTCTCAAAACGACAGCTGAATGTGATCATTGTTTTTTACTGTTAATTTTGCCATCAATAGGCTATCCCATCCAACGCACCTAATATAATAAGTTGGTACTTTAGTATTTCATGCAAAATCTAGAACTAAATTATTTTATTCACTACAGTTTGTGTATCTAAATATTATATTTATTAGGTACTTTAGTATTTCATACAAAATCTAGAACTGAGTTATTTTACTATTTAAGCTACAATTCCAAAAGGTGGTAATCATATTTGGCACATCTGTGTATTATGTTTAAAAATCCTATTTATTAATAGGGTGCAGGCAAAGAGCGCCAAGAAATGCGGCGCACTGGATGAGGACCACCACCACCGCCACTACCTGGTTCGCAAGATGCCACTGATTGGCTGAGGTCCATTATACCATCATCAATTGATGGAAATGAGGCCATGTATGATGATGATACATTGAGTCAAAAAACTGTCTTCGTAAGTGTTTTGTACCCAACCACTATTCTTAACCCACTATTCTTCATGTACTTTCTAAGGAGTGTAATTTTGATTTTTTTCTTTATTGGCAGCCTGCAAAAAAACTGGATGAGGACCATAATATTATAAGCATAGAAATAGTTGATGAATGTGTCAACGAGGAATCTCACCATTCTAAGGTATTATTTAGATTGTAATATTGAAATTACATACACATCAGCTTTATGCTGTTTTGTGTAGACATTTTGTGAAGTTATCATGCAATATTCAATGTTACTTTTACAGATTCCTGCTAATAAACTTGAAACAGGCATAAACGAGGCCTCAAGTTCAAAGAAGTGGGACTTTGATACCAGTACACCCTACAGTTCCCTCAAGAGACCAATGTCAACTCCACTAAAACGTAATGCATATTTAGTAGACTGAAACATATACATTTGCATAAATACTTTCATACAATATATCTAATATTTATCTTAAACTACTCGGCAGGTCGTGCAAAGAAAGAAAAGATGGCAGAGAACGGCAACCTTGTCCGGCAGCTGTTGCGGGAAAAAAAATATCTATTATGGATAACCTTCAAGAGCTGGAGCTTAAAAAAATTGAGGAGTCCATAAGGCGCGCCCAGGAGGTTCATGACCAAAAGCTACGGCATAACGAAGAGCGGCACCAATTAGAATTAGAAAAGTTAAAATTAGATATAGCTATATTAAAGAAGATTTTTAGGGCATTAAAATAAGTAATAAAGCATTCATTTTTATTAAAATCTTTTTATTCAATATATTATTATCTTCTTCACATCCTTGCTATATAGTGTACCATATTATGATCCTGCTAGGAACATGTCATGCAAAAAAATATTCTTTGTATTGAAAAGTATGGGTAGACGCCTTAATATCGTCTTATTGATGAAGCCTACTGAAACAATTATTTATTAATTGTGATCTGTTACAATCATCATTCCTTGCCACTGTATAAACGATGTCATCTTCATCAGAAGATGCATCACTGTCCTCATTCCTACTTGGCATTCTTGGAGGCATAGGATCATGCATTTTTTTGCATATGTTATGTAAAACAGCAATCGCTACTATCATAGGCTGGACTCTGTTATAATTAGTTCTTATTTTCATGAACAAGGCAGGAAATCTTCTTTTCCAAGCTCCAAATGTCCTTTCTATTACATTTCTTGTACGAATTTAACTTTCATTGTATAATTTTTCTCTATCACTAACAGGATTACGAAGAGGTGTTAGCGAATAAGGTTTTATTGCATAGCCTTTGTCACCAATTAACCAGTATCCATTAAAATCACCATCTTCTAGTCTGCCCTGAAAAATGTAAAAAATTTGCTAGGTATAATATCTTTATTATATTAGTTTAGATTAATATGCTTTAATTTATGTTGTGTAGGTACCTTGATAACACTGGAATTAAAAATATGGCTATCATGGCTGCTACCAGGCCATCGTGCAACAATATTCGTTATGTACATTTTTGCATCGCAGATAACTTGGACATTCACAGAAAATATCAATTTTCTATTTCTATAATTTTCTGCATCTGGGCCATCTAAAAATAAACATTGATTGAATATATTATAGAAATATATGTAATATAGATATAGGTACACACAAAGCAGTTGATTATGAAAATGTTTATGTTAGGTGTTTAGATACGTAATAGTTTGTAGCTAAACTGCAATTAGTACCTACTTTACTTTATTCTTAAATAGCTCTAATTTTGAATAATTCATAATTAAAATGCCTCATTACTGGACTGAAAACATGGCAAACATTTACCTGGAGATTTAATTTGCACATGAGTACAATCTATTGCTCCGATCACTTTTGGAAATGCACTTCAAGCATAAAATTCTGTTGCTGTTCTTTTCATCTCCTCAACGACTTCTGGCATGGATATCCATTCTGCTCTCATACTTGCAATTGCTCGGCTTACTCTGTATATTATACGTGATACAGTTGACTTATGCACACCAGCCGTATCACCAACACATCTTTGGAATGAACCACAAGCATAGTATTCTAATGCGATAAGTACTTGCTGTACTGGGCTCACCGCTTTATTTCTGAAAAACGAAAGTTGGTTTTCAATAATAATTTACTACAACAGGGGGTGTTCCACTCCAAAAAAGTAAAGCAAGGCCTAATTATAATTACTTATTACTAGTAGACATTTTAAAATAATTTTTATAATGTCTACATTCAGTAAGCATAGGTATGTACTTATACAACTGTAGTTTGTCTACCTATTAGGTGCTATGTATGTACCGAAAATATTATTATAAATATAGGTAGGTTAAATAATAGGCATCTTTAGATGCTTAGGTAGGTATTTTCTTATGGAACTTACTTCGGTGTTGGAGGTTTTAACCAGGATTGCAATCGTTGAGTTAGCCACTTGGCTACATTTTTGGAGACTCGAAACCTCGCCAAGAATGATGCTTCGTCTCATGTGGAGAAACGATCTGGTCTACTTAAATACACTTTTCTTTTGAAAGACCATACCTGCACTAGGTCGTCATTTTCATCTTCAGAACTACTAGATTCCGCAATTATATCTCGGAGCATGGACATGATGTACAAGTTTAGAGCACAGGAGTAGGTACCTACTATAAAAATTATTGGTTCATTTACAATATACTAATCCAAGCTTGTTTTAGTGGCTTTTGTAAACGTTATATCAATATTAAACAGGGAATATATTTATTTTGGTTTTATGGTTAAGCGCGCTCTACACTCGCGGCGCACAGTGGGACAGAACCGTGCGTACCGTCTCAAAAATAGCTTTTCGTAATGTTCTATATTGAATATTTTGTTAATGCATATGTCTAACTGAATGTTCAATGCATATTATATAGCAGTTGAAATACACTATTTCTCATTTTTTGTATTAGAATAAGGCTTGCAAGTTGACGCTCAAAATTATGTCAATTATGTAGAACACAATTCCACCAGTTTACATGGTCATATTTGCATTACTTTACCAGCAAATTTGTAAGTGTGATATATGGTTAGAATGGTGATGAAGTACTCTATTTAAAAATAATTTAAGTGAACCATGAAACCTGGGGAGGTAAAGAATTTTTATTTCAGGACCTAATATTCTATCCTTATTAGAAACTTTGCATAGACTTTTGACAGTTAGCGGTGTCTGCCCATGTCGTAATTTTGATAGCATCGTATAGAGCAGTTAATGTAAAAGTCAGGGCAAAAAAAATTGAGTACCCGAATCTGCCCCCCTTGAAATAAAACGAAAAATGGCTAATGGGGAGAAAATACAAAATATTCCAAAAATTATTTTAGTTCTGATTAATGAGATTTTTGGATATTTAGATCACTTTTGACCTTTTTTTCTTAAACAATATTATCTATTTACTCAATCTTTAGGTAAAGTGGGAGTTTTGGGTAATGTATTAGTATGTAGTATATTTTTTTTATGGTGCGGTCAGATGTGGTTAATGTTTTGTTATCACTGTGTGAATTACATGTTTCTCATATAGTTTATGTATTTCTCTATCGCGGTGAAGGAAAAGGGAGCAAGTGGTATCTAGTTATAGTTGTTAGTGTACATTATCAGTACCTACCTACTACTAACCACCTTCATAGATAGTGGTTAGGAACTTGATAATGACACTAAACAGTAATATTTTTTCGCACGAAATTTCAGTATAAACGTTATTGATTTACGTTGTCGTTTACCAGTACTTTAGTGTGCTTAAACATAATAGTCTTTTTTTTTTTTTTTTTTTTTTTTTTTATCGTCAGGAAACCCTGTTGCCGGGTACCCGCCGCCTGGGGAAGAACGACGGGTTATGTGGGGCTCCTGCCGCGCAAAGATGGTAAACGCGCGGCAGCCTACCCACTAAAACCTGACGGTGTCCACCTCAGTCGCCTCAAGGTCGGGGCCACGGGAACCGGAGACTCCTCCGCGAACCCCGACGGCGATTGCCCATCGGCACGTCTCGGTGTCGGAGGGTGGGAGCAACACCCTCGACGACCACCATCTAGAGCAGCGCGCGGGGGACACCGCGCGCGCCTACTCGGGCCAGGTGATTAGGCGGCAAACTTCCCCAAGTCTACCGCCCTCTGGCCGGTGTTAGGGGGGGAGGCGGCGATCGTGCGCCGCTCTCCGGCGCCCGGTCCTCCTGCGGCGGATGGCGAGCTCGGCGTTGGCCTCTCTCGCCCTCTCCGCCGCCTCCTTCTGCGACATCACGTCCTCACAGAAGGACAGGACGGCACCCCAGGACCTTTCGCTTTCAGCCATGGCGGAAATCACGGCCGGCAGCGTCAGGTCCGCCCCCACAACACTTTTAAGCGCCTCGCGCTCCTCCGTCCATGCTGGGCACTCCTCCAGCGTATGCTGGGCCGACTCGTCGGGACAGTCGTCGCAGTGGTGGCAGCGAGGAGAGGGCTCCCTCCCGATCCGACACAGATACCCCCCGAAGCAACCGTGCCCCGAGAGGATCTGCGTGGCGCGGAAGGTTAGAACGCCATGCCGCCTGCCCAGCCACTGCGTGAGAATGGGGCGAACTGCCTCCACGGTCCGTCGGCCAGCGCTAGGGCGCTCCAGCCTGGACCTCCATTCTTCGATAGCGGCCTCCCGCTCATCCACCCTGCGTGGCGCTGGACTAAGGTCCCTGGGCGCAGGGCCTCGACGCCGACAATAGATCGACGCCAAGGAAAGCGCATCCAGGTCCCAGGGCAGAACTCCAGCCAGCACACACGCCGCCTCGCCGGAAATGGTACGGTACCCCCTGATCACCCTGTTCGCCATCACCCTCTGCGCCCGCCGCAGCAGGGCGATGTTTTCGCGACCCAGGGCATCCACCCACACTGGGGCGCCGTACATGGCCACCGATCGGACGACCCCACAATAGAGCCGACGACAAGATGCACTAGGCCCACCCACGTTCGGCAATAGCCTCCCGAGGGCGGCCGCCACCTTCATCACCCGCGGAACGAGTGAGGCGAAATGAGCACCGAAGCTCCATCGGCTGTCAAGCACAAGACCCAAATACGTCATCGCACTCTTCAGCTCGATGCGCGTGCCACCGACTATGATATGCGCGTCCCGCGGGGGCGCCCTCCGAGGACCATGAAAAAGGATGGCCTCCGACTTCTCCAATGCAACCTCCAGCCCCAGCCGCCTGATTCGTGCGACTACTTGAGCGACTCCTGCCGTCGCAAGAATTGCTGCCTCCCGGTATGTGGCCTGCCGTGCCAACACAAGAGTGTCGTCGGCGTAGCAGACCACACTCACGCCTCTAAGCCATGCGCCCCGCAGCACCCAGTCGTACCCGATGTTCCACAGGAGGGGCCCAAGTACCGAGCCCTGTGGAACACCGCACGACACCTCTCTCGTGCTCCAGCCATCCGGCCCGGGAAAGGTCACGGACCTCCCCGACAGGTAGGCACCGATGACACGGCGCAAGTAGGTCGGCACCCCATGATGTCGGAGCGCCTCCCTAATACAGCTCCAGGGCAACGAGTTGAAGGCGTTGACGATGTCTAAAGACACCGCCAAAACTACGTCACCCTGAGCGACTGCGTCCTGTGCTCGGGCCTTCACCTGCAGAATGGCATCCACCGTAGAACGGCCACGGCGGAAGCCAAACTGAGCGTCCGATAGGTCCGGACCTACTCCCTCCATGTGGGCCGTCAGCCGATTGACCACTATGCGTTCAAAGGTCTTGGCGACCTCTTCGAGCAGCACTATAGGACGATATGCGGAGACAGAATCCGCCGGGCGTCCCTCCTTCCTAAGGAGGACTAATCTGCCTGTCTTCCACCGCTGTGGAATTATGGCTTGAGCCAGACAGGCAGTATATAGTCCTCTCAGCTCTGGACCAAAGATGTTTGCGGTCAGGGCCAGTACCTTCCCGGGAATTCCGTCCAAGCCGGGGGCTGTCGCTTTGGCTCTCAGTCTCGATATGGCCACGGCTAGCTCCTCCTCCGAGACTTCTGGAGCTTCTTCTCCCTCAGTCTCCTCTCCAGCTGCTGGATGTGGGACCATCGGAGGTGGTGTGTGTTCCTCCCTCTGAGGAAACAGGTTCGACACCACCTCTCGCAAGACGTCGGATGGTAGCGTCTGCGTTAGTGGGGGAGCCCAAGGGCGGAGCTTATTGCGCACCATCCGGTACGGCGTCCCCCACGGATCCCTATCCAGGCCCTCGAGCATCTCCTCCCTAGCCGAGGTTTGAGAGGCCACAATCGTCACCTGCAAGACCCTCTTTGCCTCCACATATCTTGCATACAGCCTATCTTCTTCCTCAACGTCTCTGTGGACTCTCCGGCGATGGTGGGTGTACTGACGTCTTGCGCCCACGCAGTCCTCGCGTAGTCGCGCAATTTCCGCTGACCACCAGTACACCTGCTGCCTCGAAGGACGACGCCCAGAGCGAGGCATGGACGTGTCGCATATTCGAGTCAGGGTCCGTTGCACCCACTCGGCAGCCTCCTCCACTGACCCGCTGTTCCGCGGCACCCATGACGCCAACAACGCCGCCTCTTTAAGGAGCCCCTTGTCCAGGCGCCTTAGTTGCCACCGGGGGCCTTCCTGTCCCGAGTTTCGGCTGGGGCCTGGCAGCACCGCCGGATGAGTGGAGATCTCAAACCAGACGTAGAGGTGGTCCGAAAGAGTCTCCACATCACCCAGCACTCGCCAGCCCTGAACACGGCGCGCTAAGGCCGGGCTCGCGAACGTAACATCCACGATGGACCCGCCCTGCCGTCGCACGCACGTATTGGCCGTCCCCCGGTTGAGGACCGTCAAGTTTGTGGCACCCACCCACTCTGCAAGGGCCCTCCCCCGCGCATTCTCTACTGCCGAGCCCCACAAGGCGGACTTTGAATTGAAATCCCCCGCGAGAAGGACTTCCGCAGGCTGGAATCCGGCAATTAAGACCCCTAGCCTGTCCAAAAACTCTTCGAACTCCGCCAGAGTTTTGTTGGGGAGAAATAAGCCCCGACGACAACGACCCGACCCAGCAGTGCCGCGACGCATCCCAACCCCCTCACAACACGCGTGAAAGGTGGGGCGCCAGCGGCGACCTGGGTCACGATGGCGACCAGTCCGTTGTTATCCCCTGCCCAATTATCCCGCGGGGGAACCGAATACGGCTCCGCTACGACGGCGACCTGCACCGACCACTGCACCAGGCTTTGGACGAACAGGTCTTGGGCTCTGGCACAGTGGTTTAAATTCCCCTGGAGAAACTTAAGGGCCATACTTAAGTGTTCATCGGTGCCACCGTCGCATCCTTGCGGAGGGTTGGCGTCTGGCCTGCCGGCCCAGACGTACCCGATCGTCCCTTTGGACGTGTCTTTTGGGCCTGAACGCATGTTGCGCTTCCAACCGAATGGTTCGCCGGCCTCTTCGCACTCTCGCACACGGTGCAGTGGGGCGCGGCATCGCATTGGCTGCGCTTGTGCCCTGACTGACCACACCTAAAGCATTGACCGCTACGGTCGTCGGGGCCGGAACACTTCGCAGCGACATGGCCACCCTCATGGCAGCGGAAGCAGCGCTGCGCTCTGGGCTTCAGCAGGTCGACTTTGGCCGATACGAAACCCACCAAAAGACGTCCTGCATCCACTAACTTCTTAGCGGCCGCTACCGGGCAACGCACCCATGCTGTCCCCAGACCAGCGCCATTGCGACGGATTTCGCCCACTCGAACTGCTTGCTCTGTGCAAGTTCCCACTCGGCTTACCGCCAGACCCAGCTCTTTCGACGTCACCGAGTCGTCTAAGCCGACAATGCGAATCTCCGAACACTTGGTCGGCCGAGACACTACCACTTGGTCTTCTGGTAGAACTTCCCGGATTTTCTGCGCCAGTGAGTCCGCTTTTTCGGCACTGCCAGTGCCAGGCAGCTCCAGCATCCGCGCGCCCGTGGCCGCCACCTTAAAGCGGATGTCCGAGATTCCCAGGTCCGTCAGGCTTACATCCCTCTTGACCCGGGCGAACACCTCGCTATAAGTGACGCTATTGTCCGTTGCGCCTGGCAGCAACTTTATCACCACCGCCGCTGACCTCGGTGGACGCAGTTTCGGAACCTTGGGCTTTGCCCTGCCAGCACTTTGCCCCTTTGCTTTTGGCGGCACCGTTGCATTAGCCACCTTCTTAGGCTTCCTCGCCACCACACTCCATCCCTCCGTTAAGCGGGTAGGGGGAGCTGACGTAGACGGAGCCACGTCCGCCGGTGCGGTTTCCACAGCCGATCCTTTCTGAGGCTGGTTCTCCTTCCTCTTTGCTTTGCCCTTTTTGGGGTTCTTCGTCCCTTCCTTAGCCGGATTGGCAGGGGTCATGAGGGTAGTCACCCTGGCGTCACCCGTTGTAGCCTTCGGGGCAGACTTTGCCGTCGTTCTGTCGGACGCTAGCGGGGGACGGATCCGCTGCTCCGGCAAAAGCCTATCCTCTAACGCCTCAAACCGCGCATTTATCATGGTCCCTACCTGGACCATTATTGTCCGCGCAAACTCTTCCACACCCGCCGGGTGTTGTGGCGGTGGAATAGCTGCGGGCTGCGCCTGGGATGGTGCTGGGCTCACGTTGGCCCGGGAGGCTTCCACCTGCGCTTTTAGAGCCGCAAACTCCTTTCGCATCCCCTCCAGCTCGGTCTGCAGTCGGGCGTTACTGGCCCTTAACTGCGCTACCTCATCCGTGGCCGTTCTTCTGGCAAGGTCATCCACCGCCGTAGCTATCGAGCTGGCTGCCAGCTTAAGGGCCTTAATGTAGACCCCTTTCAAGTTCCCGGACTTTTTGGCAACAGTTTCAATGACCACGAGACTGTCCTTCACTTTCTTCTGCAAGTCCAAAGCTAAGAGCGCCTCGGTCTCCTCGCACTCCACAAACGGCACCAAAGACATATCGGACTGGCGTGAGCTAGCCTGGGTGCGCACTGCTAGGGCCATCTCGGCCACCTCTTCTTCGGCACGCAACCTCCGTTCCTCCTTCTTAGCCTCATTGAGGGCTCTCTTTGCCTCGGCCAACCCGACGTTCTCGCCGGTGGTAGATGGCCGTCCTTTCCCTTTGCTGGCCACCGGCTTGGTCTTAGGCCTCTTCTCCTCATCTGAAGACCCCGAGCGACTTTCCTGACGGCTCCGAGGCCTTTTTCGATGGTCTTTTAGAAACTGGGACCTTCCTAAACTATTCACCGAGCCCATCGACACAACACTCTCCCCGTCAGACTCTCTCCCAGACGCCCAGAGTCGTCCACCCGAGGATAGCGAGTTTCTCCTTGACATCGCGCTTTCCCCAAGATCCACTCGGGTCAACACGACTTGCGGCTGTCTTGCCGCAACCTCCTCCGAAGCCGCAACACGCGACACATCACCTCTTTTTGGCCGAACACCAGCACCACCAGTCGCTGGCACAACATCTACTCCGCCCGTCGCAGGCACAACTTCTTCTCCGCCCATCGCAGGCACTACGTCTTGGGTTTTTGATTTATTTTTAGACAATTCCATAAGTAAATCCCACGAGTATGGGGGAAGGGTGGGTCCGTCCGCACAGTGCCCCCTGTATGCGGATAAGCCTACAATAACCCGCCTAGAGTGTCGGCCGGTACTCTAGCGGGGGAAGCAGTAACGACCGATCTTCCCATCGGCCACGCATCCCCTCACGCTGCTTCTCCGCTTGGGATTGGGGTGATTTTTTATAGAGGTTTTCTTCCTCGCAGCCCGGGCGGTTAAGCCGAGGCTATCGGTCCCAGTAACCGGCCGCTAGACATGGCAACGACACCGGGTCCCGGGATTACGATTTGAGAGGGGCGTTGCACGAAGTGCTAGCCGGGCTGCGCAGCTAAGCGCCCGCCGGGCTCGCCCCACCTCCGCGCTTTTCTGTCAGGGTGTGCTCCCTTAGGCCGTGAGGTTAACAAACCCCTAAAGGCACGCCCATGCCTGCTGGTTTTGGTCCGCGCCGGTCAAGACCGGTACCACCAATGTGGTGGCATTCCCCTATCCGCCACCCGGGGGACGCGCCCAGTAGCAGTCCAGCAACTGCCCTGAGATAATAGTCTATACCAACCTCGGTAAAAAAAGTAGTTAAAAATAAAATCAAAATTAGTGAATTTGTTGTGCCTCGACGAGTATTATGCGAATTTTTTATTGGCTATGGAACAAAATCAGAAGATATTCAAAAATACTTAGAATAACACCACCATTTATCGTCTGAAAAAGTGAATTAATTGTGAAACGTATTCAAAAAACGCTTATAACAGCGTTTAACGATCGGTGGACCAAATGTAACCGAACTAAAGAACGTTTCTTTAGTAATAATATATCGTGGTTAGACGGTGAATTTAAGGTACAATTTGAAGAAGCACCGATGGATATTACACCTACAACATCTGAAGAACGTGGACGTCCACCAAAGTCTTATGAAGATCTATCAGAGAAATCGAAAAAAAGAAAGAATATGGAATTGGTACAAGAATATGGACTCGAGTATATACATAATGCATACGTTCAAGGATTGCGTTACATAATGCGTATGAAGAAGCACCGATGGATATTACACCTACAACATCTGAAGAACGTGGACGTCCACCAAAGTCTTATGAAGATCTATCAGAGAAATCGAAAAAAAGAAAGAATATGGAATTGGTACAAGAATATGGACTCGAGTATATACATAATGCATACGTTCAAGGATCGCGTTCGTTGTCGGTTTTTTGTCCCGCGACAAAAGGTTCGCGCTTGGTTCACGGCGCGCGAACGCGAACGCAACTACACTCGCAGTTTTTCGCAATAACTGAGAAGACGTCGTCGGAAGTGGTTGTGGTTGTGCATTATTGCGTACTTAATAGCGTTTTATTTAAAAAAAAAATGAGTCCTACATGGAATAATGAACTTGAGTTAAAACTTATTGAGTGCTATCAATCTGAACCAATACTTTGGCAGTACAAACACAAGGAACATAAAAATAAAAATAAGATCCACGATGCCTGGACGCGGATAAGTGACATTTCGAATATTCCTGTAGGTGAATTGAAAAAAAGAGGGATTCACTTATGTCCAGTTATAGAACCTATAGAAAGAAAGTTAAGGATTCCACACACAGTGGGGCAAGCTCAAGTGAAATATATAAACCCATCTGGTTTGCGTACGAAACTATGGACTCGTTTCTGGGAGAAGGTGTTCAATGTAAACGAACAATAAATACTGTAAGTATTAATTTATTTCAACATGTTTTAATTAATTAATAATTTATTTTGAAAATAGTTCGTGAACTCGTCTCTAATTTCACGAGCGTTCAGAGCGGCTCGGCGTGGTAAGTGTGGTATATCACGAATGGCGCAATTTCTTTCGATTTCATTCCTCCATAAACCAGGCGTAATTAAGGTGTTGTTCTCATCATAAGCGTCCACTGTTCCGTGTGGTGAATAAATGTTTAAAGAGGAACTTTTTCTTAAGAAATTATGTAATAATATACACGTTAATGTCAAAAGTTTTACTTTTTCAGGATTTAATTGGATCGGTTTTTTAAATATTCTAAATCTTGTTACAAGTATTCCAAACGTATTCTCCACTACAACTCTAGCACTAGATAACCTTTGATTAAATTTACGTTTTGGGGATCCCCAATCATGGTTACCAGGATAAGGTTTCATTAAATGTTCTGTGAGTGCAAAAGCACCATCTCCCAAAAAAACGTAGGGTATATCTTTATATGAATTTGGCAATGGATTTGGTGTAGGTAAATTTAATTCATTAAGACAAATTTTATTCCATAATAAACTATTTCTAAATACACCACCATCGCTTATTCTACCTTGGCATCCTATGTCTGCGAAAATAAAATTATAATTACTGTCCACTAAAGCTAACAATACAATACTGAATGTTTTCTTGTAATTAATATATTCCGATCCTGAATCGATTGGACATTCAATAACGATATGTTTTCCATCAATAGATCCTATAGCACGCGGAAATTTAGGTGCAAATCCTTTTTCAATTTCCTTCCACTCTTCCGGACTCGTCGGCAACTGTAAAATAAAAAATAAATACATTATTATTATTTTATTTCAGGAAGAATCACCTTCTGTGTGTGCCAATGAAGGGGGGGGAGGAAAGTTTGGATAGTAATGTAGATAGTCAACCTTTGAGACCGCCAACTGTACGTCGTCGTAAAAACCCTGCAGAAGTGTTAGCTGCTGGAGAAACAGTCAAAGATGCTCTGTCTACACTAAAAGAAACTATGAACAATCGACGAATTCAAGAAGATGATGAATGTGACTTACATGGAAAAATTATAGCTAAAAAGTTAAAAAAATTACCCGATAATGAACGAATGCGGTTTGTGTGTGACATATATAACATGTTTTTGCACCATGAACAAGTTACTACAGTATTATCTTCGTCATCTGTTGGATCACCGTCTCCGGCACATACTACGGCGTACTCGGAACCATCTACATCATACCAGAGAGCAGGAACTTCACATAGCAGTTACTCTGAGCCACCAATTTATTATTCGCCACCATCACAAATTCACATTCACGATGAAACCTCTACCCTTGCGGCTTCAAGGGTTATCATAACTTCAAATGCACTTATCCAGCCAGCTACTCAAGAATCCACAAACTATGTTCAAAATATGATTGATGATGCTTTCAATTGCGCTTGATTAATAAATGGTGTTTGGCGTATGATTAATAAACACTTATTATAATAAATTGTTTTATTACTTACTTTGATTTCCTCCTTTAGTGCTTCATTCAAAGCTTGGCATACCTCTGGAATAATCTTTGATATCAGTTGAGGTGAGATTTTAAATAAAAAGTGGAGACTTTCAAAACTATCTCCAGTAGCCAAATATCGCAATGTAATAGCAAGGCGTATTCTAGCTGGGATGGCTTTTCTTAATTGAGTATCTTGCTTAGCTATCGCTGGTAAAACTTTGTTCAATAAGTTATCAAAATCCGTTTGAGACATTCTCGTAAACTTTTGAAATTCTCCTGATGGTTCAGCAACTAATTCGCTCAACTGTCTATCCATAGTAGCACTGGGAAAAAAGCAAAGTAAATAAAAATATATACATTTAAATGATTAAATGAAGAAAAAAATATTCAAATATCTCTGTTAAGACACGTCTGGCACTTTATTGCGTGGCAACTTTACCATCGCCCACATCGTGTGGTCCGTGCCTAATTAGACGGTCATTGATGTGAAGTGATTTGGATAATCTGTGAGTTCAATAGACAATATAGTGAAGTGACAGAACGTTAGCTATATAAGGCAGTGATTTTATATTAAAATCCCTTATTCTTATTCTGATTCGTACTCTTATACCCATTGTTCTTGTCGTCATACTCAGTATTTTGTGGCTAATCAAATACAGTAATCCAAAGGACGACATCTTTTATTTCACAATCTCTTCAAATACAATAGTTCGTTTCAACAAAAATGAGACGAACATATGGCGCCCGAACAGGGACTTCCAAGAAGACTTCCAAGCAATAAGCAATCCAGCACCAGAACACGTGGCCGTCATCTTATGCCGAGCAGTGACGCAGCGAAAGCCGCACCTCGCAGCACGAAAAGATAAGTGCCCTATATCCATCCAATCCTAATTAATCCTAACCTTTTTCCAAATTATTTTTCCCTATTTTTTAATAACCATGTTTCCCAATCCTATATCCTAATCAATCCTAATCTCTTTAATCCATATTCATTTCTTCCTATTTCCATTTGTATTTCAAATTTAGCATTCCGCTTTTGCAAAATTTATAATTATTTTGGTTTAATTTTTATTGTCCTACTACATTAAACAAACATGTGTACATATATTCAATTTTCTTGTTAGAATTTCTTCATTTAATACAAATATATAATAAATTTTTCAACTTAACCTCTAAATGTCCTTCATTAATACATTAAAAGTAACATTTCAAAACAACCTATATTATTCTAAATTTAACTTTCCTTATATTATATTATATATATAAAACAAACTTAATATTTTATTATAGTAGATTTAGAGTCAACAGCATCAATTTTTGACATTAAAATACATTTAGTTGAAAACATAATTCAATTCTAAAGGCGATAATAAGCCTCAATCAAAAATATATTTGTGCGATACTTAGACGATTTGGCCGACTATTTCAGCGTTGCGGTACATGAGGCGCACCACGTGGTCGGGGCTTCGCCATCTTGTCTTGCCGCGCCGCGCCGGTCTGCTATGTGTCGTTGATTGAGGAGCGTCAGATAAGACATTTACATTATTTCATTTTATTTTATTTTCCTTTTGAGGTGTCTTGTAATTAAGTAACTTAAATTCAATTGTAGTTTGCATAATTCATATTCATATACATATACAAATAACTTTAGTATTGTTCTAGTTCATACAGTTTTCTATTTTATAATTTTGCTTAATATTACTGCATTACTATAATTACATAAAGTATTTTTTATCCATATTTTTCACAATGTCCGAACCTTCAGTATCAACTATGTACAAAGAGTCCGGGATAAAGGTTTTAATAGTAAAGCGCAGTTCCATAAAGGGACAAATTACTAAATTCAAAAATTATTTAGACAAGATTACAAGGCAATCTCAATTGACGGGTATCGAAGTGGCTGAGCTTTCACTGAAGGTCAGTCGCTTTGAGAGTCTGTCCGCTAAATATGATGAGCTGCAAACTCAAATTGAATTAATAAATGCTGATACTTTAGACGAAGAGCTCGATGAACGTGAACGCATTGAGCAAGATATCATATTATGTACCGCGATGGCAAAAAATATTATTGAAGAACAAAATGAATTAAAGAATTTAGAACAGGATAAGAGACGCCGTGAGTCCTTATTCCAAGATGCTCATTGTGGTCGCGATCATAATAATGAAAATTCTATAACCTTGCCGCAAATACAAATTGCAAAGTTTGATGGTTCTTTCTTCCGTTGGTTAGAGTTTTGAGATACTTTCAATAATTTAATTCACAACAATAGCCGCATTTCATTAATTCAAAAGTTTCATTATTTAGTTTCTTATTTGGAAGGCGATGCGGCTCGGGTAATTTCAAACATTGAGGTTTCCGCAGCCAACTATAACAGCGCTTATCAATTACTTTATGAACGTTACAATAATAAAAGGTTACTTGTGAACTATCACATTAAATCATTATTCAATATTGAAAAAATAAACCGCGAATCGGATACTTCATTACGCTCTTTAGTCGATCATGTTTCAAAAAAATTACGTGCTTTAGCTTACCTAGGTCAACCTACTGATCACTGGGACACGTTAATTATATATTTGGTTTCATCTAAACTCGATACGCAAACACTTGTTAAATGGGAAGAGCAACGCAATAGTTTAGGTGAAATTCCTTAACGTTGGGAAATGCATTTACGCACGACGTGTGGGACTCACCGGCGTAATACAGCCAGTACTACCCACTAAAACCCAACAAAACCTTCCCCCGTCTTAATGGGGCGTCGCAGGATCGCTTACGCATTCAACTACGACGCCCCGACGGCAGGTCTGCCAAAGCAGACCAACACAACCATGGGGTTGCTCCAAGGTCCACTCTGCTATCAGAGAAGTACCAGGAGCAACCCGCATGGTATACCGCCCCCGAAGAAGGCCACCTCCCACCGCCCACCGAAGTGGGCAACCTCCCTGTGCGTTTCTTAGCTTCGCTACTACTACTGAGCCCCCCCACCACGACAAGGTGAACGCACGTTGGGGGGGTTAGGTGAAATTCCTAGTTTAACCGAATTTAATAAATTTTTAATTGATCGGGCTTATGTTCTTGAATGTACACGTCACAATAAGAATGATCAAGGTTCTAGTTTTCATAATAACAATAATAGAATTCAAAATTCAAAGCCTGTCAGTTATCATCATTATAATCAGCGTGATCGACCTATTTCAAAGTCATTTATTACTACAAATCCAAACGACAATAGCAGTTCGCGTAGGTGCATTGTCTGCAATCAAAATCATAGGATTTATAATTGCCAATTATTCAAATCCAAGTCCAGAAAGGACAAATTAAACGATATTTCAAAGCACAAATTATGTATTAATTGTTTAAGGCAGGGTCACTCTTTAGTCGAATGTCGATTAGGGCCATGCAAGATATGTAAGAAACAACACAATACTTTATTGCATCCAGCTGATACACCAAAGGTCAACAATGCCTCTGGTGATGTCTCTGAGACTTCAGCAAATTATTCAAACAAAAATTCAAATCAAGTTATTTTGTCTACTGCCCAAGTATACATTTTGAATCCAACGACTAATGAGCCTCTTAAAGTGCGGGCCTTGTTGGACTCAGGCAGTCAGTCATCTTTCATTACAAAATCTCTTCAACAAAAACTTGCAATCAATTCAAATCCAATTTCTGTTAACGTCATTGGTATCGGTCACTCAGACAACCAAATCAAGGAAAGCTGTGTGATCCAATTAAAATCCATTTACAATAATTTTAAGACAAAATTAAATTGTCTTGTGCTTCATAGGCTGACTGGGAATCTGCCTAAGGCACCTATAAATATACAACAATTAAACATACCATCGCACTTGCATTTAGCTGACCCCGACTTCAATCAGCCAGCTCCTATTGATATACTAATAGGAGCCGATCTCTTCTGGTAACTCATGAAAAACGACCGGATTTCTTTAGGTACAAACAAGCCTATACTACAATATTCCAGTTTTGGTTGGTTAATTGGTGGTCCTATTTCTTATCAAGCTAAACAAGTACTTTGCAATAATTCAGTCATTAATGACAACTTCCAAAACGAAAACAAAATCGACAATTTACTAGCAAAATTTTGGGAGCTAGAAGAGCTTCCCCAAAAAACAATTCTAAGCGAAACAGAATTAGCCTGTGAGAACCACTTCCGGTCTCACACTTTACGGCTTCCTTCCGGCAGGTTTAGTGTCAAGCTTCCATTACGCGATTCTCCTGATAATTTGTTGAAATAGTTTGGGTGAAACACATAACTTGGCAAAAAGGCGACTATTAAATTTAGAAAAACGTTTCAGAAAAAATACCTCATTAAAGTCTCAATATATTCAATTCATTAGAGAATACCAAAGCTTAGGACATCTGTCGGAATCTACGGTTGCTTTACCAGATCCTTCTTATTTTCTGTGTCATCATGCTGTTTTTAAGGCATCCAGCGAATCGACTAAACTTAGGGTCGTATTTGATGGTTCCGCGTCCTCTTCTTCTGGCTTTTCAATCAATGATTTGCTAATGGTTGGACCTAACATCCAGGATTCTCTTTTCTCCATATTAATCCGAGCTAGAACATATAAATATTTGTTAACCGGGGATATAGAAAAAATGTATCGCCAAATAGAGGTCAGTCCAGATGACAGAAATTTACAGCTGATTTTGTGGAGAGAAGATGTATCTTTACCAATTAAAACAATGCAGTTGAACACTATACACGGTGTCTATGGCAGATAGGAGAGGAATGCGACAATAGTTTTATTAAAAATATTATACAAAAGGATTTTTATGTCGATGACCTCATAACAGGTTCAAATGATAGCGAGGAACTAAATTATATTCAAAATTCAGTTGCACAAGAATTAGACAAAGGCTGTTTTAAATTACGTAAATACAAAAGTAATCTATGTTCTATTTTTGATAATTGTAATTTAAATTTGCAAGAAAATATTATGTTAAATGAGGCTTCGAGTACTCTAGGCTTAGGTTGGAATCCAAATAATGACATGTTAAATTTTCCAGTTAATATTCCTCCTTTGAGAAATACTATTACAAAAAGAAGCATCATGTCTGATGCATTCAAGATTTTTGACCCACTCGGTTTGTTAAGCCCATACATCATGCAGCCAAAACTTATGTTACAAAAATTATGGAAGCTTAAATCCGATTGGGATCAACCAGTACCGATAGACATTGAAAACGCTTGGAGGGATTTTTCTAGGGACTTGTTATTAATTTCTAATTTTCAAATTCCTAGATTCGTCCTTAGTGAGTCACCACAAATTATTGATATTCATTGTTTTAGTGATGCTTCTTTGGTTGGTTATGGTGCTTGTATCTATGCTAGGGTTACCTCTTCAAATAATCACATTGAAGTAAAGCTCCTGTGCTCAAAATCAAAGGTAGCCCCCTTAAAGCCTGTTTCAATTCCTCGATTAGAACTATGCGCCGCCTTACTTTCAAGTCGTTTAGGCAAAGCTGTTATAAATTCTATTAGATTCACTCCTAATTCTGTCACTTATTGGTCTGATTCTAGTGTTGTCCTGGGATGGCTCAGTAGTGACTCAACTAGACTAAAAACCTTTGTGGCTAATAGAGTAGGGGAAATTCAGGAAAATACCAAATTATCTGCTTGGCGCTATGTACCTACCGATCATAATCCTGCTGATTTAATTTCACGAGCTACTACTTTAATTCAGTTGCAAAATTCAGATTTGTGGTGGCACGGACCAACATTCTTGACTAAAGATCAGAATGAGTGGCCTGCTTTAAAGTCTTGTGACAACGTTGATTTACCTGATGTGAAATTCACAGCCACGGTAATGATCACAAAACCTATTGAATTAATTGATTTTGAACGATTTTCTAACTTCAACAGATTACAAAGAACAATGGCATATGTCCTTCGGTTTATAAACAATTTAAGAAATTTCAAGAATAGGGTCTCTGGTATGCTAACTGTCGATGAACTAAATAAATCTTTTAAATCATTATGTTTAATAGCTCAGCAACAAAGTTTTTCTGTAGAATACAAAATTTTACATAATAATAAGCAATTAAGTTCTAAATCTAAAATTTTAAATTTATCACCTTATATTGACGAGGATAATTTATTGCGAGTTGGCGGACGTCTAGATACTTCTAATTTTTCCTATGATAAAATTCATCCAATACTTTTACATTCCTCACATCATTTGTGTAAATTATTGTTTAGATATGAACATATTCGTAATATGCATGCCGGTCCTCAACTGCTGCTAGCTACAATTAGACAAACAGTTTGGCCAATTAGGGGTAGACTATTAGCACGTTCTACCGTTCGTAATTGTGTGCGTTGTCGACGAGTACAGGGTAATACATTATTGCCAAAAATGGGTAAATTGCCTTCACAACGCATTACTCCTGACTTTCCTTTTAAGTCCGTTGGAACTGATATGGCTGGACCATTCTATATTGTAAATCGTAAAGGCCGCGGGGCCAGATTAATGAAATGCTATCTATGTTTATTTATCTGCCTTCGTTTTAAATGTTTACACTTAGAGGCCGTTAGTGACAGGGGCGGATCTACTTAAAGGCTTTTTGGGCTGCAGCCCAGGGCCCCGCGAATACAGAGGGCCCCCAACCGAACTGAAACCAATAGACGATATTGTCAATAATAAAAATTATCTAGAATTTTAAAAAATCCGATCATGAGGTTGGCAACACTGCGATCAATCAACCCGAGTGCGCATCTATCAAATGGAACGGGGAATTCCCTGTCGCTTGTTTTCAGTCGGTGTATTCCGTGTATAGTAGTGTCTATTACTGGGGACTTCCCTCCGCTTATCGCCCGACGCAATTTTGTTATTTTTCCGCACTTCTGCTATAGTCGACTATATTAACGAATTGACTTTGTTATTGTTAGAAATGTGTTTAGTGCGTGTGTTTAGTTTACTAAGTAATAGATAACTTAAAAGTTATAAGGACCGGACCTTTCTTTTAATTTACTAAAATTGAAAGTCTTCAGCATAACTAGACTTCCTGCTTTTAATAGGCAGTAGGTAAGTAAAAAGAATTATAAAACATGACTTTTTATTTCAGTTTTCAAACTAAATGAATCAAACTCGTTCGATATTTAATTATAATTTGTGAATTGCTACACTCATTACAAAGTAGGTATTAAAATTAAAAGTTCTATCCAGTTCTTTGTTTATTTTCAGAAAAATATCTTATTTTACAATATGTCTGCTAGAAAATATAAAAGTGGAGCTGAAAAAAGAAAATTACAGTTTAGTCGAGAACAAGAAAGAAATAAATGCGCAAAAATTGAAACTTTTTTTAAATCGGAACATATAAACGCGAATGAAATAGCTATAAATCCATTAAAAAACGTAAAGGAAGGTATTTTATGCGAAGAGAATCTAACCGATGGCAGCAAAAAATCGCAAAACGAGGAAAAAAATACAAGTGATGAAAATATGCAAGATTTTGAAAACCAGAAAAAAAATACCAACGATGAAAATGTGCAATATCTTGACTTCCAGCAACCCTCTGGTTCCTCTGAAAATGAAATTGGTGTTCAGCAAAAGGGAGGTAATACCGATACCGAGGTGGAAAGAAATTTAGAAAATATTAAGTTTGAGTTTGAGAAATATGTTGACGTGGGCTTGTGGCCAGATTTGCTGAATAATGATTTTATTAATTTCGTCCTCTCACATGAAATGACTGACTTTCAAAATAAAGATCCGAAGAATATATATTCAGCTTCAATGAAGAAATATAAAGAACAAAATAGATCTTTTTCAAATAGGTATTTCACTAGAAAAATGAAAAATGGCCAATTACTGGAAAGATCTTGGTTATGTTATTCAAAAAGAGTTGGTACTGTTTTTTGTTTGACTTGCAAACTTTTTTCTAAAACTCCTTCTCAATACACAACCGGATTTACTGATTGGAAACACATAGGATTTTGTTTAGAAAATCACGAAAATTCTAATGAACATAAGAATTCAATGTTAGTGTGGTTGACACGAAAAGAAAATAAGTCTGTTTTAGACAAGCAGCTTCAGGAGCAATTAAATAAAGAAACAGAATATTATCACAATGTCCTAAAACGGGTTATTGCAGTGCTAAAATTTCTGAGTATAAGAGGCTTAGCACTTAGAGGTTCCGAGGAAGTATTTGGTTCTCCACATAATGGTAATTTTATGGGTGCTCTAGAGCTATTGGCAGAATTCGACCCATTCATACGTGAACATATTGAACAACGAGAGCTGCGACCAAACCCTGTAATATCATATTTATCAAAAACAGTATATGAGGAAATAATTGAGATTATGGGTAAACAGATAATTAAACAAATTATAACTGAAATAAATAACGACGACACAAAGTATTATTCAATTATGATGGATTCAACCCCAGATCTGTCTGACGATGACCAACTTGCTATTGTATTACGATACTGTTTTCGGGGAAAAGTGTATGAAAGATGTGTATCTTTCATTAAAATTAGTAGTCATACTGGCTTATATTTATTTAATATTCTACAAGCCTTTTTGGAAACAAATGGACTACTACTGGATAATTGCAGGGGACAGTCATATGACAACGCTGCTAATATGGCCGGAGTCTACAATGGTGTACAAGCACTACTAAAAGAAAAAAATAAATCCGCGGATTACGTGCCATGTGCTGCGCATTCCCTTAACCTAGTTGGTCAAGAATCCGTGAAGGTTGCAACCGAAATTGTAAATTTTTTTGGAATAGTGCAACAAATATACGTTTTCTTCTCTGCTTCGACCCATAGGTGGGAACTGTTAAATCGTGAAACAAAACTAAAATTTACGTTAAAAAGTTTAAGCCAGACCAGATGGTCTTGTCACTTTGATGCTGTCAGAGCTTTGAAAAGTAATTATGATGGCATTATGAAAATTCTCAATAGTTTCGGCGAAAATGACGATGAAAAAGTTGATTTCCGAAAAGAGGCACGAAATTTATTTAATAAACTGGCGAAACTAGAAACTGCAATTTTGATTGTTTTTTGGGAAGAAATTTTGGAGAGATTTAATGTAGTTAATAAAAAAGTACAGAGCCCTGGTTTAGACATTGGTGAAGGCAATAAGTTAATTGTGTCATTAAAAGAGTTCGTGAAAAACATAAGGCAACAATCAGATCAGAAGCTAAAGGAATACGAAGAGAAAGCTAAAAAATTAAGTACTAGTGTGGGAACAGACTACAGTGACATAAATAAGAGACGCATTACTTTGAAATTTTCAGATAAATCTACAGATAAAGTCTCAGTGAACTGCGCAGAAAAATTTAAAAGAGACACGCTTAACGTTGCGTTGGATAAGATGATTATGGATTTAAATAATAGAAGCCAAGCCTATGAGACCTATAGCAAAAAATTTAAATTTTTAATGGATTTGCAAGACAAAAATCAAGAACACATAGATCTGGAAAGTGTACGTAATATTATTGATTATTATCCAAATGACGTAGACGAACATTTAGTGAATGAGTGCATTCAGTTGAAATCTTACTTACTGCAATCTAAGACAGAGTCTTACACCTCTTGCAGTGAAATTTTTTGGCTAATTTATGAAAAGAAACTTGTTGATGTTTTCCCAAACTGCTATACTATCTTAAAGATTTTTTAACGATGCCGATCACTAGCTGTGAAGCGGAGCGTTCTTTCTCCAGGATGTCGTATATAGAAAACAAATACAGGACAACAATGTCGAACTATCGACTAAATCATTTATCAGTTCTTTCGATAAATTGCGATTTAACAAAGGACCTACAGTGCGATGACCAAATAAAAGAATTTGCAGCACAAAAATGCAGAAAGGTTGCTTTATAATTTATTTAACATAACCATTTATAACCCGTCAATTTATTTTGCAATAAATAATGTTTTAATAAATAAATAAAATATTTTGTTTTCCTATTTTCTTCCTGTACTTAACATATATTACATTACATATACCTACATCACTACAGAAAACAGTTTCTTGTCAAAATGGCAATTAGTTGAGTAATTAGGTAGGGCCCCTAAGCAGTATTAGCCCAGGGCCCCACAAATTCAAGATCCGCCTCTGGTTAGTGACCTCTCTAAAGATGCCTTCATTATGACTTTGCATAGGTTTGTTTCGCGCCGCGGTAGGCCAACGGAGATCTATTCCGATAACGGACGCAATTTTGTAGGAGCGGCAAGGGAACTTAGTAAATTCACCGCTATACAAAACATCGCGTTGACTGAGTTTACAGCTCAACAAAACATTAAATTTAACTTCACTCCGTCTTACGCTCCTCACTTCGGCGGCATATGGGAGGCCGGTGTAAAATCGGCAAAATATCACATTAGACGGGTCATGGGGAACTCTCATTTAACTTTCGAAGAAATTTTAACTTTGTTTGCACAAGTGGAAGCTATTTTGAATAGTCGTCCCTTGTGTCCATTATCCACATCCCCTGACGATTTCCTTTTCCTCTCCCCAGGGCACTTCTTAATTGGAAGACCACTAAATGCGCTGCCAGCTCGCACCTTGGAGAATGAAAGGGAACCACAATTAAAACGCTACGCACGCCTCAACTTTTATTAAATTAAACAACATTTCTGGCTGAGGTGGCAAAAGGAGTACATCTGCGAACTACAAATACGAACCAAATGGAAAACAAATAAGGCTAAACTGAAGGTTGGAGATTTGGTGCTTCTAAGCGAAGACTCTCTGCCACCGCTATGTTGGAGTACTGGACGAGTGGCCAAGCTGTACCCGGGGCCAGACGGGATTTCTCGCGTTGCGGATGTTCGGACCACTACGGGTTGTTATCGTCGCCCTTTGGTTCGCCTCTGCCCCTTGCTCAACGATGAAGACACACAGTTGAAGAATTAGATTCTTCAACGGGGGGAGTATGTTAAGACACGTCTGGCACTTTATTGCGTGGCAACTTTACCATCGCCCACATCGTGTGGTCCGTGCCTAATTAGACGGTCATCGATGTGAAGTGATTTGGATAATCTGTGAGTTCAATAGACAATATAGTGAAGTGACAGAACGTTAGCTATATAAGGCAGTGATTTTATATTAAAATCCCTTATTCTTATTCTTATTCTGATTCGTACTCTTATACGTACTTCTTGTCGTCATACTCAGTATTTTGTGGCTAATCAAATACAGTAATCCAAAGAACGACATCTTTTATTTCACAATCTCTTCAAATACAATAGTTCGTTTCAACAAAAATGAGACGAACATCTCTATATCCAATAAGTTAAATAAATGATTATTTTACCTGGTTCTCCCGCGATGGATTTGAGTCATCCACCATCGTCTTTTTCTCCATCTCTTTTTTATTTGATTCTTATTTTTAATACATAGGTAATTGTAATACGATATAGCACAGATAGTCACCGCAGCAGCGACAATCACTTCGTCATCCATTTTCTTTGAGGTCGCGAACGAGACTGCGAATCTTTGCGAGTGTGGAGGGACACATTGAAACGCGAAGTTCACGGCCCGAATCGCGGCATGAATTCACAGCAAGAATCGCGGGCGAGTGTAGAGCGTGCTTTATATTTGACGTTTCTGACAGATAAATTGACGATAACAATAACATTAACCAGTGAAACGTGGGCGGTTAAGGTTACTGTTATAGTTATGACGTCATCTCACAAATTGTCAAATGGTGCAACACATTTTTACCCTGACCATTACTTCAACATGTTTGTCATTGCTAAAGTAACATGGTGCAACCAAGCCTTAATGTTACTCGTGTCTGGGTTATTATTCGCTATTGTTGTGTTTATCTATTATTCAAGCATTTTGTTTTGTTTTAAAATATCCTCCAGACAGTGCTCAACTTTTGCCATGGTTGTTGTCAAATTATCTTGTCAAAAAGAAAAGACCGATCAGTGAACACAAAAAACAAGCCTATTTTAAATACTTTTAAAACTCGGTAACATATCTTGATAATAAAATGGTTTCTTGGAGTAGTATGTGAAAATTATGGTATATTATTGAACTGAGCTGCAGGAAAAAGAAAACACTTGCATGTAATTCATATCAGATTAGGATTATTTACTACACTCTTGTGTTTATGGTTGCTAGTATTAGAAAGAAATTGAAACAACCCATAGCATATTATTTGTCAGAGTCTTCTGTCACTGTAGATAAATAAACTGATTTAATTAAAGAGGTGAGCTAAAATGTTAATGCATTATTTAATTAATACACTGGAGTTTCTTGACAGTTCCAAAGCTCTCTTATCAGTTTAAAATTCAAGCAATTTACCTGCTTCTAATACTCGGTATAAAATTGCAATTAAACTAATTAAATTATTTTAATAGGTGCTCTTTTTCAATCAGCTTTTCTACTTCCAAAAACACATAAAAAAGATGTTAATAAACATGCAACAAGAAATAAGACAGCAGAAAACAGAAATGTTAAAAATGAAAGAAGACATTAAAAATACAATCAACAATAATATAAATGAGAAATTTAAACACTTAGAAATAACAAATTAAGTTCTTGAGAAAATAACCCAGAAACAAAGTACCTCAATAAATAATGTAGAAAAGACATATTAGGCGCAAGGACTTGGTTATGTTCGGATTGGAAGAAGGTGAAAAATCCTATCATGAACTAGAGGAAAAAATATTAATAAAAATAATAAATACAAATTTCAACGTTCAGTGCGACAGCAATAATATTGAAGCCGTTAGAAGAATAGGGAAAAAAGGTGTGAATGTTAGACCAATCATAATATCATTTAGTACAATAGGCCCGAAACTAAAAATTCAGAAAAAAGAAGTCTGCCTGTATCTCCAGAAACGCCTTACTTCAATAATAAACAACATACAAAGAAAACCAAACCTGCTAATATTAAAGACTTATATTACCTAGTTTTTCCAGACAGTGCCTACCCACAAAATTACAATATGATTTCAAAAAATACAAAAGTTCAAAAAATACAAAAGTTTCATGATTGTATGGGATCATTATTTATGTTAATTTAGCTGTAAACTTTATTAATTAGTAATCTTCTTTAGTGTTGCTACGAGTATTATTGTAAGCGACGCGATATATTATCTGTAATGTTCTTATATAAATCTTTATGTTGGTAATACTTTTAAATATTGTGTGTTGGTAATGCTTTAATAGTGAGACATTAGTCTACTAACCGCCGCTGCGATCGGCACATTTAAGTCTGATATCTATCCTTAAATAAATCTATCCTCATTCACAAGTGTTTTTTCATATCGGAACATCAGATCGTCTACAGCTCGTCACTTCGAGCGGATCTTTAAATGTTCCACACGCCAAAAAGGATGGTGAAAACCCGGAAGATGTATGAAAGTATGGTAAAGAAGGATGAGGAGCATCAGGAGTCCAGGTTATCCGTACAAGAGGTTTCAGTACAACCAATTAACGATGAAAAATGCGTTAAAGAGGATAATACACAACGAGATAAAACATTTTTGCTCAACAAAAATAAAAATGAAGGTAGTATTGTAAAAACGGAAACGCCCTTAATGGCCGTTCAAAATATTCCTTCAACGTCTCGACAAGTGTTCAGTGCGAAGTCTAAGAGGTCATCGTCGTCCTCTGCGCTTGCACGTAAGAAGAAGCTAGAACTGGAGGCAGCAGAAGCGAGAGCAAAAATCGAATTGGACCTAATTAATAATCGTTTAGCGGCGGACCTAGCGGAGATTGACGACGAGTGTAGTGTGCAATCAGACCACACTCACAAGGATGTAGAAGATTGGTTGGAGCGCAGCCATCGAGAACTGGAAGCACAGCCTGTCCACGACAAGGGTCAAAATACGGACGCGCCGTGCCCACCGATCACACAGGATATCGGTACTGATGGGACAGTTCAACTTCTGGCCAGCGCACTGAAGGATCTTGCAGCCGCTTCTACCAACAACATAAATAGCAACTTGTTAAGTCGAATATGTACACCAAAAGATTTACCAGTATTTACTGGTGACCCCATGGAATGGCTTCAATTTAAGCAGGCATATGAGGAATCGTCTAAGGTGTGTAATTTCAAAGATAGTGAAAATATGTGGCGCCTACGAAAGTCTCTAAGAGGTCCAGCTCGCGAAGCTGTCTCGGCCCTGCTGATAAGTGCTTCGTCACCCGAGATGGTAATGTCCACACTTGAGCTACAGTTTGGTAATCCTGACCTTATAATGTCACGCATCATGGTAGATATAAAGAAATTACACCCAGTGCCGCAAGAATATCACAAGGATATTGTACCATTTTCTGTTTAAGTGCGAAATTGTGTAGCAGCCGTAAAAGTAATCGGTCAATATGAATACCTAAACGGAATCAATTTAATAACATTTATACTTTCAAAGTTACCACCCGTTCTACTCTCAAAGTGGGCAGATTACAGTTACCCGTTCATCAAGCAAGGTAAAAGACCGACATGTATCGATATTTCCGAATTTTTAAACGAAGAAGCTGCAAAAGTGTCTTCTATGGCTTTATTGACTATTAAAAATAATTCTGATAATTATTATAATAACAAAAAAAAAATACACAGATGGTATGCATACAATTTTATTAAATAAAACATACAATAATAAAGAAAAATGTCAATATTGCCGCTTATCAATTCATAAATTACAGGATTGTAAGAAATTCCGCAAAGCATTACGTAAGGATCGTTGGAGTTTTGTTAAACGAAACCGGTTATGTTACAAATGCATAGATGCAACGCACAATAAATCGACCTGTCCAGCGGTGGCTTGTGACGTCGATAACTGTGGACAGGCCCATCACAAGTTACTGCATTTTACTATGCGTCAAGCAAAGCACAATGACAATCAGTGTATTAGTGATAGTAACGCGGAACGGTCGTCGGTGAGCCCTGAAAGTGAAACAGTAATTAATCATATAAAAAGCGATAAGTGTAAAGTGTTACTAAAGGTGGTACCCATTACTGTGCACGGACCTAACGGTATTTTTACTACGAGTGCGTTGTTAGACGACGGATCTACCGTGTCTCTTATTAGTGCATCACTCGCCTCTCGTGCGGGCCTCCGCGGCCGCCGGGAGACGATCCGTGTGCGCGGCGCATGGGACAGCAGCGCGTTGGTGTGCGACACCGACATTCTCACAGTTTGTATAGCAAACAATAACGGTGAGCAATTTAAAACATTACTTCGCAGTATTAAGAACTTTAGTGTACCTGTGCAAAATTTACATTTAATTAATTTTAATAACTATGCTCATTTATGTAATATTAAAGATGAAATTTGTTGTATTAATACTGAGCCTGAAATATTAATTGGTCAAGACAATTATAATTTATTGTTACCATTAGAAATTAAAGTAGGAAAATGTAACGAACCTTGTGCCACTCGTACTCCGCTGGGATGGTGCGTCCATGGGCTGGTGCCCGCATCACTCTCGTCGCGCGCGAGGTCGTACATAAACCACGTTTCCGAGGTTCAATTGGGGTCGGCTAAATCTTCGCTGGATGACCTGCACGAGATGGTCAAAAGGTCATTTACTATCGAATTTATGGGAATATCCGAGAAACCACGTCGGAATGCTGATGATCTTCGTGCTCTGGAACACCTGGAACAAACGGCAAAATTAATCGATGGTCAATGGCATGTAGGTCTGCCATGGAAGGATAGTTTATGTAAAATGCCTGATTCTGAACGTACTGTTATACCCCTTCGCTGTATGGGTTATTGCTTATTTATGTTATAGCCCTACTAGCTATCATCATTTTGTACTCTATATATATGTCCTTTAATTTGTATTAAGTTAGTTCGAGAGTATCGTCGGTCGAGAGCACTAGCTCTTCATATCCCATATATATTGTATAAATAATTAATAAAGTTATTAAAGTGTTTTCAATGATAAATAAATCTTTTTTTTAAAAAGGGTCTTATCCAGGGACCCATAACAATTGGTGGCAGCGGTGGGATAATAATAATCCCAGGGGGTAATAATAATCACGGATACCCCACGATTAACGACAATTCTTGTGCCTTAAATGACCGCGAACTCTCGGCTCCGCGTAACTTCAAATAAGTGGGGAACCACCATAAGTGAAAAGTTGTGAAAATTTGTGAAAAGCTATAAAAAGCTGTGAAAAGTGTTAGTTAAAATTCAGGTTGTCCACCAGAGAGTGAGACGCCTACGTCTACTGGCAGAGGACCTAGTACGTGTGCCGTGTTCGTCTCCCGTCCGGAACGACGCTAGGTTTTGAACCTGTGACCACTGAGCTGGCGGGCATACAAGGTCTGGCCTTATCTACAAGAATGCAGCTCGTCGCCACCCGCGTCGTGTTCGTGTTACTTGTGGCCCACACGTGAGTGATAGATAGTATTACAATCAAAACAATTATTGGAAGTTGCGCGTTAAAGACAATATAATATATTATTATGAATTTTCTATTTTAAACTCTTATAGTACAATTGTTATTCTGACGAATATTTTATTGAAACAAAAGTTATAATACTTTATGAATATTTTATACTGATTTATTATTTTTCTGATTGTTCTGTTTATTTTTATTGATTTTATATTTTTGTAATATTTACAATATAATATTAATTTGTAACAAATTATGCAGATCGAGTGATAAAATAATATAAAAATGGCGAAAAAAGTTGATATCCTAATAGTTCCGCTTACTGACGGAGAAAAAGCGCCTTCACCCGCCGTGTCTAAAACGGAAAAGAAATATAATATAAATGAAATTGATTTAAATATTCTTTTAAAATTTATTAAGCCCTATGACGGATCTAGGGATACAATTAATTCAATTTCTGTTTACAAATTACAATGAACCTGATATACATCTTTGCCTCCTTAACATTCATTGTCTTTATCTGCTCTTATTTTATTTTTTAATTAATCATTCATTTGAGGCAATATTTACAAAAAAAAACGTTACAGCCGAAATCATTGACGATGGCGACAGGACATCATCACCGTCTTTATCATCATCACCTTCCATGCCATCGTCATCCTCCATTACTAGCCAGATAAAACAGTACCACCCAAGCTGGCCTTGAATGTTTCGCGGGACGCAAACGCCCTCTTACCCGCGTCCACCAAGACTGGAAAAGCAAGAGTTCGCATGAAATGGAGCAAAGATGTAAACCTATTCATCATGCGAACATACTTACATAATACAAAATTAGAGACAGATATGACCACCTATAGACAACAATTGCATAAATTCATGCAGTTAGGAGAAGAAAACACAATTACATCTAAAACAGGCACTCACCACACGCTACATTTACTTGGCTTTGGCCCGTAATGTAGTTAAAACCAGCCAAAAGCTGACAAAAAGAACATATCCGATAATAATAACTATTCAATTATTATTGCCAATGAGTACTTATCAATTTTCTATTAAATCAGCTATAGATATAAGCTTTGATATAACAAAAGATGATTGTAGCAAAGGAGACATATTTATTAATAAAAGCTAACCATATTTAACGCCAATCTCTTTAAGCAAAGTTAACTTAGATTCTTTAACATACATAGTTTATGATTATTACTCAAAGTGGTTAGATATTAAGCCTATTAATAATAAAAGTGCTAGTGCTACAAACAACAGGTTAATAGATATTTTTAGTAATTTTGGTGTACCTTGTGAAATTGTTTCGGATCATGTGATCACGTGTGTCATCATTTGATTCAAGAGATTGTCAACAATTTGCTAAGGAATGGGGTTTTAAATATATTTATACTAGTCCTAGATATCCTCAGTCTAACGGTATGGCTGAAAGAGGTGTACAAATAGCTAAAAAAATATTATATAAATGTCATGAAGACAACACAGACTGGAGAGTAGCCTTATTAAAGTATAGAGTATCACCTGTAGCAGGAACAAATTTTTCTCCTTGTGAACTGTTGATGAATAGGAATTTAAGAACTAAATTAATATCTTCTAAGAAATATTTATTGCCAAAAATATATAATAATGTAGAAGTACAGTTTAGCAAGCAAGGGGATAGAAACATGAAAAGTTATAATAAAACAAGTAGATTCAAAAAACAATTTAATATTGGACAAAATATTTGGTTTAAAAAAGATGTACATAAGAATTTGTGGTTACAAGGTAAAATTATTAATTATGTAGGTAACAGGTCATACATAATAAGAGATAAAAATCATGTAAATTATAACAGAACCTCTTATTACATTAGGCGAGCCTAGACTTTGTGGTTCGCCAGACTTTGGTTCTCACTGGTTGAAGGTGTATCTGTATTTGTTGTATTTTAGTATCTGTAGTTGTATTTTAGTATATTGTAGTTGTATTTTAGTGTATTTTATTATAAAACATTAACATCATAAGAAACATATTCTAGATTATACTTGTTAAGTTGTTATAGTAAACTTAAGACTAATATTATATTTATTTTGTTTAAAAAATGTATCATTTGTTAATAAAGGGGGATGAAGAAGATCAAGTAAATATAAAATTGTATAAAAGTTTTGTAATATTAATAATAATTTTGTTTAGAACTTAAATAGTAAAAGAAAATAGATAAATTTAAATTTTGTATAAGTCTTGTAATATTAATAGCAATTTTATTTTGTTTAAGTATTATATAATATTGTCACTGGGAAATAAAGTTATTTTTTTTTTGTTTTTTAAGGGGGATGGTGTAGTAACGGAACGTTACAGATATAATATGTCAATGTTGATGACAGTTGATTTCCTCCCTCTCTCTTTGGGTATCGCTTGTGGTGAACGGTCGTGTTAATATTATATTAAGATAACATTAAATATTAAACAAGTTTGTAATTAAAATATTAAGCTAATAAAGTACACCAAAGACCTAATAATTGTTTTATTATGAAGAAAGTAAATAATACATATAGAAAAATACTCAGCGTCTGTCTCTGCATTGAAACAATTAGACATTCCTGATTTATTGAACTTTCTTCTATATCCTGAATACACTACAACTCATGTTAAGATTCTAATGAAAACAGAGAATGAAATCACTGCCAAGGCACCATTTCATTCAGATATTTCAGATATATACATATCTGGTCAGGCATTTACTTTAAATCAGGCTGTAATTTCTTATAATTGCTTAAAAGAGGGTTTATTAACTTTGGTTTGTGAATCTTTCCGATTACTCTTGAATTGCAATCGCACTGATAAATTAAAGATTTAGGTTCAAATAATTTAAAGTATTTAGGTATAAATATTAGTCAAAATAATGATTGTTTATATATAAATCAGAAAGAATATTTAGAGTCTATATTAACTAATTTTGGTATGCCTGAAGCAAGTGTATGTGAAACACCTATGGAAGTTAACATTAATCTTGATGATTATAATGTTGATACATCTTTAGAGCATAAGTGTAGAGCTTGTAGGTTCCTTAATGTATGCCGTTGTAGGTTCAAGGCCAGATTTATGTACTGCTGTTTCTTATTTAGCTAGATATCAATTCACTCCATCAGAAAAATAGTGGCAATGTTTAAAAAGAATCTTAAGATATGTCAAAGGTACTATTAATTATAATTTAATATACAAAAAAGATTGTGATTCTCAACCATTAATTGGATATGCTGATGCTAGTTTTGCTGTCCGTAAAAATAGTAAATCTATTAATAGGTTATAAATTTAAGGTTTTTAGAAATTCAGTCATTTGGAGATATAAAAAGCAGAGTTCTAGAGCGTTGAATACAACAGAGGTAGAATTGTATTCTCTTAATGAATGTGTTATAGATGCATGTTGGTTTAGGAAATTGTTACATGTATAAAGAAATTATTTCCAAGTATGCAACTATTTTGAATCTTGGTGAAACTAGTCCAGTTTACGACTAGAAAGCAGCGGCTGGAAACATTATGAAACCATCTGGACAGTGGCATTTTAAGTTTAAGGAGAGTACAAGATTTTTATATTAAAAAGACAAAAAATAAGGAAAATGTTGGAATACAAGGCGAGACATTTTACAAAGCAAAGTTCGGCCGCTTTGCTAATATTTGTCGAAAAGATAAAAATTTAACATGTTCTATCAATAATATCATTCTATCATAAAAGTACGGTTAATATACAATTAAGTTTATCTTGGACTATCATTTCCTAATCAATAATTCCTATCAATATCAACCACTATCAACCAAAGACTGTAGGGGTTTTCGTCTCAGCCCGTATATCTTTGTGGTCCTTGGAGAACCGAGAACTTATTTTATATGACTTTGTAATCCTTCGAGTGGACTTCGCGTGTGTTTATAGTGAGTTTTATTAGTTCTGTGTATCACAAGTGAAGACATACGTATCAGGAGACGAATAACGTGAATTGACAACAGTTCCGGCGCGTGGATTTATAGCCATTGCCTATCACTTTGGATTTGGTGGGTATAAACGGCTCACCAACACAACGTAACGCAACGTGGGCAGCTATCCATATTTATCAAGTAAGATCTTTCCTTATTTGTATCACTATCAGCATGTCGAGTATGGAAGAATTAGCTATTGAGCAACAGCTGTTTGAGGCAATCGAGCAAGTTTACACGAACTTTAAAAAGGATAGTGCCGACCGAAAGACGCCTGACTACATCAGGCGGAGGTTGGATACCTTAGATACTAAACTTAAAAATAAATGCTTTCATATAACGTTTACAAAATGCAAAACTAATATTACAACTAAATACTATTTAGATAACATTCCTCTCACTACAGTGGATACTATCAAGGATTTGGGTGTTATATTTGACAGTAAACTTACATTTATACCGCACATAGACTCTATTGTTAGCAGAGCCTCTAAAATGCTGGGATTTGTAATTCGCAATAGTAAAGTTTTTAAGAACTGTCGTACAAAAATAATCCTATACAAAAGCCTGGTCGTCAGTATTTTGGAATACGGTAGTATCGTCTGGAGACCCCACTATGCATGCCATTGTCTCAGAATTGAAAGAATTCAGAAGCGTTTCCTTTACCACTTAGCTTTCTCCGTTGGTAAATCTAGATCACTCGCAACATATACCGAGAGACTTACATATTTTAATATGCAAACTCTGGAAGACCGAAGGGACATACTGGATCTACATTTCTTATACAAAAGTATTAATAGCGTTTATGACAACCCGTTTCTTGTGTCTTTGTTTAATTTTAGAATCCCTAGATGCCCACGTAAGCCCGTGAACTTATTTGAAAAGCCTTCTCGTAGAACTATTTTGGGGAACAATTCACCCGTGTCGCGATTATGTAAAATTATAAACGATTATAAATGCTTGGACCTATTCAGAGACTCGCTGCCAAAGTTTCGCAAAGATGTAAAAAAATATATTCTAAATAAATAATTAATATTCTTGATTTGTTAATTATATGTCGATTTATGTGGTAGATTTGTTTATTGGTTTAATTTACTTGTTTTATTTAATTTCTTAAGGTCATAGAATTGTTGCTTTTTTATAAAACTATTCACGCCTATTTTTGCATGCGGTATTCACCTTAAAAGGTAATGCATTTAGCAATAAGAACTTTGTAAAATAGCATATTTTTTTACTGTAATAATGTAATTACCACTGGTGAACCTTAATAAATAAATAAAAAAAAAAATACTGGCAGGAACTACAATCAAACCATTTTCTATTAGGCGGAATCGAATACGCCTAGTCTTATTCCTATTTTACGAGCAATCAATTTGAGATTATTAAACAAAGGTACGATAATATTAGATTAGCAATTTCTAACTATCAAAGTAAGGAAGAGAAGCCCGAAAAATTTATTCAAAAATCAGCTAGTCCATTAACTATACCCGGTCCGTCTCGTCAGCTGTCATCTCAGTCTCAGGGGACGAGCAGCAAGACTGACGAAATGTAACGTAAGCAGAGCAGCAATTTTAAAGCATTTGAGCACACAGTATCAAATATTGATTTACAATCGATGTCAGAGAAATGGGAGTTTGATCATTTATTACGAGCAGTACAATCGCGTTGGTCCCTATTTGCACCTTACACTGGGAATTAGATAGCGAAATTGGGAATAGAAACCTAGTGTACGAATCATTATTTTTAAATACGAAAAAACGTATAATGATATAGTAAAATCTGTAAACCGGAAGCTATGGTCCGTATCACATAGGGATCAGTTGACGCCGCACGTAGAGATACCAACATTCAGCGGTAGTTACCATCAGTGGAGCTCGTTTAAAGACTTCTTCACCGAAACAATTCATAGAAGTCCGTCATTATCTAATGCACAAAAGATGCAATTTCTAAAAACAAAAGTAAAGGGAGAAGCAGAAAGGCTCATATAACACTTGTATATTACCTCTGATAACTATACAATCAGTTGGGATATCTTAAATAACAGGTGTAGCAATAAGCGCTTAATTTTCCGTTCGCACATTGATAGATTGTTAAAAATCCCTGTAGTACAACAAACTTCATTAAATCATATTAAGCGTATTCACGATACAACTTTAGAAACATTAAACGCTTTAAAGAACTTGGGTGTCGACGTGGCATCCTGGGATCCGCTACTTGTTCACATTCTTTCTCAAAAATTGGATACAGAAACAGACCATGATTACCTATCAGCCATAAAACAACCACGGGAGATACCTAATTTGCAGGATTTTTTGTCATTTTTAGAGAGTAAATTTACTAGTTTAGAGTCAACTCGTAAGAATCCAGTATATCAATATATGAATAAAATGCATAAGATGAATAATTTGGCGCCGCAACAATTTAATAAATATAATAAAAGTTTTAACAAGCAAGCATTTCCGGCACATAGTAGGCTAATTTCGCAACAAGCCAATATCAAAAACAACAGTTCATGGAAATTTTTCAAGTGCGAAATATGCAAAACCAACGAACATTCATTATTTTATTGTCGCCAATTTTTAAATATAACACCGCAGCTAAAACGCCGAACTGTATCAAAACTTAATAAGTGTTCCGCCATGATGGCGACTAAAGATGCGACCGATGTTAAGCAGCAAGCAAGCAGCTCAGCAAGTTTACCACCCCCTAGGCGTAAGCCATTCCTCCGTCCGAAGCCGAAGTTCGCAAGCCGCGAATTTTCCCAACCCGCAAAACAATCAACATCTAACACTACCTTACCTTACCAATGATCCGTTGTGGTTGGATTCATTTGTGCTTGATGGAGAGAAGGGTCTCGCACACGAAGAGGCAGTAAAAGACTGCAAAGCAGATGCGACAGGATTTGTTGAACTGGTCGAACAAGAATATGCCGCAATATCGAATTGTGATAGGCACTTTAGTAAATCCGTACCACTTTCAGCGTTCGCGTACTACAACCACTTGATATGGTGGTATAAGATCGCGCTTCTGGCGCAGAAACGCGGCAACGCTTCACACGACCAACGCTTAGTCGCGTTTATTGAAGGGTACGATACAGTAGTCGGGGCAGGTGCCGCCACCTACCTTTCGGGGTTAGGAGACTTTACCGACGGTACCGGCGTTAGGCACTACGTCACTGCGAGTGAGCCCAACCAAGATGGCCACTTTGGCGCCATTGGCGCCGAGAACCATGGAGCGTATGAGAAGAAGATTGCTCCAATGGTCTCGTTCCATACCATTTTAGCAGGCGTAGTTGCAACCAGACGACGTCGCGAGCGTCTGGAATGGTTTCCAGAGGAAATAGAGGTTATGATCGATCAGCAACGACAGCCTCCCCCGCCCCCCGAGCCCGCTAGAAGAGCGGGCAGAGCGCGAGCTCCACGCCCTCGCCGTAGAGGCGACATCGACCCTTTGGGTCAGATAGAAGGCGTTATGGAGCAGGCAGACGCCCACTACGATGAGGACGAAGCAGGAGGAGAAGAGGAAGAGCCTCCAGCTTGGTTGGCTACTCAGAATCTCCTAGGATGGCGCCCAGGCCGTCCACTATCTAAGTACCAAAGCCAGGAGATTTTGCCCATGATACCAGATACAGACGATGTTCAGTATCAAATTAGAAGATACTCCTTGAACCGGAACGTGTTCGAGTTCGTTTATCGCAGACTCGGAGAGTGCGCTCGTTATAAGATAATCTCAGTTCCAAAAGGCACGACTGGAAGCGTCGCCCAACAACTAGCGTGGAAGCCTTCGAACCCAATAGTCAGTCGCGAAGCCAGATTCGTCTCTGGAGAAGGCAAAATAGTTTCCCGAACCATGGTACCTACCCACCTCGTCACAGCGGCCCGTGTGCTGTGTTACCGCACCATAAAAGCTGAGTTCGGAGATGAGGATGAAGGAGACGAACCAGATGTTAATCCCTGGTCGTGCTTGTGGTTCAATAGGTATAGAGAAGTTCCCCAACAAGGGACTGCCAACCGCAACAACACCCTTGTCGATGGGATGCGCGGCCTCTATGAACATATGCCATTTGCGTCATCAATAGAGAATCGCCGCGACGCGCTCATAGAGTTCTTGAACAAGTTCAAGACTCCAGTTCAGCGGTAGAGAGACCCTCCAAGTGGTTTTGGGGCGGGCCTGGACCTATGTTTTTACGGTTCCCGCACGGCATGCTTTGCATGGTAGTATAGGCGCAGGCCTAACCTACTGTCTCCTTCAGAGACGGTAGGGGGGCGTTGGTCTTGGGGGAGAGTGACGCGTTCGGTCGCGAAGATCCCCAAGGCTAGTTCGGTGGACTATCCTTCTCGAGGTTGCCAGCCCTGTTATTTGGTCTAGTTCACTAGGAAATAGACATAACCGAAACCACCGAGCGCTTGCTGCTTTATTAAATGTATTTATTTATAAAAAAAAACAGTTTTTATCTTTGTGTATACATATGCAAATATATATGTGTATGTGTATGTATGTGTAGTATATATATATATATAGTATGTACGAGGGCTGTCCGATAAGTACTTAGCTCACCGCCCGATTGCGTCACTGTCGCAAGAGAAGTTTACCATCGTGTAGTACATTTTCGTAGACGGCAACTGTAAAAATTTCAGCCGAATTGGACTTGCAGTTTTAATTTGACCGTAATAGATTCTTTAAAAATATAGAGATAACAAAAGCTTCAAACTACCCAATATTACATTAATATTAAGAGGAAACAATTATAATTATCATTTTTATATATATGGAGGTAGGTAAATAAGACAAAGGAAACTGTAACAATTAATTTATATTACTGTAGTTATTATCATCACAAAATATCACAAAATAGTTTAGAATAACCAAAGAAAATATATCAGCACTACAAATATATCACACAGAAAATATATCACACAAAATACTATAAATAGAAACCTTATACTTTAAACAATTATCAAAGCTACTTATCTTTATACTGATCAACTGCTCGCCAAAGAAAAAGTGATTCGCTAACGAACACAGGGTATTTATAACATCGTATCGAGCCGTTATGTCAAATCATAAACTTTTTAAAGATTTCAAATAAAATGTTGCCAATAAAAAAACTATTTATAAGTATAGTAAAATTAAAAATAATAATAGTAAAAAAGATTATTATATAGAAAAATACTGCAAAATTAATAATAATCTATCACGGCCATACTGACAGTACTTCGTCCACGAAGTACTACTATGACACACTGACTCTTTCATTATATTATCGTTATATAGAATTATACTTCAGGGTTAATTCTAAGACTAAATAGTATTACAATTTATACAGATCAACACATTACGTATATATACTAACAACACATAAAGTATTTACACTAAGAATGTTCCGATGTACAGCTACATTAATATTATATTTATAACATCATCTATAACTCTTGTTATATCAACACATCATGTACAATGTACATAGCTACTTGCATAGACATGTCAGTCCCCTTCAACCGCTGCTGTTGAGATAGACTAACACCAAACAAGTAGTACTAACAGCGAACACTTGCCAGCTACATAGACATACCAATCACATTCACCCGCTGCTTGTGAGATCAATTGGTACCAAATAGGAGGCCGCCCAGCGGAAGTGCTAATAACTAAGCCTGTACCCTAGACATGCTGATTCCTTTCACCCGCTGTCGATGAGACTAATCAGCACCAAGGTACGACTAACCAGCGGTTAACATTTCTTTTTTTTTTCATCATTATTGTGCATACAAACTTAAAATATATATATTCCATAGGTACATATAATAAAATTGTTACCAAGCCAAATCTATACATATGTATAATATTTTTTGGAAAATCTTATAAAAATAAACATTATTATCGATACAGAGGCCGAATCTATAGTTTTTAGAATTTTTGTCTGTCTGTCTGTTACCGCATCACAGAAAAACCACTGGAGGGATTTTGACGATATTTTGAATGGTGATAAACATATCCAGGTAAACATATAGGTTACTTTTACTCTTCAAAAGAAATATCCAAAAGAAAATATCACATCTCTGAAAAAAAAATGCGAAAACTGCAATGTAAGAGTATAGTACAGTGGAGCCCCGATAATCCGGCCCCTGGCTTATCCGGCACCCCCTGTAATAATGACATGGTCTATTATTTATTATAAATCGAATATTTTTTTAACCATCTCCGCTAATGCATGATTGAACAAGTTATAACTTGTACGCACCACCACGATTGTGCTCGACGCGTAGAGTATTGTTTTGTTTTTGATTGCTCAGTTTGAATTTGACTACATGTGATGGAGATAGCGGTGCGGTCTAGCGTGTGTTCATTGTTTAGTGTTTATTTATTGTGTATTACGTATTCGTACCTAGTAATGTCGTCACAAGCTCAGAAGCGAAAGCACAAAACACTGACAATTAAAGAAAAATGTGATATTTTAGACCGCCTAAATCGTAACGAATCTTTTAATAGTTTAGCAAGTGAATACGGCGTAGGCCGATCTACAATTTATGACATTAAAAAAAACCACGAGAAGATTAAACAGTTCGTGTCAACTACGGACTGTGGGCCTGGCAAGAGACAGACACTCAAAAAATCTGAACAACCAGTAGTGGAAGAAGCTTTATACATGTGGTTTCTTCAGGAAAGAAATAGGCATACGCCCATTTCGGGACCTATGTTGGCTATGAAAGCTAAATATTTTTATAAGGAAATAATAAAAAAAGATGATTTTGTGGCTAGCAGGGGATGGCTAGAACGTTTCAAAAGTCGTCATGGCATACGTTTAATGACTATTACAGGAGAGAAACTTTCTAATGATGCCACCTGCATAGAACCATTTAAATTAAGATTTTTGCAAAGGGTGAAAGATTTAAATCTTAACCCGTCACAGGTGTATAATGCAGACGAATCAGGGCTTTTTTGGCGTGTGTTGCCTAACAAAACTTTTGTTTCCCATAACGAAAAATCCGTACCTGGACGAAAAGTAAGTAAAGAACGTGTAACCATACTACCATGTGCTAACGCTGCGGGTACACACACGCTGAAAATGGTGGTCGTTGAAAATCTAATAAACCACGTGCATTCAAAAACATTGATTTACCTGTACACTATTATGGGCAAAAAAGTGCGTGGATGACAAGAGATCTTTTCAAAAAGTGGTTTGATGAATGCTTCGTACCAGAAGTTAGAAAATGGCTAAAAAATCATAATTTCCCTCAAAAAGCGTTATTGCTTCTTGATAACGCTCCTGGTCATCCGTCTGAAGAAGAACTGACAACTAAGGATAAATGCATTACTGCGATGTTTCTTCCGCCAAACTGTACTGCACTGATTCAACCCATGGATCAGCATATCATTCAGTTTGTAAAGCAAGATTATAAGAGAAACCTACTTCTGAAAGCCGTATCAAAAGACCAAGCAATAGAAAAAACATTAAAAGAATTTAATATGAAGGACTTGGTTTTTGCTCTTTGTCAATCGTGGAATGCATTACCTTCATCAACTATTACATCGTCTTGGAAAAAGTTATGACCAGATATAGTTGCCACTCCTACCAACGATCCACAAATCAGTGTACCTTCAGAAGTAATAGAGCAAATTGCTTCTGAAACACAGATAAGTTCAAATGATTTGGAAACCTGGTTCCGTGGAATGGATAAAGAGGAAAATATTTTTCATGAAATGTATAAAACAATAAATGAGGAAGATGATGACGAAGTAATTGCAACTACTCCACAAGTGACAACAGAAGACGCGATTAACGCCTTTGAGCTGGGTTTGGAATGGGCTGAAGCAAATGGTGCATCCTACAACGAACTTCTACTTTTAAGAAGACTGAGGGACAAAGCTTTAATCTCGCGTTTCAACAACGTTAAACAAAAAAAAATTGATGAATATTTTCATGCGTGTTAAATAGATTGACTTATAATTTTTGATTATTTTAGTATGTACATTTGTTTGTACACAATTTGTATTTCCTAATGTAAAGTTATTGCTTATTTTTTGTGAATTATATAGCATTACTAACATTAATTTTATAATAAAACGTCTCTCTATTGTATTGTTTAATTTACTAAATTGGACATACATAATGAAGTATAATTTTTACTTCAGAGTACATACATATATATAACATGTAGAATCTTATCATTGGATCTGTCGGATTACAAGGTACTCTTTTGTAAAAAAATCCGGACTATAGGGGGTCTAGGGCAGTACTCAATAATCCGACAAATTCGCTAATCCGACACTGTCCTGCAAACTGTTTGTCGGATTACCGAGGCTCCACTGTAATATGTAAAACCTAAACATTTGGTTTTTGGTCATCAGAACGCAGGCGGAGCCGCGAGCAATGCTAGTTTTACATATTATTTAAAAAAACAAACAAAATTAATAGCACAACCTTAATTACCTAACTAATAAATTGTATTTATTAGTTAATATAACATAATTATTACCTTAACAAATTTAATATTATTTTTAGATAGCATTTTCAACAGTATATTTCTTTCCACCCATTCTCCAGGCCAAAATCGCAAATATTCTTTTGCAACAATTATATTTCTTTAAATTACCTGGACCCTTCAGAGCATAGCGGTCATTGGAAAGAATCGAAAGAATTTCATAGGGACCCTTAAATTTCGATTTTTACTTTGTCATTACATCTATTATCCTGATTAACATAAACTAAATAACCTACCTTATAAATTTTAGTGTTTCTTCTAACCGAATCAAAACGTAGCTTAAATTTTTCCGCGACTTGTTGTAATATTTGACTAGCCAGTTCCCGATCAGCTCTCACATCAATTTTAGGCTCTTAAGTTATAGTCATCGAGAACATAATTTAATCGAACTTGCACCACTAGTATATTTTAATTTACAAAACATTAGTTAGGAGGTCCATTGAATATTGCAGTGTTATTTGGAATCCTCAATATTAAAAAAGAATATTGAAAGAATTCAAAAAACATTTCTCTGGCACCTTTGCTATAGCGAAAATTTAATTAAACAACTGCTAACATATAAAGACAGAGTTAAACATACACCGAAACTGATATCGACATTCCAATAAAATTAGAAAAATTTAAGTCTCTGATATTAAACTTACTTATGGTGATAGCTTATAACTTATATCTATTGTGTTGCTTATTTGCTTTTTTTTCCTTTCTTCTTTTGTTGCTTTAAGTAACTAATTATAATAATGTCTTTGATAATTTTTTTATAGATTATAGTGCTGTTATTTTTTTAATTTTAAAATGTTCCGTGTAACTGTTTACGCATGTCGTGGTTACCTATAAGTACGTTTTGTTAAGTTACTGTATATCATGTTGGTGATCCTAAATAAATAAATATTTGCTTCTACCCCGATCAACAAGCGAAAAAGAGAAACTCCCGTTGATTTTTGTACATTAGTATAAGTAATAGATTGCTGTACCTTCCATACTTCGTTCGGCCACTCTGATAACTCATTACACATAGTATTCAACATATTAATTACTGTAGATACATAACGTTCAACCTGCCCATTGCTAATTCTAGGTGTACCGTTAGCTATCAGGTGATGTTCGATATGTAACTCACGAAAAGGGGCTTGAATTTTATTAGAGCTAAAATTTATTCAACGATCAGTGACAACTAATGAAGGTGTAACAAATATTGTAATAGTTTCCCTTATAATAGGTATTAACTTTTGAGCATTTAGTGTTTTAAGACGTTTCAATAAACAAAATGTGGTGAACCCGTCTACCAATAATAGAACATGGTTGTACCCTTCCTTGGTTGCTTGAAAGGGGCCAGTGCAATCTAAATGTATTGTATTAAAGAGAATAGTAGTATTATCAATCGGATGTAGTAGTCCTTGTTGAATTTATTTTAGTTTGATTAGGACCAGAACATCCTTTTTTCTCTGGGCAAACTTGAAAGAATGAAAAATGTATATTTCAATAAAAAACTGTCATACCAGTAAGGAACGAGAAATACTGCACTCTTTTTTTTAATTTTATTTCAAGGTCCCCAATCTTAACAAATCTAGTGTCTTGTAAAACCGAAGGATATTTATGAAAAAATGGCTTTAATCCTATCCCAAAATTCTATATCTTAATTGCCATTGAAAATTGTAGTAAATTTATTTTATAACTTGATTTAGGTATATTTTTTCGTACCAAACGAGCATCTAAACCATCAGTGATGATTTCGATATCAGGATTAAACAGAACAGCCTCCTAACAATTAAAATATAGTAACCAGAATCGATATCTGCGATCATATACATATTCAATTCAATACATAAATCCTCAAATCAAACTGTTGATGTTATTTGTGTAGATACTTTTAGACTGAGGTGAGGGTCACCTATTCCAGAAATACATAAAAAGCATGGGCTAAAATTGCTACCAAGACACACACACACACACACTCTTTAATTATACTGCAGTTAACTCCAATATCAATAAGCGAATTTATAGTTATATCAAAAATACTTTTGTTAAAATTAATTCCAATTTAAAAAAAATTTACCTCATTTCCAATTTTAGTAGTAATTATTATCATTTTTAGGTTTATACTCATATTTATACATAGAATCCTTATAATGACAATTTTTTTTAAAAATCTAACGGTTTATGTTCCTATGTATCGACGTTAGTTTGAGCGTCCAGTTTTAAGCATTGGGGTCTTGTATATCCTAATTAGTCACATAAATAACATTTTATATTAGTTTGATCTAGTATCTATTTAAGTTCGTTTAGCAAGGTTAGAATTAGAAAAATTCTTACAATTCCTACCGCTTTGCTCTAAAGGTCGTTTCTTAGTTTTTGCATATGAAGTGAATAAACAAATTACTTTAAATGTACATAGTTTTGAAACTACAGTTAAATGATGCCATTCTTACATTAACGTCAAATATACTACCACATACTAATTTAACTACATAATTGCAACTCTTAACTATATTTGTATTACGTAATACTTTAATATATTTTTTTTTCTTTGCGTATTAGCAATAGGAATCTGTACTTTCGGAAGTATACAAGACTTTTTTTGATCGGGACACAAAGCTGTAAATTCTTTACGTAGATTCTCCCACAAACGGCCGGCTGCAGTATCCCAAGTTTCAAACCACAGTAACGCAGACCCTTTTAGGGCCTTACCTTCTTTAGCAACGGTTACGATACTGCTCCAGCCAAATTCCCCCGCGAGGAAGTCGATGTTGCTGCACCAGGACTCGGCACCCAGGTCACTCGTGTCCGGGTAGAAAATCAGCAAAGCAACGTCGTCGTCTTTCCGCAGAGTTCCGGAAACAGCATCCTTGATTGCCTTGAGAAGTTCTTGCAAAGCCGAGAGATCAATCTGCAATTATAATACATATTAGAACAGTGGACACTATCCCACTTCTGATAATAGATACTTTAAAAATATAGAGATAACAAAAGCTTCAAACTACCCAATATTACATTAATATTAAGAGGAAACAATTATAATTATCATTTTTATATATATGGAGGTAAATGTTGCCAATAAAAAAACTATTTATAAGTATAGTAAAATTAAAAATAATAATAGTAAAAAAGATTATTATATAGAAAAATACTGCAAAATTAATAATAATCTATCAACCGCGTGTGAAAGTAGGTATGTCCGCGGAAATTAGAAAAATGGAAAAAGAGCAATATCGGACGGTGATTCGATTCTTGTTTTTGGAAGGGAAATCGCGCAGCGAAATCAAAGAACGCTTGGACGCTGTGTACGGTGACTCTTCTCCTTCGATGGCGACCGTAAAAAAATGGTTTAATGAGTTTCAACGTGGTCGCACGACGGTTTTTGATGAGCCTCGCCAATGGCACCGAAAACGGCTACCACGGAGGATAACGTTACAAAAGTCCACGATCTCGTATTGGCAGACCGCCGATTGAAGGTGCGCGAGATAGCTGAGACAGTAGGCATCTCAAAAGACCGCGTGGGTCATATCTTGCATAAAATATTGGGTATAAGAAAGCTGTCGGCGCGATGGGTGCCGCGTTTGCTCACTCCGGACAACAAGCGCAACCGTGAGACCACTTCAGAGCATTGTTTGACGCTATTTAAGCGCAATCCGAAGGAGTTTTTGCGTCGTTTCGTGACCGTCGACGAAACATGGATCCACTGGTACACACCAGAGACCAAGGAACAGTCGAAACAGTGGACTTCATCCGGCGAACGTGCTCCGAAGAAGGCGAAAACTGTCCTATCGGCCGGAAAGGTGATGGCCACCGTTTTCTGGGATTCACAAGGTGTGATTTACATCGACTACCTGGAGAAGGGTAAAACAGTTACAGGGCTCCACTATACCGAATTATTGGGCCGATTCGACGCCGAATTGAAGAAAAAACGGCCACATTTGGTGAAGAAAAAAGTGCTCTTCCACCATGATAACGCACCGGCTCACACCTCTGCCGTCGCCACGGCCAAATTGATCGAATTAGGCTACGAATTGCTGCCCCATCCACCATATTCCCCAGATTTGGCCCCGTGCGATTTCTTTTTGTTTCCAAACTTGAAAATTTCTCTCGCCGGGCAAAAATTTGAGTCGAATGAGGAGTTTATCGCCGCCACTGAGGCCTAGTTTGCAGACCTCCAGAAATCGTATTTTTAGATGGGTTAAAGAAGTTGGAGCATCGTTGGGTCAAGTGTATCGAGTTAAAAGGAGATTATGTTGAGAAATAAATCGCAGCTTTTCCAAAATTTTTGTTTTTCTTTTGTAGGCTAAGTACTTATCGGACCGCCCTCGTATTTATCTATATATTTGTAAATAAAACCCAATCCAAGGTGTGATTCGAACCGTGCCGAAGGGATGCGTGGCTGGGGGGAGCTCAGTCGTAAACGGTGGCTATCCGACACCTGGACGAATCGACGTAGTATTTCTGTCCTCCCATCGACATGCGGGGCTCTGTCGGTGGGCATGTTTATTTCCCTTGCTGCTCGTGGGATGTATATGGAAGTTGAAAAATCACAATAGACCAGAAATGGTCGCAGTGACACGAAATAGCCGCAAAACAGAAATCAAAACTTAATATATGCGAAAACTGTCTCTATTCGCATAACGGCAAACCATGTATTTCCGAAAAACTATGTATTAAATGTAACGAAACTCATAATACGATTTTACACGAATCATTTACCCAATCAGGTCAAACAAATAGTTTAAGAGTCTCCTCAACAAATTCAAAGCAACTCGCACGTGTCGTTGCAACGCGGCATGCCTGAGGTACTTTTAGCTATATCCATTATTAAAGTACAAAAATATGATGGCACTTTTGTTAACATGCGAGCTCTTATAGACCAGGGCTCCCAAACTTCGCTTATCACCGAAAATGCAGCTCAAGTACTCGGTCAACCTAGATCAAGATGTCAGGGGGTGATATCAGGGGTAGGTGCAAAAGAGAGCAACTGTAAGGGCGTCATATCTATTAAATGTGTATCGAAGAATAGCCATTTTGAATTAAAGACCGAAGTTTATATCATGAAAAGCCTTATCAAGAATCTACCCAAATATACATTTTCAAACCATCGTGGCATTTATTAGAAAACATTACTTTAGCAGACCCCTAGTTCTACGTAAGTCGTCCGATTGATCTACTTCTAGGTGCGGTCATTTATATAGGTGAGCGTAGCGGTATAGATAGAATGGATCCAAGAAATGTTTTATTGGAAAACCATGCGTAGTGATGTCGAGAATTTTGTTAAGAAATGGGCGCAGTGTCAAATGAATAAAGCTCTTAGACAAATAAACCGCGCTCCAATGCAGATCACTAGTACTTCAACTGAACCTCGCCAGAGAATATCTTAAAATATCGTCGGACCCCTGCCCGAAGCAGGGCCAGCAGCACTTAAATATATATTAACAATACAAGATGATCTTACCAAATTCACAGCAATTTTATTACAAGGACCTGTAGGACAAGACCGTCCTATCACCTTCGCATCTCGCACGCTCAATCGTGCCGAGTGCAATTATAGGGTCACAGAGAAAGAATGTCTGACCGTTATTTTCGGCACCAAAGTATTCACAAAACTTGCTGGTACAAAGGCTTCTAAAGTGATAACGTGGTGCCCCAAGTCTAAAATAGTACTCTGTCATCCATGTTGTAATACATTACATTGATTAAAAAAAATAAACAATAATGCCTACAAAAAAAAACCTTTTTATTTTACCCTCTTCATATATGGGAAAGTAGCAACATTTTCCTCTTATTCATACGTCCAGTCAAATAAAAAACATCAAATTTACTTATAGATCATGACTCCAACTAGAGTCATGGACATATGAGTTTGGTACAAATGTGACTCCTTTGGAGTCATTGGACAGTAATAGTGTTAATTTAGGTGAAGTTATAGTGTTAATAGGTAGCAATACACGACAGTTTTTTTTTTAAATTTAACATTAAATTTACTTTAATTTAACATATAATTAACACACATTGTATTATTTTTTATACAGCGTTCTGTAATAAAATGAATATTAGCAAAAAATGTAGTAACTGGTAAATCCAGATTGAGAAAACAATTTTGATTAAGTACAATTAAGTTTTGGGTGGAATGACCAAGCTTTTATAATTAGAAATAATTTCTACAAAATAAATCGTAATTAATATATGATTTATTTAAAAATAAATGTCTAAGAAATTTCTTTCCTTTTATTATTTATATCATCTGAAGCTTTAATAAACAAACTTTAATTGCATTACAATTATGTAATGTCTGTAATCTAATATGTAAACTTTAAAAAAACCAACTTCCAGGCACTAAAATGTAAAAAATAACTAAACGGGGGTTTTCATTTAGGGTAAATGTGGGATAGTCGCCTCAGTAGGATAGATGCCTCAGTAAGCACATAGCAACATTTACAAAGAATAACCTCGCGCTGTTTTGTTATAATGTGAGCCTAGCCCTTTCCCCTCGCCAGTCAGTGCCGGACATTTCGCTGGTGCGCACGTTTCGAAATTTGTGAGACGGAATATAAATTACGCAGCGACTTTTTGTTGGATTCGCTTTGCGTTAAATCTTATTGCTCTCGGAACTTTTGAGGTTATGAAGTAAGTATTTAAATTTTTGTATTTTTAATGTGTATATATATCATATAAACTCATTTCAATACTTTTAAAGTGTTTTTTTAAGCTATTTATTTGATAATTTGGAGGGCGTCTATCCCTTCAAAAAAGGATAGATGCCCCAGTTTTTGTGAGTATAGATGCCCTTAGAGGCATCTATCCCTTCATTGTGTTTAATTAGGTATTTTTTTATTTTCTAGATATGCCACGCAAATACGTGCGTAAAGCAGGGGCACGACCTCGAGCGACGTGGACAGAAGATGCCCTTATAGAGGCCTTTGAAGAGCTGAGGCAAAATAAATATGGTATAAATGAAGTATCTCGTTGTTATGGAATTCCAGCCAGAACCTTAAGAAGACGATTTGCTAAACAAGATACAAAAAAAATCACATGAGGTATTTTGTTAACTTATCTACAAAATATTTAATAATTCAAAATATTTTAATATATTACCTTCATTGTTTATTAATTTTTACGTTTATTTAGGAAAACACCCAGTTCTGGATTTCGAAAATGAAAAACGGCTTGTCGCACACATCCAAAAACTAGAGATTGCAGGGTTTCCTGTAACACGAGATACGGTACAAAGACTAGCTTTTCAATTCGCAGAAAAACTTGGTATTGAACATAACTAAAGTTATTATTGTTAAAACAAAGAAACACGTAAAGCTGGACCTCATTGGCTAAAATCTTTTCTGGAACGCCAACCAAGGCTGAGCGTCCGACAAGCTGAAGGTATTCACAGGTACTTAGGCTATAGGTACGATTTTTTTAAATAACGTACCTATCTAGTTAATATGCAACTTAGTAGGAAAATTGACTTTCCAGTTTATTTATGAGCTGTTTATACCTTTACATGTCGTACTTCACTGTACTTGTAAAAAATAATGCAGCGTATCACCTAATTTCATTTTTAATTTTAGACAAAATGCCGCGAAAATATAAAAGGAAAATAGGGGCACCCGTTCGTGCATCTTGGTCTGAAGAAGCCCTTTGCAAAGCTTTTGGGGAAATGGATAAAGGCCAAGTGGTGTAAATGAAATATCTCGTCGTTATGGTATTCCATCTCGAACTTTGAGGAGGCGATATGCTAAAAAAAACTGTGAAAAACTTACTTTGGGTAAGTAATAGAGGAATTAATTGCCTTAATCAAATTCAATTTAGGCACTGTCTTCTTAGTTTGTTTTTTCATACTTGTCCTTTTTGAATCCTCAGTTTTTTTTCTGTACCTATTAATTTCTTCTTTTTCAGGAGAACATCCCACACTGGACTTTGACAACGAGAAACGTCTCGTAGCGCACATACAAAAATTAGAAAAGGCAGGATTTCCCACAACACGACAGGATGTAAGAAGACTCGCTTTTGAATTTGCCGAGAAACTGGGTTTGGAAAATTCTTTTAAGAAAGAGACACGTATGGCTGGTCAGCACTGGCTCAAATCATTTCTTGAACGACACCCAGAACTCAGTATTCGCCAGGCAGAAGGTTTGTCTATTGCAAGGGCTCAAGGATTAAATCGAGATGAAGTAAACAAAATGTTTGAATTGTTGCTAAAAGTACTAACTGAAAATGAAGCGCGTCGCGAGCTGAAAGAAATGGAGGAGGAGGCTAAAGAGGTAGAGTTTGAGAGGCGCCTAAGGCAGCGTGCGTATGGGAAGGCTTCTCTTAGAGCACAAGTCAAGATTGTTCCCAGTGACTCTAGAGCTGTCGGCCTCTGAGGCCCGGCCTCAGACAGACTCGGCTGATCAAACTGCGGAGGATCTGATGGAGCTTGCCAACAAGAGCGTGGCGACAGTTCTGGAGATAGCCAAAAAGTCAGGCAATTTGAAGGGCACCATGGTGAAGTACCTAAAGGACTCGGCCGCTACGCTCCAGAAAGTGGTGGAGGTACTTGCCGGACGCACAGCAGTGGATGAGGCCCGCCACCTAAAGGCGAATAACGCTCGTTTGCGCCGCGAGACGGAGTCTGAGGGCTGAACTAAAGGCTTACCGCCAGGAGTTTGCAGGAATGAGATCGGAGTTGTCGGCGGCTAAGGCTGGACCCTCAGACACCTTTGCGGGGGACTGGCTGGAGGAAATCAGGGCCTCCATTGTCGCCTCTGTGGGCACAATGATCGATGCCCGCTTTGCTGGGATTGAGGATCGTCTTCTCCCAGCGACAACGGTGCGTCCTCCATTGGCTGCGGACAGACGTCGTGAGGCGGCGGCGCCAGCTACTGCCCCGATCCCTGCCCCGAAAATGTACAAAACATTGTAAAATAACACATAGCAAAAGTATAAAGAATTTCAAATTGTAAATCCAGTAAAACCATAAATAAATTAGCACAATGTAATTAAAAAAGTTAGTAAGTACTCCTTCCGAGAAATAAGACATAAAAATTAACACAGGTTAAAGTAAAATAAGAACATAGTAAAATAAGCAAAAAATGTAAAAAATCTCTAAACCTTAAGGTTTTCAAAACCAATTGTAACTAAATAAAAATTGTAAAAAAGGTCTCTGACCTCCATGTCGGGGGAAATTCGGCTTTATAATTAAAAAAAAATCATAGATATAGCTGCCCTGCGAAAAAGGTTAGGTGCAGACGGTGTCACAGTCTAGGTCATTATCAGGCATTCTGCAAGTCAAAATCTGAATAATCTGGACTATGAAGGTAAAGATTCGAATTGTTTGTTAATAACATAAATGTGCAATGTATTTTAGATACAGGAAGTAATGCTAATGTCATGTTACATAATTTATTTCAATCATTGAATGTTAATCAAAAATTTTCACCTTGTCATGTTAAAGTTACATTTTATTGTGGAAGAATAGTATGAGACAATAGACATGACTAATGACATTAATATTTGACTTTTACATAGACATCTGCTATAGACTATAAGTACTACTCATAACATCTCCCTTTTTCATACTTTTACTAGCTTATGGGGAAAAAACTGAGTTCACTGACAACTTACCTGCAGGATTGCTAGTAAAAATGGTTCCAAAAGGCAGCATGATAAGTTTGTTGTTTACATACATCGTAAATACATCATTCAGGAAAGTATAAAACTGCCGAAAATTGTCTAGCTTGTTTTCGATGCAACTTCGTGTCATTTAGACTATAATATAGTTGAAGCAACAGACGACAACATTATATTGTACTGCTTGCCTTCAAATACAACACACGAACTACAATCTCTATTGTAAACAAATCCTTTAAATATAACTGGGATCAAGAAACTTTATTAGTTTTATACCAAAATCCCGATAAGAAACTTACTAAAGCACGATTCAACGCAATTTTGCAATTGTCAGTAGAGTATAGGTATGCAAAGTGCATGAGTCATGACAGCATTATCAATGGGTTAAGAGCAACAGGATATGATAACAGGTAGTGATGGGATTCGAGTCATTTTTCACTCGAGTGACTCGAGTAGCTTTTATTTCACTGGCACTCGAGTAAAAATTAAGTTAACTCGGCTGTTGAGCGACTCGAGTAAACTCGAGCTGACTCGGACTACTCGAGTGAGAAATACAACATATGACATATTTAGGCGCTGTAACTTCTTTTATAATCATTACAAAATTTGTTTGCTTTAGTTGTTTATATTCCTAATTGGGTTTGTTTAACCCTGGAACCGTACCCTGGGGTACAAATGAAAAAAAAATATTAAAATCTTTTATAACTTTTTTGCCATACGACGCTTTGTTCTGGGCACCAGTGTATTTACGGGGGGCGGGGAGACGCGGCGATACCTCAGTCGAGCGGCAGTCCTGTTGTCGAGTAGACGTAGCACGCTGCGTGTGGGGTACACCACCACCCCAGGATACGTAAGTATTTACAAACGAATATTTCCTTTTTTATTTCGTTTTATTGTGTCTATATGTTGCTTTTTTAACATGAATTTAATAAAAGGGTGTGTAATAACTGTGTATACATAATTTTACAAACAAAGTAGTTAGCTAATGTAGGTTTTTTTTATGTTTCTAGCAGGTATTTGATTCGATACTAATTTTATGATTTTATTTACTGTGTTTTTTTAGATGACTTCACGGCGTAATTTGAATGAAAACGAAATACAAGATATTCTTTTGGAGGGGGAAGATGGAGACGACTTGGTTTTGGGCGAGGCGTCAGAAGATGAACAAGATGAAATTATTGAAGACATCCGCTTGGAGGAGGATGTAGAGATAGTCCCCCCCAACGTGCGTTCACCTTGTCGTGGTGGGGGGGCTCAGTAGTGCCCGGCAACCCAACCGGGCGCGAAGCCAAGAAACGCACAGGGAGGTAGCCCACTTCGGTGGGCGGTGGGAGGTGGCCCTCTCTGGTGGGCGGTGTACCATGTGCTCCTGGTACTTCTCTGATAGCAGAGTGGACTTTGGAGCAACCCCATGGTTGTGGTGGTCTGCTTCGGCAGACCTGCCGTCGGGGCGTCGTAGTTGAATGCGTAAGCAATCCTGCGACGCCCTATTAAGACGGGGGAAGGTTTTGTTGGGTTTTAGTGGGTAGTACTGGCTTTATTACGCCGGTGAGTCCCACACCTCGTGCGTAAATGCATTTCCCAACGTTAAAAAAAAAGATGTAGAGATCGCGCAAACTGCAGGTGATGATGATGAGGTAGAATCACTTCAGGATTCGGGAGAAGAACTGAAGAACCTTCGCGAGTAAGTTCTACAGCTTCGCCAATTACTGTTCTTAGTGCTCCAGATGTCGAAAAACTCAAAAAAACTGTGATAAATTTGTTTGGTATGGATCTCATCCTCGTTCTTCTCGTACACCCCAGAGGAATATTATATTCCATCCCCCAGGTAACAAAGGTCCTGCTAGATTTATTACTACTGCATTGGAGAGTTGGCAATTGTTTCTAACAAATGAAGTTTTGGAGAGTTTAGTGTTTAACACTAATCAAGAGATTTCTGAGCAGCGTAAGAAATATAAATCAGATAGGTCAACCCAGAGGAGAATGATTTTGTTCCGTCTAGCACGCGACCTTCATTTATTCGTGATACCTCAATAACAGAGTTGAAAGCCCTGTTTGGTCTATTCTATTTAGCTGGTGTGCCGAAAATTAATCATTTAACCGTCAAAGAAATATTTGATAATACAGGTATCAGTTATTTTAGGTCAACAATGAGTGAGAAGAGATTTGAATTTTTAACTAATTGCCTTCGGTTTGATGATCGATTGACAAGAGCTGAGAGAAGACTGCAAAGTAAATTGGCTCCGATAAAAGAAGTGTTTGACCATATAGTTGAGACTTCAAAGAACCTGTATTCCCCTTGTGACTGCACTACAATCGACGAGCAATTGCTTGGTTTCAGAGGTAGGTGCCCATTTCGCATGTATATCCCGTCTAAACCAGACAAATATGGGATAAAGCTGTTGATGTTTTGTGATGCTAAAACATATTACATGATAAACAGCATTATATACACTGGCAAAGATTCAACTCCTAGAGGGATACCCGTTGCAGAGTATTATGCGCTTGAGCTGTCGACTAGTATTCATGACACCAACAGAAACATAACATATGATAACTGGTTCACCTCCATACCTACAGCTCAAAAACTGCTATGCAAAAAAGTAACTACAGTTGGGACATTAAAAAAAATAAAACCGAAATACCTATTAATTTCACTGAAACTAAAGACCGTCCCTTGAATTCTTCAGTATTTGCATTTCATAAAGAACTTACCTTGCTTTCATATATTCCACCAAAGATTAGCAAATCAAAAAAGGAAAAACGTTCTCATGTTGTCCACCATGCACTACGAACCTGATAAAGATAAGTCTGTGAATTTGCCAGAAACAATAAGTTTTTATAACCAAACAAAGGGGGGAGTTGATACTTTTGATCAACTCTGTCATACCTACAGTGTATCGCGTAGAACTCGCCGCTGGAGCCTTTGTGTGTTCTATGGAATTCTAAATATTGTGGGGATTAATTCCATGATATTACTACATTCATCCAATGCTGCTAATAAACAAACTTTTAAAGATAGATGCACTTACCTGAAGAATCTGGCTTTTGATCTCATAAAACCTCACCTAGAAGAGAGATTTATGTACCGAACTTTGCCAACGTCCCTACAGCTAAGTATCGGAGATATACTGGGCAAACAACGACCAATAGCTACAGAAACCTCTTCAACTCCGAAATCTGGAAGGTGTTACTTCTGCCTAAGGTCAAAAGATCGTAAATCTCGTGTACAATGCACCAAGTGCAAACTTTTTATTTGTAATGACCACCAAAGCAAAATATGCCAAAATTGTCTGTAAGTTCTTAATTATTAGCCTTAAATTGTTAACAATGAGACTGAAATTAATGTTAAACAAGATTAATAATAAATGTCTCTCCCGTGACCATGGATGCTGTAAAGCATTCGAAAATTCGGGAACCAAAAATCAAAATAAATCCGCGAAATAATCCGAAAAGATAGTTTTATTTAATAAGATTAAGAAAATTGATTTTTAATAAAAGTAAATTATCTTTTCGTAAATAGCGTTTTTTAATTGGGGTACAGCAGTACCCCAGGGTACCGTTAATTAATTTTAGTATGGGTACGGTTCTAGGGTTAAAGTTGTTTGCTGATAATTCGTATTATATGAGTGAGAGTGCCAAAAAAGCCGTAGTGTGGTCTTTTTACGACAAAAATGTGACTCAAAAAACTGTTATTTGTAAATTGTGCAAGAAAAGTATAAAGACTTTAGAAATACAACGAACTTGACTTCTCATATGAAGAGTAAACATCCTATTCAGTACAATAAAAGTGAGTCAAGTTCATCTCAGGCGTGTTTCCTTCGTGAATCCTGATTATGGTCTACCCAGCAGAAAAACTTTATCGGAAAAAAATATTCCTGAGGAGTATCATGCTGCATGTTCTGCAGTTGTAAATATGCTACATTCAGAAGAATACGTAGCTGCTACTACAGATATGTGGACTTCAGACAGTAATAAAGCATATCTTACTGTTACAATACACTTCATATATAACTCAAAACTGATTTCACAAACTATCAGTACCACAGAAGTTATGGAGGAGCATTCTTCTATTATTTTATCAAATGTGCTCAAGTCTACGTTTGATGAGTAGCAAATTACTGATAAGATCGTGACAATAATCTCAGATAATGCTGCGAACATAAAGAAAGCTATCTCAGAATATTTAAACAAGAGGAATCATTTTTGTGTCGCTCACACTTTGAACTTGGCAATTATCGACAGCAAGAAAGCTAATCCAGCCTTAATGGAATTAATATCTAAATGGCAGTCCATTGTTCCACATTTCCGACAAAGCACAAAAGCATCATACAAGTTAAGGGAAATGAAACAAACAATGAATGTGCAATGTGTTAAATTAAAGCAAGACGTACCAACGAGATGGAGTTTCACCTTTGTAATGTTAGATTGGTTCAAGTTAAAACTGCTTTATCAGCAACTATATCTACCTTACAAGGTTCAGTTAAGAATTTACAAAATTCTGAATGGGAAGTAGTTGAAGGCTGTGTTAATCTTTTCAGGCCACTTGAAAATTTAACTACAATCTTATCGGGAGAGAAATATCCAACATTGTCTTCAGTGATTCCTTTGATTCGGAATGTTCAATTTGCATTATTAAAGAAGACCATAAGTACAAGCGTCGGCCAAGATCATATGACATCTTTAATGGAAACTATTGATAGACGCCTGGGTGTTTTAGAAACAAACAAAACTGTAGCCAAATCTACCTTCTTGGATCCGAGATTCAAGAAAATTGGGTTTGGCTCAGAAACTAATGCAGAAAAGGCTTCGCAATGGATTATTGACGAGATAGAAACAACTAAAACAAGAACAGATGAGACAAGTACAGAATTACAGTGTTCAACATCAACTAGCCAAAATCCTCAACAAGAAAATAATAATAAAAACGATTTATGGGAGTATTTTGATACAAAAATTTCGGAACGTACTTCAAGACATACACCATTAGCTTCAGCAATCATTACGATGAAACAATATAATGATGAACAATACTTGGACAGGAAAGGTGATCCCATTGCTTATTGGGAGAAAAGAAAATTGATTATGCCGGTGTTGTATAAATATGGACCTGAAGCTAGCGGCCGACTAGCAGCCGGCCACTTGACGAATTAAACAAAGGGCCGCAACGGTATCGCGGCGTCAAAAACACATGTTATTAGAATAAATACGCTACAGATGCAATTAAATATTACTTTTTAATCATTTTAAATACAATAATAGAAATGTATAGTGTTTTATATAATTTAATACCAAATTTTTAAATTCAGTTAATTAATTTTAATTATTATTAAAATTAAATTATTAATAAAATTAAAATTAAGTTAAGCCATGAAAAACTAGAAAGCATGCTTGAATCTTGCTGATTTTTTTACTGAAGCTTTCTATAATATGTATTTATTCAAAATTATACAAATTTTGCAGAATCAAACACTAAAAGTGTCGTAAAAAAATTATTGTTGCTATTGAGAGCGCATAATTGTAAAAACAACATTAAATTCCATAAAAACGATAGAAAGCAAACTAGGAGTTAGTTGATTTTTTTATATATTATTGTACTTATATATACTAACAGAAAACCGTTTAAATTAGACAGGATCAAGCCGTAGTTTATTTGTAAAAAAAAAATTATTTTGCCTCCTGGCGCGTTCTCATACAAACTTGAATAAATTCTAACTAATATAAACTTTTGTAAAAGTTTGTCTTTTTTACTGGATCTTTAACTTTTTTTTTTAAATTTTATCTTCTTTTACTACTCATTGTTTATTATTATCGTTTGATATCTGCTATAAATAATTAGTACAGCTTATTAACTGATAAACATGACAATAAATTGGAAATAAATGAAAAAAAATATTACATTTAATTTTTTACTTTATTCATCAAAAAATTTACATCATAATCTAACATTCACTTTCGGTTGACAATTTAATATTAATTAAGTAATAATTATTTATTTTTTCATTCATTATTTTTATTATTAATTTAATTTTTTTTAGACTCATTATAAGACTGTTCATAAGTTCCTAAGTTTATTAGACTGAGTGGTAAGTAAATGCTCTTGATTACTTTTCAGTATTAAGTAATCTGAATTTGATTATAACTCAAAGTATAAAAATGATGCCAAATTATTTTGTAATTTATAAGATATTGATTGTTTTAAGTCACCTTTTTCTTAGTACATAATCAACCCTTTTTAGCGTCCCACAGCTGTGCACAGAGAATGGGCCATAGTCCACCACACTGGCCAAGTGCAGTTTAGAGTTGTTAGTATCTAGTTGAGTTAAGAAAATATACGATACATTTCTTTAATAAACTTTATTTCATTTAAAACCTTATCTTAAGTAATAAATGCATAAGATTAAACTAAATAATTCCTGGTGAGTCACAATTCAGGACACTTTTGTTCGGTATGTCTTTTATTAGCATGTTTTTAGTTATTCAAGATAAGCTTTTAACGTGAAAATATAGCTAAAACAATAAACAATTCATTTTATAAAGATTTCAAACCTGCAAATAGTGGCTTACAGGACTGGCCTTAGCCGTCTGGGTGCCCCGGGCGAGACATGCCTTTCGCACCCTTTTAATTATACTTATTACATTACAATTAAAAAAAACGTGTATGTAGAATTATTTAGTGAGAGAAACTATAAAATGCTGAGTCTAGTTTTCCTTTATATCAATAAAAATATTCAAATTAAATGGTTAAGTTGAGCTGGCGCGCACGGCGCCCTATATAACCTGGCGCCCCGGGCAGCCGCCCCGGTCGCCCCTCCTCCCCCCCCCCAAAGCTGGTCCTGGTGGCTTACTGTATTAAGGCAATAAATGTGAAAAAAATCTTAAAAGTCCTCTCCTGTAAAATTAAAAAATGAGCTGGTGTGACTTTGTTGCACTGAAGGTACGTATTATGTAGTCCAGTGACATCTATATACATATAATAAAATTCTGAGTCGAATCTGTACATTAAATATTTTTTGGAAAACCATATTGAAATAGTCATTATTATCGATACAATCAATAGATTTTGGAATTTTTGTCTGTTTGTCTGTCTGGAAACACATCACGAGAAAACCACTGGACAGATTTTGATCAAATTTAGTATGATGATGGTAGCTGGTTATCCGGGTAAATTTATAGGATACTTTTACTTTCTTAACGTATGTAGGTACTAGGGACGAACCCGAGCGGAGAGAGGGTGAATCGCTAGTAACTAGTAAGTGAATAAAGAACAAACTGAGACTTACAAATGAGCACTGAATAATTAACAGTGACTGTTTAGTTTGCCTCCAGACATCTATAAATAAATATTACGAAACCTGTAACTTAACATTAATTTAAACATACCATATTGTCTTTAACGAAATTTTTAAAAAGTTGGCTATTTTAAAAATTAGCATTTTTGTTAAACCTTGTAAAATTGTCACCTGCCATATTAATCCTTAATTTTCAAGTAACTGCACATAAATTCATTGGTTTCTGAGTTTTTACTATTTTTAAACTAAGTAAGACGATTTGATGCCTTTTGAAGTACATATAATAACCCGAATATTACGTTCCGTTAAATTCAATTTACAATAAATATGCACCAGTCACCACAATGAATAATCCACATGCCAAAATTAAAAAAAATAACAAAAAGAAAATAAGTTGTAACCGACCACTAGAACAATTTTTATTTCTACGTTTTAATTTTTAACACAGATTATCGAAAGCGACAGCACAGACTATAATATGTAATAGAGAAATAAAATATTAATACACAGATTACAAAAATTAAGGAAATACATAATATAGCAGCAGGAAAATATTAATTTCATAATTTATGTATCTTTTAATTTAAGAAATAACTACGCCAATAAAAATATGAATGTAATTTGTAATACATTATATTTTAACGACTTCAAAAAGGACGGGGTTCTCAATTCTATTGGTATTGAATTTTTATGTATGTATGTATATTACGCTGAGATTTATGATCCAATTTACGTGATTCTTCTTTTGTTGACATAAAAATTTAACATAGTTTGTTGTTAACATAGTTTGCTTGCCTAGTAGTTTTCATTTCATGAGCATTTTTTTATAAACATTTTTGTTTACGTTGACGATGTAGTTTTATTTTTGTTTGTGTATGGCTTTTTTATAAGTTTTCATTTAGGTTGATTATATAAGTATTATTATTATCATCCCGTGTCCCGATAAGTGGGTATTAGGATTTAGGCTACCTGTCATTGAAGCGTAGCGATCGTGCGGAGCAGAGAAACTGAGAAATATTATAACCAATCGTTACATTATTACCTACTGTAGTATACAGAACAACTTATTACAGACAATAAAAAGTATAAAATAACTTAATAAAGATTTAATTAAATTATACAATAAATGATTTTATAAAAGATGGCACACCTTGGGAATGAAATTCCTCCAGACTACTTCAACTTGACAGAAATATTGTAAATTATAATTTTTCGTTAAAAAAAGATAACAAGTCAATATTAGTCCCGCTGAGTTTCTTTCGCCAGTTCTTCTCAGGTCTGAGGCTTCTTCTTTCCGAACTGGTAGTAGACTCGTGACGTTCAGTAAAAAATTGTAATAATTTAATGCTGAATAAAATATTTTGATTTGATTTAATACACCTCTTATGCGAACCGAATACATTTAATATTAAAAAAATACTTTTTTTGTATGTACTACCTATTGATAGGTTTGAAGTCGAAGCCTTTAGTACAGATTTCTCAGATCGCGGCGAGTGTAGGTATCTACTATAACATTTGGCTTGGCACCGACTTCAAAACTTTTTGGTATAGTTTTATGTTTGATCATCGAGAAATAATTCAAGTGTCAATATTTTCCTATTAACGCAAAATTGACGTGTTGCAGTATAAAAATCTTATTGTTACTGGTCTATGATAAAAACTACCCTTATTAATTATAATTTATCATTTAATACTAATTAGGTATTAAAAATGGTTTATATCCCCGAACTACGAACACACGCGCAAAAAGTATGCAATCTGTACAAGAAAGCGATGAGGCAAATTGAATCATATTATGGAGCAAGGTCTTTTTAAATTTATTTTTAAATTAATTAATTATAGTGAAAAATGAGTTTGTGTAGTATTACTACATTATTTGTGTAGACGATTATTATTGCTTGTTTTTTCATTATTATCAACCACAGAAAAATTTAAAATAAAGATCAATAATGGCTTTTTTTTAATGTTTGTAGCTTAAATATCTTTTGAAATAGGCTGTGTCTATTAATACGGGTAATGGACAAACAATTTATTATTATTCGTACATAAGTCAGACGAATAATTTTATTTTATCAATTAGTGCAAATTAAAAAAAAAAATTTTGCGTTTCTATTTGTTTTTAATTTAAACCAAAAAATGATAAATGTTTGCCGATTTTAATACTATTAAATACTACTACTACTACTAACCTAACCTAACCAAATCGATTAAAAAAAAACCTAACCTAACCTAACCTAATGTACGAATAAATATAATTTATTCGTCCAGTACCCGTACAAATAGTCACTTCGTTTGAAATACACCTTAAATAGCACAATTAAGATAGAGTATGTAGTATTTAGATTTCTTTTATAAAGCATTAATAAACAATAATAATAAAGAGAAAAAAATGTGATTCCAAAATTTGACCACAATTTTAAAGTTTGCTGTTTGGTTAAAGCTAAATTTTATTTAAATAACTGTATTAAAATTAAAATTTTTGAGATTCAAATTCTTCTTGCATACTCTTCTCTACTCTCTTCTCTCTTTTACTCTTCTTCTGTACTCTATTAATTATCTGTCTTCTCTATACAGGAACGTTGTACGCTATCACCAAGTCATCTTGCGAAGTCGTTTCGATGCCAACAAATATGTAACTCTTCTTCTGTACTCTATTAATTATCTGTCTTCTCTATACAGGAACGTTGTACGCTATCACCAAGTCATCTTGCGAAGTCGTTTCGATGCCAACAAATATGTAACTGACCCTAAAGATAAACGTCGACTATTTTGGGTGGGAGAACACGAACTGTTCATGACGCAACATCCTGTGCCAATCGCTAAATGTAAGTCATGCTTTACATGAAAGGTGCCTCTACTTTTTATAGTTAGTAAAAAAAATTTAGCCGTTGCGGGACGCCTGACAGATGAGAAACATCGAAATTATTTTGTATAGAATATACGCATGACATGGTTGGGTGATGATAGTTTTTAAAGGTAGTAAATATGACAGAATTAAAAATAAAATGTTCAGATTTTTTTTAAAAGAACCACCTTTATTTAAATAATTAAATCTTTTATTTAAAAATTAAAACATGAGCGCAACGTGGTGAGAGAGAGGGAGAAGGAAATCGCCGAGCCGAGTGGAGAGTCTGAGAGTTACGAGCGCGAGTTGACGTGTCACCACTCCAACAGTCGCTTTGACGAGCCGCAGCAGATGTTTCACGTCAAAAAGATGTAGCATCAGATATTTAATTCGATTCTTTTATTTGATTTGAATATCTGATGCTACCTCTTTTTGACGTGTAACATCTAATGCCGCTTTCTGGTCTCACTTACTCTGCGACCCTTCCATTTGCGGACTATATGTATATAGGAGTACTAACGACTTACCCTCGCTTCGCTCTAGTACGTTTCTGGGCTTAATAGTATCCTTAATGTACAGGTCATGGTGTGCTAAAGTTCATCCAAATCCGCCGTTGTTTTAGTGTGACAAAGTTAATGTACACATGCAAACTTTCGTATTTATACACTCGTAGCCCTATTGAATTATTATTATACTAGCGACTCACCCTCGCTTCGCTCGGGTTCGTCCCTACATAAGTTGCTACCCCATACAAACTTTCATTCCCATTTTCATCCCCTTAAGGGAAGATTTCCGGAATAAAAAGTATCCTATGTCCTTGTCAGGGTCTCAATCTATCTTCTTACCAAATTTTCTAAATCGGTACAGTACATCCAGAGATTACCCCCTACAACCTCACAAACTCACAAACTTTACCTCTTTATAATATTAGTATAGATATATTTCTATTTTAGTTTCCAAATCAATCGGTGGGGTGGCTTACGGCCGCTTTGTGGAACCACCAGATTGGGTCTTAGATTATTGGCATCCATTAGAAAAGGCACAGTACCCTGAATATTTTAAAAAACGTGAAGAAAGAAAATGTGAATATATGGATAAATGGTGTAAAGGAATATTAATGTAAAGAAGTCTAATACATAGGAAATTTCTGTTTTTAACGTAATTGTTTTAAAAATGTTTAAACTTGATAGTTTAAGGGCTTATACACACGAAATTTATGGAACAGGTTTTTTTTCATTGATAAACTTAAAAAAATGTTCGTATCGATAAAAATAAGCGGCTAACGTGTGTCGATAGTGCATTAATTAAAAAGCCATAGTGTGAGGGGAGGGTCTATTCACACTATGGCTTTTTATTCCAACGTTTTGCAATAAATTGTATGATAATTTTAATTTTAAATAATATTATTATATTTATTTATTTAATATTATTAAAGTTAGTTCCAAAAGACGGTGCGGAATCTGACGAGCTTAATTTATGATTTTTTTAAAAAGGCTATTTAAATTTTTAATAAAAAAAAAACTCCGTATATCGAGGATCAACTTAAATAAAAAAAAACAAATTCTGATTATATCTTTTATTCTTAAATTCGCCTAACAGGTAGTAGTAATTATTTTGTTACATAAAGCATAGAGCGATCGATGGGAAAATAAAAAAAAATACCAAAAAAAAATGACTTTGTCAAAGCCTTTTTTTTCATTAAAAAGTTTTTTTATATATATATTGTTTCTTCAGCAAAGGCTTGATCGCTCTGCTTAAATAAAAATAACACGCGACACCTTATTTATACGTGTAATCTAAAAATAATGAGTTTTGATTATAGATTAGCTAACAGTTATACGAAATTTCTTAAACACGTTAAAAATGACAATTACTACTTGTATTTCGAAACAACCAAAAAAACCCTAAAGAAAAAAAAGTTTTTGTAATGTAAAAAAAAACATTTTTTTTAGAAATAAAAAAAAAGTAGCAATTGTCATTTATAACATATACACTTTACATAACTAGCCACCGCCTTTAAATGTTATGTCTTTTTTATTTGATATTTTGTATGTTTGTTCGTAACACAAAAACTGCTGAAGTTTTAACGATTGACATAAAAATTTAAATCTTTTTCCAAACCCCTTACCCCTGGTAAAGGCCCCTTGAGAGGTTTTTGGTTGGTAAAAAGTGTAGCGGTGACTTTCTTAATAAATAAACTATTAACCTATGAGTCGACAACAAATAATATAACTTAATTTATACCCTATTTATACAATTATAATGAAAATTTGGTACGACACATCCAATTGAAGTTGGACAGAGTATAAAATATATTCTATAATTATATACAAGTTTCGAGGGGGTGGGAGTTATTGTTTTTTTTATTTAAAAAAAAAACATGTCGTTAGTCAAAATTTATGTGACGTGTTAAAAAAAGTTTTTTGAGATACCAAAAAACTTGTAGGAACAATATTTTCTTGACGGACTTAATTCATATTTATTTTATGACTAGCGGCTCACGCTCGCTTCGCTCGGGTTTGTCGCTAGGTACATTTTAGATAGATATAGTTATTAGCCAGCATTAGCCATATATATTTTTTCCTGAAATTTTCCGATGTTTTAATACTTATTATTCTATTCCGGACTAAGAGAAATCTAAAAAAATAAAATATCATAAAAATTTGTCCAGCCGTTCTTGAGTTATAAATGGTGTAACTAACACGACTTTGTTTTATATATATATAGATTTCATTTCGAATATAAAAAATATACAATTAAATACATTTCCATATTAATTTTTTTTAAATAGAATACACGAAAAAAGTTCATTTTTATGGTGTTAAAAACAAATAAAAAAATACAGTTCACAATATACAATTACGAGATTGTCATTTTAATAAAAAACTAATTTAATGATTCATTACTTAATTAGATTTACGCAAATACGTTTAATAATTAAAAAAAATAATTTCGATTTTGTCTTGGTTTTGTTTTGAGTTTTAGAGTAGTTTTTATCACTGTAAGGTGAAGTATCTTTGAAGTTCCAATTTCTCTTTTCTGTCAAATTATTGCATAATATTGTGGATAGACACAGTCTATTAAAACTAGCTTTTATTAACTACTTTAACTGCTAGATATCAAAAACCTTATTCTCTCTCCCGACCATGATTGCTGTAAAGCATTCGAAACGTCGGTAATCAAAAACCAAAACAAAACCGCAAAATCTTATATGATATGTTCATTAAAAATGTCATTCTTTGGAATAAAAACATCGATCAAAAAAGTACTAGATACACAATCCCATGCAAAAGTTCTCTTAAAACTGTCACTAATTGTGTTTAGATAATTGTTCTAGTTGAAATAAATATACAACAATGTAAGCACTCAAATGTTAAAACACACATTTTTTGTCGTTGATTGTGTATCTAGTACATTTTTGATCGACGAATAAAAGCAACTTCTTCAAGGGTCGAGTCCGTAAAAATTATTTCTACTAGAAAATATCGTTTTTAACGACATGTTTTTTTTTTGACAAGTATAGGATTTAAAGAAAAAAATAGGAGAAATGTTTAAGACTTAAAAAGAACGCCTCAAATTACAATTAAATAAAAAAAATCTCTTTAATATTTAAAAATAAAAACAAACACATTTGTTTATAAATAAAGTGTTGCCAATAAAAAAGAGAAGGCCTTACGATAACTGAAATTTCAAATGAGTTTATTAAAAAAAAGCTAACCAAAACAAAAAAAAATAGTACGTTATCAAAAAATCTAATTAAATAATTATTATACCATTTCATAATACTATTAAGATATAGCTATTTCATTTTTCTTATAAATATAAAAAAAAAACGTCTGTAACTTATGTAAAAATATTCAGCCAGATAACATTTTATATTATTTAAAAAAAACCTACACGTTGGACAATGAGAGGAACAATTCATATTTATTATCTACATTCTTAAACAAACTAACCGACGGTTTATAAATTTGATATACACCTATATACTATAAAATTAGTTTTTTTTTTCATAAAATTTTTATCTTTTTTTATCTATATACTAAAATATCCCTCTGGAAATAAATGGAATTATAAACAGTGATTTTTTTATAATAAATGTTCAGTCACACACATGATTTACGAAAATTGTAACGGTAAGTAAAAATATACATATATTATGATAGTAATATTATTAATAAATATTATTCGAGTACATTTAAAATTATAAGTGTGTATAATTTTTTTTTTGGTAGAAAAAATCCCAAACAAAAAATGCATTAACTTACTCTTATTGGAAGTTTTAACCGAAAATATTACTTGTAAAAAAAATGTGTATAGTATTTTTGGTATAATTTAAAATTTTACTCTCGATGGAATTTATTATATATTGATAAATCAACAAACAAATAATGTTAATATATTGTAATCTAAATAAATAATAATAATAACAAATTCGAAATTGTATAAATGTATACCAAAATGAATGAATTTCTGTCGAGTGATTGATGAAAAAAGAATAATTGAAAAAAATTTTTTTTTTGACTTTTAAATGTACCCAATAACCATACTTCATTTGTTAAAGATACATTTGGTCGAATATTTACAGGTAATAAGAAATCCTTTATTACAAAAAAAAGTTTTTATAATATTGTAAATATTTTTGTTTGTCACAGATTAAAAATTATTATCGATATTATGTCAATGTCATAGATTTCATTGTCTTTCAAACCGAAAAAAAGTCAAACTCTCGCTTTTTTCTGCTTTAACCAACAAACAACAAACAAACTTTTGCACTAATAATAATATATTAGAATTTCTTATTAAAAATATAATGTGTTGTTCTTTATATACCAAAATAAATGGCGTGGTGTTATAAGGGTAGACCAACAAAAATTTCCAATTATCAAATATTTATTGCACGGGAATCGAACGAGCGTCAAACGACAGACATCACTAATTATTATGACGTTGACAGAATATTTTTATAACAAAATACCAAGAGTATAAGTTAAATAATAATCTCATTTCATACATATTAGAATTTACATATACCGTCACGCAAATAAACCATACTAAAAAAAATACAAAATAAAAAAAGAACCTAAGAAACATAAAAAAACTAACATGACGTGACATGTGAAAAAAGAAAAAAAAACAACAAAAACATGACAAAAGTATAATCAAAAAATGACGTGACAACAGTAAAACGAAACAAAATTCTTAGTTAACGCGAATATTTGTCATTTCAAATAAAACCATCTTTGCGGATTTCTTTTAATTCCACGTGATTGTAAACAGCTGCTTTAGCATTCAAAACGTCGGGAATCGAAAAAAAAAATCTAAACAAATCCCGCAAAAAGATAGTTTTATTTAAAAAAAAAACGAAATAAGAAATCGATCCCGCGTGACTTACCGTCACGTGTCACCCTTGTTGTGTCTCGCTACTATCGTGAGGTCTGGTCGTGTCCTCATCAGCTGTGAGGGGGATGGGGATGAAGACGGGGATGGAGATGGGGATGGGGGATTGTCGTTACCCCTAAGCGATTCGAGACTGGCCACTCTGATTGACGGCCATTTACCACCTGGAATAAAAAAAACGGTGACTATTTAAAATGCGAACATTTGACATGTATTGATGTCGAATCTGTACATTAAATATTTTTTGAAAAATCTTATTGAAATAGACATTATTATCGATACAGAGGCCGAATCTATAGTTCGTAGAATTTTTGTCTGTCCGTCTGTCTGTCTGACCTCATCACGAGAAAACCACTGGAGGGATTTTAATGAAATTTGGTATGGTGATAGCTGGTTATCCGGGTCAACATATAGGATACTTTTTACTGCGGAAAAAATCTCATCTTGGGCCTTTGTTATTGGCCCATCTGAAGTTACATCTCAGAATTGGTCTCCGTTTTAAATTGTAATCACTTAAGTTGTTTGATGAGTTCATCGATTTTGAAAACGAGACCAATCTAGAAGTTCTGTTTAAAGAAAAAAGGGAAAACAGAGAATATGTGGAATTTTGGAGTATTGTTCCCCAAAAATATAAAAGCGTCCAAAGATGTGACCAAATCCTACTAACATTCTTTGGGTCTACGTATGTGTGCGAATCGTCTATTTCAAAAATGAAATACACAAATAACGTTTACTGGATGATGTTATAAGGATAGCGTGTAGCGACAAGCCAGATCTTGACAAAGTTTTGAAAAAGTGTTCACAGTATTAAAAATCGCATTAAAACATATAAACATATTTGTTAAAAAAGTAACTACATCGTTAACTTGGAATTACGTTTTCATTAAGACCTAAATAATTTTTGCTTGCGGCCATCGACACCATGACTGAAACGTGTTTGCGGCCCCTATAAAAAAAAAGTTCAGTATGACTGGTTTAAAACGTAAGTTCAAATAAAATTAGTTTCTTAACACCCTAATGAAGAGGGGGAAGTCGGTAGTATATCACAAACTATATATACTGACTTAACCTATGTGTTTTTTTTTCACAATTTAATTGGTTTTATTTTTTGCGTAGAACCCTAATTCGTTTTCTAAAATAAAAGTAGCCTAAGTTACTCCTTATAATATCAGCTATCTGCCAGTGAAAGTCCTATCAAAATCAGTCCAGCCGTTTAAGAGATTAGCCGGAACAAACAGACAGACAAAATATTGAAAACTTATTTTTTTCTTACACGACATACACTCTCATATGCATTTAGTAAAAAACTTGTTATTTTCACTTTACAACTTTTTTTTATTTGTATGTGTGTATGTATATCTGTAGGTAGTGGTAGACCAGTGGTATGGCGCTCGCTTGAAAAACCGAGTGAAGCGGGTTCAAATCCCGGGTCTCGCACCTCTGATATTTTCATGTGCGAATCATTTCCAACATAGTTACCATTTGCCTTACGGTGAAGCAAAACATCGTGAGGAAGCCTGCATGTCTGAGAGAATTTAGCAAGTTTTCGATAGACATGCTCAGTCCGCCCGCACTTGGCCAGCGTGGTGGACTATGGCCTGATCCCCCTTCGTATTAAAAGGACGCCCACGCCCAACAGTGGGACTTTTAAAGGGGCTGAATATGTATAAATAAGCACTTACTGCAGGCGGGTTGTGTCAGTTTCTCCTGTGTGACGACGGTAGTGGCTGGTATCAGTGGCTGATGGTCTTCCTCAGCTGGACTTCCTAACACCACTTTTTTGCTTGAAGTCTGTTAGCAATATCAAATATAACATTAATAATAATCATCTATACGAATATCCTACTAATCTATACTAATATTATAAAGAGGAAAGATTTGTTTGTTTGTTTGCACCGAATAGGCTTTGAATCTACTGAACCGATTTAGATGAAATTTGGTAAGAAGATAGTTTGAGACTTTAGGAAGGACATAGGATACTTTTTATCCCGGAAATCATCCCTTAAGGGGATTTAAAATTTTATATATACGGGTAAATCTAAGAGAATATTATGTTCTTACTTTATCAGACTTCCTGAGAGACTTCGCGACGGCTATCGTGTTCGCGGCGTTATAAGTGCGCGGGCGCATCTTCAATGAGGGATCCAACTCGATGGGTACAGGTTCGAAGTCTGTGCAAAACAATAATAATAATCTATACAGATAAAGAAAATTTAAATGTCTGCTTGTAATGTCAAAATAACAGCTTTCTACTAAATGCAAATAAAAGCATATATGGTACTTTTAAGAAAAAAAACAATTCTTAAAATTAGTTATTGAAATTTTGACTTTTTTTCTGTTTATCTGTATATCTGTGTAAGTTTCACGCAAAAAGTATTAAATCGATTTTAACTAAATGTTGTGTAGTGATAACTTATTGCTCGGGTCGACATTTAGGATATCTTTTACTTTCATTCCCACGGGATAACACAATAACTGTTTATATCGTGTCGTTCTTAGATATTTACATATCTGATGGCAAAACCTTAAGAGATACATCGAAACAATGTACTAGAAAATTGTAGGTCTTAATAAGAACTTCAGAAAAGTCTGCTATCGTGTATGTCTATATTTTAAGGTACACTCGCAATAACTATATCTACATAAGCCATATCAAAGCAAAGCAAATGTAAGTCGCGAGTATATTATATATACCTTTATCCGCCATGTCCGACACGTACGCGGCCAAGTTGCCGGGATTGACGCCCAAAGCGAGGGCCGCGGCTTCGAGTCCCAGGTCACCTCGCTGCAGACGCTCCAATATCTCTGATGGGCCCTTCGCCTGCCAGAAATCTCGAGCCGTACTGGAAAAAAAATATGAAAATAATAAACATATAAATATTATCGAATTTTCTTTCTCTTTCTTTTTTTCTAATGTTTCAACATTAGGAGTTGTATTTAATATTTTTTCATCTCAAGTTACTTATAAACATATAATTTATAAGTTGTATACATTTTTAATTAAAAACCTTCCTTTTGACACCCTACTCAATAGAAGTAAAAAAAACTTTCTAGACACAAATCGGCTTAAAATCCGCCATTTTAATTTCAATAACATCCATACAATCTAATGTCGTATCAGTACGAATCGTTAAAATCAGATGCCTTTAAGTAATTATAAGGTAGTACAGGATCGGACATACATACATATATAAAGGTCAAACATATAACCCTTTTTTGCTTCGCCGCAATCGGTTGAAAAAGAAAAAAATGAGTGCGTGTAACCTTTATGCTCGATTGAAGTAAAACTTCTTTGGCGAATGTCGCAATTAAATTAAAACAAATCAATAATTAAATAAGGCATATTAAAATCATATATTTATAGAATATCATATACGGAAAGAATATAATATTATATAAATAATATTTATCAGACAATAACAACGGTTACCATGGCAACGTGGCAATGTATTCAATCTCATTCTCTCGCCGGCTCAATCCTATATATTTGTCTCTTTCTAGTGTCGCTATTCGTTTCATCGCGTTTCAAATCACAACGATTCTAATTCCAAGCAAGTTTCACTTCAAAACAAAGTCACTGGCAACAGCTAGCAATACAATATCCACTCACCGATACGGCCTATTGATACACCCATACACATCTCTATATCTCCCATACAATGTCCCATAGCTGACCCCCAATATTTCAGCCGCCTGCTTCATCTCCAACTCCTTGAGACGAACAGCCTCCATAACCTGGAAACGTAAACGTCATCTTATTAATTTACAACTTTCTCAGATTTACGCGAATATTTGACATCACACAACAATCCCTTTGTATGCTTAGATCTTTAAAACTACGCAACGGATTTTGATGCGGTTTTTTTAATAGATAGAGTGATTCAAGAGGAAGGTTTTAGTATATAATTTGTTAAGTTTTTGTATACATTGTCGGAAAAAACACAGTGTTGGAAAAAATAAGACGTCTGGGAGCTTTCAACGAAAACGCTGCCTAAACCCTTTGAGATATAAGAAAATAATGTATGGTGGAATTGTGTATCTTATATAGATCTACAGAAAAGTCCGCGATGGCATATGTCTATCTCTTAAGGATAACATCCATTTTAATTTAAAACGTACCTAGGAACGAACCCGAGCGAAGCGAGGGTGAGTCGCTAGTTTAAAATAAAACTATTTTTTCGGAGTTTATTCGGATTTTTTGCGGATTTATTTTCATTTTTGGTTCCCGACATTTCGAATGCTTTACAGCATTCAGTGACCATGGTTGCTATAAAGCATTCGTAACGTCGGGAGACGAAAGATCAAAATAAATCCGCGAAAAACTGTGAAAAGATATATTTAAGATAAGAATGATTTTTTGATATTTAGATATAATCGCTTACTTTAAAGCATGGCTTTAACCAGGTTTAAAAAACAAGTATTTTTTTTGCACGTAGCCATAATTCTTTTTCTAAAATAAAAGTAGCCTAAGTTACTCCTTAAAACATCAACTATCTACCAGAGAACGTCCAATCAAAATCGGTTGAGCCGTTTCGGAGATTAGCCGGCACAAATAGACAGACAGACAAAAAATTTAAAAGTATTTCTTTTTAAATAAGTACCATATATACTTTCATACGCAGTTAGTAAAATGCTGTTATCTTGACATTATAAACAGACACTTAAATTTTATTTATTTGTAAAGATTACAAATATTCGCGTAAATCTAAGAAAATATTAGTATGAAAATTGAAAAATAAACTATACCCTTTTGACATAATTCTCCTCCCAAAATTGTGGTCTTCGGCCATGCTGCAAATAATCGTTCAATTTCACCACATCCATAAACCTTGGGTCTTGGACGCCTAATTTGTTTGCTTGAAAAAAAAATGATTTTAGAATAAAAAATAATTAAAAAGAAAAAGGCTCATACTCATTTTTTACTAAGTCGGTCAAGATCAAATATTGTCTCGTTGTGCCTAACATGTATGGCAGATCTGGAGGTTCTGGGTTCGAGTCTCGGGTCGAGCTAAATATAACTATTAGGGTAAGAAACTCTCAGTAACAGCCGGGCCTCAACAGGCACATTAGCGTCCGGCAATCCAGCCGGGCGCGAAGCCAGGAAGGGCACTTGGAGGTGACCAACTTCGGGGGGCGGTGTACCATGCGGGTTGCTCCTGGTACTTCTCTGATAGCAGAGTGGACCTTGGAGCAACCCCATGGTTGTTGTGGTCTGCTTCGGCAGACCTGCCGTCGGGGCGTCGTAGTTGAATGCGTAAGCGATCCTGCGACGCCCCATTAAGACGGGGGAGGTCCTCTTGGGTTTTAGTGGGTAATACTGGCTTTTCTAGCCGGTGAGTACCACATAACCACCTGTATGTATACAGGTGGTATACGTAAAGTTACGTAAAAAAAAGGAGTGCATTAAATGAATAAATACTCACGTTTGATATAGTCTATATGCGCAGTACTGTTTGTGGATGAAGAAGACGACGCATGCGCCGGCGCCCCCGCCGCGCTACCGTCGGATTCTTCATCTGAAATAGCATTTACTTATTACTAACAACTCACTAGGTACGTCTTAAATATTTTTTAAACGGAACCCTAATTTTTTTCTGAAATAAAAGTAGCCTAAGTTACTCCTTATAACATTAGCTATTTACCAGTGAAAGTTACATTAAAGTCAGTTTAGCCGTTTTGGAGATTACCCGAAACAAACAGACAAAATTTTTAAAAATTGATTCTCTTAAGTACCGTAATACCTTCATAATATGCATTTAGTAAAAAGCTGTTATTTTGACATTACACACAGACACTTCAATTTTATTTATCTGTATACTAGCAGAAACCGCGGCTTCGCTCGCGCTAAGACTACAAAAACACTATATGAGTAAGTTTCATACAAATTTTCATCCCCTATTTTACTTACTTATAGAATGAATTTCGGAAAATGCTGAAACACGTGTTTATTTAATTGTATTAAAGAGCATTAATACCAAGTTTCAAGTAATTCTGATCATAAATATTTTTTTGGGTTATATAATAACGTGTTTTCCCGTGGGAATTAGATAATCTCCCGCGGTAAAAAGTAGCCTAAGTCACTCTCCAGCCCTTTTACTATCTTCACACAAAAAATCTCATCAGTCCGTCCCTCCGTTTCGACGTGAAAGAAGAACAAACAAACAAACACACTCTCATATTTATAATATTAAAGTATAGAGTATGAAAGTTTGGATAACAATCACTTATATAAGTAAACTGTAACAATCAAAAGTATACATTTTTTTTATTTTAAAATTTCTTTATTTAATCCACATAAATTATTAAATTAAGTAAATTTCTAGTGTAAATTTAATCCTAGAAGTACATATTAAATACTATTATATTTGTTTAACAAGTACACAGACTTATATAAAACTTATAGCAAAAGGTAACATGTGCATTTAAATAATTTTTATTAATAATTGAACAGTATATCATTTAAAGTATGTAGGCTTTAGAAAAGCGATTACTTTTATATCATAATTTTATACAAAGAAAAATAAACCGTGGTCGGTAGATGTAAATAAAATACCACTTAAAAGCAGTCAGCAGTAAGCAACAAGAACGTAACATGTTATCTATCGCACACGCAGGCGAGTGAGCCTCAGAATCAAAAGTATACAAAATCAGATCTTCAAACTCACCTCCACTATTATCTCCGTCTACTTTCAATTTTGTCCTTAGAAAAGATCCGATATCCGCGGGCGGGTCCGCCCATTCCTCATCGGACTGATCCCGGGACCATCCCCCCTCTGTATCCGTTACTCCCCATCCCACCACTCTTTCCGCTGTTATGTCCTGGAAAAAAATATTATAATTTGATTCCCAATACTTTCATCCCCATTTTCACCCTCTTAAGGGACGATTTCCGGGATAAAAAGTATCCTATGTCCTTCCCAGGGTCTCAAACTATCTTCTAAAAAATTTCATTTAAATCGGTTCAGTAGATCCCGAGATTACCCCCTACAACGTCACAAACTCACAAACTTTACCTCTTTATAATATTCTTTACCTCTTTATAATATTCGGTTGCTTATTAATTTTTAGGATTCTTTAAGAATAAAAAAAAAGAATTCTATTCAGGATTTTTATATTCATTTATACACTTTTAATTCCGCGTATCTCGGAAACGGCTGTGACGATATGGATCAAATTTTGTACTTAGAGAAGGTTTTGATTTATAATCTAAAAAAATAGAAGTTTATCTACATATATATAGGTGTATTTTCTGAAAAAAAAAAACGCAATTTTTATATCTCCCATTCCGTAAAACGTTCTTTTTCATTATCTACACAGTAAGGATTCAGAATTATATATTCAGAAATTTTAAATTTAATATAAATTTATTAATTTTTGGGATTAATTGAGAGTCATCCCGCGGGATAGGACTTTTATGAGCTTTTTTTTTTAAAACAAAACTATCTTTTCGGATCTACACGGATTATTTAAACGTCGAGAATCAAAAATCAAAATAAATTCGCGGAAAAATACCTAAAATAAAATCTCCTTTAAAATGTCAAATATTCACGTAAATCTAAGAAAGGTGTTTTGATAAATGATATGTAGTTTGTATTAGCAGTTAATATATATGTTGGAACACCACCATCTAGTTCCATGGTAAGCTACGAGGCTTGTGTTATGTATACCAGATTGTTGATACACTACACATATATAACTTTAAATATATACATATTATAAATATAAACACCCATGACTGGAGTACAAACATTCGTGCTCATCACACACACGAATGCTCCCAGCGGGACTCGAACCCGCGACCGCCGGGACAGCAAGTAGGGTCACTACAAACTGAGCCAAACGTGTCGATGTTATATAACATATACGATGTTATATAACAGTATGTGCATATATACATAAGTAACCCCTTACCAAGTTCCCATGCCGCCATTCTTGATCTCTTTCCCTGTAATAAACAAAAATATTTTTTAAGTAAAAAAAAACATTTTATTAACAAATATAAATTAAATCGATCATCATATATATCATCCCCATTTACACCCCCTTAAGGGATGATTTGCGGGATAAATATCCGATGTCCTTCCCAGAGCCTCATACTATCTTCTTAGCAAATTTCATCTAAATCGGTCCAGTACTTTCGGTGCTTATTCGGTACAAATAAATAAAATTAGTATAGATTTATTTTAATATGTAATTATTATAATATCCTCTCAACAAGCCAAGGCAGCCAATCTCCCTGAGACTAGCCAAATACAAGAGATATTATAGTGCATAAGTGTAAGGGAGAGAGAAAAAGAGAGATACAATGTGTACTCTCTGTCCCTTTCACTCTCAAATTCCTTTAGCAATCAATAAGATGACAATATATACTAATCATTTTTTTTATTTGTTTGGCAGCCATTTTGAAGTTCGCGATTTTTATTTTTTTATTTTAATTCACACTCAGTGAAAATTTCATCTCTCTACCTATTACAGTTCATGAGATACAACCCGCTGACAGATAGACGGACGGACAGTGGATGCTTAATAACATGGTTCCGTTGGCCTCCTTTCGGTATGGAAACTTAAAAAGCAACTTCCCAACTCCGGGTTGATAATGAGAATTTCTTCACAGAAAAACCAATAACTACTTGGTCCGACCAGGGACTCGAACCCAAGACCTCCGGATCTGCAACCGTACATGCTATCCACTAGACCAATGATTCAGTTAAAGAAATATAAATAATAATAATTAACTAACATTTTAATCTGACTATTTTCGTCGTCCGTGTGTTCTGTAGCGCTTGTGACTCTTTGCCGTTTCGGGCTTGGACTTTCCCTGGAAAGAATAAAAAAATAAATTAAATACTAATATATATAATTATTATGTACGTATGTTTGTTAACCTACTACTCCTAAAGGGCTAGACCGATTGGGATGAAATTTTGTGTGTATATTGAAATATGGGCTCCTGGGTGGTTTGGAAACAGACCCAGTAGGTGGCGCTGCAGTCGGTGTGCCACTGATCATCTCCTAAACGGCAGGATCGATTTTAATGATATTTTTTGTCTACATTCGAGTGGGTCCCTGCAAGGTTTGAATTCACAAATGGATCCGGTAGGTGACGCTGCAGTCAGTGTGTCACTATTTTTTTATAAATAACTCCATTTTCTGAGCAATAAATAAATTTAAATTGTTGATTAAATAAAATTAAAAACGATGTGTGTATGTATATTCCCTATGGACTCCAAAACAGCTGGAGCGATTTGATGAAATTTTCAGGTAATCTTCAGATTAGCCCACCCTATTTTACTATTGACGACACGTTTGGCTCAGTTTGTAGTGACCCTACTTTCCGTGCCGGCGGTCGCGGGTTCGAGTCCCGCTCGGGGCATTCATTTGTGTGATAACGAAGTTTGTACTCCAGTCATCGGTGTTTATGTTTATATTTATATTTATAATATGTATGTATTTAAAGTTATATACATATATGTAGTGTATGAACTATCTGGTATCCATAACACAAGCCTCGTAGCTTACCATGGAACTAGACGGCGCTGTGTGTTAATGTCACAACATATTTATTTATTTATTATTATTATTTATTTTATCTTCTTAGGTGTTGAATTTAAGGAAACGCTGAATTACGTAACTCATTATTTTTGCCGAACTCAATTCATACGAAATTTCATGCAAATATGTCCAAGGAATAAAAAGTTTAGAATACAAACTTTTATCCCCTATTTAACCCCCTTGGGGGTTGAGTTTTGAAAAATCCTTCCTAAGTGGATGCCTTCGTCATATGAAGAATACGTGTGCGAAAGTTCAATTTTCTAGCCTTAAGAATTGCCTGTACGTTGATACATCAGTCAATCACTTTTGCCTTTTATATAAATATATGTAGATAGATAAAAACCATTTTGTCAAAGTCATGTCATACATTCGTCTGATGAATTGTTATTTTAATATATATTTGACGACACGTTTGGCTCAATTTGTAGTGCCAGCGGTCGCGGGTTCGAGTCCCGTTGGGGGCATTCATTTGTGTGATGAGCACGAATGTTTGTGGTCACGGTGCACGAATGAAAGTGTGTGTTGTCTTGCAACACATGCTTATTCAAAAAAAATACCTTCAGGAAGTGAAAAGTGGTAAAAAGTCTAAAAATCTAACTTGACGCGAGAGAAAAGTCGGGTAAAAGCTTGAAAGGTATATAAAAATAATATAAACAAACAATTATGTAAATAATAATATTATTACTCACGTGTCAGACATTTCCCTTTTGGCAGGACTAGATTTCTCTTTTGTTTGCAATTTTATTAGCGGCGGAGGACCTCCTGAAAAAAATAAAAAATTTTGATATTTTTTTAACTTCATCTTCATCTCTATAACTTCATCAACATCACATTCATTTTATCAAACACTTATAAATTAAAAATTAAAAAAAAGCCCTACGCAAATTAATTGTCATTTAACGATTACACTGGCACGCGTGAAGCACTTATTCGAGTAATCATACGCCAAAATATCTAACATCATTTTGGAAAAGAGCTGATACTCTTACACTACTGGACCGATATTAACCAAACATAGCTAACAACCACCGCAAGGAAACTGGCTTTCAAATGAAAAAAACCGCATCGAAATCGGTCCATCCGTATGAGAGATATGATGCCACAGACAGACACATACACACAGATAGACAGACATCAACGTCAAACTTATAACACTCCTCTTTTTACATCGGGGGGGTTAAAAACAAATACAATACAAAAAAGGTATAAAATAAACTTGTAAAAATACAAATGTATTGTCACAAAATGCTTGAGTTTTACCGTCTTTTTAGATACATAACTACAAATGCAATATACAGGAAAAAATATCCCTATGAACAAACAATACATACATACATAATTTAGCCTTAGACAAGAATCGAACCAACTACAACAACCCAAAATATAATTTAAATAACTCACCATTAACACTAAATTTTTCTCTATTCACATCATCTATATCGTCTTCTTTAACAATATCCAAGTCCGGTGTTTTTGTATATGTATTCTTGTCTTGAGTATTCTTAGTTGTATTCTTGCAGTCTTGCGGATTCTTTGTTAGTGTATTCTTGCTTTCTTGTTTGTCTTGCTTTTCTTGTTTGTCATTCGCTTTTTGGTCTAGTCGTCTGTTGTGGGCAGCTGTAGTAGTTACTGCGCCTGAAAATTTTTATATGGTTAAATAAGATGACGTTCTTACTATATAATTTTAAGTAACTAGGTGACCAAGCTTTGCTTGGCTCCTTTTTGTATTTTGTTATTTTCGAAAAATTGCGTTATATCAAAAAAGATATCTATATAGATAAACTTAAAAGCAAAACCTCATATAAATATAAAATTCGATCCAAATCGATAGAGTCGTTTCCTTCATACACAAAATAAATTTATATATATCACTACACACACATAGTATAAAACAAAGTCGCTTTCCGCTGTCTGTCTGTCCCTATGTATGCTTAGATCTTTAAAACTACGCAACGGATTTTGATGCGTTTTTTTAAAAGATAGAGTGATTCAAGAGGAAGGTTTTAGTATATAATTATTTGTTAAGTTTTCGTATACATTTCGGGAAAAAAATAAGCCATCTGGGAGCTTTCATCGAATAATGACTATTTCAATAAGATTTTCTAAAAAATGTTTAATGTACAGATTCGAATCTGAATTTTATTATATCTATTATAGACATGAGATGGTCCTTGAAGTATAAATATGCATTATAGAAAATCATAAAAATCCGCTCTCAATTTTTGAGTGAAAATATCTCGTAACACAATAAAGAAAAGATAAATTAAATATTACTTAATACTTTCTTAGATTTACGCGAATATTTGACATTTTAAATATTACTTTTATGTAAAATACTAGCATTGTCCGCGACCCGCTCGCGTTCAGATGACCAAAAACCAAATTCTTAGGTTTTACATATTAGTATACTCTTAGATTGCAGTTTTTGTATTTTTTCTCAGAAATGAGAAATTTTCCCGCAGTAAAAAGTATCCTATATGTTGACCCGGATAATCAGCTATCACTATACAAAATTTCATCAAAATCCCTCCAGTGATTTTTCTGTGATACGGTAACAGACAGACAGACAAACAAAAATTCTAAAAACTATAGATTCGGCATCTGTATCGATAATAATGTTTATTTCAATAAGATTTTCCAAAAAATATTTAATGTACAGATTCGGCTTAGTTACAATTTTATTATATGTATAGATGTAAAAAAAATACTTACCCGTGGAACAGTCAGGCGGCTCATCTTTATTATTCCACCGTATATCCGTCAAGCCTTTGATGCGAAGTTCTTTAGCCGTTTTCAATAATCCTTCTAATTGGGACTGGAAAAAAAGGAAAAAATCTAAATATAATAAATAAATAAATAAATAGATATGTTGGTACATTAACACACAGCACCATCTAGTTTCATGGTAAGCTACGAGGCTTGTGTTATGGATACCAGATAGTTGACACACTACACATATATAACGTTAAATATATACATAATTATAAACACCCATGACTGGAATACAAACATTCGCGCTCATCACACAAATGAATGCCTACAGCAGGACTCAAACCCGCGACCGCTGGCATAGCAAGTAAACTGAGACAAATGTGTCGTCAAAATGTATTGTATTCAACCCTTTGTAACGTCCCATTGCTGGATACGGACCTCCCTTTAATGTAAGGGGGATCAGGCCATAGTCCACCACGTTGGCCAAGCGCGTGTTGACAGACTTCACGTCTTTTTCTCGGAAAGATACTTGCTAGGTTCTCTCAGACATACAGATCTCCTCACGACGTTTTCCTTCACCGTAAGACAAATGGTAATCATGTCAAAAACGATTCCCACCAGAATATCAGAGGTGCGAGCCCCGGGATTTGAACCCTCTTCACTTAATTTCCCAAGCGATCCCATTACCACTGGGTTATCACTGCCATGACGATGTACACAATTAAAAAAAATACATACATTATCAACTGGCTAACTGAATAATATGTAAATCGTCAGAACACCCTCTAATTAAGCATATAAAATGGCTGTACACGCGTTATCAAAACCATTGAATCTTTACATACAAAAAAACAAAACGATGTTTATCATTTCCACTAATTAACATGAATAAAGCACTTATCATTTGAATTAATTAAAAAAATCAACTCTCTTTAGCGTTTATGTTGAACACTAAGTTTGAGACGGCTTTCCTCTTACGGTAAGATGATTAAAAAAACTTTTTAACAAAAAATAAAACCGACTTCCAGACACTAAAATGTAAAAAATAACTAAACGGAGGTTTTCATTTAGAATAGATACCTAATCAGATATTTTCGACGTCGGTGCCAGCCGATGCAAAGCAAATCTAATATATTTCGATATGTAAAATACATATTTACCTATTAGATATTCATATTTAAAAATATTATACTCTGGCACCGACTTCGAAAATATCTGATTAGGTATCTATTCTAAATGAAAACCTCCGTTTAGTTATTTTTTACATTTTAGTGCCTGGAAGTCGGTTTTTTTTTTAAGTTTTTATTTTTCCATTTTTAGTGTAGACGTAATAAGCAGGTAATTTGTAAGAAGAAAGTTTATTTAAAAAATATATTTATTATTGATTTTTTTTAAAACCGCTCGACCGATTTCAACAAAATTTATATGGGACCGCCTGGGAAGTATACCTTTTGAAAAACAATATATAATTTTGAAAAACATACATAAAAAAAAAGATTCCGACGAATTGAGAACCTCCTCCTTTTTTGGAATTGGAAGTCGGTTAAAAATAGACTCGTCACTTGTCATAGTCCTATATCGTTGGTCTATTGGCTAGCATGTACGGCTGCAGATTTCAAGGTCTTGGGTTCGAGTCCTGGATCGGGATACAGCAGTTACTGATTTTTTTTTATCATGAAAAACTCAGTAGCAGCCTGGAGTTGGGAAGTTGGTTTTGTGAAACGTCCGTGTCAAGGCTCAGTACAATTAAGCCGTCGGTCCTATGTCTTGGGGCGAGATTTACAGATCGCATTTTATGAGATAGCTCTACTTTTAGCAAAGGAAATATTAATACTCTTATTTAGTACTTTGCTTAGTAAAGTTAGGTTTGATTTAAGTGCAACAGTATTTTAGAAAATCTACAATTTAAAACCTATCAATGGACAGCATTGTCTAAGAATATTAAACTAAAAGACAGATAACATATTTTTCCCAGGAAGAGCGATTTAGCCTATCTCAAATGAACTGAACGTTTACCAACGAACAGTATAATAATAAACTATACTAATATTATAAAGAGGTAAAGTTTGTGAGTTTGTGACGTTGTAGGGGGTAATCTCTGGATCTATTGAACCGATTTAGATGAAATTTGGTAAGAAGATAGTTTGAGACCCTGGGAAGGACATAATTCGTTGGCTTACTGTTACAAGGTTCTATGTTAATTTTAATGAAGTTTTGTAATTTTTACATAGAACTTCGTTATTTTGTTATCATAAAAAAAAACATAGAACTATGTAAAATTGAATATTTTGTAGTTAAAGTGCCGCTATCTAGTGGTTTGTTTTTGCAAAACTGTAGCTAATGACACTTAGAACCTTGTAGCATTAATAACTAAATAAGTACTAAAATTGTAACATGGAACCTTGTAATAGTGAGGCAACGAATTATGATTTTTATCCCGAAATTTGTATGGGGAATCCACCTAGGGACGAAACCGAGCGAAGCGAGGTGAGTCGCTAGTAATAATATAAAGAGCGTCAGCGTAGTCAGTCCATGGGGAAGCTACCACCATCTTAGAAAGCAGTTTTGCTAAGAAGAGCCGTCAAGGAACGAGATAGTTGCTCTTTTAAATATAGATCAGTTATGTTCAGACTGCCTCGGTGGTGTAGTGGCTAGCATGTACGGCACATCCGGATGTCCTGGGTTCGAGTCCGTGTCGTATCAAGTTTAGTTATTGAGTCTTTCTGTTAAGGAAGTCATAGTAACAGCCCGGACTTGGGAAGTTGGCGGTGTTTCACCCCCGTGTCTCGGAGAGCACGTAAAGCCGTCGGTCCTGCGTCTTAACTCTCACTGGTCGTGTCGAGCAGTCATCACACTGGAGTATGAGAGAGACAGGAATATTGGTTTAAATTATTTTTAGTTATATTAAAACTTAACTTACATCGTGTACATTCATCTCGCCAGTGTACATATAGTCTAAGAGTGCCTTCAGATGGCGAGGTTCCGCGCCGTCTATCACTAGTACTGGCTCGCCATGCGTCTCGTGAGCTCCGAGTAAAGCTCCAAGCAATTCCGAACATGCTGCTAATACCACTCTGAAAAAAAAAACATTAAAGATTTTTAACTTATTTATTTACCAGTAGATTAAGTTAGTTCATACTGTGTGGATCACAATTATGCCAGTAATTCCGATGAATATATTTTTTGTCCATATTTTTTGTTTATAAAGGTAGCAAATGTGTTGCTCAATATTTTAACTTTAAATAATAGCAATCTAAGTTAATATTTTAACTTCTTTTAAATTATATATAAAACAATAATATTGCTTAAATAAATCAAAACAAATATAGTAAGATACTTTATTGCCATTTTTTGAATTTATGAAATCATTTTTGTAAAATAGTGGGTAGGCACTGTCTGTAACAAGTGTGTGTTTGAGACATCTATAACCTCAGTCTATCCCGTGACTTTGATCGCTGTAAAGCATTCGAAGCGTCGGGAACCAAAAATCAAAATAAATTCGCGAAATAATCCGCAAAAGATTTTTTTCGAAAAGTTTTATTTAAGATGTCAAATATTCGCGTAAATCTATGAAAGTATTATTTATTTACTTAACAGAACCCGCGGCTTCGCTCGCAGCTAAAACTACAAAAAACTCTAACACATATTTATTCAATTATTATATTAAAGACCTTTAATACCAATTTTCAAGTAATTCTGATCATAAATATTTTTTAGGTTGTATTATAACGTGTTTTCTTATTAATTTATTATTAAAATAATTACAGTTAGTTGACGACACGTTTGGCTCAGTTTGTAGTGACCCTACTTGCTGTGCCAGCGGTCGCGGGTTCGAGTCCCGCTGGGGGCATTCATTTGTGTTTTGAGCACGAATGTTTGTACTCCAGTCATGGGTATAGATATTTATAATATGTATGTATTTAAAAAGTTATATATGTGTAATGTATCAACTATCTGGTATCCATAACACAAGCCTCGTAGCTTACCATGGAACTAGATGGTGTTGTGTGTTAATGTCCCGACGTATTTATTATATGAAATATTTAAAAAAAAAAAACAAAGATTAGTACGTCATTGACATATGAAAAACAGTATTTAAAATCTGTTTATATTAATTTATATAGACTTTTCCTTATCGTTTATAATATTATCGTACTTATAAATTTTTATTTAAATTCAATAGATTTAAAGAAAGAGCTCAAATACAGTTTTAATCATATAAAAGCAGCTTTATTTGGAAAAATTCCTATCAACAATAAATAAAATTTAAAAAAACACCCCCAAAATACCCAATATATAATTTCAATGAGTCTAAACACGATATATCTACAGTTTTTTTTTTTTGTTTTTTGTTTTTTTTTTTATTAAAGAGTCTAGTATCTTGCAGATTCCAGGTGATGCTGCATCAGGCCAAGGTTACCATATCGTTGCGATGTCATTGAAGTAACGGAATACCAAAATTCGAATGGATTAGATCTGTGAAAGTTGCTCATATTCTTTTACCGTCTAGAAAAGAACTGATAGCCTGCGAACGACTGGACGGATTTTCTTAATTTATATCTATGAACATTTTCGATCAAATCACCTTTCAAACAAAACACACTAGATTAAAATCGGTTCATCCGTTTGGGCGTTACGAAGCCATAGACAGACACACGATAAACTTATAACATCCTCTTTTTGCATCGGGGGTTAAAAAACCAACGTAAAACCACACGCACTGTATAGTGATATGCAAATTTAATTTTAGCAAAAAAATATGTACATGTCAACATAATATTTAATTGCAAAAACATGTTACTGAGCCATTTTCGATAAGAATTTGATTAGATACTTTCTGGTTTTATAATTTCACACAGATATGACATGCATTAGGCGAGTTTTGACGCCAATTTAAAAACAATTTCCATATAAAATATCCTGTTTTTCAATGTGGCAACTTAGATTTTATATTATTTTAACGCTTTAATCCTAATCAGTAGCTTTAAGGTGAGTGCATTTTAATTTTTCAATTCATAAAATTTTTATTATAATTAATTTTTTGAGATAGCATTAAGTGCTGAGAACATTTCGATTCTTTTATAGTAAATTAATTAAAGATGCGATAAAAATTAAAATTTTGTAAATCAATAGGTACTCATTTTATTAATGCAAAAGTTTGTTTCTTAGTTTGTCTCTTAGCATTTGTATACCTACATATAATAAAATTGTAACTAAGCCGAATCTGTAAATTTAATATTTTTTGAAAAATCTTATTGAAATAGACATTATTATCGATACAGAGTCCGAATCTATAGTTTTTAGAATTTTTGTCTGTCTTTCTGTCTGACTGTCTGTTACCGCATCACAGTAAAATCACTAGACGGATTTTGATGAAATTTGGTATGGTGATAGCTGGTTATCCGGGTCAACAAATAGGTTACTTACCGCAGGAAAATGTTTCATTTGTGAGAAAAAATACAAAACCTGCAATTTAAGAGTATACTAATATATAAAACCTAAGAATTTGGTTTTCGGTCATCTGAACGCGGGCGGAGCCGCTGGCAATGCTAGTCTTTTATAAAGTACCTAATGGAATGGATGATAAATACATACATACATACTTGACTCTTATCGAAAAATTGTTTTCACAAACCCGTAATATTTTTCAAAGACTTAGGACAAAGACGTAGAGGAGAGAAAAAAATATCCCCGCTTTACACGTAAGGGAGGTACCTACCCAAAAATTTCTTTTTCCAATATTTTATTTTACCACTTTGTCGTCGTGTCCAATATGTTTATCCATGATAAATTACAGCTTTTTATAGCTACGAGTAAGAATCTCTGAGCTAAGCTGCGGACAGACGGACGGACGGTCGGTCATGACAAAACTATAATCAACATATTGTTGATCGAAGACGTTTAGTATAGATTTCTCAGAAATGAGATATATTCCCGCAGTAATAAGTATCCTATATGTTGATCCGGATAACCAACTATCATAATGCTAAATTTAATCAAAATCCCTCCAGTGGTATTTCTGTGATGCGGTAACAGACAGACAAACACACAAAAATTCTAAAAACTATAGATTCGAGCTCTGTATCGATAATAGTGTCTATTTTAATAAGTTTTTCCAAAAAATATTTAATGTACAGGATTCGACTTAGTTACAATTTTATTATATGTATAGATAATGCGTGCTCCACATATATGAATTCGTGATAGCTTGTCGAGGTTTAGCAAAATTCGTTGGCTCACAATTACAAGGTTCAATGTTACAATTTTAGTACTTATTTAGTTATTAATGCTACAAGGTTCTATGTGTTATTAGCTATAGTTTTGCAACAACAAACCACTAGATAGCAGCACTTTAACTACAAAATATTCATTTATACATAGTTCTATGTTGTTTTTTTTACGATAACAAAATAACGAAGTTCTATGTAAAAATTACTAAACTTTATTAAAATTAACATAGAACCTTGTAATAGTGAGCCAACGAAATATGAAACCTACATTATCATTTCAAACCAATGTCGCCAAAACGTTTTCTTCTACCCTTTAACGTGAAGGTATGAATAGATATTAAAGGAATAGTAATAGACCTACCTATGTGCCCTGAGGGACACTCCGCGTATATTTCTAGGGTCGACCGTGTCTTTGTTTGGCACTTGCGTGGCGAAACTCGGCGAGCAGTACAATGTGACATCGCAGAAGCGTTCTGCAACGAAAAAGCAATCAATATTTAATATTAAAAGGAAAATATAAAAAGATTTTATTTAAACGACTGGAGGGTTCCATATAAGAGGGTCCTATATAGATGGGATGTGGGTAGTATTTCAAAAAAAAATCAAAATATTTTATTCAGCATTAAATTATTACAATTTTTTACTGAACGTCACGAGTCTACTACCAGTTCGGAAAGAAGCCTCAGACCTGAGAAGAACTGGCGAAAGAAACTCAGCGGGACTAATATTGACTTGTTATCTTTTTTTAACGAAAAATTATAATTTACAATATTTCTGTCAAGTTGAAGTAGTCTGGAGGAATTTCATTCCCAAGGTGTGCCATCTTTTATAAAATCATTTATTGTATAATTTAATTAAATCTTTATTAAGTTATTTTATACTTTTTATTGTCTGTTGCGTTATCTTTTTTTTTCATATAAATAATAGTAATTCAGGTCTTTTAACATCCCATTCCTGGGCGTGGGCATAAGCCTCATAAGGGGGCCATATAAGAGGGAGTAGACCACAGCCGACATTTGACGACACGTTTGGCTCAGTTTGTAGTGACCCCACTTTGTACCAGCGGTCGCGGGTTCGAGTCCCGCTGGGAGCATTCATTTGTGTGATGAGCACGAATGTTTGTACTGCAGACATAGGTGTTTATATTTATAATATGTATGTACTTATTTAAAGTTATATATAATATGTAGTGTATCAACTATCTGGTATCCATAACACAAGCCTCGTAGCTTACCATGGAACTAGATGGTGTTGTGTGTTAATGTCCCAACATATTTATTTATTTATAGCCCACCATAAGGGCTGCTGGTCAAATGTGGGCTACACGCACCTATTTTGACAATTAGTTGGTACTCTCAAAATGCAGGTTAGTTCATGTGTTTCTTTAACGTAATAATAACAAGTGATAATTGAATATATGGTTCTCACATGAAAATTAAGAAACCTCGAGGTTTGAACCCACTTCATCTGGGTTTCCGCGTTTCTGGTTAACGTTTAACGCGTAGGTCATCAACAAAAGCTAGTCTATACTAATATTATAAATAAGCAGAGATTGTTTATTTGTTTGTTTGTTTGAACGCGCTAATCTCAGGAACTACTAATCCGATTTAAATGAATCTTTTTGCATTAGATAGCCCGTTCATCGAGGAAGGCTGTAAACTATATATCATCATGCTTTTTTTTTGTTTTCGCTGGGGAAACCCATCATGGGGACCCACTACAACACCCCTGCGAAATATAATATCATCATGCTGCTACCCAAGGGAGCAGAGCAGTAATATAATATAGTAGTCTATCTATCCCATACTAACATTTAAAACGTACCTAGGGACGAACCGAATGAATAAAAAAAATAATTTTCCCCCGAATTCCCACAAATTTCTTCATTTCCACCTTTTTTGTTCATCTCGAAACACGAATTTACATTAATGCACTTAAAAACTCAACACTCGCGGATCTTTATCAGGATAATTAAAAACGTATTAAAATAATTTATTACAACTAGATATCTTTATCTTGTAAGTGACTATTATAATTAAATGTATTTAAAATATGGCTGTAAATTATAATTTTTCAAATCTAGAAACTAAAAATATAAATATAATTATCCTGTTCGCTGAGTTTAGGATGTCTGTATGCGGTGGAAAAAACATGGCAGACTTGCTATCTTTTATCTATACTAATATTACTAGCGACTCACCCTCGCTTCGCTCGGGCTCGTCCCTAGGTTTATTCCCCATACAAATTTTCGACCCCATTTTCACCCCCTTAAGGAATGATTTCCGGGATAAAAAGTATCCTATGTCCTTCCCAGGGTCCCAAACTATCTTCTTACCAAATTTCATCTAAATCGGTTCAGTAGATCCAGAGAGACTCCCTACAACGTCACAAAATCACAAACTTTACCACACTACCTTTAAGACCCAACCAATCCAATGGTAAATAATAATATTATAAGCACCCAAGGGGTGCTCTGTCTCTGGACTTACACTTGACACTACCTTCTGGGACAGCCTGTATATACATACTAGCGACTCACCTTCGCTCCGCTTGGGTTCGACCCTAGTTATGTTTTAACGTTTAGTAAGATTTCTCAGAGATGAAATATTTTGCCGCAGTAAAAAGTATCCTATATGTTGACTCGGATAACCAGCTATCATCATACCAAATTTCATCAAAATCTGCCCAAAGGTTTTCTCGTGATGCGTTCCCAGACAGACAGACAGACAAACAGACAGACAAAAATTCTAAAATCTATAGATTCTTCGTCTGTACCGATAATAATGACTATTTAATTAGGATTTTTCAAAAAAAAAAAAAACAGAAAAAAAACAAACTAAAAATTTGAGTAAATACAAAAAAAAAACAAAAGTAAAAACTTTGTATCCGACCGGGATACGAACCCAGACACCTGTGGTTATCAAGTAAATACAAAAAAAAAACAAAAGTAAAAACTTTATATCCGACCGGGATACGAACCCAGACACCTGTGGTTATCAAACTTGCGCCTTGGCCGCTTCACCACGATGCTTATGTCCTAGCGTTCAAATTAGTGAACATATTTTGCGTGGAATAATGCGAAACAAAACCGCATGAAAACTCGAAAACACACGTTTTCCCAGACATAAAACTAATTTAGATCGATTTATCGCCCCCGAAACCCCCTGAGTACTAAATTTCATGAAAATCGTTGGAGCCGTTTCCAAGATTCAGATTATTATATATATACAAGAATTGCTCGTTTAAATATATTATATATATATATATATATATATATATATATATATATATATATATAATCTAATTTGTACGTTTTAATTTGTTCGTCGTAAATAAAAGTATTTAAAATTTTAAAAGTTTTTTATTTAAATTAGAATACTCTCGAATATACATAAATAACAGTAATCTACACTCTGAACCGTTAGTTTTATTATTGTTCTAAAACCAAAACACGAGCCATGCAATTAGAAGAGATGTTGCATCAAGCGCCGTTAGCAAAACTTGATGATTTATTAATAATCGGAATAAAATCATGTTATTTAGGTCGATTTATTTTGTTTTTTTTTGTTCTCGATAAATGCTTTCATTTTCAGCATTCATGATCACGGGAGAGACTAAGGGATTTTAAGTTTTAAAACTTATAATATAGATGTTACAGACGATGTCTAACAGTTAGTTTAACTGTCAGTTACTTTAACTGTTAGTTAAACTGTCAGTTTGTTTAACTGACAGTTAAACTTACTAGCTATTAAGGAAACTGACAGTTAGTCTTACTGACAATTGCTGACAGTTAAACAAACTGATAGTTAAACTTACTAACAGTTAAACTAACAGTCAGTTAGCTTTACTATCAGTTAGTTTAACTGTCAGTTTGTTTAACTATCAGTAAATTTAACTGTCAATTTGATTTACTGTCAGTAACGTTAACTGTCAGTTAGATTAATTGCCAGTTTGATTAACGACTAGTAAGATTAACGGGCGCAAAGCCAAGAAACACAATGGGAAGTGGCCCACTTTGGTGGGTGGTGTACTATGCGGTAACTGGCACTTCTCTGATAGCAGAGTGGACCGTGGGAGCAACCCCATGGTTATGTTATGGAATATTAAATAAAGACGATGTCCACTTACAACGTTAAACATTAATATAAAGAAAAGAAAATAGAGACCGAAGGAATTTTAAAAAATTTGATATAAGATTTTTATTAATGTGTCATTTTTATTGCATTTTGGATCCTATTTTAAGATTTAAAATAGACTAATAGTAAAATACATTTTTAAAACCAGTTTTTATATAAATGATCTAAAAAGAAGAAAACAAACTTTAGATTAAATCAAACCCATCAATTTATATGATACTAGCATCGCCCGCGGCTCCGCCCGCGTTCAGATGACCAAAAACCAAATTCTCAGGTTTTACATATTAGTATACTCTTACATTACAGTTTTTGTATTTTTTCTAAGAAACGAGATATTTTCCCGCGGTAAAAAGTATCCTATATGTTGACCCGGATAGCCAGCTATCACCATACCAAATTTCATCAAAATTTTTCCAGTAGTTTTTCTGTGATGCGATAACGGACAAGTCTGTATAGATATATGTATGTCTCATGATACAGAGGCCGAATCTATAGTTTTACGAATTTTTATTTGTCTGTCCGTCTGTTACCGCATCACAGAAAAACTACTGGAGGGATTTCGATGTTTGGTATGGTGATAGCTGGTTATCCGAGTCAACATATAGGATACTTTTTACCGCAGGGAAATGTCTGATTTCTGAAAAAATAATACAAAAACTGCATTGTAAGAGTATACTAATATGTAAAACCTAAGAATTTGGTTTTTGGTCATCTGAACGCGGGCGGAGCCGCGGGCAATGCTAGTCTTACATAAATAGCTTATACTAAAACTATTTATAATTTTTCACACATTTTAATTCAAATTTATTTAAAGACAACAGGTTCAATTTAATTTAATCAAAATACTAAGATGTTACGTTAATTAATGACTAAACCGATTTATGTATGTAATAATTTTGAAAAACCATCAAATACTAGATTTTACCCGCTTTTCTTTCGAGCGGGTTTCTTCGTCTTTGTCAATTTTTTAACCGACTTCAAAATGGAGGAGGTTCTCAATTCGATTGGTATTTTTTTATGTATGTACACCGATCACGCTTAGATTTATGATCCGATTTACGTGATTCTTCTTTAGTTTGATGCAGAATAGTTGCCATTTGGTCCCTTAAAAAATTAACACGCTACCTATTGATAGGTTTGAAGTCGGTGCCTTTAGTATAGATTTCTCAGATCGCGGCGGATGTCGGTATCTACTATAGCATTTGGCTTGGCACCGACTTCAAACCTATCAATAGGTAGACTTACAAATAATAATATTTTATTAATATTAAAATTACTTCCTTGTCATAGGATTGCGATCGGACCATGGCCCACCACGCTGGCCAAGTCTTGAAAGG